TGATAGTGACGAGCACCGACGGGCGGCGAGCCATGCACAGTAATGCGCTATTTAATGCGCAGCTATTTATGGAAATACCTAAACAAAAAAAGGAAAAACAGACGGAGCACTCGAAACTAGTATGTTCGCAATTAATCCAACCAGGATAAAAAAAAAGGCGGGTTAATGCTCGCAAAATCATGGCAACAGCAACGCCGGCTGGGGCAGCACTAACATGACATCCCTGCGAGCGGTGATGAACGGCAGGGTTGGGAGCGATCCAGACTTGACCTAGAATTGATGGTCTTGGCGAAGGAGGTCAGTGAAAAGTGAGATTTCAGGAGCAGGCTGGTGAAAGAGCTACTGAAAAAAAATGACACTTGCCCATTCTCATTCGGCTGCTTCGCTCGACCTGTTACAGATGGTGTGTCACACTCAAAGATCAAGCTCAAAATAGACCGAAAAGATTGCAAGATGGTATCAATGCAGACATGCCTGATAGACGTAAAATTAATTTAGATACGTGTTAGTGTATTGGTTTTTTTACAAAAGCATGGCAACAGCGCCGGCGAGGGCAGCTCCGACACCGTAAGTGGTCAAGACGGCAGCGTTAGAGGACTTGTCGGAGGAGGAAGAGGAGGAGCTCTTAGAAGAAGTCTTGGTAGAGTTAGAAGCGCTGGAAGACTTGGCAGAGGACTTAGCGGCAGAGGAGGTCTCGGCAGCCGAGGTGACGGCGGCATCAGACTTGGCGGCAGAAGAGGCAGCATCGGAGGCGGCAGCGGAGCCAGCAGAAGAGGCAGCATCGGAGGCGGCAGCGGAGCCAGCAGAAGAAGCACCAGAGGCAGCTGCAGAAGAAGCACCAGAAGCAGCGGCAGAAGCATCGCCGACGTTGACAACGGGCCAAGCAACGGTAGGAGCACCGAAAGCCTCAGCACCGGTGGAGAAACCAGCAGAGACAACGCTAACGATGCTGGAGGCGGAGCCGAGAACATCGCTGTCAGCATCAGTGGGGAGACCATTAATAGCCTTGGAGACGACATCAGCGGCGGGGGAGGCCAACTCGCTAATGTCACCCTTGACGATTTCGGTGGCGCCAACACTCTGGAAGTCATTGGCCTTGTTGGCAAGGTCGTTGAGCAGAGCAGAGATCGCAGCACCCAGAGGAGCCAAGTTGGAAACAAGGGTCTTGGCCTGGTCGTTATCGACACTGCTGGGGAGCTCAGAGCTCAAATTAGCAACGGCATCAGTCAAGCTGGGGATATCAGCCTGGATGACAAGGGCACCCTGAAGACCGGCAGCAGAGTCCCATGACTGAACCTTCGAATCAAGGTCCTCGACGATGCTCTGGAGAGAGCTAATGGCCCCAGCGGCGTCGGCGGCGACCAAGGAGTACAAAGCAGCGATAATGGTGATCTGAGAAAGCATCGTCAATGTAGTATGTGAAAAAATCTGCTTGTTGGGGGCGCTGCGAGTGTTTTATACCTTGGCCTCGGCGGGTATGCAGGGTCCATAAAACCCAAGCCCTCGACAAATTGTGGGACACTATTTGCTTGCGCAGAAATAGCCTTGAGTATATAGGGATAGGGGGTGAAACAGTTAATAGTAAACCAATATCAATGAGATAAACTATGTAATGACCATACTACGGCGCGACAGCAGCCTGCTTTTGACTTTCCCATCGGCAATAGATGAAAAACCCATCAGGCACCCTGCTGCAGCACCTGCTGAGCCGACCCGATCACGTAATGCCAAAAACTAATTCGGCAAGACGTGCTGCTCTTGCCAAAAGGGGAAAGGATCACCCCAGTGGGTGGAAAAACAAAAAGAGTTTGCTAGTTGTCATCTCAGAGATACAATGAGCTATAATATAGCAGATCAGCGCGTATATTCTTGTTTACAATCTCGTATATTCGCCCCAGACCGTTCGATCAAAGGACTTTCTTGGTGTCTGACTAAAATCACGAAAGACAGACTGCAGGGGGTTGCATGGTCCACCCGAAATGGAACACGCGACGTGACCAGCACTTTAGCTGACGTTCTGACGGTCACGCTGCGGCCGCGTATGCAACTAAGCCCGTAAGCAAGGCTGTTGCGTAGGAAACGACAGGGTGCCGTCCAGTCGCCAACAGAATTTATCTAACATAAGGCAGTGCTGTAACTATAGTGTGTATGTACAAAAAGAAGCTCAGCGGCCATTAACATTCAGCAGTAGACTTGAACCAGAGCTCTTGCCCTCGCCATCAGCCGAACTGCCCGAGGGAACGTAGGCAACATTGGGACCAGCCTGAGCGAGAGTGGTGGCAATATCCTTGGCGGCCTCGAGACGACGGACCTTGATGAGACCGTCACCCGCCTTGGCCAGAGCCTTGGAAATAGCTTCGGCAGCCTCTGCCTCACCCTCAGCACGGATGACAGCAGCCTGGCGCTCCTGGTCGGCCTTCTGCACCTGGTACTGGGCACGCTCGGCGTCCTGTTGGGCAATTTGCTTCTGCTCAACTGCCTTGGTGAACTCGCGGCCAAACGTCAAGTGGGTGATGCTAACGTCCTCGAGCTCAATGCCGAATTCGGAAGCACGGCGGCGGAGATCTTCGCGAATCTTTTGCGAAACCACCTCACGCTGGGTAATGAGCTCGGCAGCATCGAACTGGGCGACAATACTCTTGAGCACTTCGTTGCCAATTGAAGGCAGCACACGCTCGTCGTAATCGAGGCCAAGGCTCTGGTAGATCTGGGGCAGCTTGGGAATGTCCGGGTGAGAGAGCACACGGAGGGTCAAAGAAACCATTTGCAAATCCTTGGAACCTGTGCTGGTAGTAATATTACGGGGGCGAGTGCGGACGTCGAACAGAATCGCCTTTTGCAGCCAGGGAATCAAAAAGTGGGTGCCTTCTCCAGTAACGTTGGGGCTGACACCAGACAACCGGTCAAAGATAATGGCCCGAGTGCCACCGCCAACATCGTAAATAGACTGTCCGGCAAGATACAGCGCTGCAAACGGTAAAATCAATCCGCCCAACGATCCTGAAGCCGCGCGAGACATGTTTCAACTGTTGAAGGGCAAACGTTGCCGTTTGTCAGCGCCACCTAAAGTCGAGATGAATGACTAAGCGAAGAGGAGGGGTTATAGGGAAAACTAGGGGGGAATCAACCAACCACTCGGTTAAATGAACTTTGAATACGGTCCCTGGGAGGAAACCGGTCTAGGGAAGTCCACGCGGCTGTCAGTTTTGCGTCGCACATACGCAAAGCCCGAGCTGGCAGTGAAGACTCTTCCAGCTGCCCCGAAATCAAATGAGCCTGCTGAGGGAACCAGCGCGCAGGTTGGCTTCTTGGCGAAGCACGATTCATGGAAACTTTTGCGAGTGATCACTGGCCACGAAGGGTGGGTCCAGAGTATATGTGTTGAGCCTGACAACCAATGGTTCGCGACGGGTTCTGCAGATCATACCATCAAGGTCTGGGATCTGGCCTCCGGGAAACTGCGATTGACTTTGACGGGCCATATAATGGGAGTGCGGGCACTAGAAGTGTCGGACCGTATGCCGTATTTGTTTAGTGCTGGAGAGGATAAGACGGTGAAATGCTGGGATCTGGAGTCCAATCGCGTGGTCAGGGACTACCATGGTCACCTATCTGGTGTTTATTCTCTCAGCTTACATCCCACACTGAACGTTTTAGTGACTGCGGGAAGGGACAGCGTTGTCCGGGTTTGGGACATTCGCACTCGCCATGAGATCCATGTCTTGCAGGGCCACCGCGGCCCCATCAATTCGGTTCAGTGTCAGGCAGTCGATCCGCAGATCGTTTCAGGCTCACAGGATAGCACCGTCCGTCTTTGGGACCTTGCAGCTGGAAAATGTGTGGAGACTCTCACCCACCATACCAAATCTGTTCGGTCCGTGCTGATCCACCCCACAGAGTTCACATTCATGAGTGCGGACCGCGATGCCATCAAGAAATGGCAGCTTCCGGCCGCTGCATTCATGGGTGACTTTAAGGCCGACAAGCCGCGAATAACCAACACTCTGTCGTTGAGTGTTGACGATTTGTTATTTGCCGGAGGTGATGATGGTACCCTGAACTTTTACGACTACAACACTATGGAAATGGTGTTTCAAACACAAACGACGCCTGTACCTGGCTCAATTGCAGAAGAGTCGGGCATTCTTTGCTCATCATTCGACAAATCAGGAATTCGTCTTCTCACCGGTGAAGCCGATAAATCAATCAAAGTCTGGGGGCCGGCTGACTAGCGGCAGATGTCTAGGGCGAGGGTTGTGAAAACTTACCCGTATGACAAACAAACTTATTGGCGCCAAGGTGTTTGTGCGGCGTGATGAGGGCACAGAACACAAAGCGGAGCTGCTGTTGGAGCGGTTGAGAAAGGGCAAGGTTGAGTTTTATGTTCATTACGAGGGCTGGAACAAACGCTTGGACGAATGGATAGATGAGACGCGCTTGAACTTGAACCGGCCCGTTGAGTTCCCTAAGAAAAAGGAACCCGAGAAGGATTCCAAGGACAAGAAAAGGAAGACGCCTGGAGGAAGTCAAAGTGCCACCGCAACGCCGGCTCCTGAAGCGGAAAGTACAGATGTTACTGACGTTGGTGAAGCTGAGCCGCAATTCGACCCCAAGCAGGAGATCGAACGGCTTAGGACATCCGGGTCAATGGTTCAAAACCACTCAGAGGTGGCCCGTGTGCGAAACATCAACAAAGTTGTTTTTGGCGGCTACGAAATTGAGCCGTGGTATTTCAGTCCGTACCCGCAAGAGTTGAGCGAGGAAGATGAGATTTACATTTGCGAGTTTTCGTTGCAGTATTTCGGTTCCAAGTTCCGATTCGAACGGTTCAGACAAAAGTACACACTACGCCATCCGCCCGGCAATGAGATTTATCGTGACGAAAAGTTCTCGTTTTACGAAATCGACGGCAGACTGCAACGCACATGGTGTCGTAACCTGTGCTTGCTTTCAAAACTGTTCCTGGACCACAAGACACTGTACTACGATGTCGACCCGTTTTTGTTTTACTGCATGTGCACCAGGGATGAGTACGGCCACCACCTGGTGGGCTACTTTAGTAAAGAGAAAGAGTGCGCGGAGGGATACAATGTTGCATGTATTCTGAGCTTGCCCCCATACCAGCGATTTGGCTACGGCAAAGTTCTGATTGATTTCAGCTATAACTTGTCCAAGATCGAGGGCAAGCTCGGGTCTCCTGAAAAGCCCCTGAGTGACCTGGGTCTCATTAGTTACCGGTCGTATTGGTCGGACATTTTGATTGAGCTGCTTGTAGAGGGAGGCAAGCCGGACACCACCATTGAAGAACTCAGCGCCCAAACAGCCTTCACCAGCGCCGACATTATGCACACTTTACAGGCCCACAGCATGATACGGTATTACCGTGGCCAGCATGTGATCTGCTTGACGAGCGCGGCCATTGAGCGCTACGAGAAGAAAAAGGCCAAAAAAGCCCACCGCATCGACCCGACAAAACTCAAGTGGAAGCCTCCCGTCTTCACTCCGGCCCAGCTGCGGTTCGCTTGGTAAATATATTTATTTTTTTAATAATATCTGTACATGAATATGTATTTAAGGTTAATCAAACGGAATGGTTCTCCGCTCGGCGGCCGCAGCGGCAACCGCAGAGGGCACAGGGATGCCGCAGCAGTCGAACAAATCGTGCTGGTGGGTATCGCCTACTTGATCAGGAGGGGTCATGCCCTCGGGAGCAGGTATTATTGACCCGAACATAAAATGCTGCATAATGGGCAGTTTGCCCAGCACTTCTGCTCGATACATTTTCAGCATACCGGAATTGACCTTTTCCCACTTTTTGACGCCAGAAATATCATCGAGCATGGGCGAATGCCACCGGAGCGACGCCGTTTTGACAGAATTGATGAATTTGATGCAGCCAAAGTAGTAGTACTTGCTGGCGTACATGTCGACCATGTCTTCATCGTGAATCGACATGGGACGTAAATACTTGTGGGGCACAAGCTGGCCAGAGCCCAGCAGAAACGGAAGAAAGTGGTAGTCGTCAAGACCCCAAACACCATGTGAGCCGGCGGGTTCGAGCCAGTACTCTTTCTGGATTTTCCTCATCACGGTCAAGTAATCTGCAAATACATCGAGCGCGAGATTGCGGTGATCCTGAGTGCTCAGTTTGCCCAATTTTTGGAGACACAGCAGTGCGCATACAAAATTGAGCTCATGGCCAGACCCGTAGTCAATGCGTTTGCGATTACCCCACGACTCGACAACGTAGGTCGCCACTTCCTCTGCGGAGTTTCCCAAATCGAACGGCTCGAGCCATTGCAGCATATGGCTCTCGACATCGTCGTAGAAATCACGGAACTCGGGCTTTCCGAACCGCGAGCTCTGTTCTCCAGACGGGTGTCTGTCGACCGCGGCAGCCACCTCGCCTACGAGGGCCCGCAGTTTCAGGACTGTTTCTGATTCGTTCCCGTCAGGACCAAGCTCGTGGCCGAAACACGCCGCATTCAGCGATTCAACAAAGCCCAACAAATCACCGTAGGTCGGGCTCTCTCGGAACTTGTCCAGGTCCTCGTTCGTAGCGATCCGGCGAACGGGTTTCATTGAAGAGGTCGGTTTTGTCAGCGGCAGCGAGCAGTCTTCTCCCCCACATTGCGATGGCGAAGCGATTGTTAAGAGAGCACCAGGCGATAATAGCCTCACCGTCGCCGGCCCTCGAGCTGCTGGAGCCCAGCGAGTCGGACATCTACGACTGGAGCGCTATACTGCTGGGCCCCGAGAACACCCCGTACGAGGGAGGCAAGTGGAGGGTGCGCATCAAGGTCCCAACCAGCTACCCTATTGATCCACCCACCATGCAGTTCGAGACGCGGATTTGCCATCCCAACATCCATTTCGAAACAGGTGAGGTATGCATTGACGTGCTCAAAACCCAGTGGACGCCGGCGTGGACACTGGCGTCGGCTCTTCTCGCCATCCAGGCAATGCTGTCCGACCCCGAACCAGATAGCCCCCTAAACATCGACGCAGCCAACCTCGTCCGCTCCGGCGAAATCACCGGCTACGAACAGCTCGTCAACTATTATAAAAAAGTATATACTCAGCCATAGTGCCCTCTACCGCTTCTTACAACCCTAAACTGAAAGCGTATTTGACTGCAGGCTTTGGGGTGACATAATTTTTGCATGGACATCAAACAGCTGGAAAACGCGATAGGTATCGCGCTGCAAGGCACTGGCGACCCTGCTTTGAGGCAGCAAGCCATTGGATACTGCAATGAGGTCCGAGACTCTGCAGACGGGTGGCAAGCTGGGCTGGCCATTGTCGTCGAGCCCGAAAAAAGGCTGCCCGAGGCGGTGTTTTTTGGCTATCAGGTGCTGGACGCCGCTCTGCCCCGCCTCGGCGCTGCGGAGTTGAACATTGTGCGAACCAAGCTCTGGGAGTTTGTTACCGCAATGGTGCAGAAAGACGGCCCCAGTTTGCCCTCTCATACCCGCAACAAGCTTGCCCAGACTCTTGCCTTTTTGTTTGTCCTGCTCTACCAGTCTACGTGGTCGACTTTCTTCACTGATCTCCAGCGGATTGCTTCAGGTAACGCCAAGGCCACCGATCTGTATCTTCGCGTGCTCAAGTCAGTCCACGAGGAGATCGGTGACGCACTCATCATTCGGGAGCCTGAAGTCACCCAGCGCAACTCCGCCCTCAAGGACCAGATCAGAGCCCAGGACATGGCCCAGCTGGTTCTGTCTCTGGGGTCCATTTTGCATGAATACTCGGAATCAAACATGGAGATCGTTGAGGGGGCTCTGGGAGTCACCGGCGGATGGGTTTCGTGGATCGAGATTTCCCTTATTGTCGGCAACGCTGCCCTGGTCGAGCTTATTTTCAAGCAACTCACTAATCCGCAGGTGCGGGTGGCTGCGTGTGCCACTATTGGCGAAATTATTTCCAAAAAAATGCCCCCTGAAAACAAGCTCGAACTTATCATCCTTCTCAACCTCACTCAGCTACTGCGCGAGTTGCCAGCCGCTGCAGGTGACCTTACATTCGACGAGCGAGTCGCTTATCTGGCCAACATTGTTGGTAGCGAACTATGCCGTATTATGGACCGCGATGAAATCAACGAAGACGTTCGTGCCAAGGCAGAGGAACTCCTGGTGGAGCTCATGCCCGTAATTATTGGCTACCTGCGCAATGAGTGTGATGACACTTCTATACAGGTTATTCCCTGCATCAACGACTATTTGCAGTATGTCCGCAAAGATACAAAGCGTCGGCAGGCCCAACTTGACACCTCCAAGCTGACCAAAAATAACTTTGGTCAGTTTGTAGACTTTCCTCCTCCAGCGACCTTCATTCCAGAATCTCGTAGACTCCTGCTCAAACATCTCCTCAGTAATATTATTGCCAAGTCGGTTTACGACGATGAGGCTGAATGGGCAGGGCAGGACGATGAGGATGAAGCCGAGTTCCAGCAGCTGAGATCCAAGCTCAAGGTGCTCCAGGAGCAAATTGCCACCATCGATGTGGACATGTTTATGGACGATGTTGCCCAATTTGTCACGGTAAAGCTCTCTGGTCTGCGCGAACAGCCCTGGCAACAAACCGAGCTGGGGCTCTACGAGCTTGCTGCGTTTGGCGATATCCTCAAGGGCGGAGTCGGTCGTGCGGTCCGAGGAGCCGAGTCAAGGGCCCAGCAGGTCCTTTTCGAGCTGTTCAGGGCAATGGTTTGCTCTGATGTCATCCAGACCCCTCATGGCGCCGTACAGCTATGGTACATGGAGTTAGTTCATCGTCATTCCGGTTTCTTTACAAGTGACAACCGAGACCTTCTTTTCAAAACTCTAGAGGTGTTTTTGTCGCCTCTTGGTGTACATAACCGCGATCCTGCTGTTCGAGTGCGCAGTTGGTATCTCTTATTCAGGGTTGTAAAATCTGTTCGCAGACTTCTCGAGCCTAGCAGCGATATCTCATCGCAGATCTTACGCTCAGTCATGCCCCTTTTACATGTTGAGGTTCAGCTTCCCAAGCCTGCCGACGATAGCAGCGACGACGAAACCAATCCCAACCTCGAGTTCGACGCTCAGCTTTATTTGTTCGAGCTTTGTGGTATGCTGAGTGAACAAGCAGGCTCAGAAGCTGCCGAGCTATTGAGAGTTTTATTCGGAGATATCGAGCAGGCAGTTTCTTCGGCCAAGCAGGCTCGTGAAGCTCGAAGAACAGAAGCGGCTGAGCTCGCGTACCTTCGAGCCCATCATGATATCATGGCTCTCGGGACATTTGCACGCGGTGTTGCCGATGTTGTTGGTGCCGACAGGGGACAAAAGGGCGAGTTTGCCACTGTGTCTGAGATGCGGAGTGCCGCTGCAGCTGTCGCGGCTGTGGTTGAAGTGCTCTACGACGTACCTCAAGTACGTGAAGCGTGCCGGCACGCTATTTCACGACTGGTTGGACTAATGGGATCTCAAATTATTATGGAAGTCTCGAGACTTGTTAATTCTTTGCTAACCCACAGTGAGTGCCCGGAGGAAATGGGTGATTTGCTTAGCTTCTCGGGTCAGCTGGTTCATGTCTTCCGAACGGATGCTACAGTCTTTGATATGTTCACTTCATTAATTGCTCCATTACTCGAGCGGGTATTTTCTCGATTGCAAAGCACTGCTGTTGAAGCTCAGAGCGGCTCAACCGATGCCCAAGTTGCTCGTAAAGACCTGGTCCGCTTGTACTTGGCATTCATTAGCAACCTGCTAAGTAACCGGTTCGGCGCCGTTTTCTTGGTCGAACGTAACTTGGCAGTCTTCGAGTCAGTCATGGAGAGCTTAATACATTACTCTCAAACCGCAGAAAACGATGTTAGCAATCAGCGCCAAGCGGTGATTGCCCTGGCAAAGATTGTTCAACTTTGGGGCACTGGCCGGGTTGCCGCTGATAATTTTGGTGCCGGCCAGCCAGTTGCTCTTTTCCAAGGCGACTTTGTCTACGAAAAGCTCACTGAGCTATGCTGGACCCTTACGACCAAACCCGGCTTCAGCCTAAAAGATGCGCAAACCAGACTTGTTGTCTTAGAGCTTGGCGGGCTCCAAAAGGCTTGCTACGAGGCTGCAGGACCTAGATATATGGAGGTGGTCGCCAAGTATCTGCGAGCTGCAGGACTTGCCTCTCCATTGGTTGATGGGTTTGTGAACCAACTTGCTATGGCACCCGCTAAAGACTTTAAGCGCTATTTCTACGATTTCTTGGTAAAATCAGCGTCCTGATTTCTCGGCATTGTTTTGTTTATTTGCATTTTGTCATAAAATAGCTTTCCTCAAGCGAATTACTCTTTTAATTCTTGTAGATCAGCCTTGCAGGGGAAGAATAATATTTGTTGCACTATCGCTGCGCTATTTACATACCTATTGATAGGTTTTGAGGGCTGCTGCTTCTTTTGTGGCGCGACGCTCAAGGCCCTTCTTGATTTCAGCACCAATAAACTCTTGCATCTGAGGGGTGAACACAGTAGGGGCCGGTTTAGGCATCGCCTCGAGGTCAGCAAGCAGTTTGCGAGTTTTGGGTGGAAGCGGCATCTGAGGCGCCATGCTGCGCTCAAGCTGAGCAGCTGTGATCCTGGGTGCATAGCGATCCCGCTTGTAGCGGTTGTTGACGTTGGTGATCTGATCAACAGCGCCAATAGGCAAAGGAGACTCGAGCGCCGAGGGCACAAAGTATGTTCTCAAGTCAGCATAGGTAGCATTCGTTGTTTCAGCACCCTCAGTAGGCTTGACTTTAGTTGTGGGCCATGGAATCACCAGCTGAGGGTCATATTTGGCGAATCTTCGGCGGAGGTGGGTGTTGGACAGAGAGTCGTACTCCTCGGGGCCCAACTCCAGCGAGTGAATAACCACGTCTTCATCCTGGCCCTGCTCGTTTTTGATCTTCGAGACCAGCCGGAGGTCCTCATAGTCAAACACCTTGTAGTTGTCGACCACCGGCTCATATTGGTCGGGATCGCCCATCGACTTGTTCTCGATGGGGTTAATGAGTTTGAGCGAACCAACACCAGCAACATAAAACGCATTACCAAGATTCGGGTAGCGGTCGATAATAAGCCCGACTTTGCCCTTATCGGGGCCCGAACGAATTTGAACGCGATCACCACGCATAAACGGCAGCTGTTTGCTGGCTAGTCTCTTCGAGGGCTCGACGATTGCAGCCTCAGGAATCTCCGTACCCGCAGCACGAGAGCCTTGCGTGAGCTTGACGCTCTTGAAGAACTCCTTTCCCCGCAGGTTCTTGAGCTGCTTGATGTATCGCGGGTTCACCATGGATGAAAATTACTAACCGACGACGACTGAAAAAAGTTGTGAATTAGATAAGCGGGGGGATGCGCGGTTTGTCGAGGTAGTGCTGGTGGACGAGGTGTTGGTAAGGTCAGAGAGGGAAGGGAAGAATGGCGGTTTGAGCTCGAGGTGTGCGAAGTATCGCAATTGACCTAGTTGACATAGGTGACCGTATATAGCTGCTAACTGGGCCTTTGTAGGAGGGTTTTAGGCACTATGGCCGAGCGGTTAAGGCGAAAGACTCGAATTATTGTTCGGGCATCTTTTGGGATATTCCCGCGCAGGTTCGAGTCCTGCTGGTGTCGCCATCTAAATTATTTTTTTGTTCCTCAAACCAACAGCAACCCTAGCTTATTATTTCAGAAGCATTTGTTTTGAAACCCAATTTAAACGTGCGTCCACGACCCACAAGCACGCCGTTAACTTAACTCTATCGGATCGACCCGCTTTGTCATGTCTCGATTTGAAATATATTCGCCAGAAGGTCTGCGGGCAGATGGACGGCGTTGGAACGAACTCAGACACATCAAATGTGGGATAAATACGCACTCTAAAAGCGCAGATGGTAGTGCGGTTGTAGAGATGGGCGCTTCGAAGGTTGTGTGCATTGTCCAAGGCCCTCAGGAGCCTGAAACACGAAGCCGGGTTCGTGAAAAGGCTACCCTTAGTGTAAGCGTCACAGTCGCTCCATTCTCAACAACTGAGCGATCAAAACATGTCACTAATGATCGCAGATTGCAGGAGATGTCTGCAAACCTGCAAAACCTGTTTGAAGAAGCAGTTCTTACCCACTTACATCCCCGCACAGAAATCGTATGCTCGCTCACTGTAATTGCTCAGGACGGCGGGCTTCTATCGTGCTGTATTAATGCAATGACCTTGGCTCTTATTGACGCCGGGTTACCCATGTACGAATACGTTAGTGCCTGCAGCGTTGCTTTGTTTGATCAAACACCATTGCTAGATCCCAACAACGTTGAAGAGACAGAACTGGCCAGCGTCACCGTCGGCATTGTTGGCGAGACAGACAAAATCTCACTACTCATTCTCGAACGCAGACTGGGTCTGGATAGACTGCCTCCGGCCCTCGAGCTCGGCGTAGAGGGATGTAAAGTACTACGACAGGTTATGGACAAGGAAGTGCGCAGGCACGGAGCAATGCGTCTTGCTTCACGAGCTGAGTAGTTATTGGTGTAGTTTTAGGGTGTTAGCATGAAAATACCAAATCCTTTAAGCCTGTCCGAGCGAATGGAGCTTTGTCATGGAACACGTTTTCGAGTTTGAGCAGCGTGCACTGCGGGAAAACGTGGAGCTGCTAGACGATTCGTCGCTAGCGAATCTCCGTCGATACAAGTACTCGTCAGTAGACTTGTCGCCTACGTCCAAATACATTCTGAACCCGTTTTGGACTTGGGTTGCGGGGTTTATGCCTCCTTGGCTTGCTCCGAACATGATCACGCTAATCGGCATCAGCGCGATTGTCTCCAATCTGCTATTGGTTCAGATTTATATCTCTGACTTCGAGTCACAAGCCCCAATGTGGGTATATTTTTGGTTTGCATTTAGCTTGCTATTTTACCAGACCATGGACAATGTTGACGGAAAACAGGCTCGAAAGACAGGCACCAGTTCTCCATTGGGAGAGCTTTTCGACCATGGAATTGACTCGCTCAACTGCTGCTGGGCTGGCGTGGTCACATCGGCAAGTATGGGCCTAGGACTCACCTGGTACAGTGCTGTGAATGCTATGGCTACTTGTGTTGCCATGTATTTTAGCACCTGGGAAACATACTACACACACACACTGTTTTTAGGGTTCTTGAATGGGCCTACTGAGGGCTTGCTTGTTGTTGTTGTCATTCATATCGTCACAGGTATTTATGGCCCGCAGATCTGGAACAATGAAATCTTCGGCGTGGGGTTAAAGCCCCTGTACGGAGTGATAGTTATTTTGAGCGTCACAGTCGCACACGTCCCGGCATGTCTTGGCAATGTCAAGGCCGCTCTTGCCGAGCGTAAAGAGCTGGACAGGCTGCCAATGGCCTTTCGCACAACAATGCCAATCGTTGCAATGGTCGCGTCGGTTGCTCTCTGGCTGTCAAGTCCAGTCTCCTCGGTCTTGGACAATAACCATCTGTTCTTGTATACCATGGCTGTGTCGTTCACATTCGCCCGTGTCACCACGTCGATTATTCTCAGCCACCTTTGTTTCCAGTCATTCCCCGTTCGTTCGTTCAGCGTGATGTGGGTCTATCTTGGTGGCTTTGTATACGGTATTCTCGGCCGCTTGGGCATCAACATGAACTACTTTGTACCAGAATACGCCTATCTCTGGCTGTGGTTTATCTTTGCCTTTGGCTACTTTATGTGCTATGCTAATATGGTGATTGACAAGCTATGTTCATACTTGGGCATCCGAGCATATACCATCGGCCCCCGCCTGACAACGTAAATAAATAAAACTATTCTCATCAAGCTCAGGCAACCCTGAGCACTTTGGTCGGCCGTCCGCTCTCTGCATCCTCCACAGTGGCTATAACGGCCTGTTTGGCGCTCTTGGCCCGAAGCAGTCCGTTTACAGCCGCTTGGCGGGCGGTGACGCCAATGGCATCCCGAGCAGCACTCGATTTAAGACCCCAAACCGTCAGCAGATTGATGGCATCAAAGGGGCTCCTGAAATTGGCCAGCTGGTGGGCCCCCGAACTCAAAACAATACCTCGGCCTCGAGTAGCTCTGATGATAGCAATCGCGTTTGAGACAGTGTACCTGCGGCCTTCGCCATCGAGACTCGAGCCGTAGCAGATTTCGAAACGCACACCTCTGCTAACCGCAGCACAAGCAAGCTTGTGGCGGAGATAAAATGGTGTGCGAGCAGTCATGTCGATGGAGATCAAATCGATGTCCAAGGCTGTGGCTGCACTTTGCAGGGTTTTCTCTGTCTGGGGCTGCACAGCAACGATGTCGAACTGGCTAACGATGCTAGCAAAGCTCTGGTTCTGGGTCTGCTCGTCTAAAACCAGGGTCAGTCGTTTTAAAATGCGTACGCCGGGTACGGATCGTTGCAGCTCGTGCATAACGTCGTCAGTAAAGGGTGAAGAAACGCCCTTCAGCTTGCCAGCGACAATAAAATTCAGCGCAACAGCCGTGTATCCCAGCTCGTGTAAAAGCACCAGCGCCTTTTGTGCCGTTTTGACCGGCTGGGCGGCTTGAGATGGCCATGGCACATTCAAATCGTAGCGCATGCTGAGGTAAAGATTATTTTTGCCGAGCTGCATTTTGCGTGGGCTAGAAAAAGGGTAGGAGACTCATATAGCCATTGATAGTAAGATGCCCCGCGGAGCCGCTGAACAAGGATAAAACTAAAAATTGTGCCTGCTTCTAAATATACAAACGAGGCATTATCTGCTCCCCCTCGCCAGATTACCCAGCTTGACACTGCAGCGATTGAGAACGGAATGTACAGTCGAGACAAACCCCTACCCTGACACATTGTTTGGGCTCAATCCAGGGTGGAAAAACTAATCTTGGGAGTAGAAGAGAAACTTCAAAGGGCTATTAGCCACGAGAGCGAGTAAGCAGCCCACCAACCCTCTCCTCACCACCACAAACTGCTGCGACGCAAACAGGAGCGAAAGCACATTTCTTGGAATTGACGACGCAATGTCTGGTCAGTCGGTTGTTGGTGTGCATTACCGAGTAGGCAAGAAAATCGGTGAGGGCTCGTTCGGCGTCATTTTCGACGGCACAAACTTGCTCAATAACCACCAAGTGGCTATCAAGTTCGAGCCTCGCAAGAGCGACGCTCCGCAGCTGCGCGATGAATACCGTACCTACAAAGCACTCTATGGCTGCCTCGGTATTCCTAATGTCTATTACTTTGGTCAGGAGGGCCTACACAATATTTTGGTCATCGATCTGTTGGGCCCGAGTCTCGAGGATTTGTTCGACTGGTGTAACCGTCAGTTTTCTCTGAAAACAGTGGTTATGGTGGCTAAGCAGATGATTTCTCGCGTCCAGACAGTGCATGAGCGCAGTCTTATTTATCGCGATATCAAACCCGACAACTTTTTGATCGGCCGTCCCGGCACGTCAACAGCTTCTCTTATTTACATGGTAGACTTTGGTATGTCCAAGTTATATCGTGACCCCGTCACCCGTCAGCACATCCCTTATCGTGAGCGCAAGTCTCTTTCGGGTACTGCTCGCTACATGAGTATCAACACTCATTTGGGACGCGAACAGAGCCGTCGCGACGACCTCGAAGCTCTCGGCCATGTTTTCATCTACTTTTTGCGCAAAGGTGGGTTGCCTTGGCAGGGCCTCAAAGCTGCAACCAACAAGCAAAAATACGAAAAAATTGGTGAAAAGAAACAGACTACCCCTATCCGCGAGCTCTGCGAGGGCTTCCCCAAGCAGTTCGAAGAATATCTCACCTATGTCCGCAAGCTGGGCTTTGAAGAAACGCCAGATTACGACTATTTGCGTGACCTCATGACTGAGGCCCTTCGCGGCACAGGCGAGGTCGAAGATAACGAGTACGACTGGGCCCACCTCCAGTCTGGAAACTCCGCAAATTGGGACAGTCAGCTTCCTCGGGCCAATCTCCACGGCTACGGTCGTCCAGGCCACCCTCAGGGCCGATCTTCCCGTCAGCCCACGGGAAAGGCTCACCAGCCGGCTAACGCTGTCGTGCGCAGCTCAAGCCGCCGTGATGGCGGCCGCACCGCTGCTGCAACTGCTGATCGCACCGCCCAGGATACAAACAACCTGCAGCCCAATCAGCGTCAGTCATCTACTCCGGCCACCCAGGGCGCCCCTGCTCAGGCCCCGCTCGAGTCAGCTGCTGGTGACCAGCCTAGGTACTCGCAAAACTATCAAAACGGGGAGCAGCCTCCTCGCCAGCGCAAATGGTATAGTGTATTTTGCTGCTGCGCCGACGACTGAATCACAATTTATCAAACTGTTATTTAATCATACGCGCACAGCGCTGTTTGGTGCTACTGTGTAATATAGTCTGTTAATTTTTCTTTGTCTCAATGTCTGCATTGCCTGCAATGCTAAGGTTATTCCATTACATGGGGTAGTTGAAACCGTGGCCCTGGAACTGCTGGCCGCCAAAGCCGCCAAAACCTCCTTGGCTGAAGCCGCCGCCAAAGCCCCCTTGGCTGAAACCACCTCCAAAGCCCTGTTGCTGGCCTCCAAACATTTGGAAAAACATCGACGGGTCCATGCCGCCCATGCCACCCATGCCGCCCATACCGCCCATGGGATCAAGGTCGACTCCAGAATCATAGTGGCCGCGTTTTTGAACATCGGAGAGAATTTCGTATGCCTCACCAACCTCCTTAAACTTCTCTGCAGCTTCTTCGTTGCCGGGATTCTTATCTGGGTGATACACAAGTGCCTGACGACGATATGCTTTCTTGATTTCAATCTCAGTGGCTGTTTTCTCAACCCCGAGAATTTTGTAGTAATTCTTTCGTGAGGCTTTCCGCAGCTCGAATTCGGCTTCTTGAAGTTCCCGTCGAACGGTGGGATCGTCTTCACGCTCCAATACCTCTTTGAAAGTTTGCACGGCCTCCTCCCATCTGTCGAGCTGGCCAAGCACCCGTGCTTTGGTGCGTAAGGCTTTCACAAACCCGTCGTCAGCATCAAGCGCTGCATCACAGTCGTCTAGTGCAGCTGTTAAATCTTTCAGTTGCATGTTAACAGTTGCGCGATTAGAAAACAGCCTGGATGCAGCGAAGCGGTTGTGCGGATCCAGTTCAATTGCCCGAGTGTACAGCTCACGAGCTTTAGCGTAGTCACGGCTTTTGAATGCAACATTGCCCTCCTCTCGAACCTTGGAGATCTCTCGAGCGAGCTTGTGCAATTGACGGGCATTGGAATTGTCCGGATCAAGACGTAAAGCCTCAGAAAAGTGAGTCACCGCTTTCGCAGTGTCTCCCTCGTAGTAGAGAACTTTACCTCTTAAAGCAAGAGCCTCTGGGTCTTGAGAATTCTCCCTTAGTAGCTGAATAGCAATTGCACCAGCCTCAGCAACCAGTCCACCTTTTATAAGAAGTTCAGCACGGAGAATCTTCCATGCTCGTGGGGTGGGAACTCGCTGACCCAGATGACGCTCAGCAGACTCTAAAGCATAAAGACCTAATTTGTACTCACGTTGGGAGTCAGTAACAATAGCCCTAGCTTGATTGAGATTGCCTAGCATCTCTTGAGCGGGTAGAACATCACCCATTGACGCGGGTGGATTCATGCAGGTAAATAGCCCTAAAGCATCGTCAGGTCGCCCGAGTAGCGTGTAAAGCTTTGCAAGCCGAAGCTGAGACTTCCATGCCTCGGGTGCCAAACGGTGTGACAAGCTAGCGTCGTCGAAAGCCTTGAGATATTCACGAGCCTGCATCAACGCAGCTGCACGGTTTCCATATAATACAGCATTGCCAGGCTCGAGACCCAAAGCCTCGGTATACTTTTCCACTGCTCCACTATAGTCTCCGGTTTTGAACAAACCGTTCCCTTGTTCCTTTAAAACCTCAGCCATTTGTGAAAGGTAAGAGTGGAAATTCAATTTATTCCAGAGACTTCTCAGATGACCTCAGCCGACTATAGGTGATTATGTCATGCACTACTTCTGGCTAGGTGGTTTTGAAACGCGGATACATCAGATCTGAGGGAAAAATAGAAACAGGTAACAGAGGGGAAAGCCTAGAAACAGTATTCGCGCGGATGAGCCTTGATTACAGCCATTCTTCCTTTGTGACTGAGCCACAGCAATCAAACAAATTTGCTGCTTAGTGCACTGTAGGAAAGCCATTTCTATCTTCACTTCTATAATTAGCGTTTAAGATCAACATAAATAGAGTTCTTAGCAGACTCCCCACTTGCACGTTCATTTTCTTTTTGCATGCTGCGGGTTGATTTATTGCAGTGGTGATTCTGCACAGTTCATCAGCGGCTACATTATGTTGCATATAGATCACGAACAAACCTTAATAAAACAGCAAACTTTGGACGAGTAAACCCACAGTTTCCATGTGAATGTGAAGTCAAAAAGCTATTAGAATTCATCCAAAATTATATCACTAGTTAATGAGACCATAAAATGCAGCAACAACTGGTCCAAACTTGATCATTTTGAGAAACTCTTGGCTTTATGCAATCCCTCTAAGTCTTTGCGAATTTTTGATGCACGTTATTTAGCAATCTAATTACAGTAGAATTACAGTTGAGTATATATTTCCTGGCTTACCACTTTCATAGACTATCGCGCCATGCTGATTTTTGCTACGTTTGTATGGTTAGCGTTGCAACTAGTGCCAGCAAATGCCGCACTGGATTCAGAAGGCCCCCAAAGTGGCCATATCAAAAGAGCGATCTCCACTGATTTGTTTGCCAATGAGCCGCGAGCAGTTCCAGTAGTTAATCCTCAGAAAGCTCCAATGGCCCCCAACTTAGATCAGACTCCGGTTCGAACTTCTGAGTTACTCTCACCAGTCCCGCTCCTCGCTACTAACCCCGGGCATCTTCCGAAGTCAGCTATTGAAGCCTCGCCGATCGATAAGCCTAATACAAACTTCGAAATGCTATCCAGTCTCCGTGAGATGTCGACGTCAACTGAAGAGTCGCCTATGGCATTTCCCTCCTTACCCAGACAATCCTCCGCAATGAAACCTCTTGAGGAATCTGCAAGTTTAACGCAAGATTCTTCCGTTAGCACTGCTATATCGCTATCGCCGAGCGTGTCATCGTCATCTTCATCGTTTTCCAGCACTTTACGAAGTGTAAGCTCACTCTCTGCTAGTCTGAACTCATCCTCAAGCTCACTTTCTAGTGTTTCCAGCACCTCGAGAAGTATTTCTAGCAAAAGTTCACTATCCTCTAGTTTGAACCCTTCCTCAAGCTCGCCTTCTAGTAGGGGAAGCAGCTCGGGGAGTAGTTCTAGTAAGAGCTCACTGTCCTCGAGCTTGAACCCATCCTCGAGCTTGAGCCCTTCTTCGAGCTTGAGCCCATCCTCGAGCTTGAACCCATCCTCTAGCTTGAACCCATCCTCGAGCTTGAATCCATCCTCTAGCTTGAGCCCATCCTCGAGCTTGAACCCATCCTCGAGCTTGAACCCATCTTCGAGCTTGAACCCATCTTCGAGTTTGAACCCATCTTCGAGTTTGAACCCATACTCTAGCTTGAACCCATCCTCTAGCTTGAACCCATCTTCGAGCGTGAACCCATCCTCGAGCTTGAACTCATCTTCGAGCTTGAACCCATCTTCAAGTTTGAACCCATCTTCGAGTTTGAACCCATACTCTAGCTTGAACCCATCCTCTAGCTTGAACCCATCTTCGAGCGTGAACCCATCCTCGAGCTTGAACTCATCCTCGAGCTTGAACCCATCCTCAAACTCACGTTCCAGCAACACAAGCATGGAAAGCATGTTAGGGAGTAGTTCAGGTGATAGTTCACTCTTCAATAGCTTGAAATCATCCTCGAACTTACTTTCTGCACTTTCTAGTAGCGCGATGTCGAACTCGACTACGATCTTGTCAAGTATTTCTAGCGCAGCAAGCCAAGGAATATCAACCAGCTCAAGCTTCTCGAAATCTATGACTGCTTTAAGTTTGAGCTCCAGCTCAGGTACAAGCGTTGAATCCCCTCTGAACTCAGTATCTAGCGGAATGAGCAGATCTTCAAAGTTAACACCCTCTTTGCACAGTTTGAGCAGCTCCTCAGCCATCCCCTCTGCATCCTCAGCTATTTCCAGCTTCAATTCAACCCATTCGCTCGTACCAAGTTCTACAAGATCGAGATCTCTTTCTTCTGGTATGACTAGTACAAATTTATCATCATCTTCCGTCGTGTTATCCACAAGATCTGCTATTTTGAACTCCTCTACAGAAATCGTTTCTCGAAAAGATACCTCATCTAACTCCTTTTCATCTTCTACAGTCAAAAGCGCAATGATTCCATCCACGTCATTGGGGTCATTATCTTTGCCAAAGTCATCCAGTGAGTTTGATAGCCAGTCGAACTCTGCCAATGTATCGGTTACATTTTCGGTGACCCAGTCAACCCAATCAGAGCCATCGACTAGATCGCTGAGCATCCTTTCAGCCTCATCGCCGAACAACTCATCACTTTCGCTTCACTCTACATCGCTGTCCAGTTTTTCTTCAGGCACTTCTTATGCCAACGCATTATCACGATTTTTAGAGAGCACTATTTCTGGTTCTCACAGTTCACTGAGACTGTCCAGTAACACCTCCCTTCCGATCACCCCAACCGTCTCCAGTGAGCCATCAAACTCTTTTGTATTGAACGGCACTTCGACAGTCAGTAAGGCAAGCTCGCCTATTGTTAATTCCTCAGTGTCTTTGACACCAACTGACACTTCGAATTCAACAGCCATATCGAGCTCAACACAGTCAATAAGTTTCTCCTCTGCTCCTTTGAACTCATCGACCTTGGTTTCCACGACAAATTCTTTTAGGCGAAGTTCAGGTTTAACAACCGTGACAAGTGTGTCATCTTCAAGTGCAAATCCCGATCGCTCATCTAAGAATGCTTCTCTCTCTATTTTTAGTGTGAGCACATCTATGCTCACCAATAGTTCGAAGACGCAGTTAAGCTCATTAAGTGCCACCCTGAACGATACATCTTCAATCAACGCAAGCAGTATACTTGCTTCATCACATTCAACTGTCTCTATCACTACAACAAATGGTAACAGTTCTGTTCTTGTTATCACCTCGGCTTCAGATCTGTCCGCCAGCACGTCTGCTGTGGGATCAAATACATCTATCTCAACATTCTCTTCGAGTGTATCAGCAAAGTTATCTTCCAATGTATCGTCTCCGACGACATTTGCAAACACATCGATCAGCCTGAGTAGCTCACTGAGAATTACATCAGTGAACTCCTCCTCAGTTATGATGAAAGCATCTACAAATATTGCAAGTGGTTCCTCGAGCAGTACGTCATTTACCAATTCATCAATGAGACTGAACAGCTCTTCACTGGTGTCATCATCGAAAATGTCCTCGATTGTCACAAACACGTCATTGCCAACATCATTGACTAACAGTTCTGCAACAATTTCAAGTAATGTGCTCCCGACACTGTCCTCAAACACATCCTCGCCAACATCATTCACTAACAGCTCCGCGACAATTCGAAGCAGTGAATCGCATCCGACATTGTCCTCAAACACCTCTCTGTCGACAACATCCACTAACAGCTCCGCTATGGTTCCAAGCAGTGCATCGCTCCCAACACTGTCGTCAAACACCTCTCTGCAAACATCATTCACTAACAGCTCCGCGACAATTTCAGGCAGCTCATCCCTCCCCACACTGTCGTCAAATAGCTCTCTGCGAACATCGTTCAATAACAGGTCCGCGACAATTCCGAGCAGTGCATCGCTCCACAATTTGTCGTCAAACGCCCCTCTGTCAACATCATTTACGAATAGTTCGACGGCAATTTTAAGCAGTACATCGCTCCCCACACTGTCGTCAAACGCATCAGTGCGCTCAAACACCTCTCTGCCAACATCATTCACAAACAGTTCCACGATAATCTCGAGCAGCTCATCGCTCCCCACATTATCGTCAAACGCATCAGTTTTCTCTCACAGCTCCCTGCCAACATCATTCACAAACAGCTCACTAATAATCACGAGCAGCTCCTTGTCCCCTGTATTGTCATCAAATGCACCAGGGCTCTCAAACACCTCTCTTCCAACATCATTCACCAACAGCTCCTCGACAATTCCAAGCAGTGCATCTGTCCCCACATTGTCGTCTAATAGCACTCTGCCAACATCAGTCACTAACAGTTCCATGACCATTCCAAGCAGTAAATCGCTCCCTAAATTGTCATCAAATGCATCAGTGTTCACAGACACCTCTCTGCCAACATCATTCAACAGTTCCGCGATTGTTTCAACAAGTACATCAATTGTCAGTAATACAATGCCGACATTATTTTCCAATACTTCTGCGATTACCACGGAAAATTCGAAGCCCACATCATTTTTCAACACATCTGCTTATATTTCAGCTGAACCTACTCGTCTGAAAAGCACAGAGGGGTCCGAGCTAGGTGCTGGAGGAACATCTGCAGAGCGACCTCCTATACTTCCCAACAGTACTTATGCAGAACCAGGGTGTCCCACATGTTTGAACTCAACGTTATGGCATAGCACAGCTTGCACTGACTGTACAGAAGTTCTTACTGAAACTGCCCCTTGCCCCACCTGTGAGACTAAAGCAGGGAACATCACCACAATGATCACTGAACAATCTAATATAACATCAAGCTCTGCTCTATCATATTCGACCATGACATCTTCACCTGGTACTATTATCACGACTGTCACAGTCCCCTGCACTCACAAAACATGTTCTGTTCCTGAGCTGACAACTACTGTCACCATCACCTACCCTACACCCACAGGCCCAGGTGAAACCATGACTGTGAGTCAACTTACAACAGATGTTGTTGTTGAAGAAAACACGAAATCACTGACGGTCACTGTTACTGTGCCATGTTCCACTCTTCCTTCAACACCTACAGGTATGCCCAATGTCACCGCTCCATCAGGTTTGGCTACCTCTGAACTATCTCCGTCACATCCAACTGTGACATCGGCTCCTGGAACCATCGTTACTACTGTTACAGTCCCCTGCACTCACAAAACATGCTCTGTTCCTGAGCTGACAACTACTGTCACCATCACCTACCCTACACCCACAGGCCCAAGTGAAACCATGACTGTGAGTCAACTTACAACAGATGTTGTTGTTGAAGAAAACACGAAATCACTGACGGTCACTGTTACTGTGCCATGTTCCACTCTTCCTTCAACACCTACAGGTATGCCCAATGTCACCGCTCCATCAGGTTTGGCTACCTCTGAACTATCTCCGTCACATCCAACTGTGACATCGGCTCCTGGAACCATCGTTACTACTGTTACAGTCCCCTGCACTCACAAAACATGCTCTGTTCCTGAGCTGACAACTACTGTCACCATCACCTACCCTACACCCACAGGCCCAAGTGAAACCATGACTGTGAGTCAACTTACAACAGATGTTGTTGTTGAAGAAAACACGAAATCACTGACGGTCACTGTTACTGTGCCATGTTCCACTCTTCCTTCAACACCTACAGGTATGCCCAATGTCACCGCTCCATCAGGTTTGGCTACCTCTGAACTATCTCCGTCACATCCAACTGTGACATCGGCTCCTGGAACCATCGTTACTACTGTTACAGTCCCCTGCACTCACAAAACATGCTCTGTTCCTGAGCTGACAACTACTGTCACCATCACCTACCCTACACCCACGGGCCCAGGTGAAACCATGACTGTGAGTCAACTTACGACAAATGTTGTTGTTGAAGAAAACACGAAAACATTGACGGTCACTGTTACTGTGCCATGTTCCACTCTTCCTTCAACACCTACAGGTATGCCCAATGTCACCGCTCCATCAGGTTTGGCTACCTCTGAACTATCTCCGTCACATCCAACTGTGACATCGGCTCCTGGAACCATCGTTACTACTGTTACAGTCCCCTGCACTCACAAAACATGCTCTGTTCCTGAGCTGACAACTACTGTCACCATCACCTACCCTACACCCACGGGCCCAGGTGAAACCATGACTGTGAGTCAACTTACGACAAATGTTGTTGTTGAAGAAAACACGAAAACATTGACGGTTACTGTAACTGTACCATGTTCCACTCTTCCTTCAACACCTACAAACGCGCCCAATGTCACAGCCCCGTCAGGTTTGGCTACTTCTGAACTATCTCCGTCACATCCAGCCATAACATCGGCTCCTGGAACCATCGTTACTACTGTCACAGTACCTTGCACCCATAAAACATGTTCTGTTCCTGAGCTGACAACTACTGTCACCATCACATACCCTACACCCACGGGTCCAGGTGAAACCATGACTGTGAGTCAACTTACAACAAATGTTGTTGTTGAAGAAAACACCAAAACATTGACAGTCACTGTCACTGTACCGTGTCCAACTTCAGAAGCAGCGCCTACAAACGTACCCGCTATTACTTCTTCACCTGTTCAACCCCCCAGCCTCAGTTATTTGACTACAACTGTCAGTATTCCATGCACTACACTTTGTGAGTCGAGCGTGTATACTACATATTTGACGGTGGCTGTACCAGGTACAACGACGTTAGGTCAGACGATGACAGTCAGTGAGCTGACCACAGTTGTAAGTGTGAAGCGTAATACTAAGATAGTGACTGTTACGGTTACTGTGCCGCGTGAAAATACACGTGTGCCTCTTCAAAGCTACAAGATAACCACTGAAGGACCACAGCCATCGGCGCCGCTTACTACTATCACGCTCCCATGCACTGAAGAAACTTGTGTTGAGAGCTACAAAACAATCACTATTGGTCCACATGCAACCAATCCTTCTGTCTCCACTCTTACCCTACCATGTACTGGAGAGAATTGCGTTGAAAGCTACAAGACAATCACTATCGGACCGCAGCCATCTGCTCCGCTCACTACTATCACGCTCCCATGCACTGAAGAAACTTGTATGGAGAGCTACAAAACAATCACTATTGGTCCAAATGCGACCAACCCTCCTGTTACTACGCTTACACTGCCTTGTACTGAAGAGCATTGTGTGGAAAGCTACAGGACAATCACTGTCGGACCACAGCCATCTGCTCCGCTCACTACTATCACGCTCCCATGCACTGAAGAAACTTGTGTTGAAAGCTACAAAACAATCACTGTTGGTTCACAGGCGACCAATCGGGTCACTACACTTACGTTACCTTGCACTGAGGAGAGCTGTGCCGAGAGCTATAAGACAACAGTTGTGACCCAAAATGCAACATTTGCCCACACTCAAAGTGCAGGTATCCGAACGGTCACAGTGTCTTGCTCGGGTGATGAATGTCTTCCAGGTCATTCCACCTCCGTAATTACCTTGAGCAATACTGAAGTCTGCACTGGAACTACATGTGGAATCAGTAATACAACTCAGTCAACTGAGTACTCCGCAACATCTACGGGCACATTACCTCTTCCTTGCACGGATGAATCGTGCAACGTTACATTGAATACAACTGTTCCAACAGTGGAATCACCTTCCGAGAGTCATCCCTACTTCCCTGTGTCGACCAATTCTAATGTGACCCACACTGGATCCAAGTCAGGTGAACATACTGAACTATCTGTTTCTTCAACGGAGATGAATCCACCGTCGCAAATGAACGTTACCTCAACGGTTGAAAACACAAGTTTAACAAACACGATGAATGTTACTGAGACCTCAAAATGGAATAAAACCCTCACTTCTGGGCTCAGTTCGACTGCTACCGAGCTACCGATTCCGACCGTATCAAATGTCACTGAAACTTCTGTCAAGAACCACACTGCTACACACATGGTAAACACAACTGCAAGTGAAATGCCTCCGTTCACCACGGCATCGAATGTAACAGCGACATCAACCTGGAATAGGACCATGACAGGAATGAATACAACTGCTACGGAGCTACCAATTACGACCATATCAAATGAGACCTCTGTTACGAACCACACCGCTACAAAAATGGTAAACACGACTACAAGTGAGGTACCTCCGTTCACGACAGCATCGAATATGACAGGAGTGAAAACAACTGCTACCGAGCTACCGATTCCAACAGTATCAAATGTCACTGAAACCTCTGTCACGAATCATACCGCTACACAAATGGTAAACACAACTGCAAGTGAAGTGCCTCCGTTTACGACAGCATCGAATATGACAGGAGTGAATACAACTGCTACGGAGCTACCGATTCCAACAGTATCAAATGAGACCTCTGTTACGAATCATACCGCTACACAAATGGTAAACACAACTGCAAGTGAAGTGCCTCCGTTCACGACAGCATCGAATATGACAGGAGTGAATACAACTGCTACTGAGCTACCGATTCCAACAGTATCAAATGAGACCTCTGTCACGAATCATACCGCTACACAAATGGTAAACACAACTGCAAGTGAAGTGCCTCCGTTCACCACGGCATCGAATGTAACAGCGACATCAACCTGGAATAGGACCATGACAGGAATGAATACAACTGCTACGGAGCTACCAATTACGACCATATCAAATGAGACCTCTGTTACGAATCATACCGCTACACAAATGGTAAACACGACTGCAAGTGGGGTACCTTCGTTCACGACAGCATCGAATATGACAGGAGTGAATACAACTGCTACTGAGCTACCGATTCCAACAGTATCAAATGAGACCTCTGTCACGAATCATACCGCTACACAAATGGTAAACACAACTGCAAGTGAAGTGCCTCCGTTCACGACAGCATCGAATATGACAGGAGTGAATACAACTGCTACGGAGCTACCGATTCCAACAGTATCAAATGAGACCTCTGTTACGAATCATACCGCTACACAAATGGTAAACACGACTGCAAGTGGGGTACCTTCGTTCACGACAGCATCGAATATGACAGGAGTGAATACAACTGCTACTGAGCTACCGATTCCAACAGTATCAAATGAGACCTCTGTCACGAATCATACCGCTACACACATGGCAAACACAACTGCAAGTGAAATGCCTCCGTTCACGACGGCATCGAATGTAACAGCGACATCAACCTGGAATAGGACCATGACAGGAATGAATACAACTGCTACGGAGCTACCAATTACGACCATATCAAATGAGACCTCTGTTACGAACCACACCGCTACAGAAATGGTAAACACGACTACAAGTGAGGTACCTCCGTTTACGTCGGCATCAAATATGACCGGGACAGCACTCCGGAGTAAGGCGTCAACATTTACGCTCAACACAACTGCTGTTGAGGGGTCAGGATCAAGCAGCGCAGGTATACAGATCTCTTCCCAAACCGTTACTGAGTTATCCTCGAGCCATAAGACCACATTCACCGAAACTACGATACTTCCTTGTGTGACCTGTACAGGATCCGCTGGCTTAAATATGACCGGCACCAGTATTGAAAGCGTTCCATGCGCTACCTGTGTTGAGACGTCCACCTCGGAGTTTAATATGACAGCAACCAATTACCAAACAGAATCTTGTGCTACATGCATCTCCACATCATCCATGGAGGGTAATAGGACTATCAACAGTGCCGCTACTACTTCCTGTGAAACATGTTCTGGATCATCCCAATGGAATACGACTGGTGCTAGTGTCAGTACAGTTCCATGCGATACCTGCACTGTATCGTCAGTGTCAGAATGGAATAATACTGTCATCGACACTGAAACAGTTCCTTGTAAGACCTGCATCCCCACTGTTGGGTCAGAGTTAAACCACACTGTAACTCGGTTCACTTCATCACCATGCACAACGTGCGCTACTCCTAGTTTCGGGGCGAATCTCACTGCTACCAGCGTTGCATCTACTCAATGTGACACATGTAGCACGTTAAACAATCCTGAATGGAACACAACGGTAACTGCCACCAGCTCTGTTCCCTGCCAGACATGCACAGCCATATCAGGTAAGATCTCCAGCGTTACTTCAATGGCAACTGTTACCATTCCTTGTACGGAGACTTCATGCGAAGTGAGCGCATACACCACTGCCCTGACTGTGGTACACCCATCAGTCGCACCTGAGCAATCTGTTGTTAGCAGTGTGATGACGACTCCGGTCGTCATCTCATCTCAGACGTACATGGCAAGCCTGACAGTTCCCGCTCCTGCTCCAATGGTTTCTGGAACTCAGCCGGCACCTGCTGCACCTGGCGTCACTTCAATGGCCACTGTTACTATTCCTTGTACGGAGACTTCCTGCGAAGTGGGTGCATACACCACTGCCCTTACAGTTGTACACCCATCAGTCGCACCTGAGCAATCTGTTGTTAGCAGTGTGATGACCACTCCGGTCGTCATCTCCTCTCAGACTTACATGGCAAGCCTGACAATTCCCGCACCTGCTCCAGTTGTATCTGAAACTCAGCCGGCACCTGCTGCACCTGGTGTCACTTCGATGGCCACTGTTACTATTCCCTGTACGGCGACGTCTTGCGAAGTGAGTGCATACACCACTGCCCTTACAGTTGTACACCCATCAGTCGCACCTGAGCAATCTGTTGTTAGCAGTGTGATGACCACTCCGGTCGTGATCTCCTCTCAGACGTACATGGCAAGCGTGACAGTTCCCGCACCTGCTCCAGTTGTATCTGAAACTCAGCCGGCACCCGGCGTCACTTCAATGGCCACTGTTACTATCCCTTGTACGGAGACTTCATGCGAAGTGAGCGCATATACCACTGCCCTTACAGTGGTACACCCATCAGTCGCACCTGAGCGATCAGTTGTTAGCAGCGTGCTGACCACTCCAGTCGTGATCTCATCTCAGACGTACATGGCAAGCCTGACAGTTCCCGCTCCTGCTCCAATGGTTTCTGGAACTCAGTCGGCACCTGCTGCACCTGGCGTCACTTCGATGGCCACTGTTACTATTCCTTGTACGGAGACTTCCTGCGAAGTGAGCGCATACACCACTGCCCTTACAGTTGTACACCCATCAGTCGCACCTGAGCAATCTGTTGTTAGCAGTGTGATGACGACTCCGGTCGTCATCTCCTCTCAGACGTACATGGCAAGCGTGACAGTTCCTGCACCTGCCCCGGTCGTATCTGAAACTCAGCCTGCACCTATTGCATCCGGAGTCACTTCAATGGCCACTGTTACTATTCCTTGTACGGAGACTTCCTGCGAAGTGAGCGCATACACCACTGCCCTTACAGTGGTACACCCCTCAGTCGCACCTGAGCAATCTGTTGTTAGCAGTGTGATGACCACTCCGGTTGTGATTTCATCTCAGACGTACATGGCAAGCGTGACAGTTCCTGCACCTGCCCCAGTCGTATCTGAAACTCAGCCTGCACCTACTGCACCTGGCGTCACTTCAATGGCCACTGTTACTATCCCCTGTACGGAGACTTCCTGCGAAGTGAGCGCATACACCACTGCCCTTACAGTGGTACACCCATCAGCCGCACCTGAGCAATCTGTTGTTAGCAGTGTGATGACCACTCCAGTCGTGATCTCATCTCAGACGTACATGGCAAGCCTGACAGTTCCCGCTCCTGCTCCAATGGTTTCTGGAACTCAGTCGGCACCTGCTGCACCTGGCGTCACTTCGATGGCCACTGTTACTATTCCTTGTACGGAGACTTCCTGCGAAGTGAGCGCATACACCACTGCCCTTACAGTTGTACACCCATCAGTCGCACCTGAGCAATCTGTTGTTAGCAGTGTGATGACCACTCCGGTAGTCATCTCATCTCAGACGTACATGGCTAGTGTGACAGTTCCCGCACCAGCTCCAATGGTTTCTGAAACACAGCCTGCACCTGGCATCACTTCAATGGCCACTGTTACTATCCCCTGTACGGAGACTTCATGCGAAGTGAGTGCATACACCACTGCGCTGACTGTGGTACACCCATCAGTCGCACCTGAGCAATCTGTTGTTAGCAGTGTGATGACCACTCCGGTTGTGATCTCCTCTCAGACGTACATGGCAAGCCTGACAGTTCCTGCACCTGCCCCGGTCGTATCTGAAACTCAGCCTGCACCTATTGCATCCGGAGTCACTTCAATGGCCACTGTTACTATTCCTTGTACGGAGACTTCCTGCGAAGTGAGTGCATACACCACTGCCCTGACTGTAGTACACCCATCAGTCGCACCTGAGCAATCAGTTGTTAGCAGCGTGCTGACCACTCCAGTCGTGATCTCCTCTCAGACGTACATGGCAAGCGTGACAGTTCCTGCACCTGCCCCAGTCGTATCTGAAACTCAGCCTGCACCTATTGTACCCGGATTCACTTCAATGGCAACCGTTACTATCCCTTGTACGGAGACTTCTTGCGAAGTGAGTGCATACACTACTGCCCTGACTGTGGTACACCCATCAGTCGCACCTGAGCAATCAGTTGTTAGCAGCGTGCTGACCACTCCAGTCGTGATCTCATCTCAGACGTACATGGCTAGTGTGACAGTTCCCGCTCCTGCTCCAATGGTTTCTGAAGCACGGCCTGCACCTGGCGTCACTTCGATGGCCACCGTTACCATTCCTTGTACGGAGACTTCCTGCGAAGTGAGTGCATACACCACTGCTCTGACTGTGATGCACCCGTCGGTCGCACCTCAGCAATCTGTTGTTAGCAGTGTGATGACCACTCCGGTTGTCATCTCATCTCAGACGTACATGGCTAGTGTGACAGTTCCCGCTCCTGCTCCAATGGTTTCTGAAGCACGGCCTGCACCTGGCGTCACTTCGATGGCCACTGTTACTATTCCCTGTACGGCGACTTCCTGTGAAGTGAGCGCATACACCACTGCTCTTACTGTGGTGCAACCATCGATCTCTCCAGGGCAATCTGTTACGAGTAGTGTGATCACTACTCCAGTCGTGATCTCATCTCAGACGTACATGGCTAGTGTGACAGTTCCCGCTCCTGCTCCAATGGTTTCTGAAACTCAGCCGGCACCTGTTGTACCTGGTGTGACGTCGATGGCTACTGTTACCATTCCTTGTACGGAGACTTCCTGCGAAGTGAGCGCATACACCACTGCTCTTACAGTGGTGCACCCATCAGTCGCACCTGAGCAATCTGTTGTTAGCAGTGTGATGACCACTCCGGTTGTGATTTCATCTCAGACGTACATGGCTAGTGTGACAGTTCCCGCTCCTGCTCCAATGGTTTCTGAAACTCAGCCGGCACCTGCTGCACCTGGTGTCACTTCAATGGCCACTGTTACTATCCCCTGTACGGAGACTTCTTGCGAAGTGAGCGCATACACCACTGCTCTCACTGTGGTGCAGCCATCGATCCCTCCAGGGCAATCCGTTGTTAGTAGTGTGATCACCACTCCAGTCGTGATCTCATCTCAGACTTATACGGCATGCGTGACAGTTCCTGCACCTGCCCCAGCAATTTCTAATACTCAACCTGCACCCTTAGTACCTAGGGTCACTTCTATGGCTACTGTTACCATTCCTTGCACGGAGACTTCCTGCGAAGTGAGTGCATACACCACTGCGCTGACTGTGGTACACCCATCAGTCGTACCTGAGCAATCTGTTGTTAGCAGCGTGATGACCACTCCAGTAGTGATCTCCTCTCAGACGTACATGGCTAGTGTGACAGTTCCCGCACCTGCCCCAGTTGTATCTGAAACTCAGCCTGCACCTATTGTACCCGGAGTCACTTCAATGGCAACCGTTACTATCCCTTGTACGGAGACGTCTTGCGAAGTGAGTGCATACACTACTGCCCTGACTGTGGTACACCCATCAGTCGCACCTGAGCAATCAGTTGTTAGCAGCGTGCTGACCACTCCAGTCGTGATCTCCTCTCAGACGTACATGGCAAGCGTGACAGTTCCTGCACCTGCCCCAGTCGTATCTGAAACTCAGCCTGCACCTACTGCACCTGGTGTCACTTCGATGGCCACTGTTACTATTCCCTGTACGGCGACTTCCTGTGAAGTGAGCGCATACACCACTGCTCTTACTGTGGTGCAACCATCGATCCCTCCAGGGCAATCTGTTACGAGTAGTGTGATCACTACTCCAGTCGTGATCTCATCTCAGACTTATACGGCATGTGTGACAGTTCCTGCCCCTGCCCCAGTAATCTCAAACACTCAACCAGCACCTGTTGTACCTGGTGTGACGTCGATGGCTACTGTTACCATTCCTTGTACGGAGACGTCTTGCGAAGTGAGTGCATACACCACTGCGCTGACTGTGGTGCACCCATCAGTCGCACCTGAGCAATCTGTTACGAGTAGTGTGATCACTACTCCAGTCGTGATCTCATCTCAGACGTACATGGCTAGTGTGACAGTTCCCGCTCCTGCTCCAATGGTTTCTGAAACTCAGCCGGCACCTGTTGTACCTGGTGTGACGTCGATGGCTACTGTTACCATTCCTTGTACGGAGACTTCCTGCGAAGTGAGCGCATACACCACTGCTCTTACAGTGGTGCACCCATCAGTCGCACCTGAGCAATCTGTTGTTAGCAGTGTGATGACCACTCCGGTTGTGATCTCCTCTCAGACGTACATGGCAAGCCTGACAGTTCCTGCACCTGCCCCGGTCGTATCTGAAACTCAGCCTGCACCTATTGCATCCGGAGTCACTTCAATGGCCACTGTTACTATTCCTTGTACGGAGACTTCCTGCGAAGTGAGTGCATACACCACTGCTCTGACTGTGATGCACCCGTCGGTCGCACCTCAGCAATCTGTTGTTAGCAGTGTGATGACCACTCCGGTTGTCATCTCATCTCAGACGTACATGGCTAGTGTGACAGTTCCCGCTCCTGCTCCAATGGTTTCTGAAACTCAGCCGGCACCTGTTGCACCTGGTGTCACTTCGATGGCAACCGTTACCATTCCTTGTACGGAGACTTCTTGCGAAGTGAGCGCATACACCACTGCCCTGACTGTGGTGCACCCGTCGGTCGCACCTCAGCAGTCTGTTGTTAGCAGTGTGATGACCACTCCGGTCGTCATCTCATCTCAGACGTACATGGCTAGTGTGACAGTTCCCGCTCCTGCTCCAATGGTTTCTGAAGCACGGCCTGCACCTGGCGTCACTTCGATGGCCACCGTTACCATTCCTTGTACGGAGACTTCCTGCGAAGTGAGTGCATACACCACTGCTCTGACTGTGATACATCCGTCAGTCGCACCAGAGCAATCTGTCGTTAGCAGTGTGATCACCACTCCGGTTGTGATTTCTTCGCAGACTTATACGGCATGCGTGACGGTTCCCGCACCTGCCCCAGTAATTTCTGAAACTCAGCCGCCACCTGCTGTAATCTCATCCGAGACATACCCGACAAGCGAGATAGCGACAGTTCCGCTGCCAGTACACACCAATCCTTTGATCACTATGGCTAATACGCTTCCTCAGAAGTATGTCACGGTTACAACTTGCACCCTTGAGCTTCCCTGTACCAAATCCGTGTGCGAGGAAAAGACATTTACAACCGAGTTTGAGCATACCTTTACACCCGCTGAAACTATGATATCAACTATCATGACTACCTGTATCACACTCTCTTCCGAAATACACACGATCGAATACACTGTTCCAGCACCTGCTAGTCAGGAATCACCACATACTATACTCCCCACTACGGGTATAGCTGAAACTCCTATCAATACAGCTCAACCTCTTCTCACTCACGAGGTACCCGAAGCCTCAGTAACCCCACCGTCTGCTTCAGAGCTTGTACCACCTAATGTGCCTGAAGTGTCAGAACAAGCACCTCCCATTCCAACCGAAATACAATCTATTGTTCCTCAACAACCACAAGGTTCACAACCACCAGCTAGAGCAGCCAATCCAAGAGAATCCCAGTATGGTATTCCTGCGGTACCACAACAGTCGATCGCACCTCTTAATTCCGAATCACCAGAGGGTTCGCAACCAACTGTTATCCCGACTGCTCCTCAAATATCTCTGCCTTCACCAGCACAACCAGAGTATCAAACGAGCAGCCCTGTGTATCAGCCCACTCCGGAAGTACCTGCTGAATCCCAGCCCGGTGTTCCAACCCCCCAGGTTCAGTCTCCTCCGGCAGTGCCTGCTGAGTCCCAACCCAGTGTTGCAGCTCCACAGGTGCAGTCTTCCCCTCCTCAGATGGTACCACAAGAGTCCCAACCAGAGGTCCCACTGGCTAATCGCGGCTTGAAAAGTCGCATCCCCGTTAAGCATGTGGTCGGCCTCGTTCTCATTTATCTGATCATTTAGCTCTTTTTTTAGTTCGGAAAATATGCTAGTTAATAAAAGAATTCTACAATAAAAAATCTGATAGTGACAATCCTTGCTTGGGGAGTTTGTGCTCACTTGCGGTTGATTTGGTCTTAGCGTTATTTTTTTTATTTCTGCCGATCGTTGAGGGCATAACAGCTTTGGTGTTTGATCTTTGTGACCGGCGATATGGTGTTTTGGAGATATTACCACATGACCAGCATGTGATCAGATATTTTTTTCCTACTTCGCCTGTGAACTTCCCTGTCTTGTTGGAAACATTGGCCAAGTATCGATGTATACGAGCTAATTGCCTTTTTCTAGATGCCTTGTTCCCCAGCAGTCCAATGGTACGAACGGAACAAGTCATGCCCGGGATCTGCAACTGACAACAATCATTGCAGACAAGTGTGTCCTTTTGTCCTTCCTGGTTCGATGCCTGACTCAAGTACACTCTGCTCAAGGGTGATCCTAACAACACTCTAGCAGACCGTCGGAGATGGGAAGCATCCATATTACGATATCAAAGTAGCGTGCATAATAATAAGCACTGAGGGAGTATAAACTAGTAAGATAAATAAGCTATTTGATGTCCAAGGAGAACGTAGGGCTGGGTGAAAGCAGAATTTCTTTGGCCATTAGATCATAATCGATTGGTGCGGCTCTTTGGGGGTTGACCTGGAAAACCTTGAAACCTTGGGGACTTGAATCCAGCAAGTCCGGCTCTATTTTAGGAGACACAGGGTAGTAATTGGCAAGGGTTTGCTTTTTGGGCGGCTTTTCAGGGGTCTGGGGATCCAGCAAGCGTTTTTCCTGCTTGACTTTGATTTTGGATTGGTTCATGAAGAACAATGGAATACGCTCTTTAAGATCGGAAACCCAGGCATCAGTATCGCATTCGAGATGATAGTCAATGGTTCCCTTCCACATACTTCCGCTCACGGGTGTTCGATTAACGAACAACACTTTACCTCCTTTGTTCCGCACTGCCTTTGCCAGGTCTTTAACCAGATGACGAATACCCACAACTTTGAGGGACGTCCCAGCAACAATGAGTAGATCGGGGGCTGATTTTATGTCTCTCGCCAAGCATTTACCAATAATATCACCATATGGATGCTCTTCGCCGTAGAGCACAATATTAGGCCGAAGAAGCCCGACTGGACGAGATCTTTTCCCACAAGCAGCTCGAGCATTTTCAGCGTGCAAACACTCGGAGCATATTGGGGCCTTGCCGCTTGCCAACAATTCCTCATCCTCTTTGGTCCAGTCCCGTTCAATCATGCAGTTGGGACACTTGAGCAGATGTATATCGCCATGCAGTTGGACAACTTCTAGTGACTGTGGCTCCGTGTAGCCCAAACTGAGTCCAACCTGCTTTTCCAAGCCATCGATGTTCTGTGTATAGCAGCGCAGAAGTTTCTTTTTCTCGCGGAGCCGCTTGATGAGGTGATGTGTGGGGGTTGGGTGGGCGTCCAGTATGGACTTTCGAAGTCCGGCCATGAATGTATGGAAAATCTGTACCGTCAAAGGATCACGAAACAGAATGCTATCGAATAGATCCTTTCCTTTAACCACAGCCTCAGGATATTGTCTTTTTACGATATTGTAAAGGCCATCTTCGGAGCGGAAGTCTGGAATGCCGGCATTACAGCTTACGCCTGCGCCCGTGATGAACACCACGCGTCTAGCTTTCTTCAAATACTGAGCCACATCTTCTAACCCCCTTGCAGACTCAGGATCATCGAGCCTAAGCTGCGGAATCATGGTCTGAAGGTCAATAACGAATGAAAATGAAGATAGGGGGTGGGGAGAAACTCAAAACAATATTTGTCAGCGGGGGTGTTTAACGCGCGGGAAACTCAAGCAGCCGCCGTAAGGTCGATAAAACTTGAGCACTTGGGAACAGATAACAGAGAACAGAGTGCCTATAATGTACGAATACAACTAGATTAAAAGAACATGTAGACAGCAGCGCATACCTAGACTGTGCAGGGCTCAGGCATCACCTCTTCATTACTCCAAGTCGAACGCGAGCTACACCACGCAACTGCGAAAGTAGATTAGCCGGGCTAGAAAACAGGGGTGCCCGCGGTAATCACCAGGGGCGCAGCTTCTTTTCAAGTGCACTGATTTGATCATCCGAGCCACCAACCCTACTCCTACCTCTTCCAATGACGGACCGGGAATCGATTGCTCTACAACAGTATTTGAAACATGCCCTCAATACATCTAATCGGAAACGACTAGCTGAAGATGATGTATGGACTGAAGATTTAGAGAACCTGAACTCTGAGCTGTCACAACTTGTTCTTCAAATGTCGAAGTGGAGGTCCAAAACGCAGCCCGCAGAAACCCCGGATCGGGTGATTCTCGTTCATCAGTCGGTGCCTCAAACCTATAACTACACGACCAAAAGGCAATTGCATTTATTGGCTAACGCCCTGAACCGGATTGGCTACGTGTGTGATGAAAAGAACTTGTTTGCGTGGTGGAGGAAAGCCACCCAAGCTCTCGAGCGCCTGAGGATTATTCGTACCAACAGCCAAGGCGACCTTGTACATTATTTCACGGTTTTGGAGAAACACCAGGCATTTCAGTCGCAATTGGTTGATTTGATCTTCGAGTTTTGGTATCCGGAGCTAGTTGCCAAGGTGCGCACCATGTTTGCTCTGAGACTTCCTGGAGAGCAGCTTGACCTGCAGTACCTCCACGAAACCATATTGGCAGTAGATGATCCATTGGATGTTGTGTCGCCATATCACAACTATATGCTGAACTTGTCCGCTCAGTTTGACAACGATGACTTTTGGCTCGAGAAGTCGACTGAAGGTATAACCGCTGCTCTTTGGCAATCTGAATACTCGCCTACAGTCGTACCGATGTTGATTGCTACATCGAGACTACAAAGGATTAGTCCTCAGATTCGGGTTCGATATTTACGAGTTCTGCGGGACCCAAACCAGCGATATGTTGCTCAATCAGACCCCATGGGCCATCTGGCAGATTTCATTCGCCAGAATCTCGATACAGAGATAGAGGCTGGCTATCAAGGGTATTTTGCTCCTCCTAAGCGGCGGATCCACGCCCCAATGCCCGGCTCCATAGTAGATTAAGCCAGATCAGCATGGGCATGTTGGCGAGCAGTCTGACCGTTTGGGGCAATTGCACTTGCGAAATGATGGTTTGCAGCATAAATGCGACATGAAGCCCGATACCAGCAAAGACATACCACTTTGGACTGGCTCCCATATTTACTTGTCCGTAGATTTCCAGTACGACTACAAGCATGATGAACGAGGTTGCGAGCGCAATTGGCTTGGCTTGTGGGATCAATTCGGTTAGACCACCGGACTGAAGCAGCATGTCAACCCACGATGAGCCCCACTGCCCGTAGGCAAGCATGACCGCAGCGACTTCGACCACCACCGTGAGACTTGGTCGGAATAGTCGTGACTCGTGCACGGCGACAATTAGAGCCAGCGAGCCGAAAAATAGAGCGATCGAGCCAGAATAACCATATTGCATTACATCAGGTTCAAGCCGTCGCGGGATGCCGGCACGATAAAGAGCGACCGCCAGTACGGCTAATAGCCCGGGTCGGATAAGGCGGAGCCGGAAGCTCCGTGATGCTAATCCCATGGCGGGGAAGGCTGCTGCCCAAAGAAAAATCTGGTCGTAGGCAGGTAGCCAACGGGGCATCTCCTGATCCAACATCAGAGCAAAGCTTAGCATCAAAAACCAACGATCCATGATAAGAGTTCAGATCACAAGAGTTCAGATCGCAAGAGCTATGGCTTAATCAGTGTCTATTAAAGCAGTTGGTGAGCTCGGAATTCCACAGAATTCTTTCTGCCAGGTAACTTATCGGCGTGGACTCCGAGAAATAGCTACTGGAAAACCCCAAAAAATATTATTACTGGAGGCTACAATGTCGGCACGTGGTGCAGGCGATAAATAAACTATGCGTGGGAGCTCTCAAAGTGCAGCAAACAGCCAAATTACGTCCGGCAAAGCGAGCAGGTACCCACAAGACACCTTGAGAAGACCCTTAAGAACTGCATCCACCGAGACAATGAAGAGGACGAGCCGCACAGTGTTTGCAGCGGTTTGACGTTGCTCAGGAGCCATTGCGGCCGATAGTCTTAGCATCAAAAAGTTGATAAACAAAACCATTACAGCGAGGGCAATTTTGAGCCATCCCTGCTGAAGGTCGCCGTATGCAAATGCGACACCGGCCATGAAGAGCGAAGAAACCCAGCTGGGACGGTTTGTCGTTTCATAGATTGCGGTCATTAGCGGGGCGAAGGCCAAAAAAGACACAAAACTGGCTAGTAGGGACATTTCCGTCGGCGTGCCAGCCTCGTAAACTGCTGCCACCGAAAGACTAGCCAGGCTGCAGTCGAATATGGGGGAGACATCTCCAACCAGGTATATCATCAGAGGGGCAGCCAATGGCAGCAGAATAAACCAGGTGCAGTCTGTACCATTCGGCGGCCCTGCCAGATATATTATAATTGAGCTAGCGGCATAGCAGGCTAGCTGGAAATGTGATCGCTGCATTTCACGGCGTCTTGAAAAAAACGGTCAACTGACTAATCGCCACACAACGACAAGGCTGTGTTGATAAAGAAGATAGAGTAACATTCTAAAGCATATAGTCTTTACTGGTCAAGGGAGGGACCTATTTCTCGGTGCGTCCTCCATGGGACACCCAGTCTTGGTAAGATCCCGGGTAGTTTGAAACGTTCTCATAGCCATAGCTGAAAGCTTTGGCGGCAGCCCGCTTTGATCGGGTGCCCGAGCGGCAGTAGAACAGCAACTTCTGCTCCAAGCTCGGTTTCTTGAAGCCTACCTTCTTCTCAAACTCCTGTTCATCGAGACCAAGTGCTCCGGGGGAAGCGAAAAAGGGCATATTGACTGCATTTGGGATGTGGCCGCCCCTGAACTCGGACCTCTCCCGTACATCTATGATAACATACTCCGGTGAGGGGGCGTTCAAAATTTCTTGGACACCCGTGAAATCAATGAGTTTCAGCGCTCCGTTGGTGGGATCACTAAAAGACGAAAACATTGCTCGTAGAAAGAGAAGACCTGCCGCCACCATCGCGATTTGGAGAAAGCTGAGAGTCATGGGGGCAAGAGTGGCGCCGTGCATAATCTTGGACTAATATACTAACCGACCCCGATCGTTGAGCATGCAAAATGCCTCGACCTATTTTTATCGACATTGCAATTGCCAGCAGAACAGCAGTCAATCACAGCCCATTCTATCCACGGTGCAGAGCAGGGACGGACAACAGCGGGCATTCCCGCCGGCTGCTATCGGTTCCTATCAGCGCCTCTACTGGCCTCCCAAGTACCCTTCTAACGCGAACCTCACACGTAATCGGTCCTAATGGCAGCCCCATCGTCGACTTCACCATTGGTGCAGGTGAACGTTGGCAATGTCAAGCACAAGCCGAAAGTGGTTGCATTGTATGAGCGTCTGTTGACAGAGGACTCACAGCAGCCCGGGTACTGGGTAGAGTTTTTCTTGCTTCCGGTTGCTCGCAATGAACTGCTGGCCAAGCTGCGAGAACTGAGCAACGAAGAGCTGATTTCCAAGGCGCCCACGCTCCAGACGCTGATGGCGGCCGCGGTGACGAATTTGCAGTCAGATGATGTGTTTTTGCAGTCGAATACCTTGGAGATCATGCAAGTAGTATTCCGGGTACTGCTCTTTGACAAGAAACTCTCATCCCGAGATGTCATTACTGCATTAGCTGGCTTGGACAGAATCGACCACATGATGGATCAGCTAACTGATTCGCTGCTCATGTTGTTGCCGGGCCAGCTGAGCCATAAAACCGTCCTGTTTCTGAGCATTGTTGCTGCCGCGTCGACGGGCACATCGCTAGCGAGCTACTTTGGCTATAAGAATTTCTTCACGCCGCTCATTATGTTTATTGATGCGCGGCCTACCGGCAGCCCCGAGCAAGTTGATGCATTTCTTGCAATTGGCATTCTGGCCAACCTGAACAAGTTCAATGACTCGGTGGATGTATATCTTCAACGCATCAACGATTTCGTGGACCAGGACATAATGTCAAAACTGATTACAGCCACAAAAGGGCCATTGGACAATTGCAGGTACGATTATGTCTATTCGCTAACCGCCAAGCCGTCGTGGCTCGGATGGTTCGGCCAGCCCGCTGCTCCTGCCAAACCGCTGGCCGATCTCCCTCAATCCCCGGAGATTGCCATTCTAATGCCACTCTACGAGTTTGCCGTACACAACGACGTCTTTGCAGTGAAACTGGTCACAATGACATCTGAGTTTCGTGTATTGATCGAGCTGTCTTCGCACTTGGTGCAAAACCAAACCAACGTGCGCACGCCAATATATGCCCGACTCGTCCTCCTAATGTTTAGGAAGTTTGTTGAGTCGTCGACGGTGTTTGCGCAGCTTGTGAACCCTGAGAATAAGACCGAATATGAAATCAGCCAACAGCGTGCTCCACCGTTGGAGCGCGATGCGACTCCTCGTTTACCGCTGGCCGGTATCTTGGATATTATACAGTGTTCATTACGTTTCAATGTTCGCAAAACAATGGACAACAGTCTCTATACCCTTATCTTCTATGTTTTGTTACAGGCCTTTGCAGCGTTGCGACAGGCTTCACTGGTGTTGCCATATAACTGGCCCCAGCTTTGGCAGACCTTGCTCTTGCTGCTGAAACACCTCAACAAAAGCGAGTCTGCTGTGGGCATTGAAGTCGCCAGCATGGCCTCCCTTGCCGTCGCTCATTGTCTTATTGAGCGAGACCTTTTTCCAGCCGAACAGTACGCTGATCTGTTCTATAATGTTGTGAACCATGCAGAAATTTTCCAAACGCTTGCATCGAAATATGCCTTGGCCAAAACAGCATCTTTAGCGGCCATCCACGCAATGGTCGCTCACTACGAGTTACTTTCGCAGCAGAATCCGGACCTTACCGAGCAAAACATTAGTGATGTCGTCAAGCAAGGACAGCATGCCGCTGCAATGTACGATAAGCAAAGGCCAAAGTCACTTCTTACTCGAGAAAACTTGCCAAGATTCAGCGAGGTCAACGAGCAACGGTTCTTGAAGCGGGTAACCAGAGTCGCCTTCGTTGATGCCATCAGCTTTACTTAGCGAACTTTTATTGTTTTTGTATGTGCTTTACGAAAAGTCAATTAAATAATCATGCCTGCTGGCTGCTAACTGCCAGCTCTAGAATGAGTTTTGTAGCAAATCGTAAAAATGGATATGCCGAGAACGTATCGTCATGGCGGCGTTTTGCTGCACCCTTATTTTCAAACCCATCAAACTTGAAGTCCACCAGGTAGTTATTTTGTTCCAGCTGGTACAATTGGATACGCATTTTGAGCAGTTCTGCTACCATTTCACCCTGGTCGTTAGGGGCCTCATTGCGCCAGCGCACATTGATGGTCCACAAATCATCGTTTCGATGTCGGGCCCATTCTGCTCCTAGGTTTTTAAGGGCACGGTAGATCTCACTCACCACATCAAGTGGGTAGGAGCGAGAGCGAATGCCGAAATGCCATCTGATCTTGGACTTTTTCACGGAAACAGGACTGAGCTTCTTGGACATTGCAACTCCATGTGTCTGCATATATGCAAGGTGGTACTGCGGCAAAGAGGAAGGCAGGATTGCGATACGAGAATCAGCAACGCCGACGGGGCCCAGATGAGTGGCATCAAATCCAAATGTAACCGGGATACCAGACTTAGTTAATGACGCGGGACCCGGTGTGCGAGTGGCATCACTGTTCGTGCGCGATCGCACATCGTTCGATTGTGAGTCCATATAGTTATCTAGCGCATCAGGTTCCTCATGTCTGCTTGCCTGCTGTTTTCTGTTATCCCACAGAATGCGGTACGCATCGCTGATTTCATTAGCGGCAGTGCTTCCGCTGGTAGGAACCTCACCATTGAGCGCACTGACAACAATATCTGTTGTATATCCCAGCTTTTGTGACAAGGTACGTACATCTTCGTCGTCCTTTGTGAATTTACGGCCCTCTTCACACTCACTGTTCGGCAGTAAATACTCGGGCATGCCTACCCTAAACCAGGGATCCTCCATGATGCTCTCGACATCAATCCGCATCAAGGGATCGACGACAAGCATGCGCCGCAGTAGGCTTTTGGCTCCCGGGCTGACATAGTCAGGAATGTAGTATGTTCCGCTCGATATTTTCTGGAACAGCTCGGGAATACTTTCATCATCGAACGGCAATCTGCCGCAAAGCATAACGTACAGAATCACACCGCAAGACCAAACATCGACTTCGGGACCAGCATAAAGACGACCAGAAATGACCTCGGGAGCGGCATAATTGGGAGATCCACACGAGGTCTTCAAGAAGTTACCATCGGTCATAATATTGGACAACCCAAAATCTGCGATCTTGATATCCATGTTCTCATCTAGCAGCAAGTTTTCCGGTTTGAGATCGCGGTGCACAATCTTATGCCTGTGGCAGTAGTCAACAGCCGAGATTATTTGCTGGAAAAACCTGCGTGCTTCGTCCTCATCCATACGTCCCTTCTGCACAATATAGTCGAAAAGCTCCTTACCAGCGAACTCCATAACCATAATGATCTCATCTTTAGACTTGATCACCTCGTAAAGCTTAATGATATGGGGGTGGCGCAGCAGACGCAGATAGGATATCTCACGTTCGACACGGCCCTGCATATCGCTTTTGGCCAGAGTAGACCTGTTGATGATCTTGAGGGCCACTCGTGAGTTTGTGGCCAAATGGTAGGCCAGTTTAACTTTACCGAACGAGCCCTCTCCAAGCTTCTTTACGATCTGGTACTTGTCAATACGATTCATGTTGCCATCTGTGCCCACCGAGGGCATTATTTCTAGTGTTGTCATATTCAAAATGAGGCAACTCCTGTTGGAGGGATGTTATGGCGGGGAGGATAGATGACTCAGGCGACGTCCGGCGTTTGGGATAATGACCGATCGTGCTCGGATCACGGGCTAAACTGGGGTTAATATAGAAGTATAAGAATAAAAATATGAGAGCAGTGGGAGGAGAAACGTGATCAAACCTCGCGTTTGCAAATCGGACAAGTTTTTCGCTGCGTCAGTAGCCAGCGCCTAATGCACGCTTCGTCGTACTCGTGACCACAGGGCAATGTAATCACCCGCGATTGTGGGGTAAAGTCTTCAAGACATATTACACAATGCGGGATGTAGGGCCTCAGAAGTAGCGATGTTTCAGCCGGACTATGATTTCCACTCCATTGGCGAACGGGCAAAGCATCTACAGCTCCCAACGACGCCTTTTGTCGACGCCTAGTTTGTTGGCGATGCAAAGTGATCAATAGATAGAAAACAACCAGAGAAAAAACGGGGCTGAAAATAAACATCACGAATGAAGTCAGTAGTGCCATTTCGTCTCCTACTCTGCTCATGGAGATCATATTATACGACGCCAACTGGTCGTACACTGAGCGGTCGACCATCATACTGGGGATTGTGATTGCATGCGGTTGGCGAGGTGCGAACATAGTGAAAGGCTCCAAATTATCATAGTTTCCTATAATCACACCTTTAGCGCCCTCGACTTGCATCTGGAGAACTTTTGTATAGAAATCGCAGGAGCCCCGCAGCACCACAGCGAAGCTCCCATTGACATGTGCATTTGACGAGTTTCCACAAGCAAAACCGTCAACAAATACAATTGGCGCCATAAGACTGGCGTTCAAGGAGTTATACGGTGGCGCCAGCGGTCCGAAGGCGGCGGGCCTTCCCCTGAAAGCAATCTGAGGGGCGCCAACTACCGAAATATGGCCACTCAGCACAAGTCCGGCTGCAATTGATTGAATCAGAGTATCAGTGCATAAAAAGTAGAAATAGGCTACTACAAGAACAACCGGAACCACCTGTTCTAGGCGCGGCATGACGAAATCTCCCGGCAACTGATCTCTCTTGTCGAGGTATCCATACCTTCACCTAGGGTCAGGGGGTGTCGCTTGAAACCTTTCCCTTGCATTGGACTGCGTGCTTTTTTAAGGTTAAGTATCGAATCGACAAAAGGATCTGCAATACTCTAACCTTGCAAAAAAAAAAAACTAAACAACTATCTAAACGCCCGCAACGATTGCCTGGGCTTCAGTGAGAGCAGCAATCATCTTGTTGCAGTACTCGCGGCGAGCAATCGTATGTGCATTCTCTTTAACAAGGTCATCAAGGGCTTCGTTGTTGTACAGGTTCTCCAACAGCTCTTTTTGGATCTCTTCTTTTGAGGCCAAAATAAGGTTGAAGGTAATAGCCTTCGGAACCAAATCGGTGATCGTGCGTTGAACAATTGCAAAGTATGAGTTGATTAAAAGTTTAACAACTTCCACGTCCATAAGTTCGCGCTCGTTCATATTACCACTGGCCTTGAGCGTTGAGGGGGGCGTTTCCATGGCCACCAAACGCTTCTTATTGCGGGATGAAAAAAGGTTGCCGAAAAACCCACCAAACGGACCTGGGGCCTCGATATCCTCTTTGCTCACCGCCACTGCCTCCGACTTGGAGGTTTGCTTGCCAGTTTTGGGATCAACATTGGCGGTTTTCGTGACCTTGATCCTCTGGCCCACAATGTCAGTGGCTTGTGAACCCTTGATGAGGTCGGGGTGGGCAGTATTGATATACGTAGCTTCCATGCCGATAATATCCTTGACCAAAGCAGTAGTAGGAATAAGTGCCTTACGCAGAAACATAATAAAGCAGGCAGACACCTGGGACTTGAGCTCAGGGTATCTCTGGAACTGAGGCTTCGCCAAAATGGTGTTCAAAATGCGTACAAGCTCGTCGTAGATAAGCTGAATGCACTTGAGAGCCGGCTCTTCAAAGCGCTTGACTTGACGTTGCATCAAAAACACGAATGGTTTCGAAGACACAAATAGAGCCGGCATTACACCCGACGAGTTGTACAAAACAGTTCGAATATCTGTATCAGTGATCTGGTCAAACGGGTCCAGCACCTTGATACCGTTTGAAAACACTTCGTGGAAGACAAACGCAATACGCGCACCACCGCTGAGCTCCTGGGTAGAAACCTCGGTTCCTTGACCCTCAAGAACCGACCTGTACTCGTTGCAGAACTCTGTCACCACCGATAGCACCACGCTCGAAGACGAACCTAGCTCGGAAGGGCCGAGTTCGATCAACTCCTGGCGGTAACGCTTGAGACTCTGATCGATACGATTCTTGATCTCTGGCAGCGTTTGGCGAATATGGTTGAGCAAAATGCTGTTGAGACGCTTGGCAAGATAGGGAGTGCCGCAGTACTGAGCCTTGGCCCGATACGCCGGATGGTTCTCAAAGTACTTGCGTTCGTTTTCTAAGGCGGACTTGATGCTCTTTTTCTGATTGATATCTTGCTGACCGCGGTTCACAACAGGTACGTATCCGAAACGAAGAGGAACAATCTTGCCAGTCATGATCTCCAGCACATCCGTACCTTTATCCATGAGATCGACTTTTGTCAACACACCGATAGTTCTATTACCTTCCGGATCAACCTCACGGGCGAGCTGTAATCCGTCAGAGTTCGCCAAATCGGTATTTGCAGCAGTGACAGCAAGAATGATTGCGTTGCGTTTGGAAATGTACTGCAGAACCATGTCCTTGATTTGTCTCTCAATATCCTTGGGCTGGTCGCCAACGGGCACCTTAGTGAGACCAGGCAAGTCTACCAATGTGAGAGTTAGCACATTTGGGGAGAAAATGCGCAGATTGATGGGCTTTGCCGAAATGCCTTTGTTGCCAGTAGTGGCGTCTGTTTCACGCTCAATTTCAGTGCGAATCTCGTCAAAATTGAAGAACTTTTTCCCGGGCACGTGCAAAAACTCACCCCATTCATAAGGATTCTCACCATTGTCGCCAATTTCAGGATTTTCGTCGGTAGGAGGGCGGCGGTTCGACAGCTGAAGAACTAAGGGGCGACGGGTAACGATGCCCGACCCGCGGGGGAGGAAGTCGCGCCCGACGATGTTCTCCAGAACTGACGATTTACCACTGGATTGCGATCCCACAACGGTGATTTGTGGCAAGTCCACAGCCGTGTTAGGACCCAGTGACCCCAGCGCATCCTGGAGCCGGTTGACTACGTCAATCAAATGCTTGTCCATGAGTAATCAGAGACGTGGCTGCGACTGGAGCTTTTAGATAAAAGTCACGGGATAGACAAGTGAGAGAAGGAGGGTGTAGGCGCGCGACAAACGTCGATTTGCGGGTCAAACTGGTTTTCCCCAAGACTGGTATGGACAAGCCCAGAAAATTGCGATGTTCGACGCGCTATGGAGGTACACTAACGGTCAAAGATAAGCGGAACAAGCCCCTGAGGCTTACCCATTTGCCAAGCAAGAATTCAAAGGGGAAATGCACCCGATGTAGTGCCAACTGAGTTGACCTGTATCAAGAAGAGCCATGTCCCAAGCTCTGTTGACCCCTCACCCGGCCGCATTGAAGCGCATTGCCGTGCGCTGAGAATAAAACTTAAACAGGGTGGGGTTTAGGCGGGCCAGTGTCGAGAGAACAAGCCGATCAATATTTCCTATCCTAATGAAGATCCAATAAGCGCCGTTGACGTCCCGAATCAAACCCCCATCATTTTCGTCCATCAGGGTATGCATGCGGCAAGATACCGGCAATGTCTGCGGTAGGGGTTTGAGATAACCGCCCCAGCGCTTGCCCTCTTCTGGAGGAAATCTAGCCATGAACTCTGTTTAAAACTTTGTATTGTTATAATGTAACATGGTAGCTGTGTGCAGCAAGTGTTTGTGGCAGACCACACACCCTGGTCAAAATATACTGCGTCTGTATCTGTTGACGCTTGCTGCATACTGGCCTTGGCCCGATTACGTACCCCTCTTGCCCCTAATAAAGGCTAGGCTACGGCGCTTTCCTGTAACCAGCTATGTTCGACCTCGAAACAGTCGCAACTATCAGCGGTCACTTCTCGATTGTTGGCTGGGTTCTGGCAGGTGTGTACCAGCTATATGTATCTGCGCTCGACGGAACCGCAGACAGTTTCAGTCCGTTCTTTCTTGTTGGGTATGTTGTTGGCGATATTTCCAACGTGGTAGGCTGCTTCTGGGGGTCGCAAATGGGATTCCAGAAGATCATCTCTATATGCTCGCTAGTCACAGACTCCCTCATGGCGCTGCAGTTTATATACTTTCGTCGAAAGCAGTCCCTGCAGCCTCGCAGATCAGCCGCTCTCCTCCGGCCTGTAGCATACGCTTCAATGGTAGCGGTATCAATGGCATCTCCACTAGAGCCGCCGAGCAAGATTGGTGGCAGTACACAGCAATTACTGATTGGGCAGTCGTTCGCCTGGCTGGCCGAGACCTTTTACGTGGGAGCGGTTGTTCAACAGGCCTTAAAGAACTACGAAAAGAAAAGCACTGGTGCTGTGTCCCGTTTGCTTTTCATATTCGATCTGTTCGGAAGTCTCTCTACGCTGCTGACCATCTTTGTGACGTCTCGCACGTTCGGATCTACCACGGAAAGCTTTGACTTCCTAGCCACAGAGCTGCCTTATCTCGTAGGGGCTGCTCTCTGCGCAGCCATGGACGTCGTTCTGCTCTACCAGTACAGACTGTACCCCTGTCATTTGGTTGTTCTAGACGGCTACCAGACCATCTCCGTCGAACCGCCAACCAAATACGGCTCTATTTAATCCCCAATTATATATATACACATACACTTGATGTACACAGATTGCACTTGATTACTCCCATGGCTCGACTTGGTAATCCATTTCTCACACACACAAATGTCTAGACAGTTTGGGGTGACTCCTCCGGTGAGCACGGCAGGATCGAAGCCGGAGGATCGCAAATTGAACGAGGAGATGATTGCGGAGCTAAAAGCGCAGGGCTCGTTCGAGTCTGAGGCGGAGACCCGCAAAAGAATTCGGGTTCTCGACACCATGAAAAAGCTCGCGAATGAGTTTGTGTACCAAGTTTCTCTGACCAAAAACATGAGCGAGGGGATGGCAAGGGATGCAGGCGGTAAAATCTTTACTTTTGGTTCTTACCGCCTTGGCGTGTATGGTCCTGGATCCGATATCGACACCCTTGTGGTCGTTCCCAAGCACGTTTCTCGTGAGGCATTTTTTGATGTTATGGACAAGCTGCTGCGCAAATGTCCTGAAGTCGAAGAGATCTCCCCTGTTCCTGATGCGTTTGTGCCTATTATCAAGATCAAGTTCGACGGCATTTCTATTGATCTCATCTGTGGACGGTTAGACCTCGCTCAAGTTCCTGCCTCGCTGACCCTCGAAAATAACGAGCTTTTGCGAAATATTGACGAAAAAGATTTGCGTGCTCTTAACGGTACACGTGTTACTGACGACATTCTTCGACTGGTGCCCGAGCGCACCGTGTTTAAGCAGGCACTCCGCGCCATCAAGCTGTGGGCCCAACGCCGAGCAATTTACGCAAACATTATGGGCTTCCCAGGCGGCGTTGCCTGGGCCATGATGGTTGCGCGAATTTGTCAACTGTATCCTAATGCAGTTGCTTCAACTATCGTGAACCGGTTCTTTTTCATCTACACCCGCTGGAACTGGCCCCAACCGGTTCTCCTCAAACACATTGAAGATGGACCCCTTCAGGTACGAATTTGGAACCCCAAAATATACCCCCAGGACCGCTCGCACCGAATGCCAATCATCACACCAGCATACCCGAGCATGTGCGCCACGCACAATATCACTGCGTCGACCCAGCGGGTGATCATGCAGGAGCTGAGTCGTGGATTAGAGCTCACTCAGGAAATTATGGACGGTAAACGCACATGGAAGGATTTCTTCGAAAGGCACCGGTTTTTCCACGAGTACAAGTACTATATGAAGGTTGTTGCCGCTACAAAGGGGACTGCTGAGCAGCATCTTGCCTGGAGCGGCTTCATTGAGAGTAAATTACGCCTTCTGGTACAAAAACTCGAGGTGATCGATGGCATCGACCTTGCTCATCCTTTTAATAAAACTTTTGATCGGTCGCTTCTCTGCAAAACTGAAGAAGACGCCCGATTGGTGGCTGATGGTAAGCCGCCCGTCAACCCGCTGATTGTAAAAGATACCGAAGTCAAAGAAGCAGACGAAGTGGCCAAAACAACTGCTTTAGACGGTAATGGTGAGCCGGCCCAAGCTGACTTTACCGAAAAGGCCTCTCCCAACGATGAGGGAATTGCAGTGGAAACCACGCATTTGTTTATTGGTATCGCTGTCAAGCCTGACCCGGAGGGCGGCAAACGTACTCTTGATTTACAGTGGCCGTGCAACGAGTTCTACGATTTATGTCGTGGATGGGCAAGCTACGATGAAGATGTATTTAGCATGTCGTTGAGCATGACCCGGGGTTACCAGCTTCCGGACTTTGTTTTCGACGCCGACGAGGAGCGACCATCGCGGGCGCGCAAACATAAGCGTGCTGGCACGGCTAGCACCGAAGAAAATGGCGACATAAAACGCGCTAAGCAGTAACGTGTCGGCGTTTAGCGGCTGGTTCCGCTGCACCGTCGTCACTGGCGCGAACCCACTCGAGTGCGCGCTCAAGAATTTTGCGTTCGCTGGCCAATACTTGGTTGCACATATCGTTAATATCCGTATAGATCTTGGTTGAGTCTTCTGGCTCGGTCAGAGCATTAGTTTCCTGATAGTCCTGCAGGCGGGTTTCGATCAGGTCTTGGAGGGCCAGGCGACCCTCTGCGGTAATTTCTTCCTCGTCAGCCATTTCAATAGCAGTTTTGATAGCCTTCTTGGCCGGGAGTGCTAATGTCAATGCGTTTGCCACAGCTACAAGGTTTACATCAGGCATTCCAGGGTAAACCACATCGTAGCCATCGTCAAGTAACTCCTCGTCGTACTCTTGCAACTCCTCAACTCTCTCTTCAATCTGCTCGACTTTTAGACCTTCGACCTTGGCGACCGACTTGATAAGGGCTTCCATGCTGACCTCGGCCATATCATATTCCGTTCCGCCGGCCTCGACGTAGCCATAGCGACGCAAAAGCTCACCATTGGACAAATCGCCGTAAACATTGTACACTTGCTCGCCTTTTTTGATATCCTTGCTGGCGACCATCTCCAAAACACCATCGACATTCTCGGGCATCTCCAAACGAGCATTCCCCAGCACCGTGTGGCTGTTGAGCATATCGGCCAAGGGAACCATAGCCTTGAATGCATCATCGTCGTCCCCAGTAACAGACACGTCAAAGCCGTAGGCCATGATGAGACTACCCATACGATGGAACGACTCGCGGGAGACGTCAACGTTCGCAAACGCCTGATCCTTGAAGATCGACGAAGCCAGCTCGTCGTAAAGTTCGTCCGCTTCAGCACGGCCAACCTTGTCTAGCACAGCTGAGCCCTTTAGGAGCTCCAATTGCTCGGGGTTCCAGAACATTGGTGTCGAGAACTTGGAGGGCAGAACGGCAAAGTAGGGCGCCCAACGATCGGTTCCAGACATGAGCATCATGTAGGCCATTAGAGCAGGCCAATCAGCTAGTTCATGCTTGGTAACTAGCTCACCGAACTTGGGATCCCGCTCGACTGCCAGGAGGTTTGTTTGCGGGATTGTGAACAGAACATCGCCCTCAGCGATATCCTCGAGAGCAATTAGTCCTCTGCCCTGTCCAGCCTCACGATAGTCATGAAGACCAACCTTGTTGCTGATTTCCACTCCGTGGGACTTTAGCCAAGTCTCAAATTGCTCACTCTGTTGCTCAAAAGTCATTGTGTTCTGACTGTCCACGATCTCACTTAATAATGCGGGACGACGACGCGCGGGAAGACGTTGGCTCAGAGGTGTCAGAGGCCGATGTGGGTGAAGAGTATGAGATCTGGAAGAAGAACTGTCCCGTGATGTATTCACGGGTCAAAGAAATTGCCCTGGATTGGCCCTCTTTGACTTTTCAATGGCTCCCGGACAGTGAGAGTCGCGCGCTGGTTTCGACCTATTCCAATGGCGCTGAGCCCGAGGAAGTTCTTATTATCAGGCCCGAATTAGGACAGCGGCCTGAAAAGTATGTCGTGCAGCAGTTTAGACACGAGAAAGAAGCCAATCGACTGCGTTACTCCTTGTCTGATCCAAACTACTTTGCTACGTTCAATCCCGATGGCGACGTTACTATTTACTCTTCGACCGGCGGCTCGTTTGTCTTGCCCCATACGCATTCAAACAATGGATACGGCCTGTCCTGGGACCCTTACAACCCCGGACGGTTAGTGTCAGGAGCCGATGACAGCAAGGTCGTTGTCTGGCAGGTGGATTTTGGTGCAAAAACAGGCACAGTGTTGAACGTGATCGAGCTTCCCAATTCAGTCAATGATGTTGTATGGTCGACGACCAGTAACAACGAGATTGCAGCTGCATGTGAGAATGGCCATGTCTACATCTGTGACGTACTAGCCAAGCAGCCCAAGCTTGAGTTCAAAGCCCACGATGAGGGCGTCAATTCGTTGGCCTATAATCCTAAGGCCCCACAAATGATTGCTACTGTTTCTAGTGACTCTACTATTGGCCTCTGGGATCTGAGAGCCCCCGACCAGTCTCTGCACGTCATGACCGGTCACGAAGCCTCGGTCACAAATGTCAAATGGTCACCACACCATGACGGCATTTTTGCAACATCGTCTCAGGACAACAGAGTCATTATATGGGATATTTCGCGTATTGGCGACGAGCAGACTCCAGAAGATGCAGAAGATGCAGTACCTGAGCTGCTGTTCATGCACGGAGGCCACACCGCCCCGGTATCAGACTTTGACTGGCATCCCCAAGTGCCTTGGCTGCTCGGTTCTGTGGCAGAAGATAACATTTGTCAAGTTTGGGTGCCCAGTGACGCCGCCGTTGGCGATCCCACCGTGCCTAAACTACCCGTATTCTCTATATAGTTTATCTCCCAGGCGTCCCAGTCACTGTGTAGTCAGCGAGAGCGAGCCTACGGAGGGTTTTTTTTTTCACCAGGCCGAAATTTTGGTCTGCTGACAATGCTTTTGGTTCTGCGTCGGGGTGTGTCTACTCGGGCTAAAAAGATCCCCGTGCAGCTGCTCAAGGACTGGCCGCGGCTGGGAAAGCGTGGTGAGGTAGTAGAGGTTAGTGAAGGCATGATGCGCAACAAATTGCATGCCAACAACGGTGCCGCGTACGTTTTGAAAGGACAGCCTCTCCGAATGCCCCTATACACCCGTTCACAAGTTGAGGCCTCGAGCCCCAAGGTTAAAGCTCAGGCAGCGGAACCCAAGCAAGAGATCACTGCCGAAGCACACGTGGAGGCCCCGAAGAAGGAGAAGCCCTCTGCCATCGATTTCCTCAAGTTCCCTGGTTCTAAACCCACAGAATCTGCTGCCGAGCAAACAACAGCTGAGCCATCAAAAGAAGAGTCCGAGATCAAGACGTTTGAGTGGGAGAACGAGATTGTCGCGAACATCTCCAAAAACCGCCGCAGCTAATACCCTGCATGCATATATGTAATTTGTAAATATCAAGCTTTTGTGCTTTCACTAGGTCCCGCTGCTGCCGAGTATGGTGGAGGACTATTTTCTGCCACGGCCGGGTTTATTGGCACATCAATAGTCAGTACCGCGTATGTGCTCACAACAGGATACCCTATCGTCGGAGCGACAGCAACTTGAACGTTTAATTTGTAGGCTACCTGGATAGTAGGTAATGTCAAGGTCGGCAAGAGAACCCTTGGAACGGTTACCGATGATATTAGTTCTGTAAGGTCAGCAACATCGTCGACAAAGTTCAGACCCCATTGAGGTTTGCTCGAATGAATGGGCACCCTGATTTTACGACTTTCGACAGCCGGTTGAGCCTGAACACGGAACGACGTCTCCAGGAAAATATCCAACGCACTTACTGCAAACAATGTAGCCTTTTCTTTGGGCGGACCACCGGAATCAAATTTTGTGATCTGAAGACTCAGGTATTCTGTGAGAGACTGGGGGTCTGGGCTGATGTAGATTCCTCGCGTGGGCACTCGTATTTCAGCAACCATCCTTTGCTCAAAGATTGGCTCATTAAGACCGAAGGCTCTTTTGAAAGAGCTTTTCCATGTGTCAGATACCTGGAAAATTGGAACATTAAGAGCCCGGCGGGCAAACAGCAATTGCTGGCCGGGTTTAGCTTCTGACACGCTAGCGACCTTAATAGGCATCTTGTGTCTCTTGGAGGTTGAGAACAATGTGCTCATGCCACCACCTTTGCCTCTATTTATCACGGCCACCACGTCATATTCGATCCGCCCCATCGTTAAATCGAATGGGGAGTCAATTGGCATAGATGGTGGCAGAGGTAGGCCGGACCAATGCGGATCGCTGCTGTTTTCTGTGGCCTTGGGCATCTCAAACTTGAAGGGATACTTGTGCTCTCCCTTTTGGATAGTCAAACAGCTTTGCTTCAATCCTTGGGCGTAAAATGCTGGCGGGAACACTTGAACTGTACGATATAAAAATCTGGCTTCTTCTGTGAACATAGTGGTACTAGAATTTGTACAGTTGTTCTTGTTTTTAGTGCTCTGTGGACACGATTGGGTATCAAGCTGGCTAGCTCTGGTGATGGCTTTGCCCTCGAGAGAGACAACAATTGACTCCATTGTCAACGGCGACTCGGATTCTACGGTTAACGTTCCTAAGATCGTGTCGCCAGGAACATACGATTCTCCATTTAAATCAATTGTGAGGCGAACCCCGCTGTCTCCAAACATGTAGTGGCGCCTGACAATTTGTAATTTAAATTATGCATCTACGTGAATAATTACTCCTGATATGCAGGAAGATACGGTCGCTCAGTTTGGCCGGATTTAAGATCGCTAATATACTCGACTTCAGCTTTGGAATCAAACGCAGGTGGTGGAGCATACGCTGGGGTGTGCGCTGGAGGGTTAACGTGGACTGAAGGTGATAGGGCTGGGGGAAGCACCTTGACCGGCCCTTGAGCTCAAGGAGCTGGGCACTCTTGGCACCATGTGAACTTCCCTCTAATGAAATAGTAATCCCAATCAGTAGTTCATAGCTGACACTTAGTAGCTCATGATTGAAAGAAGGACTTGTGTACCCGCACATTTTCAAATGTTGGATACTATCGGAAAGATCCAAAATAGTTCCTGATTGATTTAATGGAACTACCTCAAGGACGATAGACTTTTTATCCTCCAAGACATGCCTGTGACGCTTAATATCCCGAGAGTTCCACTGGGTGACTCGATTTAGGCTCACTGAAACATTTTGAATAGTGACGGGAACGTGGGATTTCACGGCCAATTGAAGAGGAACAGGATAAGGAGACTGTGGCAAACCACATTCAGGCACCAACACGTGCATATCGATGCGTATGTCTTTGTTCAGATCAAAGATGCTTGAGATTGTTTTCATCGCAGATCTCTCAAGGGCCCCCTGATCGAAATAAGGCACCACCGTAAGAGGTTTCTCCATGCGAGGATCCGAAGTAAGCGATTTTAATTTCTTTACAGTGGCTTTGATACTGTGTTCGCAGTAGAAGTAGGCATTGTCCTGGAAAGTGCCCTGGGAAAAAGTTGGGGGAAGCACTTGATCATTAGCGCCAGGAAATTTAATGCTGAAATCGTACACGTGCCTACCAGCGGCGATGGTGTAGCTCTTGGCGCTGCTTTCAATCAAGTCCTCGGTGGGAAATACCTGCACATCCTGGCGATAGACCTGCCTTTTACTGGAGCTAACCCTCAGTCGGCTCTTGACCCCAGGGTTAGGCGTAGGTAGGCGAGGAAACGCGGGCGAAGCCACATATTTTGTGATATGCCGGGTATACATTGCCTTAAAATTTCGTCTGAAGTTTGGCATATCCTGTGCTTGACAGCGGACGTACATGCAAAAGGGTTGAAACAGATAACCATTTTATTCGTCCGATCCAAATAGTGTCCGTACCAGTAAAGCAAAACATGCACGTCGATCGCAGCCTAACGGCTTTTACTCACGCAACCACGATGCTGCATGAGAAGACAAGGCTTAGGCTAACGACGAAATAACCCTGAGCAAAGCCCACTACGAAACCCACTTGAGTGTTTCGCCAATAAGACATATCCCAGAATGGGATACCTATATGATCGTTTTTTGTTTTAAACTTTGGCTGAGCCGTGCGTGAAATGCAGCAGCTTCGATTGTGAACTTATGCGATTTATGATCACAGGAAGTCGCAGCGAATTGGAAAACACACCAACTTTCTGACACTTTCACACCAGAACTGAGGTAGTGCATATAAACTGGTGAATCCAGCTAAGCTTTTTAATCAAGTCTCTGTCGCCGGATTCGAGCGACGCTAAAAGACCTTCATGCTCTTCTATGCATTTAGAAAAACGGCAGATGAAGAAATTCGAGGGATAGTGGTTTCCGATTATACGATAATAATCACACAAACACATAGAACCATCGTTGGCTTATTTTACCAGCTTCACCTCTACTTATCAGAGGCACTACAGCATATTCGACCCGCTCCATTGTCAAATTGAGAGGAAGTCAAGTGACATAGATGGTGGCAGCATTATGCCGGACAAATGTGGATTGCTGTTGTTTTCTGTGTTAGCTTGGGCATAAAACACCGGCGAGGGGAATACTTGAACTGTAGGATATAAGAACCCCGCTTCTTTGTTGGACATGGCGGTGCCAGAATTGCTGTTTATACTGCTCTGTGAACACAATTCAGTATCAGTCTGGCTAATACTGATAGTGTTGCAGTCGAGAGAGACAACTCCATGGCCAGCGTTCCTGGGATCGTGTTGCCAAAAACATATGCTTCTCCATTTAAGCCAATTGTGAGGCGAACTTCGCTGTCTCCAAACATGTAGTAAGACCTTACAATTTTCTGTGATTTAAATTATGTATCCACGTAAATAATTATTCTTGATATGCAGGTAGATACGGCCGCTTAGATTGGCCGGATTTAAGATCATTAGTGTACTCCATTTCGGCTTTGGAGTCGAAAGCGGGTGGTGGGCCCTGTGCCTGGATATCAGCCTGAGTAGTGATGTGAACTGAAGGCAGTGACGGTGAGAGAGCTGGGGGGAGCACATGGACCGGGCCCTTGAGCTCAAACAGTTGCGCATTATGGGCACCATACGCGCATCCCTCTAAGGACATAGTAATCCCAATCAAAAGTTCATAGCTGACACTCAGCAGTTCATGTTTGAACGAAGGAGTTGAGTAACCAGTGATTTTCAGATTTTGCAGACTATCAGAGAGGTCTAAGATAGTTCCTGACTGATTTAATGGAACTACTCCAAGAACGACAGACTTGTGGTCCTCCAACACATACTTTTGACGCCTGATATCCCGAGAGTTCCACTGGGTAATTCGATTTAGGCTCACACAAATATTCTGAACAGTAACTGGAACGCCATAGGACCTAACGGCCAATTGAAGAGGGATAGGATAAGGAGACTGTGGCAACCCATAGTCAGGCACCAATGCCTGCACGTCTACGCGTGTGCCCTTGCTGAGTTCAAAGATGTCTGAGATCGTCTTCATTGCAGATGTCTCAAAGGCCCCCTGATCAAAATAAGGCACCACCGTGAGTGTCTTTTCCATGCGAGGATCAGCAGTAAACGACGATGATCTCTTTACCGTAGCTTTAATACTGTGTTCGCAGTAGAAGTAGGCATTGTCCTGGAAAGTACCTTGCCAATAAGTTGGAGGAAGCGCTTGACCATTCGACCCTAGCTCGGGAAATTTAATGCTGAAATCGTAAACATGCCTGCCAGCGGCGATGGTGTAAGTCTTGGCTCTACTTTTCATCAAGTCCTCAGTAGGGAACACCTGAACATCTTGACGATAGACCTGCCTTTTGCTACCGCTTATCCTCAGGTTGTGCTTGGCGATTTTCTCTTCGTCAGTGGAACTGAAAAGCAAGCCCCTTTTATTTCTCTCGTCAAAGAAGACCCTAGTACCAATGTCGCATTTCAGCTTCACAAAAATACCCGTCACAGTGATGTCTTCATGGAATTCAATAATTACTTGTCCATTCACAATATCGCCATTGGTATAGTAATCTTTTAAGTCATCGATTTGCAATGTTATTTCCTTGTCATTGATAGACCGGGTCTTGTACGCATTAACACCCTGAGTGTACAGTTTTGATGCCAGGTTTGAGATTATAGGCATAGCGGTTCGAAATTAGTGAGATTAGTGTTGAAACTCCAAAAAAAATTTTGGACTTGACAAGATCGAGATACTGCACGATATTTATCCATTGACACCAGGGTTAGGTGTGTGTAGGCGAGTAAACGCGGGCAAAGCAACAGATTAGTGATCTACAGGGTATACATTGCTTCAAAACTTCCGCCTCAAAGTACGGCATATCAATGCAATCGACAACGGTACTACTCAAAAGTGGTCCGAATCAAATATTTGACCTACCTATTGGCTTCCATATAGTATTCGTACCAGTAAAGCAAATCATGCACGCCGATCGCTGCTTTTAACGGTTCTTACTCAGGCTGCCGTGTTGCATGGGGAGACAAGGCTTAGACTAGCGACGAAATAAATCTGAGCAAAGCCCACTACGACAACGCCCGCTCGAGTATCTCGCTAATAAGACATATCCAAGGTTGGCATAGTACGCTCACACGAAAATTACTGTCTCAATCTGAATTTAAGTGGCGTCGTGTGTGATCTTCTGCGCCTCAATCGTGCACTGTGCAGTTGGTGCCAAACAGTCTTACCGAATTGGAAGCCTTGAAATCTAATTCAACTTTCTGATGCTTCCACGCAATTGAGTATCACCCGGGTAGAGTACACAAGCTAATGAATGCATGTGGGCCTTTTCTTCAAGCCGTGCGTCATCGGCTCTCCCACAGGAAGGATCTACACCCTTGTTTGGGAAACCGGTAGACTGAAACATTCGTAGTAGACTATATCGACTACACGGTAATAATTATAGAAGCACATATACCCAATTGTTAGACAGAGTAAGGTGGGGGTTCAGACAACTCCATCTTCTCGTGCTTGGTAGGTAGCTCGTCTGCCGGTTGTGGTATCTGGGTAGAGGAGCTTGGGACATTAACGGATGCGACGGGCTGAGCTTGGAAAGTCGGCGGCATTGTAGGAGCACTGTGATCGTCAAGCTGAGGAGGTAAGACGTTGATTGGGGCCTTCACAACTAGCTGAGCGACATTGGCAGGATTCTCAGGGTTAGATGCTGTCACAGCAGCAACGAGAATATAACGGCGATCAACAGTCTGCGAGCTGAAAGATGGGACCAAATACACAGGACATACAACATCGTCAATAAGCCTTGATAGTTGGAACGTAGAACCCTTTTTGTTGATGGTTTCGAAAACCAAATCGTGCAACACAACACTCTGCTCTTCATGAAGTGCCTGGTCGTTGCCGCGAGCTCTCCACTGTGTGATTTCCTCCAGCTTCACACTCATATCTCTTATAATCACGTGCTTCGAGGCTGAAACTTTGAAGTTCAAACGCATTGGGTGCGGAGCTTGGGCGAGCCCATAACGGGGGAATGTGCACTCACCATAAAATTCGACGTCATCTAGCTTGGTTGAGCTGAAAATTGACTTGAATCCCCCCTTTCTTGGAGCCTTCATCGTGAAGTTTGCGTGCTGTGTAGCACTTTGTCGCCGTGGATCCGACAACACACTTATCTCCATGCAAGGACTGTAAATCACAGGCAGATCAGTGCGATAGTTGGCTTTGAACATCGAGCTTCTTCGCACTGTAACTTTCAATAAATGTGCAATCCTGTATCTACCCATTTTATCCGTCACAGTGGGCGGCAAGAACTTTGGCTGGCCTCGTTCGTCCTTAGGGAATCCTATGGCGAACTTGTATGTGTGCCGGCCGTGCTTTAGCGTGAACCCTTTGCCGGAAGTTTTGGACTTGAGCTCTTTGCTAGGAAACAGAATTTTTTGCGAATTGAAAATAACAATCTCACTTTCTGCAACCCGCTGAGAGTTCTTGTTGTCATTTTTCGTATAGCTAACTCTAGTGCTTGCAACGCACTTGAGTTTGAGCGTAATGTCCTCTATAGCAGTGTCTTTATCCAAGTCAACAATAACTGTGCCAGTGAGGACATCACAGGATGACAGTATCGGCTTGGAGGCGTCGAGCCTAATGTTTGCCGTTACCATGACGTAAAGCAGTCAACAGTAGAGGTCGGGAGTAGATATAATCCCAAAACCGTCGAGGTGATCAATTGACCAAGTGTGAGCGTTTGAAGCTTACTGGGAACTTTTGGTTCACAGGCAGTTGAATTTTTCACAGAGAGGTGAATCGGATCAAACGAAAGAGACTCGCGTCAATTCATTTAAGCTAGTTGTAAAAGCCAAATATATACATTGAATTTACAAATCTTACAACATAAATAATATTATACGGGAACACTTGCTTCCGCATAAGTAGGAATAGGTATCTCTTCGTAAGAAGAAGCGACTTCCACAGGAACTTCCAACTTCAAAACCTGGGAGTTCCGAGAGCCCTTCGTTTCTGAAACACAGACTTCGAATACTATCGAATGCTTGCATCGAATCACGTTTGAAGAAAAAGTGGGCAAAGTATTTTCAAACTCGAACCCGATTAGAGCCTTGGACAAGTCCAGGTGGGTATGGCCCTTTTCAATCTTTTGAGTCTTTACTCCGTGCCTTGTCAAGTCTTGCGTCTTAAAGTTCAAATCTTTGAATGATACCTCAACAGCTTGCCGCAGGTACACCGTAATTGACCTAATATGCAAGGGCGACGAGGAGCAGAAAAAAAACTGCAGGTCGGGCCGGCGCGGAGAGGGGGCGATGATCAAGGGCACCAGAGCCCCTAGTCGCACCGGAACAACGGTTTGGTTATCGTTTTTGAACTTTGTAAACGTTTTACCGCTGCCAAAACGGCACTCCCGCTTGACAAATGTTGGCATGGCAAGAGACGATTCCAAAACCGAGATGTCGGTTGTAGGCATTACTTGCAGCGGGACTGTGTGCCGGACGATGGGTTTCCAAATAGATTTGCGCAATAAGACAGCATCAACACTACAGTGAATTCCGTAGAAACAAGAATGTTTGGAATTCTTGTCATTTCGTCCTTTGCAGGTCGGCAAAAGCAAAGGACCCGCAGCGGCAAGAGGAAATGAGAATGGCCACACATGACGCCCGGGAGGGAACGTGTAAACACGTTGAGTAGGCATATCATTGGGCGGGAACACACGGCTGTCCATTTTGAAGTTCAAAGTCTCCGATAAAGGGTGTTCCCAAGACCCGGAAAACATAAAGGCGATTTCAACGATAGTGGAGCAATTCAAGGATACAGAGACCTCGCGGACGTGGGTGGCGGTCGTGAAATCTGCAATTAAATAGCCAGAAACCGTATCCTCCGGTGTGTATACCGCTTTACTATTCTCAATGATAGCCTTGATGCATGGCATGGTTTGTTAACTTTCAGATCTCCGGCAGGAGCGGGTCTAATCGCCTAGGGTTGAGTATGCGGGGCGTCATGCAGATCGACGTGCGGGGACGGCTTCAGCTTATCTTCTGATTTGGAGGATGATTTCTGAGGTAAACCAATCTTATTATTATCTTCCTGGTATACCGGAGCATTGTGGCGATGCACGTGGGATGTGGCTATAGAGACTGGGGTTTCGATCGAAATCTTGGCCGTTCGATTTTTCGCAGCTGGGTCTCGTAAGGTAATGATCAAGTTCAGCTCGTGTCTGCAGTTAAGTATGCCAGCGTCGTAGGCTTGGATTGCTTCACAACTGAAATCACTCACGAACTCCGTTAGGTTAATTTCAGTTCCGCTGAGATCAAGTGTTTTTTGCCCGCATGAGATTCTATCAACTACCGTTCTTTTATTCCATTGGGCGGTGAGAAACAAGTATTGTTTGATGAAGCATTTGATCTCTTTGACAGCAAACTCCTTTTCAGCACGGACTCTCAGGGCCAACCCCATTTTGCGAGGCAATTGAGGTATGACTTCAGAAAATTCCAGCTCGGCAAAGATTTTATTGGGCAATCTGGGTATACGAGAATAGAAATGGGCTGCTTTGGCTCCCGGAACCAACTGGTTGAAAACAAGCTCCGAATGTAGCTGTCTTCTTTGTGAATACTCGATCAATTCAACGTCTATACATGGATACAACTTGAAAGGATGGCAAGCACGAAGATTGCGCTTCCAATGGGATTCACGATGCACAACCGCCTTGTAGGTATATTCTACTTTATAATCGCACAAAACCCCTACACCATGAGACGTTGGCGGAAGTGAAAGCCCAGCATAGGGCGAAAGATCAATGACGAAAGGCCACTCGTAGTGCCCCGCGCCTAGTGTGTACACCTTCTGCCTCACCGCTGCGGCCAGTTCGGGAGGCGGAAATACCGTTAAAATGATTTGGAAGTACTTTTGAGTCTTAATATCATGGTAATTATTGCCGTAGATGATATCTACGCAGGATATGCACTTGAGCTTGACGGCGATGTCAATGACATCGATTTCTTTGGCAAAGTTAGCTTTAACGGTCCCTTTCAGGGTGTCGTGCATTGAGTATAATTTTGTGGGATCATCAAGTTCAATTTCAATATTTTGACCCATAGTTGAACTTAACGTGATGTGGAGGATGCACCAACTAACGAGGCTTGGGCGGGGTGATCTCGTGCGTTGGCACATGCAGGCCACATAGCAGCATGGCAACCTAGCGAAACACAGATTTTGAGACAATATTGCGCATATTCATGAAAAATATAAACCCAACCCAGCTATGGTAGTAGTGTTTTGCAAGCGTAGTACACGATCATAGCCCACTTTGCACCCACAGGCTGTTTTCGACTGTTTTAATGCAACAGATCGCAACGGGTGACGTTTGTGGGGCTGGGGTTGGCAAGACTAGAGGAGACTAGACTGCTTGGAACCAACCGATCTACGTCTCAATGTCCCCCCGCAATTTGAAACTGAACTCTGGCTACGAAATCCCCATTGTGGGCTTTGGAACCTATGCTGCCACCGATGATGAAGGCTATAAGGCTGTACTCGAGGCTTTGAAGGTGGGCTACCGCCATATCGACACTGCGTTTATTTACGGCAACGAAAAAGAAGTCGGCCAAGCAATTAAAGATTCGGGCGTTCCTCGCGAACAGCTTTTCATCACCACAAAGGTTTGGCCCACTGATGCTCGCAATCCGGCAAAGTCTCTCGAGCGCTCGCTCGAGTTGCTCAAGCTCGAGTATGTCGATCTCTTACTCATGCATTGGCCTTACCCTCTCAAGCAGGATCCAGAGAACTCAGGTTCGTTTTCAGGTTCCGGAATTGATGAAGATTGGGATTTTGTTAAAACATGGCAGCTGTTCCAGCAGCTTCCAAAGTCTCAGGTGCGCACGATTGGTGTCTCAAACTTCACAATTAAAAACCTGGAGAAACTGTTGGCAGACCCCACAATGAAAACTGTTCCCGCTGTGAATCAATTCGAGCTCCACCCATGGTACCCCTGCTCAGAGCTGGTTAAATACTGCCAGGATAAGGGCCTTGTTGTGGAGGCTTATTCTCCGGTGGCCCGTGGCAAAGGAACCGGTAACAGTATTGTTGAGTCGATTGCCAAGAAGCATAATGCTCAACCGGGCCAAATCGTCCTCAGCTGGAACGTTAAGCGCAATGTGGTGGTTGTTCCGAAGTCCGCCACCCCTGCCCGAATTGCCGCGAACTTTGAAATTGTTGACCTCGATGACGCGGACATGGCCAAGCTCGAGGAATTGGGCAAATCCCAAGAGCGGATAGTTAACACAGTCCGGATCTATGGCCGAGACATTTTCCAAGACTAGTACGTATTAACTCTATCAAAATCGTGTAGCTTCTCGACTATAGCCTGGGGTGATCGTCACGTATCCACCTAATTGTATGCCGTATTTGTAATGTTGCGCTGGACAAACGGTCGTGCATAGATCTGGGGCACTGAGGGTATCTCTTCTTCGCTTGGTTATAGCACACGTAGAGGTGATTTTACGAATCCCCAGACTCAAATTCACTTCCGTTCCATCCGGTGAAAATCCCCTGTAAACCCGCCACCTGCTACCGAGCCGCCCAGTATCCCAGCTTCCCAGATGCAGCCCGTACCCAACCCGCAACAGCCTGTGGGTCGGAGTATTTAAGTCTGAGTTGTTCCACGGCATTCTACCCAACAACTTACTTACTTCAAGATGGCAGATATTCCTTCCTTGAAACTTAACACTGGCGCTTCTATCCCCCAGGTTGCTCTGGGCACCTGGGAATCTGCTCCTGACGATGTCTACGATGCTGTCAAGATCGCCCTCGACGCCGGCTACCGTCACATCGATACGGCCATGATTTACGGGAACGAAGAGGCTGTTGGCCGTGCCCTCCAGGACTCCAAGGTGCCCCGCCAGGAGATTTTCCTCACCACCAAACTGTGGTGCAAGGATTTCCGCAACCCCGAAGCTGCACTTGATGCCTCTCTTAAGCGTCTGCGCACCGACTACGTCGATCTTTACTTGATGCACTGGCCTTTCGCCACCAAGGAGGAGAACGGCAAGGATGTCATCGACAAGGATGTTGACTACGTCGAGGTTTACAAGGCTCTTGCCCAGCTGCCTACCTCTAAGGCCAAGGCGGTTGGTATCTCCAACTTTACCATTGAGCGTGTCCAGCGCGTCCTTGACTCCAAGCCCGCCAAGGTCCCTGCCGCTCTCCAAGTTGAGCTCCACGTTAACCTGCCTCAGCAGAAGCTTGTTGACTTCTGCCACTCTCACGGCATTGTCGTCGAGGCTTACAGTCCGTTAGCTCGTGGTAATCTCGACAACGAGGTCGTCAAGAAGATTGCTAAAAAACACAATGTCGAGCCCGCTAATGTCGTGCTTTCTTGGGGTATTGCCCGCAACACTGTCGTTCTTCCCAAGTCCGTTACTCCCGCTCGCATTCAAAGCAATCTTAAGGTTATCAAGCTCGATCGCGAGGAGGTCGAAGAACTCAACAAAATTGCTAAGGAAGACGGTCTCAAACGCCACTGCAACTACGGCAATTCGTTCGACTTCGACACCTTCGACGGTGACAAGGACAGCAAATAGTTTTGTTTTGTACTTCAATAGCCTGATACTGTTTTTTTAACCACCCTATCTTTCTCGCTTAGTCTACGACTACCCCACATTTTAGACTTTGGAACGTACTACCGAGCGGTGCTAATAGCAGTTGATGCCGCTCGATTGCAAAGCTGGTAATTTCAGCATTGAGCACATTCAGATCTCATGAATTATCGACATTCATGGTGACCTTGCAGTTATGCATATTCTTGCACCCCTAATATAGTTTGCTAGCGCATAGCGGTTAAGCTTATCTGGCTCATTTGAACCATGGCGTTTGGTTTTACGTGTGAAACTATCGTTCCTATTGATATTTACGGTGTTGTCGATACGTCCGATCAGTCATGGATGCTTTACACTGGTGCTTTGATTCCGCAGGTCGCTCTAGGCACCAGCGGCTGCTCCTGACAATGATTATGAGGCTGTCAAGATCGCTATCGATGCTGGCTATCGCCATATTGATACTGCCATGATGTACCAAATGTTTCTTAGCCCCCTGGTAGCGCTCATGCCTACCGACGTTCAAAAGATTCGCATCTCATGCAGCTGTTCGCAATCTCTATGTTGACGCCCGTCGTGCTCTTCCACCGAGGGCTAATTATGCAACTCGTGTGGCCTCCGCTGTAAAAAGACATGAGCCCGTCGCATCAATGCTGCGTGCGGAAATATCTAGAAAACACAACATTGAGCCTTTCAACTTCGTGCATGCCCGGGTTATTGCCCTCGAAAATGTCGTTTTTCCCAGGTTCGTCACTCCCGCTCAAATTGGAGACAAATTAGAGATTATCAAGCTCGATGGCGAGGACGTCGAAGAGCTCAACCAAATCTCCACGGAGGACGATTTCTAACACGACTGCAACTACGAGAACTGATCAAGTTCGACGCCCCCCACAGTGAAAGCGTACGGCAACTGATTTTAAATGTATTTAATGGTCTTTTATGCGATTCTTTAAACGTCCCATCTCCCCCACTTTCGCTTACTCCCATCAAAACCCCCAGATTTCAGGTTCTCCACCGAAACGCAATGGCGAGTCCGCTATTGTTAGTGTTTAATTCAGTTTGCGCATTGGCGGCGCTGGGGATCTCAGCACTGAATATATGCATGCATCTCAAGAATTACCGAAATCCCATGGTGCAACGTCTAATTGTACGCATTCTTGTTCTCGTGCCACTATTTGCAGTCGCGTCGTGGTCAAGCTTGTACGCACCATCAATTGGAGCGTGGGTTTTGCCTTTACGTGAAATGTACGAGGCACTGACTATTTATACATTCTACTCGCTTCTTACATCGCTCTTGGGCGGCGAACGCGATATAATTTTCACTACCACCGGCAGAGCCCCGTTGCAGCTTGTCTGGCCAGTGCGTCTATGGCGTAAAAACGTTGATATCTCAGATCCTCCCACTTTCTTGAAGATCAAGCGCGCAATCATGCAATATGTTTGGGTTCGTGTTATTGTCACCATACTCCAATTGGTTCCGGGAAGCACGGCACATCTGATATTGACTGTTGTTTACAATATTAGCATCACGCTGGCACTTAATGCTTTGACTTTATTTTGGGTGTGCCTTTCTTCAGACCTGGCCCCCTACCGGCCATGGCCAAAGTTTTTATGCGTCAAGCTTATCGTATTTTTCAGTTATTGGCAGACACTGGGCCTTGCAATCCTTCACTATTTCAAAGTAATCAAGGATCAAGACAGTCTCGTGCTCATTTCAAATTCCCTTCTTTGCTTCGAGACCCTCGTTTTTGCTATATACCATATTCGCGGCTTCCCTTACTCTGAATACGCAAACCGACCTGAGTTAGGAAGACTTTACCTTGGAGCGGCAATAAAAGATACCTTTGGCTTCGCAGATCTGATGCATGATTTCAAACAAACATTCGTCAGTGCTCGCTACGGCTACCACGATTTTGATTCTGTCGAGGCAGTCCTTGATCACCCTGAATCGGCCTCGCGTCAGGCTCGCCTAGCCGCTGGGCTGAGATACAAGAACCAGGGCCGTTCGAAATACTGGCTGCCGCTCAATGCACAAACACCAAAGCTTTGGCAAAATTATGGCTCAATTGTCTCAACGACTGAGCCGGAACAGGAAATCTCATGGGCTAAAGACGATATTGATGGTGATGAGGTTTTCTACACTAAAGCCCGCACAACCTATGGGGATTACAATTATCCAGTCACAATAGACCGCGAAGATCCACCATACAGGACTGTGGCTGAACGTTTGGCTTGATGAATAGTAAATGCGTAAATATTTTAGATGTATATATATGTGTATGTATTTTAATCTGCTCTAAGCTGCCAGCTGTTGTGCCTCGATTTCACGCTCGCGGCGCTCCAAAATCTCCAAAATCTCACGATCGATTTCTTCTGAGCCACGGCCAATATGTAGCTTCTCAAGCCACCTATCACGACGACGCCGACGAGAAGTAATGGCCGTTGGAACGTCGCGTTTAGACCGTGGCGTTTCAGCAGGGAGTTTGCCATGGAAGAGCGAGCGCCAAGAAGTAGGCAATTGCTCTGCTGCTTCCCAGCCTTGCTCAAGCTCCATTTGAGACTCTTGTTCCAATTTTTGCATGATGAACGGATCCTTCTCGAGCACCTCAAAAGCATCGATATCTGTAGGTCGAATCGCCTGACGGACGAGACGCAATAGTACTTCAAATACAATACCAATGGCAATAATAACGCACACAGTAGCCCACCAATTAGCGTCTCGTCCAAAGCCATCCTGGAATGCATACGAAACGTAATAGGTCTTGGGGGGCCTCAAGGCGAAAATAGCTCCAATGAAACAGTTCCATGCCATGTAGCCACCAATGGAGAGTCCTGCCGCCACGAAATTGAAAATAGTAATGTAATGCATCTCCAAAAATAATAGTTTGTAGCAAATAATAACCACAACAGATGTGAAAACCGCCACCCCCACAGGGAACATGGTGTTATCATGCCATCCATAGTTCTCACCCCAGAAATTAAACACGAGGAAGCAAGTCATGACACACTGAAGCATAGCCACACAGAGCCATAGCACAAACTTTGTAAATCCAAAGGCTTTATTTTGAGACCCCATGGTGTAAAGCTCAGGTACAGCGAGCAGAGTGGCTGGATTCAGGTCTCGATCTAACGCACCCATGCAAATTACAGGTAACGACGTGAACAGAGTATTGAACATCGAAATGGACCAGCTCTCGTACATAGATGTACCTGTAAACATAGTGTTGCGTTGATATACAACCTGTGCCATGTAGAAAAAGAATTCCTTATAGAACGTCGATAGGATGTACTTGCATGTCCGGACATAGTTCCAATGACCATGCACGAGTAACAGCTTCAATAGGAAGCGGAACTGCCCGATGGAGTAATCCGATGATCGTGCCGCTTGTAAGCCCTCGCGGCCCGCGATACCAATACCCAAGTCAGCACTTTGAATCATTGCAATATCATTAGCACCATCGCCAATAGCCAATGTCACCTTTTTGGGCTCGCGCCTACGGACTGACTGGACCATAGTGGCTTTTTGAGCAGGTGAGGCACGACAGCAAATCACAGAATCGGCCTTCAAACTGAGATCAATGAATAGAGAGAATAGAGTCTCATCTTCCTCCATTTTCTGCAGTGTATGCCCGTCAACAACAACAACGCAATGAGCGATCTGCTCAGCACGAAGCTCCTCAAGAGCTGCCATGATCTTGGAAGACAGATCCTCGTCTTTGTGAAGAATTACCAACGTGCTGTAGTCCTTAATGAGTCGGCAAGAATAGCCAATATTGATGGCCGTTTCACGCTTGTCACCTGTGAGCATCCACATACGAATATTCGCTCGACGAAGTTTCTCAATAGCTTCAGGAACACCACGCTGAAGCTTATCTTCAATGGCGGTGATACCAGTAATTTCAAAATCACGCTCAATAACTTCACTCACACGATCGATATTCTTCTGACGATCGACTAGAGAGGCTCGGGCAGCGTCATATTCTACTTTCCAGGACTCGTACTCAGAAGAATTTAGGAACCGATGGCCGAACATCAGGGTACGCAGACCTTCACTCGAGAATTCATCAATTTGCTCGAGAGTCCGGGTCAAAATGAAACTGTCATCAAGGACTTGTCGCTCCGCTGGAAAAGCTGTGGGTGCTTCTGTGGCAATGGAACGAGCATCGTCCATAGCATTGGCTTCTTCACTCCTACGCCCTGTGCTTTGGAAAGAATGTCGGCCTCCCAAGCTTGCACTATCAAGTTGGTGAACATCAACACTCCGTCTGGCTTGCATAGAGCGGCGTCCCGACTCCTGGATTGTCTGGTCTTCTGACTGACGATGAAGATGCTCTTCTAAAGACAACATAGCCGCAACAGGTGACATCGACATGCTAGGACGTTCTCCCAGGGGCCCATGCGAAGTTGAGGTACGGCCCTTGCGCACAAGATCTGCTTCGATACTTTTACGAAGGACTGTTTGCTGCCGAATCTCCTCTTGCTTCTGCGTGATAGTGGGAATAAGAGATGACCTGAGACGTTCGATTATCACATTATCAGCCCCCTTCCCAAATAAACAGATTCGTCCGTCCGGGAATCTGACAATGACGGACATTCTTTTGCGCAGTGAGGTGAACTCGATAGTGTCCAGTACTTGGTACACGTCATCCACTGGCTCAGCTTCAAATCCCTTCGGATAAGTTCGAACGGTGATTGAGTTGTGCTGGCGATCAATCACGAGGTATCCCAAATCACGAGCGGCGGATACTAGAGCCAGTTCATCTGGGGAGCTAGCCTGATAATCAAGATATTCAATATTCTCAGTGTTGTTTTCGACGTTTGTTACCAGATCAACAACAGGTGAAGCGGTATGGCAAAGAGCAAGGGCTAACAAAAAGAAACGGACCTTTTGAGAGAAAAGAGACTGTGGGTGTGTCATTGCATACTCCAACAACATCAAGGTTGATGGAGTTTCCTGGGGTTTCCTGGGGTTAGCAGTCGAATGCCATTTAGGTTGTCCTGCATCACGGCTTGGTCGGCCCATAGCTGGGTAACCAGTCGAGTGTCTACTCATAGAAGCCAAGGCAAGTGAATGTCTGGGCAGAGAAAACCCGGATGGTCTAGGAAGAGCCACGACTTGACTAATGAGATCAAGCGAGGGGCGGGTCTTGGCCTTGTGAAATAAATATCCGGGGGCCTTGGTAGAATCTTGAGTAGATGTAACACTTGCTGATATAGAAGAAGTCTCCAAAGCTTCATCATCAAAGTACAGGTCGAGGTCATGGATGAAGGGATAGCCAGCGACCGACATTTTACGAAACAGCATAATGTTGTCGGTCAACGTACCCGTCTTGTCGCTAAAAATATAACTGACTTGACCAAGCTCCTCGTTCAAGGAGGAGGTTTGACAGTTGCAGCGATTGTCAAGAACAGTATCATACATGTCCACATCGTTCTGCATCAAAACCACTTGGATAATCTTGCAAATCTCCATGGAAACGTACAGGGAAAGCGGGATTAGCGTATTGAACATAATGATAAAGCCCATCAGATTTTGAATAACAGTAACATGAAGACCGTGTACATACCACATATCTTTGAAGCGGTGGTTTTGAATCACAGTGCTAGCAACCATGGAAAATACCGACAGCAGGAGAACAAAGAGTGCCATGAGTTCGATGATACGATTGACTTTATCCTGCAGCTTGGGACTTTTAGCTCTAGCATTTTTGCTTGAATTGAGCTGAATTTTAGTTTCTTGGCCTGAAAATATAACCAGGGCGAAGCATGACGCAGTATTCCGTAAAACACTGCCACGATAAATAACGTTTGCATTGTTTAGCGGCAATGTCTTATTTTGTAAATGTACAGTTCCCTCGAAGTTGTAAAGGTCAATGCCTGGGTCCTCTGTGACAACTTCAATCCCCAGATCGGCGGTTCGGGGAATTTCATCCACCATGAATAGTTCCTGTAGATCAGCTGGAGTCTCTCTAGACTTCAATGTAGACTCACCATCTAATGCAAGAGTCTCGATTGAAGCCTGGCCGCGCATACCTGACGAATGCAATAGCAAAATATCTGCTGGAATCCATTCGTTTTGTAGGATACGGACAATATCGCCGACTTGTAAATCTTTCCACTCTGTTGTCTTGTAATCCACTTGTCCATTTTCGTCTTCACGAGCGACCAAAACGGTTCGTCCATTTTCTTCCTTATCTGTACGGAACCGGCAGTAATCATCATAGCCCTCTCGAGCGATGGAAATGCAAACAAACACCATCAGAGGCACGATTGTCGTGTAGTTACCTGTGGTACTCCAGGATGGGATCATTTGAAGAATCGACACAAACAAAAAGTAGAGATTGGCGCGCTTAGAGAACTGGAAGATGATCTGCCGTGGTAGGAAGTCGTATGGTGTGTAAATAGCCGAAGTGACTCTGTTGTTGATATAAGGCTTCGAACCTTTACGCCTATCATCTGGTAATGGAGAAAGTGGGTCGTCCATGTTGAGCAAACGCACTGGAATTCGTCTGCCATTCGGGCTCGGGGGAAGCATCCGACGCTTTTTCCACCATTTTGCAACCAACTCGAAAGGCTTCATGACATATATCCAAGGGTCGCTAAACCGGTTTTTCCATTTTTTTCGTCTTTGCTGAATGTGGCGGCGCAGAACTGCGCGGCGGCGAGTCGAATTCCACGAATCATCGGTCATAAATGAGGTAGCGTCGTCCCCATGGCCAAGAGCAGCCGCTGCGGCAAGCGCAGCGTCTCTGTCGGCCAGTACATCATCCATGGAGTAGTTTGAAGTCCACGATCTTCTTGCAGCATTATCCATAGGAACATGTATCCGGTCAGTGCCGTAGTTATATTTCTCCGGATCCCGATGCCTCACCGAAGGCTCAGCCACACGGTCAGGCAGTTCGATATCAAAACTCACACCGTTACCACGATCAGTGCTGTTGCCATTGCGCACATTCCTTCCCCGTGCTGGGGGAGTAGGTGGCCCGGCCATTTTTGGGGGGTTTTAATTTTGGGTTGGTTGCCTAGGCTTGGATAAAAAACGGGGTCGATGACAGATAGGGTGTTATTTCCCTCAGGGGCGCATGGTCGGGCAAGGCTGAGGGGTCTGGGCAATACGACGAAAACACTATGCTTGCACGTTGACTTCCAGTTAATTTCAGTCAAAATTGTTCCGAAACCTCACTGATTTATTAAAGAATCGCCTATATAGATCGCTCTAACTTCGACATAGACGTCGCCAGACCTTGCGGGAGATTTATCATGCATCTAACAATTAATTAGTGAGCAGCCGCTGGGGTTACCAAAAAGGTCCAAAAAAAAATATTGAGCAAGTCAGCATGGACATTGGAGAGATTGTGGAGCGTGATTCGGAGGTTAAACCGCCAGCTCCCCCTAAGCAACCTAGACTTAAAAGCTTGCCCAAGGCCTGGAGACCCTCTCGTGCTCGAGGTCCAGGCATCGCTCCCGCTCAAGCCCCCGGAGCGGCACCTCCTGCTCCTGAGCAACCACCCTTGACAGAGTCGGAGCAGATTCATATCGAAAATGTCAAGAAATTAGCATCAATGTCCCCTGACGAAATGGAAAGAGAAAGAGAAGAGATTTTTCAAAGTATGGACGCTTCTGTTTTACAGGGGCTTTTGAAAAGGATTGAACTCAAAGAAGCTGGGACGGCGCAGAAGACTGCTGATCCCCTCAGCACTACAGACACCTTGCCAGATCAAGTTGAATTCAAGCCTTCACCATTAAAAGTGGATGAAGAACAAAAAGCAAATATTTCAAACTTACCTGAAACCGAGTCTGTGGCCCAAATGTCACACTCGCATGATCACCAAGGTGAGACGCTGCACTTTCCCTCTCCGCCTGATGACTTGAAAAAGTATTTCCCGGATTTGCCGGTTGAAACCGAAAAAATGGCCTGGATGCAGCCAATCTCTACTGAGGAAGAAAACGAGTATTCTGCTGACCTTACTTCGGTGGCACCGTCTGAGATAAGGTTTGATTTTAACGGAAATTTGTTGACACCCCGCCAGAGCCGGGCGATTGATGGGTCTAAAGGGTTGCATCACCATGGAGATGCACCTAGTGCTGCCGGGTACACTATCTTAGAACTCGCACATCTAGCCCGCAGTAGCCACCCAGCTCAAAGATCCATGGCAATTCAAACGTTAGGCCGAGTTCTCCACAAGCTATATCTCGGAAAGTTTCGCAAGTCTTCAGATCTACAAGGTGGCTTAGAGCAGCTCGTGGAAAGTGGTAGAGTGATGGACACACTTTACGAGGCTGCGGGCGAGCGGACAAGGAGTGTAACCGTCCGTACATTAGCCACAGAAGCGCTATGGCTCATAGAAACAGTGAAACCAAGTAAGCCGACGACATAACTTATTCAAACTAGTCCACGTACAAACATCTACTCATCGCATGCCCTAATTCCGCTACGATTACTCCGTGCTGATCCGTCACGTGTTGACTGTTGGAAACTTTCGCTTTGCACCTGTTACACCACATGCAGACATCTGCATGGAAACGTGGCGATTCAATGTCGAAATCAAAAAGAGCACTATATCTGAAGCTACTCTGCTTTTCTACAGGCAGGCCAAGATATGTCGAAATTTCCGATGATAGGGGCGATCGCCCTTGGCATGACGCCTCGCTCAGTCAGGACAGATCAAGATTCTGCAAATTACGCATTTTTTTACCACGCCGTTATTACAGAGGCTGATGCATCCTGCAGCAGCTACCACTACGTTCAAGGACAGATGCGCGTGAGGGGCAGAGGGATTCCAGGAAATGGTTGCACCATGAGCAATGAAATCATGCCAGGTAACTGCCACCGTTTTGAAAATTTCCAAACCGCTCATCGCAAAACCTTCGACTTCAATAAACGCCCACTTGAATGACTGTAATACATATTTAGCCAAGATTTTACCCGTGATGTGACTGGCCAACGCGATGTCGCACAGACTTTCGCGAAGCCGTCTGCGCTATTTTCATGGCTTTGAATTTTTCTCAATAATTCGACTGCTCTTAAACCGGAATACCGAGAGCTAATAACAAGGGTGCAGCTAAAAAACCTGCCCTGCGGCAGCGATATGTCAGGTCACTGCTCCAGACCACGCTTGCATATCTTTAGCATAGAATGGAAAGACGTCCCATATGCAGTCAGCCCGTATTTTTGGACGACGCAAACGCCTGACTAGGGGATGCAAATTACCGCTTGTCACCGGGTTAGTTTATGGACTTTTCTATCAGTATACCGTTTATCCAAAGGAAGATGTTAGGCAGCCCCGTTAAACGATGGGGAAGACTTGGCAGTTGCTGCAGGCAACCTGTGAACTCGACGTTCGAAACGTGTTCTGATGACTGTACTCCGCAAGTCTATTCTTCTCTACCGATAGAACAATTGAGTTTACAGGTAAGCTCGGTAAGTCAGGTTGGAATCAACGCAGTGGAAAGCTGTACTTTACTAGTCAACAGAATTAGAGTTTAACTTGCGCATGCACGGCTGGACGCCTTGCAACTGATCGCAACTACGGGGTACTTGAAAACTACCGTTTTAAATCCTTATAGAGCCTTTACCAGCTGTGAACGTAGTTTTTTTGTTGGGCCGATAATGGGGTTCGGGTGATTTATCAGCGGCCGACTATACACGACTTCCGCTGCCTAAACCCGATGCTGCATGCATATTCTGAGCAGTGTCCACGCATCCGTCCGTTAATCAGTACCATGGTAGATCTGCAACCGGTATGTACGTGGTTGCAAGCTGGCGTCAGCATGTGCTAAACTGTACCACTATGTAGAGCACCAAATTGGAATCATAAACAAGACTTGAAATGCCAACCATTCGGGCAGTGCCTCCAGATCGAACTGCAGCGTCGGTCACTGGTCGCCCCACTTTTCGCACAGATTACTACAGCTGCCCCCCTACCCCCATGCATACGGGGCTGTGGCGCGAACCAAAGCTTCATTGAAAATTGCACCTTTAGTTGCAAGCTGTGATTCAATAAAGAGCCACGACAACTCCATCGCACTGTACCTATACCTGTCACCTAAATCTAGGTCACACTAATATTACGCCAAGCTTAGTGAGTTGCTGTAAATAGACTGGTCAGCTTTTCCCTGACTTGAAAAAAAGGCAGCTTGCAAAACTAATATTTGGGTTTACGGACTTTCTCGGAGTCCTTAGTATTTCGAGTTCATTGGCTATATTGGTCTTGAATCTGGCTCGGTTCCTCAGTGAACTCCGGTTTGAATACCCAAACGCCCAAACATAATTCTTGATCGGTCGTGCGCGGCTTATTCGCTCATCTTTGCTACCAGTCACTCCTACTACACCCTGTGACTACCGGCTCGAGTGGCCTTCTTCTTATTTCTCACCGACTAATTTGAAGTATATTCTGAGTACCTACCAGAATATAATGTACAACTATCACCCGAGCCAGCATCCCGGGACCCCACGAGCTGCACCTCAGCCGTCTGATTCGGTCCCCCAGAACGCCTACGGTTATGACCGCCCACCTCAGGGAGTCGATATGGGCCTAATGAACATGGGATCTCAGCAGCAATTGCCCGCGGGTGTATCAGGCGGACCTGCGATCAGCCTGGCCGCCCAAATGGCCCGTCAGCAACAACAGCAGCAACAGCAGCAACAGCAGCAACAGCAGCAACAGCAGCAGTACTACTACGCACAGGGCATTCCACAGTATTACCAGGCGCCCGCCTCTGTGCAAGGCGATGCCTCCGGTCAGCCGCATCTTGGCCAGGCCAACACCGGCGAAGACCTGCAAGTTGCTCCAGTTCCGTCTGCCGGTTACGGACACATGTACCCTGCATATTACCAGCATCCTCCTCCGTCTGCAAATTCGGCCTACCAATTCAATGCTGCTGCTGCTGCGGCAGCGGCTGCGGCTTATCGAGCTCCGGCGAACTCAGACTATCTTATGATGATGCAGCAGCATGCGGCCCATGGCATGGAGCCTGTAGCACCTCACACTGTCGTGCCAGCGACGAATCAACAACCCGTTTTGACGGTTACTGATCCAACTGGCCAAACAGCACCCCCGGGAATTAAACCCAAGGTCACAACTACTATATGGGAAGACGAAAAAACACTCTGCTATCAGGTCGAGGCCCGAAATATCTGCGTCGCTCGCCGTGAAGATAACAACATGATCAATGGCACAAAGCTTTTAAATGTAGCCTGTATGACCCGGGGCCGTCGTGATGGTTTGCTCAAAGCAGAACGCAATCGTCACGTAGTCAAGACAGGTGCAATGCATCTGAAAGGCGTCTGGATTCCTTACGACAGGGCTCTTGATTTCGCCAACAAGGAAAAAATTGTGGATTTACTCTATCCATTATTTGTGTCAGATATCAAAAGCATTCTATACCACCCTGACGATCCTGCAGGTCTGGGCGTTCAGACAGGTGATACCCAAGTTATGGCATCCGCGGTACCGTTCACGCCCTCAAACAGTATGCAAAATCCGTCAGTTCAAGCCCAGCAGGAGCACATGCCCTCAAAACAGCCTGTGCAGTCCGCGCACCCAGGAACACACCAACCCATCGAGTCTGCACGCCCTAGCACTACATCGCCACGACCCAACACAATGGCTCCACAACCTGCCATAGAAAACGAGCAAACACAACGCTACTATGACGTTTCACATATGGATGGACAGCAGGGGCGATATCTGCCTCAGCCTCCTCAGCCTCCTCAGCCCCCACAAGCGGTGGGAGCATTAGACTCCCAGACACACCGACCACAGCAGCCTGTGCAGATATCACAATCACCTGTTCAGCAGCAAAATCCGCAATCGTTACAACTGCAACATCAGCAGGGCCAGCAGCCGCATGCACAACCTCAGCCGCAGCCCCAGCCGTCTGCAGGTCTCGGTGATACCCAGGAACATGTGGAGAGCGGCAGCCAACAAGCTGAGACCAATATCCCTCAGCAGCAGCCTCAGCAGCCTTATTACTATAGGCGATCTGGTGAGGATTACCAGTATCAACAGCATGCATATGGCCAGCCTAAGACAGAAACGGAATAGCTAGCTCAAATTTTGTACGAATTATATAAAATTGTATTGTATAGAGTCTTTTTTTTTGCAATAAACGATGGTCATATACTGTTGCGTTATTTTTCCTGGTTTTTTTTTGGGCTTTCCTGAGTTTCTTTTACATTATGAATGTGCAAGCTTGAGGCCCACCGTTGCGAATAAATACCTGTAGAGTCAGTCGAAGAGCCGGGAGCGCCATACGACTCTAATTTGAGGTAACACTGCCAGCATCAGAACTAAACATACTTTCAGCTGCCATTGCCCTTGTTGAAGCGTTCGTATCAAGAGACCGCCTCCTCCGCCGTTTCGACGACGATGCGATTGTCAAGATACTGGCGGCGTCAGTGTGTTTGTTGCGCAAAAGATATACCTTGGGGTCCATTCTGACAACTGCGTTTCCATTGAGGCTCGCTGCAGGCGTGGGCGAAGACGATACAATTGTAGTATCACGCTGTTCGCTAGTTTCTTCCGTCGCAGCCGTCGATGTGGCGACATCACGAGAGCTCAAAGACCCAAAACTAACCCTGCGTCGCAGCTCTAGCGATGTGTTTGACGAGTTTGCTGCTGGCTCAGGTGCTGCGGGTTCCTCTGGTGAAGCTTCTCGTGACCCAGTGCTACGTTCATCAGACGATGCCCGAGAGTTGGATATGACCGCCACCGAACCGTCTGTAGGTTGTGTGCCTTCCTCGCTCTGGCGCTTGGCTAATAGCCGTCTCAAACGTTGCAATACGGTCGTTTGGCTGCCCATTCAAGAAGTGGTTGGGTAAAGTTACGGATATGAGTTCCCACCAGCCTACTTAATATTCCCAGCAACAGAAATCCTTAGTTAACGGAGTTCGGCTGCATTCAGCTGGGTTAGGTTAGAGATGGAGCGAGAGTTCTCGGTGGGCAGTCCTTTTAACAGTTCTAGAGGGTTACTTTGTGTCAACAAATTTACTTAAATAACAATTCACTCGTTCCACATATATTCGGACAGCGCTGTCATGATCACTGTGCGTTGGCTGGGATGGGATTTGTCGTCGCCAACTAGTGTCAACTCTAGCCCGTGTGAGGTATTAGTGTTGTGATGAAGAGCGATACCCTCGGGGTGGTCATTGATATCGGGGTGCTTTGACAGGTCCTCAGCAAGCGGACGAATGCAGCTTTTTCCTGCTTCCGTCCGGAAGTGACGACCCAGAGCGTCTGCTCGCGCAAAACGTCGACCACAGCCCCATCGACTGGCATCATCGCTCAGTTTTCCGCTACAAGCATAACGTTTTTCTCCTGAGTGTAGGTCTTCGTGCCGCTTGCGATCGTGAAGTCGAGCAAACGCTTTCCCGCAGACCGTACACAAGAACGGTCTTTCATCAGTATGTGTCCGCATATGGCTTCGTAAATTATAGGCCCGGGTGAACTTCTTGTCGCATTGATCACAGCAAAACATTAATCCTGAATCATTGTCCCCTGTGGCTGTGTTCTCAACGGGATTAGAGATGGCCCGAGGCCGGTTTCGAGGCGCCGCTAGTTTGTTCTTGTGGATTCGATTTTGAGACGGACTTCGACTTGTTCTCGCCGATAGTGGTGCCTGGAGATAGCTGGGCTCCACAGAGCGTCCTGTTCGCTGAGTGTTCGGCTCTTCACCGTAAGAATTTGGAGATTGGAGAAATTCTTCGTAGTCACCACGATATATCGGCACCGCGGTTGGTTCGGATTCTTCATCGGTATGATATCCTTGTCTTTGATACCTACTAAGAGAGTATTCGGCGGGGGTGTCATAAATAAAAGGAAAAGCCAATGAAGAGTCCGAAACTGCCCGATTCCTAATATGAGCAAACGCTGGCTCAGAATTCAGATAGGGCGATAGCAGTGGTGATACAGTTTCGCCGCTGTTTTCAATTTGGGGGAAAGGCACGGGTGATCCTGCCGCACTGGTTATGGGGCTAAATGGGTCCAAAGATCCTGCGGGCGAGTTTCCTGAAAAGTCATCAGCTAGTTGCATATTCGTGAGCCTCTCTGCAAACAGAAAATCAAGGTTGGTTTTCGATTCGCTGGATTCGAGGGCCGGCATTTGTTGCAAGGCAGGAAGAGGCTGAGTCGCGGCGTCGCCTGCTAAGTACGGTACATCCAGGTTCGGTAGATCAGCGACCCCATGCTGTTCGTTTACAACAATGGTTGGCACGGTGTCTTCCAGCTCTTGATAGTCCTCCACAACCAATGTGGGGGGAGGCAGCGATGCTGCAGTTTCAGGGTATGTTTGATGCCCATGTGAATACTCATCCAAAGCAGAGGGGTTCAAAAACTCTGTCAAAACATCGCTACTCTGATAGACTGGTGGATTTTGAGCTGAAAACTCTACCTCTGAGGGTGGGAATTCTAAGTGGTTGCCATCACGCTCAGATTTACGGGGTGCAGACGACGGTATGCCCAATTCATCGAGGATGTGGAGATCATCCAAAAGGCTAGACTCTTCGCTCGGCATTCAAAAGGTCGATCCTGGCAGGCAAAATGTCCGCTCTCCTCGTATCCGGTACACAAGATGAAATCGACTTAATGAAGGCTGCGACCGATGACAGTCTATGGATTTGTCAATGAGTTACTAAGGATTCTTTAAATGTAAGCACCTGATGGAGGCTACCTTGGAGACCACTTAGTCTTACTTGGAAGCATTCTTGTTGAGGGGCAAATTACTGCTCCCATCGATCTCTTGGCTTTTGGAAGCTCGAATTTGATCAGCTCTGCTAGGAATGTCTAGTCAGCACAGCCAAGAAACAGTGAACCCTAGATCGGATCGCAGCCGCCTCGCATTTGAGCTCTGTCAGAGCCCCAATTTGGTAGCATGCATCCACATGCAGCTGTCGATCCTTGTTCCACTGAAACAGCGGTTTTGGATAAACCAATAAATATCCACATGGGTAGCATTAAACACTGCACAAAAATGAAGCTTACCCAAATTATCTGCTTACCTGCAGCAAATGCTCGGTAATGCGGGATATCCCCACGCGAGCGTTCATCGCATGCGGTGCCGGTTGAAGAAGAAACCTTTTTCGGATCGCCAATTTATCTACCAAAACAATATTCCAATTTGGGCTACATCTATTATTCGTTTACGACACTAGTGTAGTATATGAAAAGTAGTTTGCTAAAGTAACTAGAAAGTGCCAACTGCACACAAGAAAGTGTTCAGATTAAAATAACGGGGGAATAGAGGCACGAGTAAATTGTTGTGTGCATTGGTTTTAGGTCACCTTTTAGTTTAATACTCAGAGTCCTGACCAGGGTTGGCGGTTTCGTAGTCAGCCCACTTCAAGAAACGATAGAACAAGCCGGTAATGATGGCAGCAATGATGGGGCCAACCCAATAGATCCAATGATAGACGGGGAAGTACTCTTTGACAATGGCAGGACCCAAAGAACGGGCAGGGTTCAAACCAGCACCAGTGTAAAAAACGGCAAACAAGTGACCGATGAACAAAGCAATGCCAATGACATAAGGGGCGTTGTATGTGATTCTGGACTTTTCAACAGCAGTGAATAAGACAGCAAGATGCAGAGGTATAACTCCAAACATTTCAATGAAAAGGCCTCGAGACTTGGAACAGCCGTTAGCGAGCTCATTATCGAAACGGACGGGGCCGGGGGTCAGAGCACTGGCAGTTGCAGCAGCAGCAATACCGGCAATGACCTGAACAACCATGTAGAGTGTGGCTTTGAAAGGTGGGACGACTCCAGCAACCGCACAACTGAGTGTAACAGAGGGGTTCAGGTGACCACCAGACACACGGTAGAAAATGTAAATGTTACACATGACGCTGAAGCCGAAACCAAAGGAAATCATAATAAGGGAAGCAGCATTCGAAGTCACCAATGCCTGACTAGTAGAGTTGGCAATTTGAGCAATGACTTCAGCGAATAACAGAAACATGTAGGTTCCGCATAACTCACCAAACAAATTGATACCAAGAATACGCCAATCATCAGAAAAGTATGGAGCAGGAGCATTGTATGTACCTTTACCAATATTCAGCTCACTATTGACACCCGACTCAGTGACAGGCAGACCAGTACTACGACCGTCAACGTCTTGGGCTCGAGCAGTAGACATGATTAACTATATCCGAACCGCTGGGGCCAGGGGATCTTATATATGTTTTGCTGATGGTGTGCTTGCTTATGCTACTCTCTCAAAAGTGTACATCGGGCCATTTGGGCATGCAGATCCTGCTGCACGCCAGCGATCTACATTCGAGAGAAAACAACACGCCAAGCTTCAAGAGAGTTTCGGATATTTACCTCTCTGTTCGAATTAAAAAATACCTATTCAAATCCAGGGCCAGCAGTAATTTCCTTACATCCAAGCATTCGGGCAAATCTTAGGTTTGCCCAAAGCGAGAGGTTTACAAATGCAAGATGCATCATTTGAAAACAAGAACTACAGCCTGTCTGCTCATATGAGATTTCGGGCTGCCTAAGCTTTCCACGATGAGTTTTTTTAGTCTATATACATATGTTAGAGGCAGAGTTGCCATTTGGCAAAAAAATATCCTTTTATAGCAAATAGTCAGGGCTTATATCTTGCGAATGGCTGGATGCGTTATGCGGCAAAAAAAATTAGGGTAGGTAAGGTGGGACCAGCTCAGAGATCATTCAGTAGCTATATCTCTAAACGAGCCGATGGTACCGAGCCCTATTCAAATGTGTTTTCGCACTCTTCCAGTCTCAAATCCATTTGAAGACTTCGTTACGATTCTTCAGTTGGCCCCTTGAGCAAGCTACATCACCAACTAGTCGCATGCCACTGCAAGGTACGTGACTAATTGCAGTAGAACCTATCTACAAACAGAGGCGCTTGCCGCTGCATCTACTCCAGGAACTCTACAGGGGAGGGGGGCAAGGCTTGGGCCGCCCAGATCAAATACCCGAAACCACGTCCTCTGTTTTGGCAATATCAGCCTATATGTCCAAGAAAATACTACTTTGGCTCAGATCCCCATCTTGTAGTACCTGTAGTTATTGCATCTCTCCATTAAAGACATGAAACGACAAGCCCCAGCTACTTCGACCGTTTTTTGTTGCTTTGCTATTTTCTGGTCGCCTAATGCACCTTTGTGGGATGCATGATTTCCTTGGTTAACCTGCCGCCGCCGCAGCGTAACAAAAGTACATCGTACGTAAACAGAGATCGATTAGCCCTGATGTTGCTAATGGTTGTATGAGGGCGAGTGAATGCCTCTAAACATTCAGTTAGGATTCTTAGTGGCCTCCGTTGCCTCTTTGCAACATGCTTATGGTTATACTATAGATATTAAATTTTTTTCTCGAGATAATCAACTTTAATTTTTCGCAGACATCATGTGTGGCGAGGGTGATACAGTGGGCACAAGCAGCCAGGGTTCTCGCAATAGCAGATCTCCATGCCAGCCCGGGTTAAGCCGCTTCAAGCTTGAGCTGCCCATTGAGTCATTCACGAAAATAAATTTTGAGAAAGCTGAGAAATTATTTGGTTGGTGTGTGTTCAAAATAGTGGTCTTCTTTTCTGTAAAGATTGGGCTAGCATATCTACGGCTGTTTAAAATGAGCATCCCATGGATACTCTGCTTTAAGATTCGCTTAGTCTTCAGATTACTGACAATGCCTCTTACGCGCTCCAGGCTAAAAGTTGAGTGAAGAGGAAGTCCAATGATTAAGTAATTTTTTTTATCCAGAGAAAATGGATTTGTTCGGGGTTTTTTCAGAGCCGGTTGAATCTCGCGAACCAAGTGAGCGTCCAGACAACTCGAAAGAAAAAAAGAAGACTGATGAAAAGCGTGAAAACTCGCCTGCTCGCAAAAAAGTGCGCACATCTGCCCCGAGAATGCCTGTCGTCACTGATGCAGTTGAGGTTGAGGCCGAACAGACTGCTCCTGGTGAAGAATCTAGCGGTGGTCCACTCAAGATTGCTCATCAAGTCCGACACGAGGTAGCGTTGCCACCTAATTATGACTATATTCCAATTTCAGAGCACAAATCTGTGGACCCGGCAAGAACATACCCTTTCACCCTGGATCCTTTCCAGGCGATGTCGATCTCTGCTATTGAAAGAAACGAATCTGTACTTGTTTCTGCCCATACGTCTGCTGGTAAGACTGTTGTAGCTGAGTATGCTATTGCTCAAAGTCTACGTGCTAAACAACGTGTGATCTATACCTCTCCCATCAAGGCTCTTTCAAATCAAAAATACCGTGAGCTTCTTGCGGAGTTTGGCGATGTTGGTTTGATGACTGGTGATGTCACTATTAACCCTGATGCGTCCTGTTTGGTTATGACTACCGAAATTTTACGCAGCATGCTGTACCGTGGCTCTGAGGTCATGCGGGAGGTCGCTTGGGTCGTCTTTGACGAAATCCACTACATGCGCGATAAAGAGCGAGGTGTGGTGTGGGAAGAGACAATCATTCTCCTGCCAGACAATGTTCGCTACGTTTTCTTGTCTGCTACAATTCCGAACGCTATGGAGTTTGCCGAGTGGGTTTGCAAAATCCACACTCAGCCTTGTCACGTCGTGTACACAAATTTCCGCCCCACCCCTCTGCAGCATTATTTATTCCCCGAGGGAGGCACTGGTATTCATCTGGTAATGGACGAGAAGGGTCAATTCCGGGAGGAAAACTTCCAGAAAGCCATGGGCACATTGGTAGATCGTGCCGGTGACGAGAATGGTCAAGTTTCTAAAACTAAAAACGGCAAAACCTACAAAGGTGGCAAAAAAGATGTGCCTGATATCTACAAGATCATCAAGATGATTATGATGAAAAACTATAATCCTGTCATTGTGTTCTCCTTTTCCAAAAGAGAATGTGAGTCGCTGGCCCTCAAAATGGCCAAATTGGATTTTAACAATAGTGATGAGCATGACATGGTCGAAAAGGTCTTCACCAATGCCATAGGCCAGCTTACTCCAGCTGATCAAGAGTTGCAACAAATCAAAACGATCTACCCTCTTCTTCGAAGGGGTATTGGTGTTCACCACTCTGGGCTGCTCCCGATTCTTAAAGAGGTTATCGAGCTTTTATTCCAAGAGGGCCTGCTTAAAGTTCTTTTTGCCACTGAAACGTTCAGTATCGGTCTCAATATGCCAGCAAAGACGGTTGTCTTTACCTCCGTGCGAAAATTCGATGGAAAGGAAATGCGATGGGTCTCTGGTGGTGAGTACATTCAGATGTCTGGACGTGCTGGACGTCGTGGTTTGGACGACAGAGGTATCGTCATCATGATGATCAACGAGCAGATGGAACCTGCTGTCGCTAAAGGTATGGTCAAGGGCGTTGCCGATAGATTGGACTCGGCCTTCCATTTGGGTTATAATATGATTCTCAACTTGCTACGAGTCGAGGGCATTTCGCCCGAGTTTATGCTGGAACGTTGTTTCTACCAATTCCAGAATGCCGCTAAAGTGCCTCAGCTGGAGGACGAGTTACGTGAAAAAGAAGAGGCCTTTACCACCACCAAGATCGAGGATGAAGATGCCATTGCAGACTATTACGACGTGAAACAGAAGATCAGCGAGTATGGTAATGACATTTCCAAAGTCATTTCGCATCCCGGCAACTCGCTGCAATTCTTGCAACCTGGTCGTCTGATCAAGGTGCGTGTCGCCATTCCAGACAAAAAGCCACTCGAGTTTAACTGGGGCGTTGTGACAGCTGTTAACAAACGCAAGCAACCGACACACAGCAAAGTTGAGTATGCAGACCATGACAAGTATATTGTGGACGTTCTTGTGGAAGTTGTTTCGACAACACCCGTGCATTTAGTACGCAAGAACGACCCGAATCTCGTTCCTGGTGTTCGCGCTGCTAATGAAGGCGAAGAATCAAAGGCTGAGATTCTTCCAATCACCCTCGGATCGGTCCAGGAGATTGCAAACCTGCGCACGTACTTGCCCACAGATTTGGCAGCTCCCAAGCAACGCGCTACTGTTTATAAGGCCGTTGAGCAAATCAAAAAACGTTTCCATGACGGAATTCCTCTGCTAGATCCTGTCGCCAATATGAAAATTAAAGACGAGAACTTTTTGCAACTAGTTCGCAAGGTGGAAGTGCTTGAGTCCAAGCTGGCAACGAACCCACTTGTGAACTCGCCTAGACTATCCGACCTGTACGAGCAGTATACTGCAAAGGTTAATCTTGGTGAAGAAGCCAATGCCCTTCGCCAGCAAATTAAGGACGCACAGGCTATTTTGCAAATGGATGAGTTGAAGAACCGCAAGCGTGTTTTGCGGAAGCTTGGATTCACTACCCCCAACGACATTGTCGATCTTAAAGGACGTGTTGCTTGTGAGATCTCTACTGGCGATGAGCTTCTGCTCACTGAACTGATTTTCAACGGCACTTTTTCGAAGTTAACACCAGAGCAGTGTGCGGCACTACTTTCTTGCTTTGTCTTTGACGAAAAAGTCAACGACGACGGGGGTGTCTTGCATCCTGAGCTTAAGGAACCTTTTAGGGGGTTGCAGCAAATGGCCCGACAAATCGCCAAGGTTAGTGCAGAGTGTAAGATGGCGATCGTTGAAAACGAATATGTCGAGAGCTTCAAACCCCAGCTAATGGATGTTGTTTTCCAATGGGCCAAGGGCTGCACCTTTGCCCAAATTTGCAAGATGACGACTGTCTTTGAGGGCTCACTTATTCGTATATTCCGTCGTCTTGAGGAACTGTTACGTCAAATGGCGGTGGCTGCCAAAACTATTGGTAATGACGAGCTTGCCGGCAAAATGGACAAAGCACTGGAGCTCATTAAGCGTGACCTGGTGTCTGCAGCGAGTCTGTACTTGTAAAACATTTTATAATCTATAAAAACCCTATGCCATTATTTACGTTTTTTAGCCGAAAAGCGCTCGGTGTCAGTGATGAGCTTTTCGGTTTGTTTGAACAACTCTTGTTGAAACTCTTTATCTTCAAACTCTTTGCGCGGAGGCTTTTGACGGACTCTACAGTCTGAAATATATGCAACATCGGTCATATACTGAACATCAGGCAGCATCATGGCAAAAAACAGAGACTGGGCACCTTCTAAGCTGGATTTGCAAAAAATCCACCAGATAGGCCACATGATCAAGTACAGCAGCAATCCCCACAGAGATCCAAACGTAACGAATCTGCGGAAAGACGGTGATCGCATCATTCCAGGGTCAACAACGGCAACATGCACATTAGACGGTGCGCCATCCTGACGCTGGTACTCTGTGAATTGACGCTGCAGCTCATAGGCAAATAGTGAAAGAGCGAGCTTTGATGTTCCAAGTACCTTGTATGGCTTGTACTTGGGGTATTGTTGGTGCTGGAACCCAAGATCGTTCATATCGATCTTTCCCATCACACCAGCAACACAAGAGGTCAAGATAATACGGACATCACGGTCAGGCGGTTGCGATCGAATAGCCGGAGACAGGAGTGTCAAAAGATGGAAATGCGCGAGGTAGTTTGTTTGCATTTGGAGCTCAAGGCCGTCTTTACTTGCTTGTCTTTCAACAGACGGAGGCAAGGCAACTGCCGCGCAACAAACGACCATGTCCAGTCTGCGGGGCGGCAAATTGTCAATCCATTTGGTAGCGAACTTGCGAACTGACTGGAAATCGGCGAGATCAGCCTCTTCTGCGTAAATCAGAGGGTTGTTGGTCTCTTCCCGCAATGAGGATATGTGTTCAGAAAGCCACCCGTCGTCAAGCTTTCGTACCAGCAAAATAACTTGTGCACCTTCTTTCGCCAGGCGGCGTACAACCGTCGCTCCCAGCCCGGATGTGCCTCCTGTGACAATCACCACTCGGCCATGCATGTTCCGCTCCCATGTGTTTGAGGAGCCCGAGAAATAGAATTTGGTTGCGAGCGCTCCAACAACATACGGACCATATCTCTTGAGCTGCTCATATTTCGGAATCACTTGCGTGCCCTCCTTGGCCACCGTTGCCAGAAAGTTGATAGGCATCTCTGGTTAGCTAAGTTGGCTGCCCTGCACGATCTTGTAATCCAGATTTTTTTTCACAATATCAACATGCTGTATATCGCCGGCGCTGGGTTAACCAGCATAGACCAGGCTACGGGAAACAGCGTGAAAAGCTACAAACAGTGTGAAATGCAAAAGGGTGTCTTTGCGTTGTCGCCATTTGGGCTACTGGCTGGACAAGCGAACAAACCGTTGATCCATCAATACACCATGAAAGAGACGCCTCTGAAGAAGCTTATTTTATCGGAAAAGGTATCTGCTATTGCTGTTTCTCTGGATTGGTTAGCGGTGGGCTCCCAATCTGGTCGTCTTCACATCTACAGTCTGCTTTCCGGCTCGCTAGTTGCAAGCCAGGACGCGCACTTCCAGGCTCTGACCCACTTGGCGTTTGCAGACGGAGGCGCAGCTTTGGTCTCTGCTGGTGCTGATGCTCGTGTGCTTATCTGGCGTGTCGCTGATCTTGTTGCTACGCAACGTGACGGTGCAATTGAAGCGGCCTATATTTTGACTGCTCATTCTTTGCCAATCACGGGCCTCGTTTTGAGCAAAACCGACATCCTACGCGATATCCGCTTATTTACATCGTCACTGGATGCTACGGTTTGCGTTTTTTCGCTATTTACTGGTCAATTGTTACACACATTCGTCGTAGACAAGCCTTTGACCGCCTTGGCAGTGGATCCCGCCGAGCGGGCTATTTATGTTGGTAGTGAGGACGGGGTAAGAACACTGCCATTGTATCGTCATTCTCAAGTAACCAGAAGACTCGAAGCTGTTGGTGGTGCTGGCGCTATTGTCAGTTTCGAAGGCGCAACACTGTTCGAATGCTCACAGGTCACGTCGCTGGCTCTGAGCCAGGATGCTACAAATTTATATGTCGGAGATAATGACGGTGTTGTTTCTAGTTGGGACGTCGGAACTGAACAGCTCGTGAAAAAGTACAAACCCGTCAAGGGTCCCATAACTGCTCTGGTAGTTGCGTCCCCTTCGAGTCAGTATGCAGAACTCCCCAGTCTGCAACGGGTCGTAGAAACCGAGATAGGTGATTGCGTTCTGCCTGCAGAACCTTTCGTTCCTAGCTTCAGTTTCGATTTAGACTGCGCAATGGACATCTTTTCCCACCAGGCGCAAACCGTGGTTACGGAGGAACCTTCAGAGGAGCTTGAGCAGCTCAGAGCCAAATCAAAACAGTATGACCAGCTGAAAAATATGTACGATGAACTATGGGCCCGCCATATCAGAAAATAAGTGTATCTAGTTGAAATTATTATGCATGCAAAGGCGTCACTTGGTGGAGTCGGTGACACGCGTGAATCCAAGGGAAATGCCGGCTTTCCGAAGGTTAAACTCTAGCTGGTTTTGCATGGCAGCAATATCTGGCACACCAGATGGTTCTAAAACGCCTTGCATGGTTCTGTGAAATCGGCCAACAAACCTTTGGGCCGTCTTGCGATCATTAGTGCAGGCGATCATAAGGGGCAGCCGCATATCAAGTGACAGCCCAGATAACTGTGACGAGGTGAACTGCAGCAGATCAAATAGTGAGTCGTCGGTAGCCAGATTGCAGAATGCGGGGACGGTTCGACTGGACAAAACCAATTGTCCTGGCAAGTCGCTGTGGTATGTGCGAATGTAAACGGGGGGCAGGCGGGCTAGCAGTGTGACAGTGTCAACATCGGTAATTTTGTACCGTTTGTCAAGATCTGAAAAAGCTTGTGGATCGGCTCTGGCCAAATTGACAAAGATCTGCTCCAGCGGATTCGTCAAAAGAGGCTCGATCTGTGATTTGAACAATTTGGCGGCGTCGTGCAGAACGCCATCCAGCAAGTGGACTACCGGGGGTGAGGCTTGAATCAAATTGGCATAATATTCTGCTCGCACCAAGGAATCCAGCACGTCGGCGCTTTTAAGCGGCCATATGGCAAACTCTGTTTTAAGGTTTCCAGACCTTGTCAGGAGGATGTTCAGAGCCATCAGCCTCGACTGCAGAACAGAACCACCAGAAAATAACGGCTCAAAGGGAATGAAATCTTGAAGCACCTTTAGTTGGTTCAGTCGTTCAGCAAGTTTCTCGACCTTTCCGACCGAGTGGAACGAGGGATCAGTGAGTAGAAACAACGCGGCCTGGATAAGGTTGGTAATTTCGATATTTTCTAGATCAGGCGAAGCAGCTTTTGCCAATTGGTCCAGCAACCCGCCTTGCAGTGTGGGCATTTGCAAACCTAACTCAAACATTTGCGGCGGAATGAATTGCAGAACCTCTTGCAGCGAACACTCCTCTAGCAGGATGGGCACCAGGCCCTCGGGCACCGCATCGACCCCGCTCGGGTCCGAGCTCACAAGATCAAGAATAGCGGGCATGTACTGTTTTGCAGCTGCATGCCGCTCCTCTGGATAGCTAGTCAACCGAGCTAACAGCGAGTTCAGTGATTCTTCATCGACGTTGGGCATTGATTAGTTAGATTAGATGCAGAAGCTGTCTAGCGAATATAGGCCCCTGGCGCCTCCCTAGCCGCGGAGACAGAATTAAGTGGCGCAGAAGTAAACAATTGAAGCGGGAATTTATTTCCAGACCTCGATTGCGTTGGTTTCACGTCGGCAAAAAATATAGTGCATATTTTCAGGGCCATTGGCAGCTGCAAAGCATGGCCTCAATCAGGCACACCCTCGCCAACCACCGGCAGATCAGGACAGGTGTCTCGGCAATTTCGGGCTAATTTGAGCCGTGTTTTGCGGCCCCAAGCCGAAGTACAAGAGCTCCATACAATCTAGATGGACTGATGATCTTGCCGCCAAGCAAATTCAGAGTTTTGCTATATTTTTTTGGTTGACTGCATCTGTTTCAGACCTCCCCGCTCACGTGACTTCGACCCTTGTCCTCTGCAAACCCAAGCTGGCTGCACAAACGAGTAGCATGCAGCAGGCTTTCTGACAAGAAGATCTTCTTTAGACCTACTATCACGGCCGGATCGCACCCGTAGCGCGTAATTGCAACCCCCTCCGTCCACCCGCTGAAATCGCTAGCCTCTCAAATTGCCTCTGCTAACACCTGCACCTCAGGTTGTGCCCTTGCCGCTTCAACCAGCACAGCTATGTACGTACCTATTAATAACACTATGATGCAACCTCCCATCTCCACCACTAATCTACTACCCTCCTTTGAGTTGTCCTCTCACTCTAGTGGTATTGTGGGTAAGTGCGTTTTATAGTAGTGTATTTCTGACGACTACACGTTTTTGCTCAGCTCAAGACACCACTATATTGTGCTCAAATTCTCGAGATTACTCTACGCCGCTCCGCTATCTGCCACTGCTTCAGCATCCGTCTCCTTCGGTCGAACCGTTTATTAGCACTCATTGATCAATCCCATCCTCTGATTTTTTCTACCGAATTGGACCTTTTCTCATGCAAAACGATAGACAATCGCAACAGAAATACCATAGACATGCTCAGTCGCCTTCCCGCGAGCCCTCCAGCGTGCGCACGCGGTCTGGTGCGAGCGTTCGAGTGGCCCATCGCCGCTCCCCGTCTGAGCTAACTCCTCTCGTGCAAGAAAAGCTCGCTCTCCAGCAACAAATCGAAATGCTACAAGCCCAGCAGCAACAAATGCTCGCCCAACAGCAATACGGAATGATGCCCGTCTATCCATCAATGCCTCCTCCTGGTATGATCCCAGCGTATCCTTATTTTCCGCAACATCAAATGCCTCCTGCGCCCAACCCCGGTCCGGCTAATTCCGCGTCGCCACCCCCGTCAGCTGGTGGCCACCAACGCCAGCGTTCTGGCCATCAACGCCGCCATTCCTTGCACGTGAGCGAGGCAAGACGAGCGGCTCATGTCGAGCAGCAGCGCCGTGATGGCCCGTCATCGTCTCCAAGCCCAAGTGCTTCTCCACACGGTGCAGACAACAACAGGTCGCCTCGTCGCATCGGCTCTCCTGGCCCAGCAGCAACTCCTCATTTCGAAGACAACCTGCATCCTCCTCCCCAGTCTCCACTGCGTCAGAGCCATCACATTAGAGCGGCTTCAACAGGATCCAACGCCTCCCCCACTCGAAATCAATTCACCTTCCCACCCAAGAATAACGTTAGCAGTGGTGCTCCTCCGTCAGGTGGCAACAGCTCCAATAATAATAGCCGACACGGCCGTTCAAATTCGACACACCGCCGTAACAACTCGCGTAACTTTGAAGGAAACTGGCGCCAGCCTCAGAACCAGGATAACCTGGTTGGTCCCTCGATCCCTCAGATGGACTTCTTAGCCCCGCCTGCCTTTGTCCCTGGACACAGAACCCGTGGCTCGTTCAACTCTGTGTCCTCGATTGCTGCTTTTACTGAAGGCAATACCGGTGGAAATGGTGGTAGTCTCAGCGGACGTAAATCGCTTTTCGCTCCCTACCTATCACAAGCCTCTATTCCCCAGCTGTTGGCCGATGGCTTGCTTGTTGCCGGAACTTTACGTGTGAATCGTAAAAACCGGTCAGATGCCTTTGTAACCACTGATGTTCTGGATGCTGATATCTTCATTTGTGGCTCGAAAGACCGCAACCGTGCTCTCGAAGGAGATCTGGTCGCTGTTGAGTTGCTTGATGTCAATGACGTTTGGGAGTCCAAGAAGGAAAAAGAAGAAAAGAAGCGCCGCCGCGACGCTAACGAAGATACTCTATTGGTTGAAACAGCGAATGGTGAGCTCCGTCGCAAGGGCTCTTTGAAACAGAGACCGACCCATAAACGCAATGACGATATGGAGGTCGAGGGCCAAACTCTTCTCCTCAAAGAGGAAGAGCAGGTCAGCGACCAGGCACGTCCCCTTTATGCAGGCCATGTTGTCGCCATCCTTGAGAGGCCCACAGGCCAACTGTTCAGTGGTACGCTCGGATTGCTGCGCCCATCTTCCCAGGCCACCAAGGAGCGCCAGCAACAGGAGCGCGCTGAGAAGGGTGAACCGCCGCTTGTTGAACCTCCGACCAAAGATAGACCCAAAATTGTATGGTTCAAGCCTACTGATAAATGTGTGCCTTTGATGGCGATTCCAACAGAGCAAGCACCAGATGATTTTGTCGAGAATCATCAGCATTATGCGGACAAGATATTTGTTGCTGCGATCAAACGTTGGCCTATTACCTCATTGCATCCCTTTGGCACACTGGTCGAACAATTAGGAGCTAGTGATGATGATGATGCTGTTGTAACTTCTGTGCTACGTGACAACAACTTTGGTTCCCACAAGTTCAGCGAGACTGCCCTTTCTTACACTGATGGACTTGCTAATGATCTTGCGGACTTCGATTCGAACTATAAAGAGCAGCGTCTCGCGTACAAGGATGCTGTTATCATCTCCCCTGTTCCCTCACTGTGTGAAAATTCCTTTTCTATTAGCAAGGAAAATGGCAAAACACACCTCGCTGTGCATGTTGTGGATCTGTCTCCGTTTGTGAGTGAAGGGTCCCCTCTTGATCGTGAGCTCAGACATAAATCTGCTGGTGTCTACATGAAGCAGCTCACTTCTCCTCTCATGCCTGATGAGCCGGCAGGCAAACTAGGCTACCAGGTTGGTCGTGCAACACCCTCCATCACAGTCCAATTTTCGCTCAACGATGAGTTCGAGGTCGTAGACACAAAGGTGGAGACTACTCTTGTTACCCCAAATGCAAGCGTCAAACTGTCGGATCTGGAGAAGCATGAGCTATTCGCTGATTTGGAAAAGATTACCCGTGTATTCCGCAGTTCTCGCCAGAGCGCTGGTTTGAGTCTAGACAGCATGCTGAAGGTACAGGTTCCTTGTGGGCCCGGTCTGTTTACCACGGCTGACGCTAGCTCCCTGGCATATGACGAGATGTGCTACAAAGTAAATGCAACAATTGCTCAGAAGCTCTTATCCAGCTACGCACCGCAGGCGCTTCTTTATCGCCAAGGTGATCCAGTTCTTGCCAAGCTTGAGGCCCTCTCGGCTGCTCTAGGAAATGCCGTTCCCAAGTTCGACACCCTTTCACCGGCAGCAATCAACTCTTCTATTGCCGCAATCGAGGACACCGATGTTCGTCACGCCGTTGAAATTGCGATGCTCAAGTGTCTTGCTCCTCAGCGCTACGCTATCTCTGGTCGGTGCGATCCACTTAGCTATTCCCATTACTGGCTGAATCTGCCTGCCTACACACACTTCACTAACCCTCTTCGCAGGTATGCTGATTTGGTTGTGCAGCGCCAGGTTCACGCAGTTCTGGAGGGCAACCGTCCTAATGCCGATGAGGAGCCTCGTCTTGCTGGCTTGGCTAGTGAATTGTCGTTCCGTCTCGACTGTGCCAAGAATGTGCAAGATCAAAGTATCCATCTCGACCTCAGCCGAAGAATCTCGGACATGGCCAAGGACGCAGGCTACATTTTGCGGACCGGCATCGTCGTGCAAGTCTACGAATCTGCATTTGATGTGGTTGTGCCCGAACTAAGCATCGAAAAGCGCATCCACGGCGATCAGCTTCCGCTTCTCAAGGCGGAGTTCCACAAAGCAACTCACCGCTTGGAACTATTCTGGGAACCGGACTGTGATGCGGCCACTTTTGCTCCTTCAGAGAATTCGACAAGCCTGACTGCCAAGCCAACTGCCGAGATCGCTGCTGCATCAAAGTATGATCTGGAAGCTGCAATCAAGACTCTCATCACCCGCGTAGAGGGGGGCGCGCATGTCCAGGAAATCTGCATGCTTCAGCGTGTACCCGTTCTTTTACGCGCAGACCATGCAATGCACACATTACCATCCATCACAATGCGCACTATTAATCCTTTCTATAAAGAAAAGTAGACGTTTTAGTCTTTAATTTGCTTCATCACTGCTATTTCAGGTCTGTTCGCCGGATCTGCGGTTTACTAAGTTCTCCACATTGTTTTGTTGTCTGCCGTTTTCAGCTAAACGGAAAGCAATGTTGTCGGATATTTTCCCTAACGCTCCTCAGCATATCAATCAGGAGCAGGTTGATAACAACACTATCTTGGTTTGGGCCAATGGTGAGTTCAAGATTGGCTTTCCCGCGAATATCCGCCGCTTCCTGGCGTATACCCGCAATGGTCCCTGGCTCAAGCCTTTCTGTGGGCCCAAGATGGAAGACGGCCGGGATATGTCTGCTGTGATTATGGAGACCAATGATGGCCGACATGTTGTGATTAATGCCGAGTGGTCGTTCAATTCATCCGAATCGCACATTCGCATGGAAGGCGACGGGTGGAAGATTGTCACCCAGACGCAGGTTGCGTCTTTCTACTTTACACTTTCGGAGGAATTTATGGGATTCAGAACAGAAGCGGTGCATTGTGAGCCGTGGGTCAATGACTTTGGCTATTGCACCTGGAACAGCTTGGGTGTCGATGTTGATCACCAGGGCGTAGTGAAAGCTGTTGATTCGCTCGCCCAGGCAAGTGCGCCTCCTCGTGTTGTGATTATTGATGACGGTTGGCAGGTGATTAGCCAGGATCGTCGCCTTGAATCTGTGTTTCCTCGCAAAGACAAGTTCCCTCAGGGCTTTCGAGGTGTTGTCGATGATCTGAAGAGCAGAGGCGTTGATAAGGTCTTTGTGTGGTCTTCAATCATTGGATATTGGGAAGGATTTGCGAATGATTTGGGGTTTGCTACTTGCACGATTCCGCGAAATGGAAACCAGTACCTTGTACCAAGTCCCGAAGGTGTTTACAATTACTACGAGACGTTTTTCAGTTATTTGAGTGACCAGGGTGTTTATGGTGTCAAGCTCGATACATTGAACGTTCTGGACGATATAAGTGATCAGGGTATTCGTCGAGCCATTCAGGACTCGTACATGAAAGCGGTCGAGTACAGCTCCAATAAGTATCGGATCAAAGTTATCTGGTCAATGGGAATGGTTCCCTATATATTCGACTGGTTTGCCAAGCGCCCTGAAACAACCAAGGGCCCGTTCAGAAACTCTGATGATTTCTTTCCGCAGATCATCGATAGCCATTTCTGGCACAACTACTGTAACATCTACAATTCCCAATTCACCCGCCAGTTTGGTCACTCCCTAGACTTTGACATGTTCCAAACTAAATTTACCGACCCCTCTCCGGGTGCTGAGAAAATGCCTTGGCTACATGCTGCTACCCGAGCAATTTCTGGTGGCCCCATTTATATCACCGATTACATTGGAGCACATGATCCTGACTTGATCAACTGCTTGGTATCGGATGGCAAGGCCTTAAGGTTCCCGAACTATCCTACTGTTGAAGACCCTTATCAGTGTTTTGATGATGATAGGCTGGTAGTGGCCCATAACCAGAACAGGTTTGGGCGGCTCTCTGCGTACTTGAACTTTACCAAGAATCCGCACTCCAGAAACATTGAGGTTCCTTCGGGTTATGTTAGTAGAGCTTGGAAAGCGAAATGGGTAGCCGATCGAGATGGTAAGGCCTCTATAGATGTGCAGTCGGGCGAGTGGGAACTTATTTCAACTGTTAAGATCGCGACAATTGGGAACAAGAGAATCGGATGCTTTGGTTTGATAGATAAGTTCGCAGGGCTAGCAGCTTTGAACTCTGTCCAGATCACCGACAATTGTCTTGAGATTTCCTGTCTTCCAGGTTCATTAGGTTTATACCTCCCTGATGGTCCACCCGAGAAAGCAGCAGTTGGCAATGACCTCTTGGATATCAAATTCGATGGAGTAATTGCCAATGTCGATGTCAAAAGCGAACAAACTTTACGCTTTTGGTTTTGAATAGCTGTGTATCCTCAGTGTGCTTATAAGGCTCATGGTAAATAGTCTTATAGACTTTTTATCTCATAGTTTTGCAGCATTGACGGAAAGCTTGCAAATTTGTTCAGGTCAAAAAACTATTTTGAGAGTTGATATATCATATGTACACAGCAGCCCCATCAAGCATTATCCGATATAGTCTAGTGGCTAGGACATCACGCTCTCACCGTGAAGGCCAGGGTTCAATTCCCTGTATCGGAGTTTTCTTTTTTCATTTTTTTTTAGCTCCTGGGGATCGTTTAATTCTGTTCATCTTGTTTGGTTTTTCAAATGCATTTACTTGGACAAAGCTTCAAAAAGTTCGATTTACATTTTGACTTGACATGGATGGACCCTAGACGGAAGGAACCGCCTGAGGCGAAATCTTTTAACCAGGCTCGAAGACAACTCCTTTGATAGTCCGAGATATGATACTAATGAAAGGATATCTGTTTTCTGTCTATTAGTCGGTTTGCACTTGTGTGGGCTTCAGCGTTGGTGCTCACCAAGCTGTCCCGATTCCATTTCTGAGAGCGGTAATTCGTAGTTCTCCCTTTTGGTGGTTTTGATTCAGCTATCAATATATTATTTTATCAGATTGTCACGGATTTAATTAGTGCCTTAACTCGTTGAGCCAACGATCAAGTTCCGTCTCTGTCAAACCTCAACGGGTTCCGGTATGGACAAAGGCGTGCGTTACGCTGTTGATAGTCAATTGAGCTGGAAACATTAACTTTTTGTCTCTGTCGGTACTTTTTTTACTTACAGAACGTAGCCGAATTTGGTCTTTATAGCTCTACTTACTTTACCCCACAAGGATGATAAGAAGTTCTCAAGTGATATCACTACGTTTAAATCCAACCTCTATTTCGAATTTATACTTTGTGAGTATGTACAATAAATCGCGTGCTTTGTCAATAATTATCCGATATAGTCTAGTGGCTAGGACATCACGCTCTCACCGTGAAGGCCAGGGTTCAATTCCCTGTATCGGAGTTTCTTTTTGCCCTTGGAACATTTTCGCCCTTTCAATATGTTTTTGTTTGGGGATTGTTTGAGAGCACTCCATGCAAATCTGGAGTTTTTCGCAATTTGGGCTACCAATACGTGGAAAGATTTGGTCGAGCATTTTGTTGATTATCATTATAGAATAATTTGCGGCCCATTCGTTGCGTTATTAATCTACAGTGCGCTAACCTCCTAGGCGCTGGTTGTGCTATCTTCGAGGCGTTATAATATACTGAGGTAGCCAGCATCCAAGTATATTGGCATAGACGATCTTAGAGCAACAACTATCCGATATAGTCTAGTGGCTAGGACATCACGCTCTCACCGTGAAGGCCAGGGTTCAATTCCCTGTATCGGAGTTTCTTTTTTCTGCAAGTTTTTTTTGGCCGGCATATAAATTCAATGCGTTTCAATTTGTTTCAATTCGTTTGAACCTGTTCGAATTTGACCTTATGGGACAGTATTGCGGTAAAAGTGTCTTTGCCATTCATGTGCCTGCCAATGCTCGACCCTAAGTAATCAACCTAACAATGCCGTCTCCAAAGATTGCACCTAGCATTTTGTCCGGGGATTTTGCCAACCTGGGTCGCGACTGCCAAAAAATGGTTGCCAACGGTCCTGAGTGGCTTCATGTCGACGTCATGGACGGCCATTTCGTCCCCAACATCTCATTTGGCCCTATGGTCGTCGAAGCAGTCCGGCGGTCGGTCCCCCGGGAACAGGTTATGCTTGATTGCCACATGATGGTTTCCAACCCCAAGAAATGGGTTGAGCCTATTGCCAAGGCAGGTGGAGATCAGTACACGTTCCACTTTGAGGCTGCGGACGATGTTCAGGGCACTATTGACTTGATTCGAAAGCATGGTATGAGAGTTGGGCTGGCTATAAAACCCAAGACCGACATCAAAGAGGCATTCCCCTATATCAACAAGGTCGACATGGTTCTTGTTATGACGGTTGAGCCTGGTTTTGGAGGCCAGAAGTTCATGCCTGACATGATGCCCAAGGTCGAGGCGATCCGGGCCAAGAGCGCAGAGATTGATCTTCAGGTCGACGGCGGGCTCGGGCCGGAGAACGTCGAGTTAGCTGCCAAGGCCGGTGCCAATGTGATTGTTGCCGGTACTAGCGTCTACAAAAGCGCAGATCCCAAGTCGACCATTGCCAAGTTGCGAGAAAGCGTGACCATTTGCCAGTGCCATCACCACTAAGCAAGCAAAGTAAGATGCGTTCCCATAGCTGCAGTAAACAAACCACTTTATAAAGAAAGCCTGTATGGGTTCGAATGCAAAATGCAGACGGTTGGATCTCCACGTTTGCTAAAATTAGGTTCTGGAGCTAAATACGTCCCCGCCAACCGCTTTTGCCCCTCCTTTCACGTGAGAAGTGCGCCGACCTAGGCGAGTCATCCCGAGACGCAGATATCTGCAAGGCGGCCCTCGCAGCCTACTTGAAGCAGGTTTCGTCGAAATCTGAGTCAGACGTGGAACTTCTCTAGAACAGCGGATATTTCTTAGGAGACTTTGAAGACCGAAAGGTGAAGGCGGCTGACCCGTTTATAAGTTTTGTTTCTGGAAGCCCCCTCCGCCTGCGCCAATGCCCGTGCCGAAATTAAACCTATCAATTTTTTCAAGCTCCAGCAGCACGAGCCGCCTATGTTCTACAAAGGAGCAGCGGGACGAATCCGCACCGCCATCTCCTCAAACAGCGTCTCCAGATAGGGCGTCTGGTTCTGCACAGGATATACCTTCGATCCAGCTGTCAGAATGCGAAGACCTGCCGATTATGCCGACGGCGTCCTCACAGAGCGTCCAGTCATGCAGAGGTGACGATTCGAGGGGAACGCCTGAATCAGTATGTGGGATACGCCGTTCTCATACTATTACAGCACTGCCGCGCCGCTATGAGACGCCGAGCCGATTTTCCAAACCGGGTAATCCCATTGACGGCACCGAGCTCTCTGACGAAAGGGACATTTACGAGTATTTTCAGCAGTTCATCAAGCAGTACAATCCAAGCGACGTACTAGTGTACGGACGTACCCGCAGAGAGGCTGTTCAGCAGTACGGCCATCTCCGTCACTTCTGGCTCATAGAGCTGTGGATGAACGTTGGCTACCGCTGCTTGTTGAAGACGAACACATACGCCAGCCCAGAGGCTCGATCACTGGCAGATAAGCCCGGAGCACACCTGATGCACATCACTGGCCTTAACTCCAATCAGAACGCTTGGATCATTGCGAGCGACTATCCCACTGCCACGGTCCATGCCTACAGAAACAAAAATCTATGGCCCAGGCACGTACAACACCCGCAGCAATTCAGCGGCCCTGAAAACTTCACTTGTATGGAGAGGGAATCCTACTTACCTTTCCCGCACGCGGATAACACATTCGATGTCATTAATTCGCGCTCGTTGGGATACCTTATCGCTCCCGAAGATCTCGACACTTTGTTTGCAGAGCTTTACCGGATAACCAAGCCTGGAGGCGCTGTGGAACTATTTTCTCGGCTGCGAGATCTTTCCACGTTGCACTGCTTTGGGCTGTCTACGGAAGACTTTGTGGAATACGAGGCCAAGTGGAAGGCGGCAGTTCGACGCTCGCCTTTCCAAAGTGTCAAAAGAGCCCGAATCGCTCTTCCGCAGTGCTGGGGAAGTGACATTTGCTATGTTTCGGAGCTGATCCTCCTGTATTATCGCATTTTGAATATGCAACTTCGCCAAACCCCGCCGGGATCTTGCCCAGACACGGTGCTGGAAGAACTCGTCAAGCTCGAGAAACCTACAGAAAACATTACAGAGCCTGTTACGGTTGATCTATATATATTACAGAAACTTTAGTCCGTTTCTACCTCTCATTTATCTCATCTCTTTCGATTTCCATAATCTCCCAACTTTGAATTTTTTTGTCAGAAAAATTGTCTTTGGAGTTTGATGCTGCGAACGACTTTAAGGCGGTGTGTCGGGTGCCGCATGTACACTGCGTCGCCGGGCACTAGTGCCTCGGAGACCAAAAATGGCCCAGCATTGTCTGAGGAAGTTGAGGACGCACCTCCAAAGACCTTCGCCCAGATCTTGGAAGAAATGGGAAAACGGAAAAAAGCTTCAGAAGCCCGCTTCAATTTCCCTTTGAGTATTTTATACGAGGGACGCCATGGATCTGTTCACTATGGTTCTGTTTCCGCAAGTGACATCAGAAAACCCATTTCTATAGGCGATCTGCTGTTATTGGCCTCGGGGCCCGTCATGGTGGTTAGCAGAAAAAGCCGTCAAGATGGTAAACTTATTGTCGCGAATGCGGTAGGAATCACTCGTGAGATTGGTATATCTACAGTAGAGGCCCGATTGGGCTCGCTGATTCGCCCCTCATCCATCGGTAACCGTTCATTGTACGATCCCGAGGGCGGAAGAGTGAGCCCGGAAGTTCACAATTTGTTGGCTGTGGAACTGCGAAATTTCTACAACCGGGCGGCAGCTAAGAGCAGTTCTATCCAGGACAAAGTTGGTGATATTTTGCGTCTCCTACAAAGCGAAGATCAGCCCCGAACAATGGCCTTTTTCGACTTTGTCGCTCTAGTCGACCGCATTGACCTCTCCACCTGCGATGCAATAGAATACCCGAGTGACTACCTGAAGGTTGCCACGCCTCGTCTTACCCCGGAGTCGATTTATGCTGTTCGTATGGCTCTAGAGCACTATACGTTGGCAAACAAACATGTTTTGGAGTTTTCTTACCTGGGTGCCTACTGCCTGACGGTTCTTCCTAGAAAGATTGAAGCACGAAACGTCCGAATTCTTACTGCACCGACAATTGCTTCCTCTTCGGATACGACTTTCCCCAGATCACAACTTGAATATTGCAAAGACTATGCCCTGGGTAACCTCAGTACTTCCAACCCCAGCTCGGACGGGTTGGCCCTGGAGATTATTCGCAAACATCCGGATTTTGCAAAAAAAAATCTATCGCAAGGTTCAGCTGCTGAGATGGTTAATCGCTATGGTATGCTTAATTCTAATGGACCTTATCTTGACAAGTATGCCCATCACTGGATGGGCTCACCACCCGTCAAACCAGGAACGAGTTATGATCAAGACATCTTTCAAAAAATCAGATCAGAGCATGATGAACCCGTTTACTGCATCGACTCTGCTACTGCACATGAAATCGACGATGGAATTTCGATTTCCAAAATAGGCGACACGGCTGTCGTTGGCGTACATATTGCCGATCCAACCTCTGCGTTTGGCCCAGACCTAGCCGCGTCTGTATTCAAGAAGCCGACAACTGTGTATTTGCCAACAGGACCTTTATTCATGATGGACGAGTCAGTATCGGAAGCGTTTAGTTTGAAGCCGGGCGCACGTCGTCGCGCGCTCTCGGTGTTTACAACTTACGATCTTGAAACTGGACGAAGAATTGGAACCCAAATTAAGCACTCTATTCTATCCAATGTCGTGACGAAAACGTATACTCAGGTGGATGATGAGTTAGCGGATGGGCATACAGGAGACCTCAAGACTCTTTCAGATCTGGCATCCAAGCTTGAGGCTTCTCGATTCGCAAATGGCGCTTTTTCTTTCAGATTTGGCGGGACTCCGTCGGTATCTGTTGAATCTGATGGTATCCATCTTGCTCCCCAGTTGAACTCCTCAAATTCCTTGGCTACGCGACTAGTAACGGAGATGATGATTCAGGCCAACTGTTCTGTCGCAGAGTTTACAGCAGAACGGAAGCTACCAAACGTGTACCGGTCGCAAACCCTTGAATTTTGGACGGCTTCGGAAAAGCTGGAATTCGAGAACGCGGTCGCAGCTCACACTCCTCTAGGATTCAAATTCCGCGCCAACATCCCGCGGGCCCGCCTCAGTACAGGCATTTCTAGTCATGCCGCTTTAGGAGTCCCGCTATATTCCCATTTCACGTCACCTTTACGTCGTGGACAAGATATTTTGACCCACTTGTCTGTGGCGCATCATCTAGCGGGCCACGGAACTCCATTCGACCACGCCAAGCTGGGAGGTATGCTTCCGTGGATAGAAACTGCCCAGCTCCAAGCCAAACAATGCCAAAACGTCGCACTTCGATATTGGATTCTCAAGGCTCTCATGGACAGGGTTGGGGAGACGGTCAGAGGTACAATCTGCGAAGTACACCCAGACTTTGTGATGGTTTACCTTCCGGACTACGGTGTACGTGCCCGCGCCGATTTCAAGGGCCAAATCGACCAGGACGTTGTCGGAAAAATTACAGAAGTCGACGCAGTTGGCAACTGGTGTAATATCTGTATATAGCCATGCCTCAGCCAGCTCAGACGGCACGCTGAGGCAATTTTCTAATTATTCCACAATTTCACTAAATTAAAATACATGTTCCACAACTTCTTGCCCGTTCCACTCCTCCCATCCGTTTCTACTGTTGGTTCATTCACCAATCGTCTTTCCATTTCTATCCATGCAGTACTCCGGGTTTTTGACAAATCGACCCATGCTGCTGTCTGTGCTGCTGGCTGGATTGGCTGTTGCAAAACCAGTGACAGTCCAAATGGACACAAACTGGCACGCCGTTCCTTATTACGCGCATGTACTGGAGACAATTTCGGTCCATAACTCGTCGGCGTATTTCCCGCTGCTTTCGGTTTACTTGTCTGCCGAGGAATCCGACGGGCGTTTTTCTAGCGAAGAAGAGGCTTCGACATTTCTGTTGGACACAGCTGTCTCGCGCGATTTCATCTCCGCGTCTCAGCTGCCTATTGTCAAGGCACAGCTCGCAAACAGCCACCGGGCTGCCTACGTCGAGGCCATGTGCCAGCATTTCATCAACGATATTGTGCCCACGTATGGTGCTGAAATTGCCGAGTGCGACAACGTTTTTGTTTACAACGGCAAGGCAACTTGCGAAGCCACCGATGTTTTTGCTCTCGAGACTACGTCGAGCACTGCAGCCCCTATGGATCTCATCGATACTGACCACGTCATTGGTGGTGCTTCCGCAGATGTTCCTTGGGCAATTTTGTATGCCGATTTCAACTCTGAGGAGTTCCCCGTGTTTCATGCAAACCTATTAGCCTCTGCTCTCCAGCAGAAAGTTTCTTATGTTCTCCGTTACAAGCCCTCCAAGGGTTACAACCCCGTGAGCCAAATTGGTGGCTATGCGGCCACCGTGCAGCTGAAAAGAACCGACTATATTGTTGTAAATGACCGCAATGCCGAGGGTGAAGATTCTCCTGAACTCAAGATTGACTATGAAGCCAACGTTGTGGAGTCTAATGCGATCCCTCAACTCGATCAACGGGCTGCTGGTTATATTCTAGATGCTGAGGACCAACTCGAGGCATTGGTTGATACCTCGTTGAACTTCCCTGGTCGGATCGCCGATATCAAGGAGCATCCAATCAATGAGGATTTGACTCAGGATATCGAAGCAAATGACGCTGCGGGCTTTTTCACCCCTGGTACCAATGTCATCTTGGCTAATGGTCGCCCTGTTTTCACCACCGAGCGTAACGTTTACAAGCTTCTTGATGTGATTAACGAGGAGCAGCATTATATCAATGGCCTTGAGGTGCTGGGTTTCAGCACCGAGCAGGCAAAGGGGTTGCTAGCCAGTGGCATTGTCGTTGCCGATGGCAATACAACTGTAGATGCAACTATGCGCTACAACCTGATGAGCGATGCTATCCTGTGGCTTAATGATGTTGAAAACGATGTTCGTTTCAAGAAGTGGAAGCGGAGTCCTCGTACTCTTTTGATGAATACGCCCATGGGCCAGTTCCCACCTATTCGTCGCAACATTAATTCCATTGTTTTGGCTGTAGACTTCTCCAATCCATCTTGGCTACAGATGATTGGACAGCTTCTCCAAATTTTGGCTCGCGGTGCTCCTGTGCAGGTTGGCGTTGTCCCTATCACCACCGCGCCTGCTGCCAAACAGTTTGTTAAACTTGCCGGAGAAACTGGGTCTTTAATTGCTCGTCAGATTTACATTGCTGGGCTTCTCAAAGGCCTGACTCCGAATGAAGCCTTTAGTGAGGCGCTGGAAACTCCCTTCCCCGACTCTGAAGCTAGTCTGATTGACCCCAATGATGTCTGGACTTCTGTAGCTGAATGGGCAAACAAGTTTGAGATCTATCAGCCAGCTGTTTTCTCCAACGGTGTCTTGGTCCCGCTTTCTCAATCCTGGCTTATCGATGCGACTAACCAGTTCGGTATTGACCTCGATCTTGCCCGCAGCTGGGTTGAGGATGGTGAGCTCGAAGAAGATGATTTAACCACAAGCCTACGTGACAAGCTGTTTGGACTTGGTATCAGTCGCCGCTCAGAAATTGTCGACCCCATCAACCCTGCTGCAGTAGTATACGTCGATCCTTCTGGTGTCCTTGCAGATGCTCCTGGGGCTGCAGTTCAATGGGCTGTCGGCAATACGAGTCAAACTATTTGGTTGGTTGCAGAATTCAACACTCAAGAAGCTTATACACAACTCGCAGAGCTCTTGGAGGTTGCCGGTACCACCAAACGCTTCTCGGTTGGCGTCCTTCCCATTACCTCTACTGAAGTCGATGATCGCTACGGTCGTGCTTATGCGGCCCTTCAAAAGCTAGGTAACTTGCCAGCGCTTGCTGCAATCAATTCCGTTGAGGCTCTGCGTGCTTGGCACCATGCCGATGGCCCAGCCCCCAAGATTGTCGAAGAGGAAGGTAGTGGTGCTCTCGTTACGTTTGCTTCCCAAGCGGCTCAGACGCACTTGTTCAAGGAAGTCATCCCCCGCCGCTTGAACCTAGTTGTTGATGGTCGTTTGGTCGTCTTAACTAAAAAGATTGACGGCGAGATCATTGAGCAGCTCGTGGAGCGTGAGCGCCCCAGAGCCCTGCGCCTCTCTAAAGCTGCCGCAGACCTGGGTATTGAGAATGCATCTGCTTTTACTGCCCGTCTGACAAAAGCCTGGTACGGTTCAGAGACTAGCCGGCTCATTACTGAACAATGGTTTGGCCTGGAGCGGGGTATCAAGAAAAATGTTGAAAACGCCAAGGTTGATATCATGGCTATTGTTGATCCTGCCAGTGAGATTGGCCAAGAACTCGTGGCTTTGCTGAAGTTAGTGTCTGATTTGAATGTTGCCTGTATCAACGTTTTGCTTTCTCCTCGACTCCTCAAAGATGCAGATGTACCCAGCCGATTCTACAAGCCCGTGTTCCCGTTAGCACCCAACTTCGATTCACATGGACATCTTGTTACGCCCGCTGCTGAGTTCGAAGGGCTTGGGGATGACACTCTTTACATTGCCGGCGTCGATACGCCTTCTGCTTGGGTTTCTATGGCCAAAGAGTGTGAGTATGATTTGGACAATATTTTGCTGAACTCGGTTTCAGGAGACCGCTTGGAAGCAATTTACGAGCTGAAGCATCTGCTTCTTGAGGGCCATGCTTCTGATATCACCAATCGTCAGTCTCCTAGAGGCGTTCAACTGGTTATCGGCAACACGGCCACTCCTCACTTGTCCGACACTATGGTTATGGCCAACCTTGGTTACTTCCAGCTTCAAACTGATCCGGGATTCTTCACGGTCTCATTGGCTGACGGTCCTTCTAGTGATATTTACCAGTTTAATGGAGAGGGTATGTCTAGCAATAGCATCGCCCTGTGGATCACTGAAATGGATGGCACCACGATTATGCCCCATCTTGTTCGCCGTCCCGGTAAAGAGACAGCAGATGTTCTTGAGCCCCCCAAGAAGAAGAAGAGCTGGTTTGGTGGCAAGCCAAAAACCGAGGGTGCTGATATCAACATTTTCACTGTTGCCAGCGGCCATCTCTATGAGAGATTCCTGAGCATTATGACACTCTCTGTAATGCGTCACACCAAGCACACTGTAAAGTTCTGGCTGATTGAAAACTTTTTGTCTCCCTCGTTCAAGAAGTTCTTGCCTACTCTTGCTGAAGAGTACGGGTTTGAGTATGAGTTTGTGACCTACAAATGGCCCAACTGGTTGCGGGGCCAAAGCGAAAAGCAGAGAGAAATTTGGGGCTACAAGATCTTGTTCCTGGATGTGCTCTTCCCCCAAAACCTTTCCAAGGTAATCTTTGTCGACAGTGATCAGATTGTACGCACAGACATGATCGAGCTCGTGAATGAGGACCTCGAAGGGGCTCCTTATGGCTACACCCCAATGGGAGATGACCGCGAGGAGATGGAGGGTTTCCGCTTCTGGAAGCAAGGATACTGGAAAGACCATTTGCAAGGTGCACCCTACCACATCTCTGCCCTTTATGTGGTGGATCTTGATAGATTCCGCGAACTGGGAGCTGGTGATATTTTGCGCCAGCATTACCAGCAGCTTTCCGCTGATCCCCGGTCACTCTCCAACCTTGATCAGGACTTGCCCAACAATCTGCAGGGGCTCGTCAAGATCCACTCTTTGGATAAGAGCTGGCTATGGTGTGAGACGTGGTGCAGTGACGAGAGCCTGGCGAATGCCAAGACAATCGACCTGTGCAACAACCCTCTTACCAAGGAACCCAAGCTTGACCGTGCTCGGCGCCAGATTCCTGAATGGATCGAATACGACGACGCGGTCAGCGCGTTGCGCAAAAAGGCCGCTCAGGCGGCGAAATCCCGTGTCCAGGCCGCGAAAGAGGCCGTGGAAGCTGCAATGGGCGTTGCTATTGGCCATGAAAACGATGACCATGACGAGCTTTAAACGATTTTACGAATAGCAGTTAGATTGAAATCTCCATCTCTACATGACACTAGAAAATGTTTGAAAGAACTTTGGCGGTACTAGCCGGTTTCTTTTGTGGGTTAGCTTTACGCTGGTCGAAAGTACGATGCACATTAGTGGCCTTAGGCGTGGCTCTTTTTTGTTCAATTTTGTCGATCATGGCCTTCTTCTCGACGTTCTCAATAAATACCTTGTTTTCCCGCGTGGCCTGCGCAATCTCCGCCTTCATTTTTTCATGACGTTCCTGCGCCTCGAGAGCGAACTGCTCAGTGAGATCGGTCCACTTGAATCGCTTCAAGTACTTGACGTTCAAAATGTCGTCATAGTAGAACGACCCCTTCTTCCCGCCAATTTGGTTGCCATTCAGGGTCTCTGCTGCGAGCTTTGCGTCTGACTTCCGCACAAACTCGGCCCATCCTTCCGTATACTTCTTTTTACGGTTTCCGCCAGCCTTGACTCGCCTGGCGTGGCTCGCGGCGTCTTCGGGGGCCAAGAAAATGCGGTTGACCTCACCGAACCGCGACAGGATTTGCCGAAGCTTCACAGGCTTCATATAGGGTGGGATTCGAGAGATATAAACAACCCCGGACTTTCGAATCGCTCGCAAGCGAGCCTGCATCTCTTCCGGGGTAAGAGGTTTGGTGACGTTGTCGGTTGGCTCTTCGTCCTGATCGTCCTCTTCTTCGTCAACATCCTCTATCTCTTCCTCCTTCTGCCATCTCTCTGTGCGCCCAACGTCCTCATCGCTAGAGTAATGAGCCTCATCGTCCAGAGAAAACAGATCACTGGCTTTTGACATTTTTCCCAGAGAAAAAAATTATGTCAGCGAAGACTGGCTAAATGGACTAGAGGTAATTAATATGAGGATTACAGACCGAGAGCAGTTAGCTTTTCAGTGACAACCTTGATAGCCTCGTCGACTTTAGAGGTCTCAGTTCCCGAGCCCTGGATGCTCTGTCCTTTGCCGCCGGCACGGCCTCCGACAACTTCGGATACGGCCTGACCGATTTCAGGAGCAGAGGCGGACTTGTCGGCGATGAAACAGCCGTGAGCGACCTTGTCGCCATCGACGCTGAGGAGGTAGACGGTTTTGTCGTTCTTCTTGGCATAGTTGAATCCCTCGGTCAGAGCCTTGGGGTTACCTTCGACCTTCAGGACAGCGAACTTGGCATCGGGGTTCTGCTCAAAGTACTTGGCGATAGCATCGACAACCTTCTTGGCCTGAGCCTTCTGCTGCGCCTTGACCTTCTCGGTGATCTGCTTCTGGAGCTTGTTGAAACGCTCGGTGAGAGCCGCCTTGGAAATGACAGAGACCGACAAGGGTTTGAGCTCGACGCCAAGTTTTTTGGCTTGGGCCTCGGCCTCAGCAACAGGAATAGCATCAATAGCGGCCTCGAGCTCATCGAGACGCTGAGAAAAGGTCTGGGCAACGCGCTGGACATCATGAGCAGCAGAGCCGGTAACGGCGACAATGCGTCGAATACCCTTGGCAATACCGCTCTCCTCGACAATCACAAGCTCACGAATTTCGCCAGTCTTGCCAACATGCGTACCACCACAGAACTCAATAGAGTACTCGTGCCATTTTTTGTTGTCGGGATCCGAGACAAGTTCATCGACAGGAACACCGATGGACACTACGCGGACAGGATCCGGGTAAGTCTCACCGAAAACGGCACGGACACCGCAGATAGCACGGGCTTTCTCAAGAGAAACATCCTTGTAATAAACAGTCTGGTTGTCCTTGATGTATTTTGAACAGAGCTTCTCAACCTTGTCGAGCTCGGGTAGGCTAACTCCCTGCTTGTGGCTGAAATCAAAGCGCAGCTTGTCCTCAGCAACAAGAGATCCCTTCTGGTCAATTCCGTCACCGAGAACCTCACGCAAACCAAAGTTGAGAACATGGGTACCAGTGTGGTTGTTCTGCAAAGAAGCACGACGAGTAACGTCGTAGCCAACGACAACCTGAGAGCCCGTCTTGATGGACCCATACTTGAGGTAACCAGTATGCAAAACGTAGCCACCATAGCTCTGGACATTCTGAACATCAAACTCCGCCTCGCCGTCAATCAGGATCTTGCCGGCATCGTACTCTTGGCCACCCGACTCTGCGTAGAAGTTGGTCTTGTCCAGCAATAAACCGGTCTGGCCCGAGGAAACCTCGGAAACAAACCCAGTGCTGTCTACAACCTTAAGAACAGTAGCAGTAACGTTTCCCTTGCCGTATTTGGCATCATCATCGGTAGTGGGAACCTGAGAGTTTTGGAGTTCAGAGAGCAGGTGAACATCAAGTTTAAGGAGCGCCTCACCGGAGACAAACTTGGTGCCCTTCGAGGCCTCCTTGGAAGCAAGACGAGCAGCCTCAAACTCGTTTTCGTCAATCGTGAGGCCGGCCTCTTCAGCCATCAACCGGGTCAAATCGACCGGGAAGCCGAACGTGTCGTACAAACGCCAAACGTCTTTGCCGTCAAGTTTGGTCAGGTTCTGCTGACGCGCACGAGCAGCGTACTGCTCGAAGAGCTTCTCACCACGATCAAGGGTACGAGCAAACGAGTCCTCTTCTTCATTAAGAATCTCGAAAATGTCGGCCTGGTTTTTAGCCAACTCGGGGAACATGTCACCGACCTGATCGATAAGAGTAGGAGCCAAGGAAGAGAAGAATGTTCCGATAGGCACGTCAAAGTACTTGCGAACATAACGAGCACCACGGCGCAAAATACGACGCAGAACATAACCTCTGCCATCGTTATTAGGAACACCGCCATCAGCCAATGCAAAAGTCAAAGTCCGGACGTGATCAGCAACAACACGATAGGCAGTATCGATACCATCAGCATCCTCAGCACCAAACTTGCCCTCGTAAGCGCGACGGCCAGTCAGCTCCTGGATTTTGGTGAACAAAGGAGCGAAAACATCGGTGTCATAGTTGGAACGCTTATCCTGCAAAGCGGAAACCAAACGCTCGAAACCCATACCAGTATCAATGTGCTTAGCGGGCAGAGGACGCAAGGTACCATCGGCCTCACGGTTGAACTGAATGAAAACCAAGTTCCAGATCTCCAACACATCGGGATCGTCCATGTTGACGAGGTCGCGGACATTACGACCACCACCAATGCGGTCATAATGGATTTCAGAGCAGGGACCACAGGGGCCCTGGTCGCCCATCTCCCAGAAATTGTCCTTGTAAGAGCCCACGACGATGTGATCTTCAGGAACACCAATGTCGAGCCAAAGCTGCTTAGCCTCGAGATCAGGCTCCATATTGCGTTCAGGAGAACCACCAAAGTACGATACATAAAGCTGGTCAGCCTTCAGAGCGTAAACGTTGGTCAACAGCTCCCACGCCATCTGGATGGCCTCCTTTTTGAAGTAGTCGCCAAACGACCAGTTACCCAGCATCTCGAAGAAGGTGTGGTGATAACTGTCACGGCCAACATCCTCGAGATCGTTGTGCTTACCGCCAGCACGGATGCACTTTTGAGAGTTCGCAGCGCGCTTGAGGCCGGCAAAGGGCGACCCCGGAGCCACCGTCCCCAAAAAGAGGGGCTTGTACTGGTTCATACCAGCATTGGCAAACAATAGGGTGGGGTCCTCATAGGGAATAACCGAAGAAGAGGGTACAAATGTGTGCTCTTTACTTTTAAAATAATCCAAAAAAGTGCTACGCACACGCTGCGCAGTCCATTGCGATGTCATTCGGCGCCGGATGGTGGAAAATGACAAATCGATTGGATGAGTAAACTTTGCCTTAAGGTGGAAAGAGCAGTGTATATATGCAGTAAAGCTAGATAAGATTTTGTATGAGGTAGTTTTTAAAGAGGGTCGTCGTCACGAGGGTCGCCATACTGCCACATGCCGATACGGTCTGACATAGCGGCGGCTTGCAAGTCGTCCAAATGTGCTCTTGTCGCATCTTTGGGGGCAGACTTGGCGACCGAGGTGTAGCCGTTATCGATGAGTCGCGAATTGACGCTGTCACTGGCGGCTTTGGAGTCGTCGGTGAACAAAACCAGGCCGGCAGGCGTGGTATGGGCCACAATTCGCTTGTTGACGATTTTCTCGTTCAAGTACTCGACGTAGTCTGTAAGATGGTCCCGAGGAGGAACCGCGAGGTAGGCCAGAGGCTTGACAACGCAGAGCGCAGGGATGGCAGTGACATTGAACTGCGGCACCAACGGGCGCAGTTGGGCCTGAGGGAGAACCACCTGTCTGCCGAGATCAAGCTGGTCAATAGTGTACTGACCCTGTTCAAAGGCAACCACGCGGCCACGAACGTAGGATTGACCAACTTTCGCCACCACATACTCGCCACGACGCGGGGACTTGTCAAATTTAACACCGGTGTTGGCTGCGGTGTTGTAGAAAGTCGCCATATCAGCCCTAAGCTTGACATAACAGTCTCTGGCAGACGCCAGCTGGTAAACAATGGCTCCCGCGGTAGCTCCAACACAGAATGCATCTTCGTAACGGTCATCAGCAACCTCCTCGGTAGACTCCTTGTTGATTTGGAGGTTAGCCATGGGTTCTGTGGGCACATAATCCACCCACATGCCCGACTTGGCCTTTTGAGCAGCTTCCTTGACAGCATCTAGCTCGTCACGCAAGCCTGCAGCATTGGCTGCGCCCTCATGGACATCAGCCAAACCATTTTGGGCTAGCATGACCTGCAAAGGGACCTGCTTTCCGGGGAGGTAAATCTTGGTGATAAAAGCCCCGGTTTTGTCGACGTTTTCAAACACAGCTTGGACGTCGCGCTGGTTGAACAATCGATTTGTGAACTCCATAGCGGCTTCACCACTTGGTTCATTGGTTCTGGGCACTCTCACGCCAGCAAGCACGGCAGTGAGTGTGCAATTTTCAGAGGGAACAGCAAGCTTGAGACGACCACCCGAGTGAACGTACTCAACAACAGCAGGCACGCGGCCCCGCCGTTCCAATGTGGCAAGGTATCCACGAGCACGAACAACGGTCTCGCTAGCATCAACCAAACGTTCAGCAGTAGCCGGTTTGTTACCAAACAGTCCCCGCTTGGCCTCCTGGGCAGAAGCCTCAGCAGCAAACAAATCATCAATGAAAGGAGACTTGTCGATATCATCGCGACGATGACGAACAACCGTGGCCCATCCATTCTCGATAATCTCGATGGCAGCATTTTTAGATCCCAAGGCCAGGGTGACGAGATCACGTTCATCAAACTGTTCAGATGCAGGGCGAACGGCATCCAGGTGGACTGTCACAGCTTTTCCAATAAGAAGCTTTCGGGCGAACTCGCGAGCATCATTAACAAACGGTGCTTGTGCAGGGTCGTTCTTACGGGGAGCTCTAACTGAAGAAAGCTGAACGGTTTTCTCGCCCTTGTCGCCCTTGACAACAAAAGTGTCTGAAGAAACTACCCTCAAGACTGTAGCTTCATAGCTCGTTGAGCTAGCCTTTGGTGTTCTGCGTTGCCAAATATTGACGGCCTGTTGCTCAGCTTTACGCTGGGCGTTGCGCAGAGTCAACAGTCGATCGCTGCCAATGAGGGCCGCCTGGTTATCGGCGACGTATCCAAGACCCTGTTCCAGTAACAACGCAGCGATATCGCCGGCAGGATAGATCAAGTTCACCAAAGGAATGTTTGGGTTACCTGGCGAGGGAGCAACAAACTCAGCACGAACCGAGCGCTGCAGCATACGGGTGACCATGAAGGACTTGGCGACGTCACCAAACGGCTCACCGGGAGAGTCATTAAAAGCGGTCCTCGGCGCACGAATGCCAGCAATCAGGGCCGGACCAACGTAATGGAAATCTTTGTCCATCAAGGTACGCAAATGAATGCGATCTCCCGAGACGATCTTCTCAACAATCGAAGGGACCTGGCGCTTAGAGCCATACAAGTCCTCGGGGACCTCACCGACCTGGCGAACCTGCTTGGTATCGGGAGCCCAAACACCCTTGTGGGACGCCTGGGCCGCCAGCTGGGCCTGCTCCAGACGGGCGCCCAACTCCTTGTAGCCAGGCTTGACGGCCGCGTCGTCACGCAATTTGACAGCGCCATCGCTCAAAGACCGCTCCACAAGCGAATCAAACACAGGGGCCCTCAAATCGCCGTACTCGCGGTTGTTGGCCGAGTAAAGCACCCGGAACTGCACAGGCTTCCCCACCAGCAGAGTGCGCAGAGCCTCACGAGACTCAAAGCCGTGCTGCTCGTTGGAGTTCAGTCTCGGCGAGCTCACATATGCCAGCGAAAGCAAACGCTCGTTCGACTCCGTAGGAGCAGCGTCCACCGGCGTCAGAACAACCGTGTCTCCACTCAGTACCGACTTGACACGTGCAGACATTACGTGGTAAAAAGGCGAGCGAGTGAAATTTATAAGCGCAGGCAGATGCGGGGGGCTGCGGGCAACCAGCAGAAGAGACAACGTGAAATGAGTCTTTTAACTATCTAAAACTGCTTAAGAGGACTCAGAAGCGATCTTCTCGGCCTTGGACTGGACCTCCTCGATGTCGCCGACCATGTAGAAGGCGGCTTCGGGCAGGTGGTCACACTTGCCGTCGAGAATCTCCTTGAAGGAGCGGATGGTGTCCTTGAGGGCAACGAGACGACCCTCGATACCAGTGAAGACCTCGGCGACAGCGAAAGGCTGGGAGAGGAAACGCTGCATCTTACGAGCACGCTCGACGGTCAGCTTGTCGGCCTCAGACAACTCGTCCATACCCAGAATGGCAATAAGATCCTGGAGGGACTTGTAGGCCTGCAAAGTCTGCTGGACCTTGGTAGCGACGTTGTAGTGCTCCTGGCCAACGACCGAGGCGTCGAGCAGACGGGACTTGGAGTCCAGAGGGTCGACAGCAGGGTAGATACCCAACTCGGAAATGGCACGGGACAAGACAGTGGTGGCATCCAAGTGAGCAAAGGTGGTGGCAGGGGCGGGATCGGTCAAATCATCGGCAGGCACGTAGACGGCCTGGACGGAGGTGACGGAACCCTTGGTGGTGGTGGTGATACGCTCCTGCAGAGCACCCATATCGGTGGCCAGGGTGGGCTGGTAACCGACGGCAGAGGGGATACGACCCAACAAGGCCGACACCTCAGAACCGGCCTGGGTGAAGCGGAAAATGTTGTCGACGAACAAAAGCACGTCCTTGCCCTCGTCGTCACGGAAGTACTCGGCAATGGTCAGACCGGTCAAAGCAACACGGGCACGGGCTCCAGGAGGCTCGTTCATCTGACCGAACACAAGAGCGACCTTGGAGGAGCCCTCCAAGTTGATGACACCGGACTCGATCATTTCCTTGTACAAATCGTTACCCTCACGGGTGCGCTCACCGACACCAGTGAAGACGGAGTAACCACCGTGCGCCTTGGCAATGTTGTTGATCAGCTCCTGAATGAAAACGGTCTTGCCGACACCGGCACCACCGAAAAGACCAATCTTACCACCCTTGGCGTAGGGGGCAAGCAAGTCGACAACCTTGATACCGGTCTCCAACACCTCAGCAGAGGTAGACTGCTCAGCGAATGTGGGAGCGTCGGCGTGGATGGGGCGGTAGACGTTGGTCTTGACGGGGCCACGGTCGTCGACGGGCTCACCGATAACGTTCAGAATACGACCAAGGGTACCGTCACCGACGGGGACCATGATGGGGGAACCGGTGTCGGTGACAGCGGTACCACGGACAAGACCCTCGGTACCGTCCATAGCAATGGTACGGACGGTGTTCTCACCCAAGTGCTGGGCGACCTCGAGAACAAGCTTCTCGCCGTCCGACTTCTTCAAAGTCAGGGCGTTAAGAATGGCGGGCAACTGACCCTGCTCGAACTGGACATCCTGTTTGTTAGTATATTGTTCGGATTGGGGGTTGGTGGGGGTTGGGATTGGTCCTCGCTGCTGATTGGTCAGACTTTTTCAAATCCTCCCAAATGGAAAACCCCAAGGGGGGCTGCCCCGGCGCCTGGACCAAATCTCAAATCCCTACCTTGAGCGAATCGCTCGACTCTTCGTGGTACTTACGACAACGGCACCAATAACGGCTCTGCGGTTAGTATTCTTGTACGCGGACAGGGGCGTCGGGAAAATCGCCCATCGGGCTTCTCCCTCCGGACCGGGGGTCCCGGTAGCGCGCTCGGCGCTATGGTTACTTACTTGATGGAACCAGTGCTAGTGGCAGCCTGCGAAGCCATGGTGCGAGCCAGAACGGGCTGGCTAGCACGCATAGCGCTGCGCTTCAGCGACGGAAGGACTCGGTTAAACATGGTCACTGAAAGTGTGTAGGTAAGGATTACTACGGAGCTGTTTTTTGATTGGGAGAACAAAGTAGGGTAACCTTTTTCTTTTCACTGCTTACTAAGTCGCAAACCAACTTCGCCGTCCCTAGTTGCCCTAACAACGCGTCGAGGTCCGCGATGCGGTTCTCTCGTCTAAATCCCATAATTGTAAAGTGCAGTGTAGTTTGAGCTGGTCGCGAGCATCGTCCTGCACAGTCGCTCGGTGAAAAACACGCTAGCCTGCCGAGCATGCTCCCTCAACCCCTCGTTCAGTCCCTATGCATCATAATTACATACTCTATGCAAAGTGGCTATATTCCTGAGAATCCTCGTCACTGTCTACTTCGAAGTCGTCCAGCACACTCTCAGGACCGCTGGACGCTTCTATTTGAGCTGCACGCTCCATTGTCCGCCGGTAGATAATCCACGTAGTGAGAATAGCTACCACGATGGCCAAAACAATCGAGATCAGGTTGACGACCCGCGAGCTGGTGTCTCTGGCCGCGCCGAGTTTCGCAACGCGGTCGCCAATGAAAATGTGAATGAGCAGCTTGGGCGTGGTGCACAGCGTGGCCAGGAAAAACTTGTATGGCTCGACGGTGTGCACACTGCTCATGGCCGCGTTGGACATGGAGTAGGGCAACGGGCAGAGTCGGATCAGCCAGAGCAGCACGAACTTGTCCTGCTCGAGTGTTTTCGCAAAGGCCATGAACTTGACGTTGCTGTGTGCTAGTGCCTTTGCCCGGTCCTCTAAAAAGTATCGGAACACCATAAAGCATGCAAACGAGCCGATAACTGTGCCAGCGGCCAGAATGGGCCAGCCCCCGGGGAAACCAAACACCATCCCGGTGAACATGGAGATGGCAGAGTAGCCCATCATAGGTGGGAACGATACGCCTATGAGCATGCAAATAATAATTAGCCATCCCAAATTGACCTCTCTAAAGTCCTCGGATTTCTCGACCATCCAGTGCAGAATTGGCTCGTGGAACCACGCGAAAAAGGACATGAAAACAACAACACACCCCAAGCCTATCAATACAAACATCCGCTCTCGCGGCTTCAGATCACTGAACGTGTTCATCACCTTCGTTTTGGCCTGAACGACCGCGTCCCGTATCTGTGTCCACACCATGACAAATGGCTGAGGGGAGACGGAGGCCGGCCCGGGGCACCTGGGCCAGTAAATGTTAGACAAAGTTAGCAAATAGTATAGCAATAAAAATACAATCATTCAGCTCCGTAGAACTTGTGGAAGATAAAATGTAACAGGCGGTCCGTGTGCAGACGCACAACATCGTCAAATAGGTCAACGTACGCTTGACTGCTGTACTGGCGATTGAGCAGGTCGTCTAACGTGAGGGTCGCCTGGCCCCCCGGTAGCTGGATACCTTTGTATGCGACCTGCACAATGAACTTGGAGGCCTCCTCAGACTTGAATGTGAAATTGACGTCCCGCATCTGGCGCTCACTGTATCCCTTGAGGTGCACGAGAATACCCCGATCACGAATCTTGTCGGCACTATATTTGTAGGCGCCAAACCGAGCATTAGTGACCTTTGACCGGCTTATTCCCAGCTCTTGAAGAAACTTCAACAGCAGCGGTGTCTTCTTTTTCTTTTTCTTGTTCTGATTGTTCTCCTGGAGCGTCTGCATAGTGTCCTCAATGTAACCCTCGTATGCTCCTAACCGCTTCTTGAGGTATTTGTTCTTATCGTTCAAACTGACAAGCGTGGCAGAGCAAAGAGCCAATTCCCGCGACCGTGAATTGCGACGCTCGTGTTTGTTTCGAATATCATCCGCCAGACTATTCAGCAACTCTTGGTATCCATTTTCACGGGAAATGCGTCCACTGCTCTCCAAATCCAAGATCTTCTCCAGCGTTAGCAATTTAAGCTCGCGGAAAGTCAACTCGCCCAGCTCGCTGTCGTGTACCTGGGACCGGAACTCGCCGTAGTTGTCTTCATCCTGCTCGGTAACCGGAGCCACCAAAATGCTCATAAGATCGTTGCCTGGCTGGACCATGAGTACAGAAATCAAGCAGCGTTTAGCTGTAGTAAACTGGCCGGCACTTGCTCCATTGGTGACAGCCGATGAGCCGTAGCTGGGGTTAAGGTCGAGCTTCACGGTAGTGAATCTAGCGATATCAAGAATGTCTCTGGCATCGCTGGGGAGGGGGCCGAGCTGCTTGACGACGGGACGAAGCACCGAATCATTGCTATCAGTGATTGCATCCAATTTTTGGAAAATAAGTGAGTGCAAGGCCAAAACGTCGCTGGTTTTCATGGTGAGCTGGGGCCTCAAATGGGATGTCACATCGTCCAGATTCGTCATACAGAACTGCGTTTGAATGTCCTTGATATCAATCACCCGCTTGAAGATTTGTTGCAAGCGCTCCCCGCTTTGGGAGACGAACTCATTCAACGGCTGTAGATATTGTTCATCGCTCCGGAACGGCTGGAAAGATGCACACTGCACAAGAATCTTGGCAATGGCACCGAGACTTGTCGCTTGTCGCATGTCCAGGGCTTGATCAACAATTCCCGTGCTATCGGCGGCCAGCATGGATGGGATCAAAAAGTGGTTGAACACAATCTTGCCTACCAGAGTCAACCAAGCAGTTTGATTCAAATTCATACCCCCGGCTGCTACCTTACGAGCACCGTGCAGGGCCACTTCCCGAGCCAAGTGGCGCACATAGTATGGCAAGGCATCCACGTTGGCATCCAAGGCTTCGATGAAAGTATACGAAAGCTCACGCAGTTGCTGTAAATTCTTGACAAACTGAGATCTTGTCTGGGGGTCCTGAATAGCAACGTCAATTGTTGCATTCGGATCCCGATTGTAGATCCCTTGCGCTTCGTCCGCAGCTACAAAGCTTCTGTAGATCACTAATGGATCGCTCTCCACATTCAGGTCTGTAACTGACAATGTAGTTGTGACAGCACCTGTCAAAACTGTTCGAGCAGCAGCGTAACTAGCTTTGCGTCTGTTTAGCGTTTCGAATAGTCGCCATGCCATGCTCGGGCCTCTTATGAACTCGTGAAGAGACCCCGTCGAATCCATTTCAAGCCTTAGGGAGCACGAAAGCATCTGTAACAAAAAGAACTCTTCCCTGGGTTTGTAGGCGTTGGCAAAAAGTTGAAGAATCCAATCGGCGATCTGCTTGGTTTCCCGTTCAGGTACATTAGCCATTTGGTTGGTACTCATCAAGCGAGCCAAATACTCGTGCTTTGTTTGGAGAACATAAAACATACCCTGATACAGTTCCAGGCGCTGTCGTGAAGTCTTGTTGAGAGCCTTGAGGTCAAACACATCGTCGCTCAGCTTTCCACCTGAGCTGCCGTGAGAAGAGCGAAGTACACTGTCAAGCTCTGAAGGAGGCTTGGTGGGCATTTGAGAAACTGCCTCCTCTAGTGAGATCTTGTTCCTCAGAAGCAAAGCAATCTTGGTGTCAAGCTTGTCAATGTAACGCTCAAGTTTCTCATTGGCCTGGACACTATCTGCAACCTCTTTGCGAGAGCGCTCAAGCTCCATTTCCTCGTGATAGTCTGCATCGCTATCGTTCAACAGATGAACAAACTGCTTGATGGTATTAAATCCAGGATTGGGATCAGCAATTAGCGACTGGTATGCTTTGGCTAACCGGCGGGCTCGCCATAGATTTTGAATCGTCTTGATCTTGTCACTATGAGCGTCCCAGTTGGATGTTCTGACAACCAGCGAGTTGCGAGCCAGATATCCACGCACGCAAGCCTGCATGCCAACGATACCGACAATTTCCTGGTCAAGATCATCAAATAAGCATCCCATGCGGAAACGAGAGAGAACGCCACGGAAATGCGATTGAACAGCAGTAATAGCCTTTTGATTTTTCTCAAGCTCAGCCTTTTGTTCAGAAATCTTTTCACGGAGCTGGTTTGCCCGGATAACCGATTGCAAGGATGTAACTCCATCGCCATCGTTGTGGAGGGCCGCTCGCGAGGTGGAAAACCTGCGGCGAGCAACAAAGGCACGGGCAGCGGCTTGCAAATTAGAAATCAAAGCCTTGTTTGATGCCATATACTCGTCAATCGACAGGATAGACATACGAAGCTGCTGACCGCGGACCACTGCCTGAAGGCACTCGAGAGACCTGCTCTTTCTCTGGGCCACGAATTGGGTCGCCGGCGACGCTGTTCGGGCAAGGTATCCTCTGCAGGCAGCTTGAAGATACACATAAGTGTGAACGTGATGGTCCATCTTGTTTTGCAGGACCATGGATCGGTTCTCATACAGTTTGCGTCGGCATTGGGCCTGCACGGCGGTGATCTCAGGCTCGAGCGCTTCGAGCTCCATCAACAAAATTTCTTCGGCAGTCAGATGTACAGCTGCGACATCAAGAGCCAGCTCGTCTGCACTGGGCTCCGCGGGAGGAGGTGGGGTTTTGACGCGAGGCGGCTCAAGCTTCAAAGATACCTTGCGCTCCTTGTCGTCTCGGAAAGTGGCGAAGTTGGGCATCGATAAGCCCGAAGCATCAAGGCCACGCTGGGTGAAGCTCAATTGATCGTCGGTAAAATCAACTTTACCGAGAAGGTTACCAATTTGCGGCGCGAGGTCGTCGTTGGCTAGGATGTGAGACAGAGCGTGGATACAGTAGATAACTTTGGGAATATTCCTGCGTTCGTAAAGATCAATAAGCTCGAAAGTGAAGAGATCGGGCACCCTGACGTCGGCGATGAATTTGAAAAAGCAATCAATATTGTCAATGTGACGGTACTGCAAACGTTTATGCTCGAAAATCCGCTTCACAAGATCAGGACGGAAATGGCGAGTGATCTTGGCAAGAATAACACCATCGACAAGCTTTTCGGGCAGATCGATGGCGTCAGGCAGCGTCTCGCCCAGCACACCTTCCATCCACTCCTTTGCTTCCTCAACATGACACAAGTACTCGTAGGCCTGGAGGTTTTTACGCTCCCGGTCCCACACTGCAACCTCGCTTTTATCCTCGTCATGCTGCAGTTTCTTTCTGTGCAAACCGGGCAACTCTTCAGCGTCGTACACCTGCTCAATTCCCTTGATGGTGCCTCGGAATGGGCTGCGAGACGGCGAGGCCTTGGGCGACCCGTAGCGGGCCGGGCTGGCATTTGCACGCAGATCGCTGCCAGCCGTAGTGCGATTAGGCGAGCCCGTGGCTCGTACTGGGGTTATGACTCTCATTGGAGCGACAGATTTGCGCGGAGTGGTTCGAATTGGCGAGATGCGGATCTGGTCCGCGGGGGGACGGCTCGTCGACTTGGCGGGAGAGTGTGGCTTGGGGCTCGTACTGCCATTTTCCTGTGCCAAATTGTTCTTCTCAAGTGTCTGGAGATATCTCTCCGCCACAGGTTTCATTTGCGGGTCGAAGTTGAAAGCTGAAACTGGTTGTTTTGAAGTTGGGAGACCGTTGGCACCTGCGTGGATTGTTTACATTTTGGTTGGCCTGGTAACGTAAGCAGGTGCAGAATAGGCGCGGCCAGGAGAGAATTGGGAATCGCGATTGATTGTCAGTGGTTTGCTGAGTAGTAATCTGAATCGCCTATTTGCGTCCCAACTGACGCTGTTTTGTTGCCGGCCCGCCCCACAAGTCTAGCTGACAAACTAATGGACCAGCGAGTCGCCCTAGAGAGCGGCGACCTGCGATACGTGTACAGGCTGCTGAGCGAGGAGCTGGAAAAGAGTCTGGATGCCGCAATCGACAGCGAAAAGGCCGGGTACCCTGAGGACGTCAAGGCTGAGGCACTGGCCGCGGCCAAGGCAGAGCTACGCAAGACGTTTGAGATGGCCCGGTTCGCGGTCAATATTTCGGACGTCAGAGTCGAGTCCACAGAGGATTTCCGAATGTACTGTGAGGAGAACTACGGTGCGGAGCCACTTGATCTCGAATTGAACCAGCAGGTGTTCAACGAGCTGGGCGAAATCGACCACACGACCGATGGAGTGGCCCGGCAAAGGACGCGAGTCGCTTCGGAAGTAGCCGAGCTCTACCGTCAATCTACGCAAATACGACTAGCTACGTTCGACAAACAGCTCAGCTCTGAGGAAATCAGCTTGCCGGAGCTCAACATACCGTTTGAGCGCGTCGAGTCGCTCAGCGAAGACCTCAGGGTAGCCAACGAGCAGAGCCAAGCTCTTCAGAGCGAGCTGCGCGAGCTGATCGCCAAGATGACGGACATCAAGAACGGCATCGCCATTGGCTGAAAGGAAATATTATTTATTCGAGTTTTTTTGGTGTAATATCTAATCATGCAGGGTCCAAAAAAAAAAGTAGAAAGCACACACACGATGCGATGCTTACTCTTCCTTGATTCCGCCCTTTCCAGCAGTCTCAGCGGCCTCGACCGTTTTCTTGTCGGTGGCAGCGCCGCCAGCAAGATCTCCGAACATGGAAGGAGCCTTGAAGGGACGCTTGAGATCGCCAGTGGACGGCTTGTTGAAGAGGTGGATCTGGACAATCTTCTGCTCCACAGCGCTCTTGAGGGGCATGATGCTCTGCATGATGAGCGGATTGGTGTACTTCATGTAGAGATGCATGAAGGCCATCATGCCCACGCCCTGCAACGCGGACTTCATGGCGGCGTTGACCTGGTCAAGGTCGTACTGGTGCACGGTGGTAGTGATGAGCTTGCCCTCGCTGTCGGCGGCAAAAGCACTAGGCTGCTCCATGTACTTCAGCGTCGTGAGGTCACGCTTCTTGTTGATGATGGTGCGGGTGTACATGTACAGTCCGAAGATGATCAGGTTCGAGACAACATAGGCAATACGGATACATTTGACGGTGAACTCGTCCTCCATATCAAGACGACGAGATACCTGCATCATAACGAGCATCACTCCCAGATTCGTGATAACCGGATTCATGGTGGCAATGGTGTGGATAGGAAGGAAAAAAAGATGCCGCCGCGCTTGGGACTTTACTCAACCACTGAAAAAACCCCGTAGATAATTGATGACACGACACGCATAGGCTATCTGGGTTAGGGCGATACGGATAAGTGTCTGCGGGGTCTTATCTATATTCTGAGCTACCCTGAGAGATTAAATAAAAAACTTGGGCGGTTTAATTCCGGTTCAAAACTCGAGCTGTCGAGAACACTCCGAGCGGAACAACAGACAGAGCAAGCAGCCCCACATAGCTCGCCCCGGTAGCCACCCACCATAGATGCTGAACAAAAAACGGACACAGCATGTACTCAAAGTCCCAAAGCCGCGTTTCTTCGTTGTACAGGCCGCTCAGAAGCCCCGTGTTGCCCCCGTACTCGCCCATGAGGCTGCGCACCGTGGCCTCTTGGATCCCGCTCGGATCAAGACCGGCTACGGGGCTGAACTCGCCTGATCCGCTCGGCACGTAGCTGGTGAGACAGCCCTCGTGGTCGTGTCCGGCCAAAACAAACCCTGGCTTGCCATTGGCGAACACAGACTGCAGCACTTGCTGGGTCGAGGAGAACGTCAGATGGTTTTGCGACCGAATCTGCGCCCCTTCGTAATATTTAAACATAGGTCCATCCCGACACATCCCTGCTGGTTTGTACATGGGAACGTGTATTGCCAGCACGGTTTGCCCATCGTAAGGGGTCTCCCGTAGGTGCTTCAGAAACGCATGAGTGATTGCCTGATAGGGCCCGTACTCTGCGCCGTCTAAAGCGAGACTGTTGACGACAACAAACCGCCAGGAGCCGTCAAAGTCACGCACAAAGTTCAATGGTCCATAGCGCTCTTCAAATCTGTCCACGCGCTCAGACGTCATCTCCCCATGGTACCCTATATCGTGGTTCCCCGAGACGTTGAAAAGTATCTCGTTGTCTCGAGGCGGAAAAATACGCTCGAATCGGTCGGCCCGCGCATGAAACTCCGCGGTATCAATCCATTGGCTCGAAATAAGGTCCCCCAGGACAACACTCACCCGGGGGTCCAAATGCCTCCGCATGGTGCGCACGGTGTGCGCCAGAAAATAGTCATTGCCGGCAACGTCAAGTCGTTTGCGGAATGCAGTAGTAGGCGACGTCCCAGTGATTTGTGGGTCGCCAAACGCCATTATTCTGATCTGGGCTCCCGGTGCCCAGTGACACCGTCGGAAGACCGGGTAGTTATGTACAAACACATTAACCAGTAACAGTATTGCAGCAATAACACCCAAAAGCCGGCAAAGCCCTCTAATCATCTGCCGTTCGTGCCCTTCCTTCGCTGGCTTGTGAATATTTCAAAACTGCTTGCTGAGTCAGTGAAATACAAACTTCATCCTCCGTTTTTTTGTGGAAGTAAACCAGTCGAAGAACAGCAAGCACTGGCCATTCACAATGAATCGTCGGCGACTAGCGGGGGTTGATGATGAGAGCGACGACGAAAATGGCGTCGCGTCTCCGGTGGCTGAGCCTGCCACTGTGACCGCTGACCAGACGGCAGACGATGATGACGAGGAGGAAAGCGAGGGCACTTACGACGGCAGCAATGCTGGCGACGACGATGACTCCTCGGAGGAAGAAGAAGATGACGAGCAAGAGATGGAAAAAGTCCGTGAAGGGTTCATTGTGGATGACGACGATGGAAGCGACGACGATGACGATAGCGATAGCGACAGCAGCAGCCGTCGTCGCCGCAGACGCAAGCGTAGTCGTTCTCGCCGTACGCCCGAGGAGGAAGATGGTCTAGAGCTTGATGAAGACGACCTTGATCTGGTTCGGGAGGCCGCTGGCCAGGACGAGCCAGAGGGCAAGAAGTTCAAGCGGCTCAAGCGAGTTGACCAGCGAGCTGGCGGCCGCAAAGGCCTTACTGCTATGTTCAGCGATGAAGAAGCTGAAGGTAGCGAAGAAGGAGCTCCCATCTCAAGACACGGTACACTTGCTGGTGAGTTTGACGACTTTATCGAGGATGAGGTCAGTGACGAGGAAGCTCTCCGTCGCCAGGAAGAGCGTGAAACCGCGACCCATGTTCGCCGGCAGGCCGGCCGCCCTGGTATTGCAGATTTAGGAGCCCAACTTGAAGGTCTAGATGAGGAAAAAATCGGCGAGATCTACGAGATCTTTGGTGATGGGGGTGCCTACGATTGGGCTCTCGAGCGCGAGGACGACATGGAGCAAGGCGATGGCCTTTCCGATGGAGAAGACGAAGAACGTGGCGATCGCCCAATTAATCTTCAAGACGTCTTCGAACCCAGCGAGCTCGCAGCTCGAATGCTTACCGCTGAAGACGATGCAATTCGTGCTGAGGATATGCCCGAACGCTATCAGCTTCTTCGCCAGGGTCTCAAACATGGTTATGATCTTGATAACCAGGAGTTCCAAGAAAAGCGTGAGTGGGTGACTGCCGCTATGGTGAAAGAACACCGTTTGCTTTTCGCCGTCAAGCCTGAACTCCGAGAACCTTTTGGCAAGGCTGTCGTAAAGGTACTCGAATTCATTGCATTTGAGCGCCTCGAAGTTCCATTTATTTGGCACCATCGCCAAGACTACCTTGTCAATGTTGTAATCAATTCAAATGAGCAGGACGAGGCTTCGGCTACTTCAACCGAACAGCTGTTGACCCGCGACGACCTTTGGCGTATTGTCATGCTCGATATGGACTTCCACGCTATCATTGAAAAAAGAAAAGCAACTCAAGAACTTTGGGAATCTCTTGAGGTTAAAAGTTCGGACTACGATGAGCTCGTCAGTCAGGCAAGCACGCTTGTAGAGTACCAGGATGTCATGGATTGGATCCAGTTCCGTTACTCCGCTGAGCTTCGAGCGCGTGGTTCAGAAGCAGTGAAAAGACATTCCCGTTTTGGTGTTTACGACAGATTGAGAGCCAGTCCACTGGCAAACCTTGCCCAGCTGACCGGAGTAGATGCTTCTAAATTTGCACTCAACATCCAAGCTGAGAAGCGACTAACGTTCGTCGATGATCCAAGTAAGTTACCGAACGAGGTCGCTGCCGAACAGACACCTGATTTAGAGCCTCAGACCTCTTTAGCTGCCGTTACAGACTATTTGTCTCAAGAACTTTTCCACCACCCTCAAATTCGTCGCTACGTCCGCAATAAGTTTGTACAGGAAGCCAAGATTGATATTGTTCTTACCGATGATGGACGAAAGCGGATTGACGAGAACTCAAAGTTCGCTCGTATCAAATATGCCATCAATTGGTCTTTCGAGGAACTCCGTCTCCGCCCAGATCTCTACTTGACTATGCTGGCTGCTGAGCAACAAGGCTTAGTTGTAGTCCGGGTGCAGTATCCTCAATACAAGACCACACTTTTTGAGCGCTTGTTGACTAGCTATCTATTTTCTGACGGTGTTAGCGAGGTCGCAACTCAGTGGAACGAGCTCAGACGCAGCGTTTTCAAGCAGGCCAGTCGGAAAATTATTCCCCTGATTGCAAGAAATATCCGCGAAGACTTGCGTCATGATTGTTTGCGTTCTCTGTTTTTCGAGGTCCGCAAGGCCTTCAGCGAAAAACTCAACCAGGCTCCGTTTAAGCCCCCCGGATTTTTGCCTGGTACTGTGCCCCGTGTTCTTGCCGTTTCTGCTGGTGAGGGCCAATACCGTGATGCAGTTCTAGCAGTGGTACTTGATGAGGATGGTAATGTTGTTGAACACGCCAAACTCGGTGACATGCGCGATGCTGCCTTCAGAAGTGGGCTTGCCGAGCTAGCCAAACGCCGCGAAGTCGATGTGATTGGTGTTGGTGGATGGACCGGTGCGACCCGCCGTCTGTTCCAGCAAGTCAGTGAAATTGTATCAGACGAGGGTATTACTGTGGGCGAGAACCAAACACCTCTTGATGTTCGTTACGTCAATGATGAAGTGGCCCGTTTGTATCAGTCTTCGAAACGCGCTGAAATCGAGTACACGGACCTTGTCCCTGTCGCACGTTACTGCGTTGGCTTGGCAAGATACATGCAGAGCCCACTGTTGGAATACACATCTTTGGGCAACGAGATCGGTGCCGTGCAAATCCACCCTAATCAGTCGTTGCTTCCAAAAGACCTCTTTTTGCAGTGCACTGAAAGTTGCTTTGTTGATTATGTCTGCCTTGATGGTATCGACATTAATCTGGCTGTCAGGTCGCCTTACGTTGCTAACGCCGTACCTTATATTGCTGGTCTCGGTCCCCGGAAGGCCTCAGGTATGTTGACTGCAATTCAGTCACGGGGTGGAATTATTTCGAACCGCACCAAGCTAATTATTACGGAACTTACACCCAAGACCATCTTTATGAACTGCGCTTCTTTCTTCAAAATTCCTCAGGACACAACTGCTTCCAAAGAGGACGACTCTGATGTACTTGACGGCACACGTATCCACCCAGAAGACTATGAACTCGCTCGCAAAATGGTTGGTGATGCTTTGGAACTTGACGAAGAAGATATTGCAGCCTACGAACGAAGTGGCCGTGGCGGTGTAGTTGCCCAGCTCGACGACCCGGACCGTCTCGATGAGCTCATTTTGGAAGATTATGCTATGGAGCTCGAGAAATCGTTCAAGCAGAAAAAGCTTTGCACTTTGCAAAATATTCGGGACGAGCTCAAGGACAACTACCGCGAACTTCGCGAACCCCTCAAAGTTTTGACTGATCGCGAGGTATTTACTATGCTCACCGGACACTCCCCTGACAGCTTCAAAAGTGGGGCCGTGGTTAGTGCTATCTGCCGCCGTGTCACGAATCGTCAACTCGTACTGAGTGTGGATGGAGGTGTTGATGGTGTGGCTGAGTCTGGAAATATTTCTGATGACCGGTCTCAACCGGTTTCGGCCCAGTTCACCCCTGGCCAGGCTGTGCAAGCAGTTGTACAAAATGTGGACTACAAGGCTCTTTTTGCTGGCCTCAACACAAGAGCCAGCATTGTCAAGCGTGCTTTAGAGGAAGAGGCTGCGGCCAATAGAAGCATTGATCCTGAAAAATGGAACACTGAAGCTGAAAAGCGAGACATTGCTGCCGCTGACCAAAAGATCGCTCAGGAGCAACGCCAGGGACGTATCATCAAGCATCCTCTTTTCCGATTGTTCAGTGCCAAGCAGGCGGAAGAATACCTGGCTCCCCTACAGCGTGGTGACCTGGTAATTCGTCCATCTAGCCGCGGCAACGATCATATCACCATCACTTGGAAGGTGGCTGATATGCTGTACCAACATATCGATGTGATTGAGCTGGACAAGCCCAATGAATACACCATTGGACGCACCTTGATGGTTGGCCGTTGGAAATACAGTGATTTGGACGAACTTATCATTATGCATATCCAGGCAATGGCCCGTAAGGTTGATGAAATGACGCGTGCTGAAAAGTTCCAGTCAGGAACTAAAGCGGATGTTGACAAATGGTTGACTGCGTACACGAATGCCCGACCGAATAAGAGTGTGTATGCCTTCTGCTTCGACCACAAGCGACCGGGATACTTTTTGCTGTGTTTCAAAACAGGCGCAAACGCTGATGTTCAGCAGTGGCACGTAAAGGTGATTCCCAACGGGTACGAGCTGATGAACAACTCCTACCCCGATGTGCCCAGCCTTTGCAACGGATTCAAAATGATTTTTGCAGCAAAAGCTCGCACCGCCTAAGCGTGAAATATACAATAACAAAAACAATTTTTATATCTAGTCGATTAAATTGTGTCCTTTGGCCTTTCCCGATCCAGGATCCATTTTGGCCGAGCGAGCTCCGAACTGGATTGCCCTTTTTTTCTCGTGGCAGACTTCTTCTAGCCCGAGTGCTTTTGCAACGTGTCTCAGTGCAATTTTGGTAGTTTTACCGTCCGTTTTAGCATCTAAGGGCAGTTGTAAGGCGTGGGTCACCACGGCTTCACTTAGATAGGGGTACCTGATTTCTTTGCCCCAGCAAGCAGACACACGGTCATCGCGACCCAAGTTGCGAGTGTCAACACGTCCGAAATCTAACTCCAATTCTTCGGCAAGCTTGTTGGATGTGTAGGCACCCAAGTGACGGGAGTAGCCAGCAAAAAGCTCATCAGCGCCTAGTCCCGAAAACAGTATGGGGGTTGTAGAATGGCCACCTTTAGCAGCAAAGTAGAATGCCATAGCAATGCTCAGGTCCATGACGGTCTTTTGAGGCCACATTAGCTGCTTGACAATTGCATGGCTCTCTAATGCTTCTTCATAAGGCACGTTTATTTCCTCTAGGTTGAACCTTCGAGATGATAAAGCTTGCAGTTCAGAGAATGACCTGCGCCCCAAAATTCTGTCTGGTGTCTCCCACATTGTGTTGGCCCGCCTGTTCTCAAATGCAACATTCAGGAGATCAATCTCAAATTCTTGGGGCAAGACCATATCCATGAGCCTGGCAATAATTGTACAATCAAGACCACCGCTGAACAACACGGCGACCTTGGACAAGTTGCTCGGACACACTGTTCGTTCTAAAACGGCCTGCTTGAGGACCTGCAAAAGCTGTTCGTTTGGTGTCCAGCCAATCGATCTCGAAACTGTATATGTGCGCCGGAGATCAATTTCTGAAAAATTTTTGGACGACAAACTGTACTGGTAAAGAACACCTGCATTGCATTCTATTGCACCACCCACTGAAGTAACCAAAAGGCCATTTTCAAGGGAGTACATCAAGCTTCTTCTTCCCAGCCTATCTCTTCCAAACCAGATCGAATCATTATCCCAGTAAATGAAAGCAAACTCGCCCTCAATCTGGACAGCATCACGCACAGAGGCTTGAAGCCGGTCGAAGAAAACAACTGAATCATTACCGTCTGTACCATAAATCTCACCGTTATACGCCAAGGCTTTGGTGCCAACAATAATTGGCTGCTCGGTAGCTGGTTCGCGAAGAGCAAGAACCGCAGCCTCTAATACAGCATCTTGTGATTCGTACCGACCATAATGATTAGGGCCACGGGCCCTAATCATGCCGGTTAGGTCGTGCGGGACCGTGGAAAAAAGAATCCCGCACATCAAGCGGTAGATCACTTAAGCGGGGGTGATGTGGTTAGCTAGTGTGACGTAAAGTAGAACACAAGTTATAGCAAGAAGCGATAGCTTTGTTGATCTCTTGTGTATTCTAGCCTTTCTCACTGGCTACAACATTTAAGCACTTTTTTAGCTATAGATATGTCACCCAAACTATACTGTCGGCTGCGGCCATATCCAGATGAAAGCAAGACTTCCCGTCCGATCAGTCCTATTGAACCATCTGAGAGCCTTACCAAGTATTACAGTGGGAGACCATGTGAGAACAGAAGGTGCTGCAGTTCTTTTTCGATTTTTTTCCGACCTTTTTGTTAAAAAATGATTCAAATTCTTGTTTTTAAAAAATTTCCGAGCTATAATTCTTTCAGCCCACAGCTGTGGAAGCTCCATCAACTGTCCATATGTGCCTGCGGTTGCACCTGCAAAATAAAAATTAGGTAAGAAACGAAATTTTCAGTTTTATGCCTCCTCGTAAATTTAAGCCTTTTGTCCCTGGACAGGTTTTCACTGGCCAAAACTTCCAGCCTGGTGGTTTTGTACCCAGTACAGTCCGCCAGGCCACTAGTGCGACCCCGTCAGCACCAACATCAGGCACTGCGTCACCTGCAGGTTCTGCTAACTCTTCTCAAATCAACCTCGCGGCGCTTTCTGCTGCTTTGAAAGAACTAGACGATACTCCTATCAAAGACGACTTTGAGGTTATTTTGAAAGCGGAGAATATTGCCGCTCTCAAGCCTGCAGCCCAGTCTATTGCCGATAAGCTCTTTGAATCAGGGGCGGATAAAATCGCTTCCTGGAAATTTATCAATGCTATTGAAACTCTTGCAAAGTCCAGAAAGAGTGCAATTGCCCGTGAAGCTGCAGGGCTCACCGTATCAGCAGTTGCATACAAGTTTGGACCTGATAACTTGGCCCAAGCATACCTGCTGCCGGTTTTTTCACTTTTTTATGAGTTGCAAGTTGATAAAGACTCTGGTGTTCGGCGCTCGGCAACTTCTGCGATCAACACTTTGCATGGCATCTACAACCCAGAGGTACTGGCCTCCTCTGTCTTGAACGAAGTTCTTGATTATTTGGACAGCGGAGCGAAATCTCAGAGCAAAATGGCCGCAGCAAAAACTGTCGAGTACATTTTGGAGGAGTGTCCGGATGATTATATAGACTCACGTTTCGTGGATGCCATCCCTGTTTTGACCAACCTCCTGCATGATTTCAAGCCAGAAGTCGCCAAAGAAGCCCACAAGCTCATGACCACTTTTATGGGCAAGCTCGATAACCAGGATGTCACTCCCCGAATTGATATTATCATTGCTACTCTTGCCGACCCCAAGAAGGTCCAAGAGTGTATCAAGACCCTAAGCCATGTCACATTCGTCACTGAGGTGACAGAGAGTGCTTTGGCTGTGTTGGTGCCCATCTTGACCCGAGCTCTTTCTGTCTTTTCTTCGCAGGACTCGCTCCGTCAGACAGTCACTGTTACTGAGAACCTTACCCGTCTGGTCCACAACCCCTGGGAGGTCAAGCATTTCATTCCTGAGCTCAAACCTCTGGTCGAAAGTGTTGTCAAGACCGCTTCTCTTCCAGAGGTGCGTGAGCTTGCTTCCAAGGCTTTGACCGTTCTTGAGAGTGCCGAAAAAGAAAGTGCTGAGCGCACCAAAATCACTATGGATATGGCCCAAGACACCGTTGCATCTCTTCCTGTTGCCGACTATGCTGCGCCTATCGTTAAGCTTACAGTAAACTGCCGCGAGTTTTCACAGCTCGAGCACTACCTGAAGCTTTGTGGAATGGATCGTGACAAGGCCGTTGCCACCAAGACCGAGTTTGAAAACATGTTTGCTGATTCCCGTATCCCTGAAGATGATCAGGAGGGCATTGAGATTGTCAACGCCAAGTTCTCGCTTGCCTACGGTGGCCGCATGCTACTAAACAAAACCACGCTTCGTTTGTTCAAGGGCCACCGCTATGGTCTTTGTGGTCGCAACGGTGCAGGAAAATCCACTCTGATGCGCTCAATCGCCGAGGGTAAGCTTGAAGGTTTCCCAGACAAGTCAGAGGTTCGCACTTGTTTTGTGGAGCATCGTCTCCAAGGATCTGAGGCCGACATGGATCTCGTGAACTTTATTGCTCTTGATGGTGAAATTCATGCTCCAAAGGAGGAAATCGCTGCTGCCCTGGCTGAGGTCGGGTTTGACGAGACTCGTCGTGCCCAAAACGTGGGTGCATTGTCTGGTGGTTGGAAGATGAAACTTGAGCTGGCCCGTGCCATGTTGATGAAAGCAGACATTTTGCTTTTGGATGAGCCCACGAATCACCTTGATGTGCAGAATGTCAAGTGGCTTCAAGATTATCTTGTCGAGCACACTGACATCACTTCCCTGATTGTATCGCACGACTCTGGTTTCCTCGATGCAGTTTGCACTGACATCATTCACTACGAGCAAAAGAAGCTGGTGTACTATAAAGGCAATCTCTCGGAGTTTGTCAAGATTCGGCCGGAGGGTAAAGCGTACTACACGCTCACAGACTCGGCCGTGAAAATGGCGTTCCCTGCTCCCGGTATTTTGACTGGTGTGCGCTCTCAAACCCGTGCTATTGCTCGAATGAGCGATGTATCATTCACATATCCTGGTGCTGCCAAGCCATCTCTCGAGCACGTCTCTTGCTCTGTCTCTTTGTCTACTCGTGTGGCTGTTCTGGGACCCAACGGTGCCGGTAAGTCGACTCTGATCAAATTACTTACTGGCGAACTTGTGGCAACCAGTGGTACTGTTGAAAAGCACCCCAATTTGCGTATTGGTTACATTGCCCAGCATGCCTTCCAGCATGTTGAGAAGCACAAGGAGCTGACACCGAACCAGTACCTCCAATGGCGTTATCGTAATGGTGACGACCGCGAGGTCCACTTTAAGCAGTCTCGTCAGATGAGCGAAGAGGAGCGTGAGACCATGGCCAAGCCAATTGATCTAGGTGATGGTGGACGTCCACGTGTTTTGGAGGCTATTATTGGTCGCCAGAAACTCAAGAAGTCGTTCCAGTATGAAATCCAATGGAAGGGATTTTTGCCCAAGCACAACACGTTTATGCCTCGTGAGGAGCTTATTGAGCGGGGCTTTGGCAAGCTTGTTCAAGCCTTTGACGACCACGAGGCCTCGCGTGAGGGTCTTGGCTACCGTGAATTGGCTCCGCCTGTCATTCGCAAGCACTTTGAAGATGTTGGTCTTGATGGCGACATTGCTGATCACACTCCGCTAGGCTCTCTGTCTGGTGGCCAGCTGGTCAAGGTTGTCATTGCCGGTGCGACCTGGAACAACCCCCACTTGCTTGTTCTCGATGAGCCGACGAATTATCTTGATCGTGACTCTCTCGGTGGTCTGGCAATTGCCATTCGCGACTGGTCCGGAGGTGTCATCTTGATTTCGCACAACAATGAGTTTGTGGGTGCTCTCTGTCCCGAGCAGTGGATTATCAACGATGGTAAAATGGTCACCAAGGGCAAAGCTGCTGTCCAGAGCGACAGATTTGACACCCCGACCCCCGACTCGTCGGCACCTCCTTCAGCGTCCGCTTCGGCCCACACCTCGGATGCCGACAGCCCGCTGAACATCAAGATCCGCAAGAAGAAGAAGAAGCTTACCCGTAACGAGCAGAAGGAGCGTGATGTGCGTCGTAGGTTGCGTTACTTGGAGTGGTTGGCAGCACCGAAAGGAACCCCCAAGCCTGAGGATACTGACAGCGAGTAGTATTTAACATAGAAGTTACATTTGTTTAGTGGAGTTTCGCCTCTTCATCAGCTGAGATCTCATGACCGGCGACTTTCTCAATGACCTCAGCGACTACCTTGTCAGATAGGTCGTTTTCGTGATTGCAAATGATGCTCACGGTGTTGCAGCCGCATTCGATATGGGGGTACGATCCGATCTTGACGCCGTCGGGGCCGTACTTTTCCTGGAGCTCTGTCAGGGGAGCGGCCATGCCGGACTCGGACATTTTGGTTGAAATGTACCGACGAATGTACTTACGGGTGTCCAGACGGTCCACGAGCAAAGGCATCAAGCCGTTGAGCAGGCGGTTGAACAGCCGGGGGATGCCGGGCAGGACGTGGATTCTGTGGTCAATTGCCACGACCGGCACCCACAAATCATCAGCAACAAAGTATTTTGTCACATTGGGTCCGCGCGGGAAAGTCGCCATGCGCAGAGCTGCTTGTCGCTCCAGGGCCGGCCGATCCTTGGGCGGGTTCTTGGCCAGTCTGTTCATGCGCGCCTCCGTCTCCTTGTCGATCTCAACGGGCAGATTGTAGGCCTTGGCAAGTGACTCGTAGGTAATATCGTCGTGGGTGGGGCCAATGCCGCCGGAGGTCACGACAAAATCGTATCTCTGCATAGATCGGATTGCCTCGACGATCTCGTCGCTTTCGTCGGGAACAACCATGACTTTGCGCAGCTCAATTCCGAGCTCGAAGCAGTACTTGGCAAACGAGTACGAGTTCAGGTCCTTGATTTTCGCGTTCAACACTTCATCACCAATGATAAGGCATGCTGCCGTAGTGATGCGATGGCTCATGTCCGATGACAAACGATCGACTCGTTCTGGAGCTATATCGTGCTGGTGCGAGCAACCGGTCGGGGCGAAATTAAGAAAAAAGTCTAGGTATAACGGGTCTACAGCCAATTCCAACTGGCACACTGTGGAAGCTTCCAGCATCCCGGAGCCCCCACAGCCGCTAGGTCATAGTATCATATATAAGTAAGCTGCAAAGTCCCAAGTTTTTTTTTTTATTAACCACATGAGCAAGACATTTAATGCTGAGGAGGCGGAGAACCTCGAGGATATTGAAAAGCAGTTTGCCGTCAAGGCGGTTGAGCAGGCCCAGACGTACTGGGGCCTGCTGGAGAAGGTTCCTGGTAGCAAATTGAAGCTAACCAGCGACGACGACGTCATCTACGATCATTTGCTGCGCGAGTTCCCTGAATTTCACGAGGGCGGAATCTGGTCCAAGGTCATTGACGAGGACATGATGAAGACCAAGAGCGGGAAAGAGCGCTGGCGCAATTTCTGCAACGTCTATGAGAAGATCATCGACGACTACAACTTTGGCACTTTGCTGCGGCTGGACCCGGCTGGCGAGTACAACGAAAAGAACACCATGTTTGCTCTGCGGATCCAGTTCTATGCCATCGAGATTTTGCGCAACAAGCGGGGCATGAACAACTGGGTCGCTGCCAAGTCTAGCTAATTGATAAGTAGACCTGTTTAACCAAGCCTATTTTATGCAACTCCTCCCGCAGCTGGGCTGCAGCTTCGGTATCCAACGCGGTGCGTTTGGACGGCGAGCTGATGAACACAGTTGCAACGTAGTTCGACCCGTACTGTTCCAGCAACACCCGCTCGAGCTGCCACCCAGGCAGCAGGCGTTCGACCAGGAGAGTTGCCTCGTCCTGCACCCTCTCGGCGGTGTCTGAGCTATTGGCGACCGTCGTGTTTCCGGCAAGTTCGCTTATTGCTTGTTTCAACGGAGCAATGCCCGCCCTTATGATCATGCCGGAGATAATGAGTCCACCGAACGGGTCCAGCCATGTCAAGCCTAAAAGTTGTCCGCCGGAAATAGAAGCCACAGACACAGCCGAAGCCAGGCAGTCGACTCGGTGGTGCCAGGCGTTTGCAATCAGTACTTGAGAGTTCTGCTTTTTGCCAATGCGGTTTGTGGCTTGGAAAAGCGCCTCCTTGATGCCTATGGAGGCCAGTGCGATCCACATGGCGTTCCATTCGGCCATTTGCAGCGGCTTCCCATGGTCATGATGGCCCAATGGCAGCATGGAAAAATAGTGCACGAAAGTTGACTCTGTGCCCAGTGCAAATTCAGCAATGGTGAGAATTGAAGAGTATCCCATTGATGTTCCGGCAATGAGCAGCAGCGCAGCCACACCAAACGCGCCCATAGTTTCTATGCGACCATAGCCGTTTGGAAACGCCTTGGTAACGGGCTTTTTTGCTACAGACACCGTGGCCAGAGTCAAAAAGTCGCTGACCAAGTCTGAAACTGCGTGAATGGCGTCGGCAATCAGGCTCTGCGAGTGGAAAATGATGCCGCCGGCACCTTTACCTGCGGCCATTCCAACGTTGGCCAAAAGGCCGATCCACGTGATCCGTACACCGGGGTCTCGGAGATTAGTGGTTTGCAGATAGGCATTGGCAGCGTGTGTATGTGAATGGCCGTGTGAATGTGAGTGATATCTCACAAACGTCCTAAAGGACCCTCGAAATCCCGCGGTACTCACTCGAAGCATGACAAAGCTGGCAGGCCCAGGTTTACAAGCAGTATGTTTTTGGCAAAAAAAATACAAACTAATCTTGTATATACATCTATTTACGCTTCAAAACGGCTTGCCGCAGCCGACCAGTCGACAACATTCCACACGGCCTTGAAATAATCTGCCTTGACATTTTTGTACTGCAGATAGTATGCATGTTCCCATGCATCAATGCCTACGATAGGGATGTAATTGTCAGGAACCACGTCTTGGTTGGACGTGGTGATTACACCGAGAGAGGACGTCGATCGGTCTTTGACAATCCACGCCCAGCCGGAGCCCTGAATGCCGGCAAGTCTAGCATTGACGAGATCGGTCAAAATGGAGAGCTGGCCGTACCTGTCCTTAATTGCCATGGCCAGCGCCGAGTCGGCAGGCGGGGGCTGGCCACCGCCATCTTTCTGAGGAGTCAGATTGTTCCACCAGAGATTGTGGTTAATGACGCCACCAGCGTTGAATTGCAGCAACGGCAGCAGACGCTCCTTGGAACCGTTATCGCTCTTCTTCACTGCTTCTTCGTACTCGGAAATAAACTTGTTGTAGTTCGCAGCGTAGGTGTTATGGTGCTTTGTGTAGTGCAGCTCATTGATCTCCTTGGAGATGTAGGGCTCTAATGCATCGAATGAATACTTGAGGTCAGTCACCACGGCCTTGTCACGAGTGAGGCCATTCTCTGCAGCGACTGCAGTCTCCCAGGGAAGAATTGTAGCGTTGGGCATGATCGGAGGAAAAAGTTCGTGCGTGTAACGATTTAACCCGACTGAGGGACCTACCGGTCATTTTTATGTTGCTGCATGCGCAACGCTTCGACCACCCGTACCCTTGGCGAACGCAGGTGAGCCCGATTTGGTCGAACAAATTAGCAGTGAGTTCTACGGGTGCACTAGACAAAATTAAGCGTCAAAGCGGCGAACGGCCTCCTGCCAATTGACCACGTTCCAGACGGCCTTGAAGTAGTCAACCTTGACGTTCTTGTACTGCAGGTAGTAAGCGTGCTCCCAGGCGTCGACACCAACAATAGGCACATAGCCCTTGGGAACGATGTCCTGGTTGGCAGTAGTAAGGACGTCGAGGGTGTTGGTGGCCTTGTCCTTGACGATCCAGGCCCAACCCGAGCCCTGGACACCCGCCAGCTTGGTGTTGACAAGGTCAGTCAGCGTGGAGAGCTGGCCGTACTTGGACTCAATGGCCTTGGCCAAAGCAGAATCGGAGGCAGGAGGCTCACCACCACCGTCTTTCTGGGGAGCCAAATTGTTCCACCAGAGGTTGTGGTTGATCACACCGCCGGCGTTGAAGTTGAGCAGAGGCAGCAAATGCTCCTGGGCAGCAAGATCGTTCGTCTTGACGGCCTCCTGGAACTCGCCAATGAAGTTGTTATAGTTGTTGGCGTAGGTCTGGTGGTGCTTGGTGTAGTGCAGCTCGTTGATCTGTCCAGAGATGTGGGGCTCGAGGGCGCCGAAATCGTACTTTAGGTCGGTCAAGGTTGCCTTGGTGCGGTTGAAGACGGTCGAGAAAGCAGTCTTGCGCACAGCAGCGCCCGAGCGGCTAACAACGTTCAAAATTGACATTATAGTAGTGAAGACTAGCAAACACCGCCTGGAGCCTTTTATTGGGTGGGGAAACCCTAACATCACCGAACGGACCCGGTGGCGCCCAGTAAACAGCCTTGGCCTCCAAAACCTCCTAGGGATTTCCCATGTCGCCGTGCGTGGGCCGTGGCACCCAGCACTTTGGTCGTGCCGTCGTCGAACCCGCTCGTCGCGTTTCCCGCATGGATCCCTAGGGTAGGGAAGCCGTTTCCGAGCCTGAGTGACAAAGCAGGGCAGTGCTTGCAAACTGAACAACACACGCTAAACGCGACTCGAATATGGACAAACTCGTTGGTGTTGGAATGCTCGCTGTCGCCACGGTGGTCTTCACTTACTACTCTATATGGATTTTCCTGATTCCCTTCGTTGACCAAAGCCACCCCATTGTTGGGTTCTTCCCGGGCCGCGAATGGGCAGTCCGCATCCCGGCGTTGTTGCTGGTGCTGGGTGTTGTGGCGGTCGGAACGTTTATTGGCACCACTGTGGCTAAGAGTAACAAAAAAAAAAACGCCAAACTCGCCCAGAAGAAGAAGCAATAAATGCATCACTTGAGTAGGATCGCTAGCCACCGCGCAGCCTTCCTAAATCTTTATATATTGCTAATACGTGCACGTTTTCATTGCATCCTCTTGAAAGTAACTAAACACCCTCCCACTAAACAACCACCCCCGTACTCCTATATATACAGGCTCGTTTGCTAAGTCAGAAGGCGGTCCCAACTTTTCCATGGACAATTTCATCGAGCGCTCGACCGCTCTGCTTGCAGCTCGGCCAGACACTGCCCGCGTGTCGGTGCGTTACACCCACAAAAAAGTAAAGCACTGCCAGGAGGCCACTGTCGGGAAAGTGCGGCCGGCCGTTGCAATTTTCAAGACCTATGATCCGGTGTCGGGTGCCCTGTACAAGATTCGAGTCACCAAGGCCAACGAGCTGTCCCGCATTCTGTCCAGCTTGGGCCCCCGCTTTGTGGAGATCACTAAGGAGAACAAAGTCTCCAAAAAGCGGGGTCTGGCCAGTCTCATGAGTGATGTAGAGCCATCGGACGTGCCGGTCGCGCCTGAGCCTGCCGCTCCACAAGCTGCCTCATCGAGTGGCTCCGCTGACAAATCATCGAGCGGAACCAAGAAGAAGAGTAAAAAGAGGAAATAGGCAAAGAAGAAATGTAGGTTTTAAGATAAAAATAATACAATAAATAACTGATGGTTCAGGCATCACTGCTGGAGTGGGCGTCATCATGCTCAGACCCGTTGGGTTCCTCAAGGGGCTCGGCGTCGTGCTCGCTATGCACTTCTTCAGCTTCTTGAGCATTGTTTTCGTCGTTGCAGACATCACAAACATCAACGTGTTCGGGTGGTGGACTGCGAGGAGCGTCTGGTCGCTGTGGACTTCCGTAGGGCGGCGGGAACTCGTGGGAACTGCTGGGCACGTTGGCAAAGTCCAAAAGCACAGAATCAGTGCGGTCGCCATAGGCTGGGGGCGGAGCCAGCGTCCCATGGGCAGGTGCTAGTCCCCACTTTTTCACATTAGCCTCAATAAATACAAATCCGCCCTGGCCCAGATTGGCTACCACCGTGCACGGGCCACTGGCTCCAATTGACGGGAAAACGTTCACTCGCATGCCGTGAACAACGTCAGGCAACTTTTTACCGTTATGAGTGAAGAAGACGGTGCCAGTGCGCGTCCGGTACCCGACTCCAATCACATCTCCTTGGGTCCAGGGTCGCCCATATTTCGGCGCCTTGAATGGCTGGTTGATCCTCTGCACGCCGTTGGAGCAGTATGCCACAGAATACCGGTGCATTCCAGGAAGCCGGAATCCAGGATACGGCTTGGTCGACAGCCCCACCGAAATGGTAACGTCTGGTGTAGTGCTGTACACCTTGGCCTCCCAGTAGTAGGTCTCGTTTTGTTTTGGCAGGGGAATGTTGGTCTGAACACACGAGGTGCCCTGCAAGAATTCAATTTCCGTGCGGTCCTGTACCATACAGCTCTGCTGCATGATATCAAACGTGAATTCCCAGGCAGCCACTGCCTTTTCTTGGATGGCCATAAACTGGCTCAGCGAGATATCTGTGTCGGCACTGTTGGGGGGGTTGCGTTCAATGAACCTCTTGGCCATCAAATATGACTGCTTCGAGGGTTCGTCCATGGTTTCGAGTGCAGCAGCCTCCTCTTCAAGGAACTGCTCGCTGTCGTCAAACGCACCGGGCAGCCCATCTCGTAGTCTGATTCCTCGTTCACAAGTGCATGCCGTGTAGAGTACTATGACCAGAAATGAGAGTATAAATGTGGACACAAAGGAAACCACAATAGCAATTACTTGTGGCGGGATATCGTCCATGGTCATTATCAGGAAGGTCTTAGTAAAGAGGGCAGGGCGGGTTATAAAGTGGTACAAAAAAAATATACCGGGACATTAAAACTACAGTTCGTTAGCAAGCAGGCCGATTTTCCAGGGCCCGAATTGAGACGCATTTTCCGGAAGTTTAGCGGTGGATTCTTCGAGAGTTCGCCTGAGCTCCGAGACCGCATTCAGCGGCAGAATAACATCCTCTACGTCCCCCCGCGTCTGGTAAAGGGTGGGGAATTGGGCAGGGTCCAGAGAATACATGACTTTCAGACCGTGCTTTGGCAATTGCCCTGTGCTGGTGTAGTATATATCACGGTTAAACACCCACACGAGAAGCCGCAGCTGCTGATCCGGGTCGTGGAGATGGAAAGAATAAATAGCGTGCGAGTCAATGAGTTCACATAGCATACTTGCAGCAAACACCTGAGTGGGATAAGACTCGACCTGTGCACCGCTCAGGGTGACGTCCCACTTCCAAACCTTCTCCCCAGACACATGCGGGCATGAATCGAGGTCGTCGGGGTGAATCAATAAATAGGCATCACTGACGTACGCCAGGGATGGCTGCGGCTCGAATTTACTAACCGCATATGCCGGGTTGAACTCCTCGCCGTGGGTGTGTGGTTTATGGCAGTGCCAAAAGTCCATTAGTTCGGCCCAGTGCTCTGACGGCAGCTGTTTCCACACCGCTATCGATTTAGCCAGAACGCGGTCGCAGTGGCGACATTTGACCACGACCTTTTGTCTCGAAAGCTCAGATGCCGTCCAGGGCGGGTTCTTTGCCCACTGATTCGATCTATCGTGCTCTTGAATCGTGCTGCACGGCAGACGCAATGACGTCTTGGAACTGCCCAGCTCAACGCTGGCTGGAAGCACGGGCGCCGGAAGAACGATCACCTCGTTGAGCACCTGTATAGACGGCCCGCCAATATCTAGTTTTTCAATACATTCATCTGATTCGACGCTCAAAGACACACTGTTGATTCGACTCAAATACTCTGCATAATATCTCATAAGCGGGTAAGTTAAAACGCTAAACACTATTCGTGATTTATTTAAATTTTTTTAAAGAGGAGTTCAAGTAAACAACGATATCTTGCTATTATTTCTTGGTCTCTTCCTCCTCTTCGTCCTCGTCCTCAGTATCGGTATCTATGTCGCTGGGACCTTCCTCTTCCTCTTCCTCTTCGTCTTGCTCCTCCTCAAAGTCCTCCTCTTCCGGCTCCGGTGTAGGCAGGGCTGTTTCGGGGGAGACCGTCATGACGCAGCGGACGCTGCTATCCACGCCAAAATAAGCACGGTTGGATACAAACAAGCGGAAGGCGAACATTCCCGGGAACTGCGGCGCGGGCAAAGACAGCTGGATTTTGTAGGTGCCAATCACAACACCGTCACCTGTTTTACGCTGCTCAGCAGTCAGTTCTAAGTTCGAAAGATCCACATTGCTAATCTTGACCGGAGCATGCACAACTTTGCTGTCGCGCTCGTTGGTCAACATAACAACCCAGTTGGGAATAATGTCCTCGGGCTGGAAGGGAGTAAGGGCCGGAGGCAATGGCGGGGGGACAGAATTAAGGTACTCGGGGTTGGTTAGTTCGCGTACGTCCTCATAATCATTCTCAGCGAGCAGATCCAACTCATCAACGTCAACCTTGGGGCAGGGTTCATTCAAAGGGCCAATCACGTATTTGATCTCAAAGTAAGGCTGACTGCGAGGAGTAACAAGAACATCACCAGGAATCTTGAACTGGGCTCGTAAAACATGCAACTTGGGAATCAGCTTGCTGAAAACATCAAAATTGGACTCGGAGACGCTGCAAGTCTTGAGATCGCTTCCGGGAATTTGCAGTCTCTCACCAGCCCGAGCAAGCCGCAAAGGAACAGCTTGAACAATGCAGCGTTGGATGTGGATAACTCGCTGCAAGAAAGGCGCACTCTTGAACTCGGCGGCAATGTTGAACAACCCTTCCAACAAAACAAGAGCCTCAGTAACAACTGCAAGCTTATCTTGCTCATTGGGTACTGGCTTTCGCTGCAAGTGAGCATCAAGGAGGGCACGAATTTCCTTCGCAGATTTATTACCTGGTACAGCTTGACGCATTTCCGGAGCCGACGCGAGGTTGTGGAGAATGACCTCGTTACTGATAAACACGGCCTGTTCCTTGGCAATCAACTCGAAGAAAATCGAAGAGGTTTCGAAAAGAATGCCGGCCCGTGTACGCACTTTTTGCTTGGCCCACCAGGTTCCAACTGCGTAAGGAAGAATGCCACCGATTAAAATAGCGTAGCACAGCATAAGAACGGGGGACCCGCCACCAACCAGGAAAGAAGGCAGAGCAATACCATGCTTGGACTGCTGGGGACCGTCCGGGTGGCCGTATCGCAAAAAGTTTTCGCGAGTAACCTCGTCGGTTAATGATTTGTAGGCCTTGGTGAGGTCGATGAACTTGGACTCGGCCATTTCCTTGGTCATTTCCAAAGTCTCCTTGAATTTATCGGGGTGGAACTGCAACGAAAGCTTGCGATAGATGCTTTTAATCTCCTTGACCGTGGCAGACTCCGATATGCCAAGCAGCTCGTAAGGATCAAATCTGGCTTGGGGCTCAGCGTTCGACTGAACGTTGTAGATGATATAGATAAAGAAAAAGATGAATGCCCAACCAATAAGCAGAAGAACCGTGGACAGAGTCCACCTGCTCTTTTGATTTTTCACACGGCTGAACTCTTCTTGTGCATCGGCATTATAAGCCGGAGGATGGTCCTTTTTCCGCAAAGCCTTTGGTCTGGCCGTAAGCGCCCGGGTCAATGTGACTGGCACTACAATAGCACCGACAATGGTTAATGCGAAGAAGGGCCACACCTCCGTACTTTCATCGTACGAATAGTGCGAGTCGCTCATGCTGACGTATCACTATGCAGGGGAGGGTTAAATAATGTCTCGAGAAGGGAACCTAGGTAAGTAATAGAATGGGTATGATATTTCAGGTGGTGCCACAAATTATTTTGTTGTCCCAAAACATATACAACGAATTGAAATGAAATAAAAAGAAACCCGAGTAATGTTCCCAGCCACCACAATGCTCAGACATTATAAGTCTTTGGCATCCCCACGGTCTCTGCTAACCTAAGCAGCTCGTTTTTTTTCTGGATGTCTTATAGGGGACGAGGTAGAAGCGGCCAAAACAATGGCGGTCAGGGTGGTATGCAGGTAGATGGCTCTAATAATTCACCGTCTCTGGTTGCTCTTGATTTCCAGAATTGGCAGGGAGGCACGCAGTCCGATCTGATCAGCTTCATCAAACGCAAGTCCCGGATCACTTTACAGAACCCGCGAGTCAACGGACCCGTTTTGACTGCATTCGTACCAGAGCGCGACGTTAGCATTGTCACAAAGCTGAACGGTATCAGATTTGCCGGGCAGGCTCTGCAAATCAGTGCACAGTCGTCAGCATCTACCACTAACGCTACGATCCAAACAGTAGATGTTTTGACAGGCTTTTTGAACTCTCGTTATAATGCCTCGGCGCAGCTATTGAATCTCTCGAATATGGGCCAGGACCCAGTACTTCTCGAGCGCGGAATGCTCGCTAACCCCACCACAGCGACCAAAATGTTTATGGCCCTTATGAAAATGGCCAAAGACAATCTCCCGGGCGTACGCAGTGTGTCTCTGGAAACTAACCAGCTCACTGATATCAGTAGCGTCCAGTCGCTCTCCACATCTTTCCCCAACCTGGAGAATCTTTCTTTGGCTAACAATATGCTTCCTAATTTTCAGGCACTTTTGCCCTGGCGTAATAGGTTCCCCAAGCTCCGAGAGCTGGTTATCCAGGGCAATCCGTTGCTAAATGACCCGAACTCTCAGCGTGAGATTGTGAGTATGTTCCCTCGACTAGTTATGCTCGACGGTGTTACTGTTCGTAACGAGGCCGACTTGCCGAGAGATGCTCTACCCATGCCGGTTCTTCCGACATTTTTTGAAACCCCAGAGATCCAAAATCTATCTCAATCATTTTTGGCAGAATTTTTAAGGTGCTGGGATACAGACAGATCGCAATTATTGGGGTTATACGACGACGCCAGCATGTTCAGCATGTGCTACAACACCAACACACCGAAACTGCCAAGCCACCAGCCTACCAACCGGCGGGGACCTAATCCCAATACGCCCTACACATCTACGAGTCGCAATCTGGCGTTTTCAAACACGCCTGCGACGCGAAATCAACGCTTGGCAATTGGTCGTAACGCCATTTTGACAGTTTTCCAGAAGCTGCCAGCTACAAAACACGATCTGAGCCAGGCCCACAAGTTTGCCATAGATGGCATCGCCCTTAACGGCGTTCGTTCTCCTCAGGACAGTGCAATCTCCGTCTCAATCCACGGCGAGATGCTCGATGTGACCTCCAACCTCACCCGGAGCTTTGACCGCACCCTCGTGATTTTGCCGTCCCCCGTTGGTGGCTCATTTGTTATTGCCAGCGACATGTTAACTATTCGTTCGGCAGCTGGCTCGGACGCATTCACAAGTCCTCGGGCTGGCCAGAGCGCCAACGTCACTCCGCACGTCACCCCCGCGACCACTCCAACCCCCGCGCCAACGGGAGCCACCCCGGACCCATCAACTGCAGAAACCCTGGTGCATCAACTAATGGCCCAGACCGGCCTTACACTAAAGTACGCACAGGAATGTCTCCAGCAAGCCAACTTTGATCTGGGCTTGGCCCTTAATTTGTTCCAACAATCACGGTCGCAGCTGCCACCGGACGCATTTGCACAATAGATGTACTGTTAAATAAATAAACTAAAAAACCCCCCGCTACCTCTACATATCATGTTCGAGTTTTTCAAGCACTTCAGAGAGCTTTTCGGCCACGTCGATTTCGGTTTGCCGCAGCTTCAGCAGCTCGTACTCGGCCTGCTGGCGTTTTTGCTGCCACTTGTACAGCTCCTTTGAGCATTTGTTGTAGAACTCAAGCGTGTTCACTGCCTCGGCACGTGAAAACGTCCGCAGATGCTGCGTCGCCTCCCCCAGGTACCCAATGGCCGTGTCGAGCAGCACCATCGTGGCCAGGTTTCGAGCGCGCTCTGCATCTACCTGCTTCTCGAGCGACGCAATGTCTTCATCCTCTTCGGGCTGGTAGAACTTGTCGGCAGCCTCAATAGTATCGTCAATCTTTTGTCGGTGCTCCTGCGTTTCCTTGTGCACCTGCTCCAACACTTCAAGCAGAGCTCGTAAATCGTCCGCGCCGGCCACCGGTTGCATAAGCAAGACGAGGCAAAGAAAATGATATATATTAAATATCTAGCTATTGTGTCGAGGAGATCGACTTGAAACTAAACGGAACAAAGCCATGGCCCTCACCGATGTAGAACTTAGACATGGACTCGACCCAATGGAGACGGAGGGCATGCAACATGGCTGACGTGCCCTCCATGACTACGAGAACTGCGACGGTCAGGGTGAACCACATGGCAAACAGCACCACCGTCATAAAAATACCAACAACACCATACATTCCAAACGACGATTGCAGTGTCATATTCCACAGCACCTGGGAAAGCTGGGCATGTGCAAGCGAGAGGGCCCACAACCGGAGATACGATGCGGTGTGTGAGACACTATTCAAACACCACTCAATGGTGTGAATAACTTGGTGAATGAGAATATCCCCGAATCCGTGCTCTTCGTGCCCCTCTTCATCGTCGTCGTCATCGCCGCCATGCCGCTCGCTGCCAATGTCGACACTGCTCTCTTCGGAGGACACTGCCGTGTACTTGTTGTCGAGCTGACGCTTGAGATAAAGCGGCTTGAGCAGCAGCAGCCACGGCACAGCCACCAATGCAATGAGGACTAAAAAGACTTGAATTCCAGCCTGGCCCTTGTAAAGCTGCTCGTCGATTTTCCCTGGCGCCAGGAACATGTTAATGAGCATGTTAAGCAACGAAGGCGCGGGCTTGCCGATTTTGACCCAGTCTATACTCCACTTGTACACAATGCAAAGCGACAGATAGCCGAAAATAGACTGGAAAAACACTAGCGAAGGCACAAAGTTTCCCCATATGTCAATACCCACGTTAAAGTAGAGCGCGTTCACCAGTGAAAACACATGAGAATAGGTCATGTGCAGGTATCCCATGAGCACTGACAGCTTCATCTTGTAGGAGTTGGTGAACAAGAGATTGTTTTCAGTACCATGCCAAGCATAATCCAGACCAAACTTGTACACACCAGTGGATACGGCGCTGACGGTCTCGCCAGCTTTGTGCTCTGGCCACTCCCAGCCCGAAGCAAACAGCGTCATGGATCTTGAAAACACATCGTTGTACATCAATCCAGCAAACATGGCAAAAATACCCATGAACATGAGAATGTAACGACCAGAGTAAGCCATATCAAAAATATCACCAGCGTTGACCTTGGCAAGTTTGCGTTCGTTCAAAACCAGATAGAATGCTGCCAAGAACAGGATAAAACCATGGCCCAAATCACCAAACATGACGGCAAATAAGAAGGGGAATGTAATAACAGTCGGCAGAGCGGGGTTAACCTCTTGGTAGCTTGCGACAGCGTAAACATCGATCATTGATTGGAAAGCACCAGTGACCTTGTTTGTGCGATGATAAGTAGGTGGTGTGCGGTTGGTCTCCAGAATATGCAGCACACAGGGCGACTCCACATTTGTCGCAGTCGACACTCGACGAAGAGCCAGCTGCACTTGGGGAATCTCGTCCGTCGGGACCCAGCCCTCACCGATAAGCAGTTTACGGTTGCGATCATATGACAGCAGGTTCAAAACCTCGTAAATTGCCTTTTCTTGGGCAACGATTCTCGCCCAAGAGCTGATGGACTCGGCTGCAAGGTCTAAATCACCCTGCAAAGCCGCCTCAGTGGTTCTCAGAACTTGCTTAATGTCCTCCAGCTGAGAATTGACCTCGATGCGACGCCTAGTGCGGTTGGATTCACTGGAGTCGGCGGGGAATAAAGTGGCATCGAGAGCTTCGGCAATTTTGGTGGCCTTGGATGCCAGCTCGGAGCCGTATGTGACGACAATGAACACGGACTTTGGGACCATGTGCTTGGCTTTTGAATCAAACATATCACCAATGGACCCGGTAGATACAACCAGGTTGCCTCTCATTGATCGCCAAAGCAATCGCTCGAGAGCAGATGCTCGGCTGGTAGGCAAAACGCCGGCAATAACGGTGACACTATCGAGCTGATCAGCAGAACCGTGTGCGTTGCCCAAGAAATTCTCAACCGCCTGCAGCGTGTGTCTATACTCGAGCAAATGAGCTTCTTTCACCTTGAGGGAATCGAAGTTACGACGTAAGTCGCCCACCGACTCCTCAAGCTCGTCCAGGTGAGTTAGGATGTCGGTTACCGCTGCATTAGTGGACCTAACGCCCTCCCACGCAGGCAATTCTTTGATGCTTTGGGCCTTGAGTTGCTCGCGCAGAAAGCGGACCTGCCGCAGGCCGTTTTCGTAACGACGAACGTCGCTCACAAACGCCCGCTGGAACGCAGACACTTTCGAGTTGAGGTCCCGGAATTGGACGTTGCCAAGCTCACCCAGAGTCGCAAAAACGTCCCTCGCAATCTCATTGGACACATACAACTGCACCAAGGACATTTCCGCAGAGCGGAAGACTGCCTCGTTGTTGGCCATGGCTAAACGATTGTTGACTCAGCAGCTGACTGCCTTGAATAGGCGGGCTGTGCCGCGAGAGGGCAGCGGTCGGGGCGGGTTGAAACGAGAGCTTTTGGAAAGTCTAAATAAAATATTTAGTTAAAAAAATCTTTTGGGGCGCGGCACACGCCGCTTTTGTTTTTTTGTCCAAGCCAAACCCGCTTACTGCAGTTTAGCTTTCTTGGCCTCAGGCTCGCTAGGGCCGAGACGAGGAGAGTTGACATCGGCGTGGTAATCACGGATAATCGAGTCAACATCGTCGATATTAAGGGCACGGACATCGCCGAGCTTCTTGATCTTGTTTGTGACATCCTTGACCTGGTCGTCAGTCAAATGCAAGTTGAGCTGGTCAACACGAGACTTGATGGCGTTCCAGCCAGTGAGACGGTTGGCAAAGTGGATGTAACGAGTCAGGCCAAAGTCTTCGGGCTTGAGAATCTCGTAGGTGGACGGGTTGGCAAGAATGGCCTTGGCGTGGATGCCGGCCTTGTGGGTGAAGGCGCAGAAACCGGTGATAGGGTTATTGAAGGGGATGTTGATTTCCACCGCCGAAGCAACTAGGTTTTCGAGATCACGCAGCTTGTTCACCTTGTACTTGCCCATGGTGTAGTCGCGGTCGGCAGCAATCATGCGGGCCATCAAACCACCGAGGGAGGTGATACCGTTACGTTCGCCAATACCCAAGACCGAGACGTCAATAAGCCTGGCGCCGGCCTCAAGAGCAGTGTAGGAGTTTGCAATGGCACAGCCAGTGTCATTGTGGAAGTGGCACTCGATGTCGCAAGACACGACCGACTTCAAAGTGCGAACTAGCTCGTACACTTGACGGGGGTTTGCGCAACCAACGGTGTCGGCAATACCAACACGGTTGACACCAATCTTGTCGACGGTACGATAAATATTGAGCAGATCAACGAGATCAGAGCGGAACGAGTCCTCGGATGAGAAACGGATCTCGATACCGTGGCTCTTGACAAACTCGATGACCTCGACGGCGGACTTGGTGATGTAGCTCATGTCCTTGCCGTGGGAGTACTCACGCAAAAACTGGGAGGTGCCAATGACCACATCGACACCGTCAACGCCGGTCTCGACTGCTAACCGAGCATCGTCCATGTGACAACGGATATGGGTGAGAATCTTGGCCTTCAGACCGAGCTTGCAGATGGCCTCGCAGTCAGCGCGGCTCTGCTCGCTAGCGGCAGGAGAGGTGAGCTCAATGTAGTCGACACCAAAGTCGTCCAGGGCCTTGGCAATCTCGATCTTCTTTTCGGTGGTGAAAAATGCGTTGGCGAACTGCTCACCCTCACGGAGCGTCGACTCAATCAGCTGGTAGTTGCTAACATTCGACAGAAAGTCAGAGGGATTAGCGCCGTAAGGATTGTGACCGATGGCCTTGACTTCAACGCCTGCTGTTAGTATACATGTCAAAATTGCTCGGCCATGCGGGCAGATCACCGAGTCCGACAAGACGTTCTGTCGACAGACTGGGAGCCCCGCAGCCGCTGTGGACCCTCCAGGCGCGCTAATTGATAAACTTACCGTTGGCAGTGGTCTCAGTGGAATTCGTGCTAGACATTGATGAGTTGATGATTATGAGACGATGGCAAGCGCACTCGTATATATATGCGTATGCACTTAATTTTTTTGCTAGAATTAGTCACAGCCAAAAAATGAGTCAGCGCTGGGCGGAGACGCACCCCATGTGGGGGGGCCGGGCCGTCACTGGCTTCTAATTTTTTCCAATTTGTCAAGTCGTCGTCCGCCAACGCACCAACGTGGGTTAGGGCTTAAACTGTCAGCTGCTCGAAGGATCCTACCTACCACCCTCCGAATCCCCCTTTGGCCTGACTCATTGATTATATAACCGGAGGGCAAAACTAGAACAGCGCAAAAACTAAGGGCGCCCGAGAGAGAGAGAGAGAAAAAAAAAAACCGATCGCTGGGCTCCTAGAGGAATCTACCCCTACCCTAACAATCCTGCGGACAAGCATCGTCAGCGTCCCCGTCTCCCATCCCCACCACTCATATATAAAGCCGCTGTAGATACTGTAATGCGCTGAACGCCGTCCCCCTAAATCTTGCTGTAACGCCATAACGAAGGAGCGAACTATTATATGTCGCGTCTAGATCGGCTGGTATCTTTGTTAGATACTGGTTCAAGCACGTTTGTTCGAAACGCAGCTGCCGATCAGCTCGCGGATGTGCAAAAGAGCCACCCGGAGGAGCTGTTCCCGCTGCTTGGGCGTGTGGTGACATTCCTCAAGTCGCCAAAGTGGGACACCCGGATTGCTGCTGCTCGAGCAATCGGGCTCATTGTGCAGAACACGGAATGGCAACCGGGCGAGGAGCTAGGAGCCATGACCGCGGTCAAAATCAAGGAGGAAGAGGGCGTGGAAATTAAAGAAGAAGAAGACATCAAACTGGAAGTTTCGGAGAATGGCGACCGTATTGTCGACACCTCAGAGCTGCTTTCTTTCAAAAAGCTCGACATACAGGCCGTCCTCGCAAAGGGCACAGTCCTGCTCGGATCTGGAGGCAAGGAGTATGAGGGCGGCGCCGACTCGGCATCACAAAAGCAAGACATCTTGCGCAAGCTGGGCATGCAGTTCGAGGACGATAAAACCCTTCTCGACGATCTCGATGAGGAGCTCGCCGCACCACCCCAAAAGTTCCGGAAAACCGCAAAGTCCCGGAAAGCCACGCCTCCAGAGCCAGTAAAGGCTGCTGAAGAGCCAGCAAAGTCGTCAAGTGGCAATGCACGCATGCGTGCGCTGGCCAAACGAAAAGCAAAGTTTGGGATCAAGCCGGCCCAGGCTGCGGTCGTAGATGTCGCTCCCCAGGAATCGCCTATTGAGAGCGACAAAACTGAAGGAAAAGTCGTGGTCGAGCATAAAGAGCAGGTCCAGCCCTCCTCGCTAGTAGCCGTCAAAGATTCCTCAGTCTGGCCCTTTTCAAGGCTCTGTGAACTGTTTATGGTCGACATGTTTAATCCTAGCTGGGAAACTCGGCACGGTGCTTTGCTTGGTATTCGTGAGATTATAAAGACCGCAGGCGGGCAAGCGGGGATGCTATTCAATGCCACAAGTGAGGACAATCACTCTCGCAATGCCGCCTGGCTCGAGGATTTGGCTTGCAGACTAGTTTGCATTATTATTCTCGACAGATTCGCCGATTATGTCGCAGATCAGGTCGTCGCCCCGGTGCGTGAGTCCTGTGCACAGGCCCTGGGTGCTCTCTTGCTTCATCTCCCCCAAGACGCTGCCGAAAAAACCTTTTTCGTATTGTCTCGCCTAGTTCTTCAAAAGGATCTCGGTCTCGAAATCCCTCTTTGGGGTGTGTGCCATGGCGGCATGCTCGGGCTCCGATATCTCGTAAGTGTTCGAACTGATTTACTCACGGAAAGTCCCAAAATGTTCGCTGAGCTCGTGGAGTGTGTCTTTCATGGCTTAGCAAGCGCTGATGATGACGTTCAAGGCATTTCTGCTGCTACATTAACTCCAATTGCCGGCGAGTTTGTTAGCCAGCGACCGCAAGATATTTCTCGGTTTCTGGACGTAATCTGGGATTCCTTAGCTCTACTCAAAGACGAACTGAGCACTGCGATTGGGCATGTGATGGATTTGCTGGCAAAGCTGTGCTCCTATCCCCAGGTTTTGGACGTTATTACTGAAACTGCCGCTGAAGATACAACTGGTGAGCGCACTTTCGCTCGTTTAGTGCCTCGACTGTTTCCTTTTCTGCGTCACTCTATCACAGACGTACGAAAGGCAGTACTGCGGTCGCTCAATACCTTTTTACGGCTCGAAGACCGCCATGAGTGGGTTGACGACAGGGTGTTTCGTCTGATACTCCAAAATATCTTGCTCGAGCAAAATGAGGCGGTCTCTTTACTGTCACAAGAACTATGGGACGCGCTTTTGGAAACTAGCAACCCCAAAGTAGCTGAAGTTATGCTCCCAACTATTTGGCCTGCCGCATCTGATCTTCTTCTCACTCCAATTGGTACTGCCCGTCGATCCTACAAGATGAGCCTAGCACATATGATCAACCCTTGGGGTGGTGCTTTCGAACTGGCCAAGGATTCGGCCTCTCAAGTAAACATCGATGGGCCTATCATTGAGGGTGATGTCCTCATTGTTAGTGTGGATATCGTGTTAAGGAACCGTATTGCTGCTGCACGAGCACTAGGTCGTCTGCTTGTTTTATCTGCTATGCATGTTGATGGGCCGGCGCCAGGCGCAGTCATTGGGTGCGTTTCCGATCTTGTTGCTATGTTAACGTCTCAAATGTCAAGTCAGCGTCTGATCGCCGTTATATGCTTGGAAGAGTACGCTCTCGCTGCCAAAGATTCAGGGTTTGCTCAAGCAGTCACTACAAGGTGGAAAGATGAAGGCTGTGCCACCGCTTCCGCCTCAAATCTGACTACCATCGTCGAAAGTACCGTTGAACCAACGCTTGCTGGTCTTTTAGCCACCATTGAATCTCAGATGCTTATTTTCCGCGATATCAACCCGGTACTGAGAGCTGTGCGCACCCAGTGTCAATCGCTCTTCTCCCTAATGGTCTCCAATGGGTTACCAGCGAGTGCTGTTCCACAGCTCGCAACGACTATTGAGGGTGACTCTAATGCTGGTTCCGATGCTTTCAGTCTCGTAATTGGCGAAGAACTGGCTGGTCCTACATTTGAGAGATTACGGGCCCAGCTGGCGCCTGAAGTGCAAGTTGTCATGGCTCAGGCTCTAAATAATGGTCGTGCCAACATTGAGGCATCGATTAATGAAGCCAGAGAGACCCTGGAAGCTCGAAATATTGGCATTAAAGCTGGTGCAGCCGCTGCTTATTTCGCGCTTGCGCCTAGCCTACCAACCAAGCTGAACCCCATTATTCGCAGCCTCATGGATAGCGTCAAACTCGAGCAAAATACCCAGCTACACGCAAGAAGTGCTGAAAGAGTGGCTTCCCTTGTGGTTGCCCTTCAAAGCAATGGTCGCGGTCCTGCAGGGGCAAAAATTGTCAAAAACCTTTGTGCTTTCTTATGCGTGGATGTCAACGAAGCTCCTGATTTCACTGTACATGAAAACGAAACAACTAAGATCTTATCACTTCGTAAGGATGAGCCCCGTAATGAAGACGCCGTTTCGTCACTAAAGCGGATCAAGGACATGGTCCTGGCCCGTACAAAGAGAGAAGGTGCCTTGATGGCTCTGGAAGGAATATGTAAGCTCTATGGGGACTCTCTGCTGGAAAATGTCGAAGAGATCGCTCAACAGTTCACTGGTCTAGATGAACTGCCTGACGGTCAACCTCTTGTTGACCATATGGCCGTAATTCGCGCGATCCTTCCATTCATAGACAAGAGCTTGGTAAGAACGGTTGATATTTGGGATGCACTGGAACGCAACTTGCGGTCTAAGTATTCGGTTGTTCGGTTTGTTGCTGCAAAATGTTTGAGCACCGTTTGCCAGGTTTTACCTGATAAAGGTATCACCTTCCTAGTAAAGCGTATCCTGCCTCAGATAAATGATGCAACGAATCTAGCTTGTCGGCAAGGTGCCACTGAGGCAGTTTATCATCTCATGGTCACCATGGGCGAAAAGGTCCTACCGTATATTGTCTTCTTTATTGTACCCGCCATGGGACGCATGAGTGATTCTGACCTTGATGTTCGAACGATAGCAGCAACCACATTTGCCGCGATCATCAAACTGGTCCCGCTTGAACAAGGTATTCCTGATCCTGAAGACATGCCACAAGAGTTGCTGGAAGGCCGTGACAAGGAAAGAGAATTCATTTCCCAGATGATGGATATCAGTAAAGTCAAACCCTTCAATCTTCCTGTCAGCATCAAGGCAGAGCTCAGATCCTACCAACAAGAAGGTGTCAACTGGCTTGCATTCCTTAACCGTTATCATTTGCAAGGTATACTTTGCGACGATATGGGCTTAGGCAAAACGTTGCAAACCATCTGCATGGTCGCATCGGACCATCATTTGCGTGCTGAGGACTTTGCTAAGACACAGAGCCCAGAATCCAGACGCCTACCTTCTCTCATTGTTTGCCCTACGTCGCTGAGTGGGCATTGGATAAATGAGTTCAAAAAGTATGCACCCATGATTAAGACATTGTCTTACACAGGGCCTCCTCACAACCGTTGTCACTTGAGAACCTGTAATGATTCCTCGAAAGTCAAAAAGGCAATCAATGATGCAGATGTTGTTATTACATCTTACGATATTGCTCGCAACGATGTTGAAACACTGAGTGTTCTGCCTTGGAATTATATGGTTTTGGATGAAGGTCACATCATCCGCAATGCCACGTCAAAACTTTCCCGCGCCATCAAAAGGTATCATTCAAATCATAGACTGATTCTAAGTGGCACCCCCATCCAAAACAACGTGTTAGAGCTCTGGTCACTGTTTGATTTTTTGATGCCAGGTTTCTTAGGCTCAGAGAAATCCTTCAACGAGAGATTCTCCAAACCAATTATTGCGTCTCGTAATCCAAAAGCATCACCAAAGGACCAGGAGGGTGCCGCGCTGGCATTGGAAGCACTGCATAAACAAGTTCTTCCTTTCCTTCTGCGTCGTCTTAAAGAAGATGTTCTCGAAGACTTGCCTCCGAAGATCATTCAAGACTACTACTGTGATCTCAATGAGACACAGCGCAAACTGTACGATAACTTCGCTCAGGAACAGAAAAAGACTGTACAGGACGATCTCAGCGACAACGACAAGCAAGGCAGAAAACATGTCTTCCAGGCCCTTATCTATATGCGCAAGTTGTGCAATCATCCTGCGTTCGTGCAACATCCCAAAGCGGAACTCGACAAGATGCTTCATTCCGGTTCTTTGAGTTTGCAGCTGTCGCCTAAGTTGTTGGCTCTGCAGCAATTACTGAAGGACTGCAACATTACAGGAGATCCCACAGCTCTCGACGGTGCGAACTTGCCTGAGCCTGTTCCAGAAGCAATGGGCCAACACAGAGCTCTTATTTTCTGCCAACAAAAGGATATGCTTGACTTGGTGGAGAACTCATTGCTCAAGAAACATATGCCAGGCGTCACATACTTACGACTTGACGGGTCGGTTTCAGGACCGAACCGCCATGAGCTTGTCGAGAAGTTTAATGACGACCCAAGCATTGATTTGTTACTTCTTACCACGCAGGTTGGTGGTCTTGGCTTGAATCTGACGGGTGCCGACACGGTTATTTTCATGGAACATGACTGGAACCCAATGAATGACCTTCAGGCTATGGATCGGGCTCATCGTATTGGACAAAAGAGAGTTGTTAATGTTTACCGTCTTATCACACGAGGCACTCTTGAAGAACGCATAATGGGCCTGCAAGAGTTCAAACTGAGCATTGCCTCGACGGTTATTAACCAACAGAACAGTGGTCTCAACACTATGGGAACCGACCAGATCTTAGAGCTATTTAATGCTGATCTGCCCACCGATGGAGCAGTAGAGGAAAAGCCTAAGGAGGAGGCACTGGATGCCACTGGCAAGATCTCAAAGAATGATGTTACAGCTGGTCTGCAAGAGCTCTGGGATGAGGCAGAATACGCTGAGGAGTATAACTTGGATGCATTTATCACATCTTTGAAAAAGTAGTTACGAGATATGAGCAAATAATTAGTGTATATGAAGATACGTATGTTACAACAACTACTCATGGTATTGCCAGTCGGCAAGAATGAGTGGTCTGGACGGCAGACCGCCGGGCACTGGTAGCAGAACCTTGGCTTGATGACGTGTTTCATCGGCTTCGGAAATATGTACATAGCCCAAAACTTCAGCTTTCGCAACTATATTAGCTGGATCGCCGGGATTCGCGTTGACAATGGCGAGAACGCAGTTCTGAAGAATAGCAGAAGGCTCAATCTTCGTGAGTACTTCCTCTTCGGTTTGGGTGCCTTCATCGTCTTCTCCCCCACCAGGTAGATAGTCGTTGTAGTTCTCACCTGAACCACGTTCCAAAACTCGCCATACCGTTAAATTATTGAAGCGTACGGTCACGGTGTACGGTGAGAGAGGTTGGCGAGGCACCCCATAAAAGTACTGCTGCAGGCACAATCGTTGTATTTTTCTGTTCCAGGTATCGTCGTTATCGACAACACCACCAGATTTGGGTAGACGAACAACGGTCAGACCGGTAAACCGCCGAGTAAGCTCTGAGTACAAACGCTCGTTGCCAACAACCGCGATGGCGGTGATTCCTAAGTCATTCACCACTTTTTCGCAAGACTCATACGAATCTGAACCGTCTGTGAGAGCAGAAGGTGCATCGACAATCATACCGGAGATTCTTACATGCTTGTCCTCGGCTATTCGGCGCTTAACACCTGTGGCCAGCAGCTCCGTGCTTTCGCGAAAATGCTTGGGGTTCTTGTGAATATTATTCAAGCCATAATAGTACACCAAGGGCTGCTTGGGGTGTAAAGGAGAAGGGCCGCTAGCTGGAGAGGATCCCCAGCCAGTCTCAATGTCCAAAATATGAGAAATAGGAGCAGCGACCAGACCGCCAGGGGGGCTGTATACTGATTCCTTTGGATCAAGGTTCACAAGCATAGGATATCTACCCATTTTCACAGCATAGGACACCAATATTTTACACAAGCTAGATTTGCCACTGTTGGGCGGCCCAACAACTAGCAATCGCGGGCCTGATGCTGATGCCGCCAAAGACGACTGCGCTTGGCTTCTCTGAGCCTCTAAAGCAAAATGCAGGTTTGCAAAAATCGTCATTGGCGTAGTATCAGCAAGATACTCGTTTACATTGCCAGCATACTCAATAGTGCATCCTTTATACGTATAAATAGCGGCATGCTGACCTGTGAACTCGTACTCCATACCGCGGGCCAGCTCTGTGCCGAAAATCTCGGCATTCCCGTGGATAAGACGGACAAGCAGTTTTGATTCTAAGTCGACCTCAAATCGCCACTCATTGGCCGCGGGAATTTCCACTTTTGTGATGGCTTCGGGGCCAACACTCTGAAAACCAGTGAGAGACATTAGGTAACCTCAGACAAAGTTGATGGATCTGGGTTTATGAAGGAAGCCCAGATAAAATGGATTGAGCTTGTGGAAGCGTACGATGAGGCTGCCAATTCCAGAGACCCAGATGATGTTGAGGTTCCGGCCGAGAACGAAGGCGACGTGTCTGAAGTAGATGACAACGCTGAAGAGGTTGAAGAGGCCGAAGACACTAGAGATGAAATCGAGGATCTCGAACAGGAGAATGCTACCCGAGAGCACATTCCCAAGCATTGTGGCGATTTGTATCGTAGTTTGAAGCCAACTTTGGCTGTACTGGATGCGAAAACCAAAAACGCTATTCACAAAATTGTAGTAGAGAGATTAGGAGAATAATAGTTAATGTTCTATGTTTTGATGACACCTCTAACAGATCTATTAGATGAGATGGATCCAGCCATATCATGGTGTTTCGATCTTCCCTCCATCCGCTTAGCTTCGTCTTTACCTATCTGGGCCCTCACAAAGCCCAACACATCGGGCTCTTCTTGCGATAGATCCATAATTCGTTGCCGCGGCTTGGATGGAAGGCTTTGGTACTGCACTTTGACTGCTGTATCCTCGGGCCCAAGTGAACTACACAGACTCACCAACTCAGTCATGTCGTAGGCCTTGCCCGGATCAATAGGCTCGGGGTGAGACGGCGTAATACACTTGTGGTCGACTTCTTTGCGGAGTACCTTGTCGACATCCACCAACGAAAAATATGCAATTGAAGCAGGAATGTCATCCATACCTACCTGCTGGCAAAACATCGACCGAGTCCACAAATTAGCAATCTGCAAGGCGAGGGCGGTACGCAGGGTATCTCTTTCAGGAACGATATACCGGATTTCATCGTGAACCGTCAGAAACAGGCGAGCAGGGATATGATAAATGTCGCAAAGATAGTGCATACTGGCAACCAACAGGTGGAGATAATCTACACCGCTCGACTGGATTGTCCAATTGATTCTTGACGTCAAAAAATTACTGGACGACGTCAAATGCGTGCTAGCCAATGCTGCGGTGATTCCTGCTCCTAGTACCGGTGTTCTTTGACGAGGCAGTCGTGCCATTGACTCCAATACATTGAAAACAATCGACTCAGAGCCGCCTGTCCAGAAGGTTTTGGTGTTGAATTTTTTCGAGTGAAACTTTTCACCTTTAGTAGCTTCGTACAGCTGTGTGGCTGCTAACTGTGCTTGAGAGTCCGTTAAAGAGGGATTGAATTGTTTTAACAGCCGAATAGCAAAATTGAGACCCGCTCCATAGATTCGACCGTAATTGAAAACCTTGGCTTCATTTCTCGAAATACCCAGAATCTTGGCAGTTCGTGAATGCAAGTCAGTGCCAGCGCTTTTTGTTCCTTCCAACGTCATCCATCCTAGAGCAGTGCCACCATGGATCCCAAATACGGCATCACCCAGTAAACTAGCAATCCACAACTCCTCACTATCCACGTCGGCACCAACAAAAGCATAACCCTCCGGTGCTCGTACCATGGCCTTTAGCTCGCTACCAATTCGAGATTGATTGGCATTTGATGCAGTTAGCCAAGTATCTTCGACAGCTCGCCGTGTAACTGTACCCATGGGAATTGCTCTAGGCAAAATCATTCCCACTGCTGGGCCTCCTGGAAGTCCCATTGGCAAATCAGACTGGAACACTGGCATTTGGGAGATGATTCGCTTTCTGGCAGACACCCAGTATGAGCATTCGATGTTTCCTTTGATTGCTTCTAGCGCTTCTGGCTTGTCGGATGTAATAATGTCCTTGTCAAAATATCGCAAGTAACTTTTAGCCATAGGGTTGGTACAACGTCCGTTCGGGCCATCAACATGAGGAACCTTCACTAGAACCCGCTTGCCATCTCCAATCCAAAGCTCCCTAAACTCTTCGATAATAACAAATCCTTGTGCTTCGTATTTTTCGGTCTCGGCGGGCGGCACCCAAAAGCACCAGCCGTACTTGTCAGTCCAGAAAAATGGATGGCCTTCCCATTTTAGCCTCAACAGAATAGGGGCAATTCGGGTTCGAAGGCTGAGATTAATAGGCTTTGTGGCACTCGGGTATAATTGTTTAAACCAGTTAGGTTTGCCGGGTAGTTTCTGATTTTTAGCCAACCGGTCGGGCTCCCCTTTTTTCCCTTTAACCATGCGAATAGGCGCAACTTCCCAATCTAGCTGTGATAGCCAAGGATCCTGCTTTGCGATCTCAAGAGCTTCTGGGTTCTCCGTAAGTTCACTTTGAGCTACGGCAAGCTCTTCAAGCCTGCTCTTGATTTTGCTTGTAATGGACTGGTACATTTGCTCTGTACCTTCGACAAAGTGCTCCCATTTTGCATCAATTGGCAAGAAAAGTTGTGATAGTGGCCGTAGTGCACCGAAACTAACAGGGTGCGGGCACAGGGTTAAGAACTCGCCTAAAAGTTTATCAAAGACGCGTTTTGTCCACCAGACGTCGCTGGCACAATAGTGGATGAGGTTTTTCAATTGATCCCTCACTTCTTCTCTGCTTGCTTTACCAAACACTTCCCGGTCTGACTTGTCGAGCTTCTCCTGGAACAAGAACTTGACTACCTCGGCCAGCGAATTGGTAGAAGACTGAGCAAACCAAGGGTCTTTTTTCAGCTCCTGGGCAAGTGCTTCCGATGCAGCTACAGCGGCTTCTGCGTTGGCCGTCCATCTTTCTGAGCTCCCTTGATCGTCCGCGTCTTCTGACCTCATGCCTTCGTATCGCTCTCCGGCTTGTTGCACAGCTTTATTCAACTTTTGCCAGGTTGGACGTTGCCGCGAACACATTCCATTAGTCGCAATGTGTAAAGACATGCCATCAATGAAAAATCTGTCCGGTGCCTCCAGATTATATTCTTCTTTGACGCGTTTTCGATCGTACCCCACATTGTACCCCACCACTACCTGCTGGTTTGTACCTAGGGGGATCAATTGGCGAGGATTTTCAGCTTCCTCAAGAAGCCAAGGACTGATCCACACGTACCATGCTGATTCTGACGCAGCGACGGCCAAAACCGCGAATTCATGTTCGTTATACATAACCTCTGTATCGAACGTGATACACTTTGCATCTGGGAAATCGACCTCCTTAACCGACCCGTCTCTATACTCTGTCCATCCAGATTGTATTTGGAGCTCATCCAAGCTAGGCTTGTCCTTCAATTCTTGTGTCGCGTACTCTTTGGCCCAGCCCAAGTACGGTTCGGCCATTTTCTGACCGATTTTCTGGAAGTGCTCGTCCAAATCTTTGCCTACAAGCTCAGGCAGCTCAAAACTTATTGCATCTGGCTTTGATGTGGGCTTTCCAAGAAGATCATTCCGCGTCAAGTGCTCAAGTGACAGGTCTACGAGGCGAGTATCGAGCTTGGATCTTTTGCGTCCAAACAACTTGTCGCGCTTCTCTTTTTCCAAGTGGTAGATTCCAACAGGATTTACTTTCGAATACAAGGGCACTTGCTGCGAAGTTGCCCGCTTCACAGGTTCAAGAAAGCGAACAGCCCGCCCGCGCTGCATTATGATTAAGTTCCTTAATTTCGTAATTGGAAAAAAAAACCTAAAAGATTCACCTACGGATCCGAACTAATTTCGCTGTAGAAGCGTGGATGTTAAATCTTCACCGAGCTTTCGATAAAGTTAGATATTTAGATCAACATGGACTAGAAACTTAAAATCAATTCCGTCAACGCTCTCGCCAACTTACTAACATGATCGATATAGCGATCATTGACGGTCGAGGGTTGGTGTTTGACGTTAAACAGATAGAGGAGTTGCGCTCAAAACATCATATTTGTGGTATTCTCACTGGTGTGCTACCGCAATTTCCTCAGCAAAATGTTTTCATGGGTCTTCCGCTGCAGCTGATGCCGGAAGATGTTTGGTATCTAGTTGATCAGGACTTGGCTCGATTAGTTGACTCAAAGCGGGCCCACGAGGAATTTTATAAGGACAAAGAGCCTGAAGAAGAAGCTAGTAGTGGCATGGTCCGGATAGCCAGTGCAACTAAGCACGGATTAAGCCCTCACAGTCACGCTCGTATGCCCAACCCCGAGGCATATCTCATGTACAAGTATCTGATGGCGCAGGGGCTGTATATTATGCCGGGGTTACGATTTGGATGCCAATATATGGTTTACCCGGGCGACCCACTGCGGTACCATGCTCATTACAATGCCCTGGGCAAAAGCTGGAGAGAGCCGTTCCCCGTTCTGGACATTGTGCGAAGTGGACGATTAGCCACCTCGGTGAAAAAGAACTGGGTCATTGGGGCAGAATCCCCTGACGGCGAATACAGAGTCTTTTCGATTGAGTGGGCTGCGTTCGGTTAAGTTATTTATATATCGTTAAACATCAAGGGTAAACACCCAAAAAGCTGTATTTGTACTGATCAAAGTTGCCAACAGGTGAGTTGAGGATATCAAGAACCTCTTCTGGGGGGTTTTTGCCTAGCTTTTCAGCTCTTCTCCATCTATCTAGCCTGGAGATGCCTGCACATGGCCCGTAGCTTGAGTTTAGATCAAACTGACGCAGCAGTTTGTCTACGGTTGTCAATTCTTCCTGGTGAACCGTCATCTGACCGCCCACCAATTCTTGCAACAGCTGCTCGTACCTGGGGTCGCTGTTTAGCTTTCGCAGGTGTTGAGACAGTAACTTGGCTTGCTGATCCTCGTCAACAGTGGCACCGGATAAGAGACCGGCTTTTATGTTGAGATAGTCGGCAGGAGCTTCGACTCCTTTTGTCGACTGAAATTGCAGCCTGCTCTGGCTCTGGCGGGCGCTGGACCTTGGCGTCATGATACTAGTGTTTTTGTTTAATTGATTCTTTATGTTCCCAGCCACCGCCCTTGCCCTTGCGCAGATTAAGTTGAGTTCAGAATAGACTTGGACAGGCCAAGGCTTTTTAATTATATTTAATTTAGTTCGCAGCCAAGCCATCGCCAGCACTCCAGCTCCAGGTTCCAGCCTCACCAAACAAATGACCCCTTATTTCACCAACCTTCAGCTCGCAATATAGGCCTGCTCGCCCACCTCGTTTTATGTCATCATGGTTCTCTACACGTACATCGCCAGGGCCACTGATGGACTTCCTCTGAGCGCCAGCGTAGAAGACACGCAGGGCCCGGACCTGAAGGAGCAGAAGAAGCAGCTCCGGATTATCACCGGCCGCATCACTGCGTCAAGCGAGCCGCGTGCGAGCATTGAAAGCGGTGATTTCACCATCCACTACCTCTTGAAGAATGATATTATTTATATGACAGTATGCGAGCACTCGTATCCTCGCAAGCTAGTTTTCAGTTATTTGGACGAAATCCAGCGAGAGTTCTCCACGTCTTATTACAACGAGGTCCTGAAGCCCGGCACCCGTCCGTTTGCGTTTGCCCAATTCGACTCGTACATGCAGAAAACCCGCCGACTATACCAGGATGCTCGAGCATCGCAAAATTTGGACAAGCTGAACGCAGAGCTTCAGGACGTAACTAAGGTTATGACGAAGAACATTGAAGATCTCCTGTATCGCGGTGACAGTCTCGACCGCATGTCCGACCTTTCCACGAACTTGCGCTCAGAGTCGAAAAAGTATCGCCGCGCAGCCAAGAGAGTCAACCTAGAGGCAATGGTTCGGCAGTACGCCCCGTTCATCGGGGTCGGCTTCTTTGTACTTTTTGTCGTTTGGTGGAGATTCTTCTAGACTCGGCCCACCGTAGTGTCTTATAGTTTTATTTGTTTAGCGCATAGGCTACTGATTTAATTTCTACATCTTTTGCTCTTGCTCGTGCTCTCTCTTTTCCCTCCGGCATATCTTGGACAAACCACGCTTGAAATTTCACTCGCTTTGTAATAATTTTCAATGCTTCGAACGATGCCTGGTCAGTTGGTGAAAAGCGGCCGCTTGTTCTCGACATCGGCAAGCGTCTATGTTTTCGAAGGTATGTACGATCGCATGATGTACTGGAGAAAGTCCAAGAGCGAAAAGAAGCTGCACGACCCGACCAAGGACACAAAGGCCCAGGAGGATCTCCCTGAAGACACCAAGCCCCGCCGGTTGAGGATGCTGGGCAAGCCCAAGGACCCCAAAGAGGACTGGGAGAGCGTAAAGGAGTTTGCAGAATTCCAAGCATGGCCCACTCGGTTCCACCGCAGCGATATGACATCCGGCCAGATCGAGTCGGCGGTCTCCTCTGCATTTGCTGGTGTGGAGTTCTCTAATATTTCCCAGCGGTTCGAGGCGGTCAAGAAACTCAGCCAGGAACTTCAGATCGCTATTCCCGACGCAGTGTTGAGCCGCACCACCTCCAAAGAATACATCACAGGCTACCTTGAGTCGGTCGCCAGGCCTTTTGACGAGAAAATGCCAGACGCTATTTACCTCAACCCGGAGGACTTCCAGGGCACAAACATCACCATTTCCGACCCGGTTGCCGAGCGCAAGGAGCGTCGCAGACGCTATGCCCAGCTTTTGCAGGACGCCAAGCGGGCCCAGAACGAAAAGGCCAAGGAGTTGTTGGCTTAATGTTTCCAACTATTGTATATAGGGTTTCAGATTTCTACGTTGTGTATAATGGTATAAGATTGTTCATTTTCGTCCCAGAATGAATGCGGCAATCGCAACAGCCGCTGCTGCTCCCACGGCGTAGGGAACCCAGTCGATCGGCTGCTGGACGATGGGGTGCTCGTCGACGTGATGGAGGATGACGTCTGCTCGGCTCAGGTTATTATTGGACGCTGAGATAACGGCATCAATAACGTCGTGCGAAGACATGATCGATACGGGGTCGCCGTCGTCGTCAATATAGGACACTGCAAAGCCCCCCGAGACTACGTCGTCGACAACCGCTCCCAGACCTCCAACGTCTCTGAGTTCAGCGGGAGTCAGCTTAGCGGCAATTGCTTGTCTGAATGCCGCAATGCCCTCTTGAGGGTTGACAACAATGCGGTTGACTCGACCAGTTGGCGCCTTGAACTTGAAAGAGAACGAAGTGATCTGCGACGGCTCTTCGCGCATCCCTGTGCGAGACAGAGAATCCTCGGGGCGAATTTCACTAGACGTGGCTGGACGGGTGATATCGATTGGCTGCTCACCCATACTGAATTGAGCAAGCTCCGTGGCAGACGCATCAGACAGCATGGTGTCCGCCCTCGAGCCGGCCAGAATCGACGATCCAACCGACTCTGTGCCGTCGTCTTCTAAAGACATCCAGAACTTGTTCCAAGCGGGACCGTCGCTGTTGTTGTCGCTGGACGACATTGTATTTATTTGCTCCAATGTTGCGTAAACCAGTCGCAAAACATCGACCACCCCGACCACCGCACCTTCCTGCTCGTTGGTGACGGGCAGATTAAGGTAATGGCCGTCGTGCATCTTGCGCAAGGCCTCTTGAATGCTCATCGTGGTAGGAGCAGAGTCTGGACGGGGAGTCATTACTCGAATGACCGAGCATTTGGACGGCTCGATGCTGTTGGCCAGCACCCGCAGCACAATGTCCTTTGTGGTGAAAATACCCACAATCTCCTCGGATTTGTCTGTAACGAGAACAGAAGTGGTATGGTTCTCCTTCATGACTACAGCTGCTTCACTAACAGTGGTGCGCACGTCAACAAATACCGGGGGTCGCTCTGCGTCTACGAGTTCAGCCAGCGTGGGTCCAGCCGTGCGCTCTTTCAGCGCTTGGACATAGTTGGTGATCTGAGCGGGCTGGACAGAGCCCAGTTCGGACTTGACGCCCTCTAAGGCTTCATGGAGTTTGCGACTAGAATCGTAAGCTCTTTCAAGACGATTCATTGCATCGTAAAAGCACTTTGTGATGTCAAGCACGCCGACAATCTCGCCCTCTTCGTCAATTACGGGCAGGTGGCGGAACGAACGAGTGACCATCAAGTTCAATGCATCAATTGCAGTGGTATTGATATCTGTGCAAATCGGGTTGCTGGTCATGATGTCTCCGATCGCCAAATTGCGGTGGTCTCGGCCCTCGCCAACCACCTTGATAGCCAAGTCCTTAGCAGTGAAAATACCCGACACACCGCCGTTATCATCAAGCACCAAGACGCAATCAGCACGATGGGCAGTCATATACTGCGCAGCATCTAATACAGAAGTACTGCAGTGCATTGTGGTCGGAGGCAACGGCTTTAAAACCAGAACAGACCCGGTGAGCTTCTTCTGCGACTGTTTAGTTTGGCCCACAGCTCCCGGTCGTTTCTTTATTTCATTCTCCAGCTTGCGGCGTAATTGCTCGTCCCGCTTCTTCTGACGGCCGCGACCGTCGCCTGCTTCTAACCGAGTCGACATTCGTTTAAAAAAGTAAACAAACCGATTACTCAGGACAAAAAAAGTCAGACGCGAGGGGTATAACTAAGGGGAAGGGGGGAGGTTTCTTTACAGAAAATAAATAGTGTAATTAATTAAGTGGAAGACGTGTTTGGGGAATCAAACCCGGCGGGCCAAGACACTCTCTAGTTCAACCATGAAAGCGTCCTGCTGAGACCCCCCAAAGCTTTTCTTGCTTCCCTCTTGACGTCTTTGCCGAGCAAGTCTGATTCTTTCATCTCGAGATAGCATAGATGGTTGTTTCCCTTCAACGACCGCCTCGAGAACCTGGAGCTTGCGATTGTCTTCTTCCTGGAGGGTGGTTGCCGCCGAAATTGTGCTCATGCTTGAATAGCTGTACTCTAAATCAGCAGAATCATCGAATTCGCGTACCTGGCGAAGACCAAGCCCAATAAGGTCTGGTTTCGGTATAGGCGTCGTTTCAGTCGACGAAGCGTCGGGCTGGACGGCCCTCCAGAGGTCATTGAGACGGCTGAGCTCGTCTCGTACTAAGTTAAGTTGGTTCAAACTCTCTTGCGAGTCGGCTGGAGTCTGCTGAACGACTTCCATGCGGGCTGCAAGCGTTTGGGCAACCACGCTAAAATCAAACATGTTTCGTGAAAGTGTCTTTTCAACAAAAGGGCTGTTCTCTGCAGCCTCAAACTGAGGCTCGAGCCGTTCCTTGCAGATCATTCGGCTCAGCTGTTCGGTGAGGTCGGCTAGAGAAGCAAGGTGGTCGGTGATAACTGTCCATTGTTCGAGCTCTTTGGTTGTGCACTCACCTGTAGACGATGCGCAGAGCAAACAGCAGATGAATGCACGCCGTAAAAAATGAACCCTCCTAAACTGGTGCTTCAACACGGTCAAAGGCACGGAACAAGCAGTGGCCCCATGGAAATCCTGCAGCGAAGAAATGGTGTCAAATCCAATGTAATCGTCATTCATCACGAACCCAAGCTCCTGCTGAGTAGCCGCGAGATCATACACTTCAAAGTACTGTTGTATATCGAGCTCTGAACTCATGCACAAGCAGTCTTTGATGGCATCCAAAAAGCCTTCTTCGGAAAGGTACAAAGCCGATGCCAAAACCGCCCGCAGTTTTTTAGCAGCAACATTTCGCCGGTAGTTTGGGTACTCCCTCCCAGTATTGGTATCCTCAACATACATTGATCGACTTACGATGTCGACTTCCTGGATTTGCCGCAGTGCCCGCACCACATCGCCGTCAAAAACTTTACTGGCATTAACGAAATGAGTTTCGTGAGCTAGTGCTTTGGCATAGAGCCGTCGCAAAATTCGCCGCCGCGAATGAGCATACAGATATAGCCCGACCAGCAAAGTGGCTATCAGGGCACAGTTGGTATAGACTGGAGAGTTGGGCATTTCTTTGCGAGACCGCCAATATACAAGGACAGCCACGACCACAATGCAGCCACCTCCGCCAACAAAAAACTTTTTTTGAAGTTTGATGGAGTTCCAGGGACCATCGGATGAAAATAAAATGTCTGTGCGTCTCTCACCGCTGGATACCGACCATGTAGCGTAGAGAGGTCTGGACTCCAATAGCTGGGACGATACAAAGCAGTACCTGAACTGCTCAAGAAACCTCTTCACTTCATGGTGTCCAATATGAGATGTTACGGCCTGGCGGATCAGACCGCGGAACCTATGCTGGCGTAAAAGCTCTCGTCCCTCTGTGAGCACTAGCGGGTACAGCCCGTTCTTGTCCTTTTCTGGCCTCACGGACGTGGAGGGCGCTTCGACGTCTTCCTCTATACCCCAATCTTCCATGCCAGCGTCAGATAGATAGTCCGCCAATGGAGTATTGCCGAACACCGCTTCTGGCATTATTGTTGTAAGAAAACCCTGAGGTAAGCGACTGTCATGCGGGGCTTGAACCGTCGGCTGCACCACATGTGGGAAGGAAAAAGTATGTTTAGGGGGAACGTCTGCGAATTTTTGAAACGGACTGGTTGGGAATTCTGTGTGCCAGGCAAATTACAAGGGTGTGACAGCGGCTTGTTTCTTCAAACCTCGGCTCAACCCCACACCGAAAGCGTTGCACATATGATACACTTGCCCGGGTTGGGTTTCTGCATTCCAGTGATAATCCAAGCGACAAGGCGTGCCCATTTCGCGACCTGAGGAATTGATCAAGCAGTATTAGGGTACTGTCCAAAACTGGTTACAAGGTCCTTATCAATTGGCGCCGCGACCTGGTTTGAATTCCTCTAGTGAGGTTTCGCATCCCACATCAAAACATGGCTCTCATGCACATTTTGCTCCGGTAACCATGCTGGTCGACGCATCTAAGATATGAACCAGAAAATTAGAATCTATGCCCGTACTACCCGGTGCCCAACTCATTACTCAATCTGATTGAGAACGCACAGCCAAGCTTCTTTGCTGGGCTCAAGTTGTGTCTTCCATCCATTCTCGTCCGGATCACAACCAACCTAGATTATTAACCATGGCGAAGGGCAAAGGTGGCGACAACAGCAAGAAAGCGGCTGGACAGGGCCGAAAGGCAGAGGCGGCGGCTCGTAAACAAGCTGAAGCTGAGACTCAAGCTGCTGCAGAGGAGGATCAGGTATGGGAACAGGGATCCAAGAAGAAGAACGCCAAGAAGGAAGAAGAGGAAGCCAAGCGCGAAGAGGCTCGTCGCAAGAAGGCCGAACGAGAGCAGCTGTTGGAAATGGAGGCTGCTGAAAACAAGAGCAAGCCCCAGAGCTCCAAAAACAAAGGCCGCGACAAGATCCTGGCCCGCCGGGGTGGTGGGATCGACGCAGCGCTGGCCGCGGCAGAAGGTGGCAGTCTGAGCGCCCGCAATATCGATGATGCTATTTCCGCGCTTCAGATCGCAGCCGGTAAGGATACAGACAAGGCCGAGCGCCATCCCGAGCGCCGGTTCAAGCCCGCACTGCGCGCTTACGAGGAGCGACGTCTGCCCGAGATTCGCGAGGAACACCCTGGTCTTCGCTTGAACCAGTACAAGGAGCTTATTTTCAAGGAGTTCGAGAAGAGCGCGGAGAACCCCTTCAACCAGGTCTCGGTCGACTACAATGCTAAGCGAGGGGATGTCCGAGAGGCATTAGATAAAGCCAAGAAAGCTAAAGAAGATCGCCTTCGCGGTTGACGAAGGTTTTGTAGAATTATCTGGTATATAATAGCTATGAGACACGTTACGTTCGCTCGAAATGGCCGCACACAGTAACACCAGCGTCCATCGATTTCATAACGCTCACCTACGGTTAAATTGCTGGGCCGATGGGATACCTCGGAAAATCTGGGGTCGGAGGGATACAAAAAAAAAGATGGGGAGAAGAAAAGCAACACGAGTGCCACTGAACAAGTAGCGTAGCAGTCCTAGTTTGAAATAGCGACGGAAACATCCACCGAGGCAGCATTCGCCTGGCGTCGGGGGCTACGGACAGTTTCCCGCACCAGCAGCTCTAAGATGCGCTGAATATAAATATTGTCCGTGTCAAAGTCACAGCAGAAAGTATCAAAGTCGTACTCAGACGGCACCTCCTCTTCCTCCTGCCACTTCAATTTCTGTATTACAGTCCGAATGTGCTCCAATTTTCGCGCCAATATCAGCTCGCTTTCCTTCATGTGTGTAGTGCAACCAGTCAGAAAGTTGATAGTAAGATAATGCCGGTTAGATAAGCCAGGAACCGACGCTGCTGCTCAATTCTCCCAGATCCGCGTCAGGTAAGTTGCGCTGAGGCGGCGTGGAAAAAAGCTTGCTACAGCGGTGGTGGGCAGCTATCAAGTCTAAAAAAATCTAAGACTCTGAACGATTCAGTGCTGGGCTGTTTGACCCGTCTACTCCCAGTGATATTTAAATATACGGCTTTTGTCAGGCCTCCAAATAATCTTTCCACTGCCAAGCGAGCTGGAGGCGGAGATGCACGAGCATCCGATTAAGTAATATACTTGCAGACGTTCCCCCTCCTTTGCGTCATCAGTTCCCTTTGTCTAAAACATTCCCGGTCGGCACTGTGAAGATCCCAGATTGTGGCCAGTCATTGATAGGGCGCGGCCAGGGGCTAATTCATGTAAAAATAATGTTTCTCGTTGTAGGGCATGGGCGCCGCCCCTTTTACGGGTAATATTTAGCACGCTCTCTTATTTTGTAGTAATAGCCCTACAACACCCCCAGGCACCTATGAACTCGCTCACTAAGCAGGTCAAAAAATCGTATCGACTCCGGTGAAATTTCAGTGTTGGTAGAGTATGCCGCGACTAAGAAACCTTCAACGTGTGCTTCAGCACTCAAAGCCACCCAAGCCTATTATTCCTCATGCCCGCGAGATCAAGGCGCCCGTGGCTGTTGAGCGGTCGGCTGTCCCCGATCCCACCGCTTATTCCAAGCACTCACAAAAGCTTTACGACATGTTTGTCGAGGACGTCGCAGCCAACAGACCCCATTTCCCTATCGGTGGTAAAGAAGTGTACTTTCCTTGGGCGCCCATCACCCTTCTACGACCCAGCGCCAGAATGACACCTTACCAGGCCCAGTTCGTCGTTCCTTTGAACTTCAACAAGTTGGACCTCAGAGATTACCTCTGGCATGTTTATGGCCTGCGTGCTCTCAATATAACGACTCAGGTTAAGTGGTCCCAGTGGCATCGTCAGGGCTACTCCCGCTATCGCACTCCTCAGGTCAAGAAGATGATCATCGATATGGACCAACCGTTCATCTGGCCTGAAGTCGATACTGCCGCGGAGGAGTCTCATCAAAAATCCACAAACTTGACTTTCACCAAACACGAAGAGGAGCTTCGTGACAGACTCGGTTCTGACAGCACAAAACCAGCAAAAGCATTCGATGGCTTGCTCGGCCCTTACCCGGCTGCTCCGAAGCCCTATGTTCCGAAAAAAATCAAAGCCAACATGGCCAATCTGCGCGATAAAAGCTCCAAGGCCGTGGACAAAAAATCTGAGGAGGAGCTGATCCGCCGGTTCACTCAGCTTTGACCCACTTGGTAGATGATGATCTCTTTGTATATAATCTGTCTAGACTGCCTAACATACCAGTGTTAGAGAAGAACCTGCTACACTCGATGCCCTTGAGATCGTACGGGGCTGTACAAACATCTCAGACACAAACGTTACCACCTGCTGCCGCCGCGGAGAAGTTGCCGACGAAAACACAAGGCTTATGCTCAGTGAAAAGTCGTGATGCAGGTGGGGTAGCTGAATGGTACCCACAGTAATGTTGCTTATTCTGCTCGCTCCTAGTAACCAGCCAAGATCTATACCTTTCCTGGTGATCAGCATGTGTGGTGTCAACACCACTAAGGGGTGCGATATAATAGGCTTTTCGGACCTGACTTGCGACGAAAGGCAATAGACCTTGGTGTGCTCTTGCACGCACACAGAAATACGGTCAATAAAGATGGCATGCTCAATATTGCTTGAGAGCCAGAGACCAATAAACGACTCTGTGTAGTGTCCTAACGCTAGCCCAGATGCAGGGTATGTAACTCGGCAGGTCACCTCCACAGGTAGATTTTTCTTCTTTGCTAGAAATCCTGGGATAGTTAAGCGTGGCTCACATACGCTTAACACGAATTTTTGCTGCTTCACGACCTCCCGTGTAGGGACGTTTAGAGAGCGAACAGAAGACGGGATGAAGGCAAAATTAAGCTGGCCGACTATAGGCTTCTGCAGCTTCGAGCACCTCTCCACACGTGCTCTTACATGCCAAAAAACTCCAGACATGTCATTTTCTTGGTTGAAGGACTGTGGCAGATCTACTTCACTGTCGGGGAGCGTGAACTCAAAGGGAAACGTGTATATGCCTGGCCTGAGAGTCAATTTCTCGACGTTTCGGGCAGCTGAGCGCTGGAACTCTGGAAAAAGTTTCCTGCGACGTTGAAACAGATGTTGGTGCTCCACAAACTGCGTATGATCGCCAATTGTAGCATAGGCCACCACTGTACAACGGCAATACACCTCAATAGCCCGGAGGGTAAGGTTTCCAAAACAGGTCAGTGTAACAGTGCCTGAAATTTTATCACCGTTGGTATATACTCGGTTAGTCTCTGCAAACCGCACCAGGATGCTGGCCTCAGGCATTGGTTGGAATGAATCAGGCGCCCCTAATTGGGAGTAGCAAATTAGATCCTCCTTATGTGCAGCCCTCTCTCAGCATAGTAAATCGCCCAATGTGACTAACAGAGGACTAGAGAATTTGAACGATGCATCATGTTTTGACCGCACTAGAACTCAAGATACAGAGCGTTTTTTGGAATCAAAACTTTACTGCCAATGAATTTTTTTTATTACATCTTCGGTAGAGTTTACCCCATCTTTTTTGGATGACTTTCAATGTTCTCCCTACAACCGCGAAATTTCAGTTGCTGCCGATCCCTGCGTCATCTTACCTAAAGGGCTTGTGACAGGGAGGCTTTCCCAAGAGGCACTGCAGCTCGAAGCGCCCGAATGCCGTGCCTCGAAAAATTTGCCAGAACGGCTTTAGCGCGTCAAAACTTTTTTAAAAATATATGCTCCTGTAGATATTTGGCCAAAACGAAACAACATGCTCCAGCCGGCACCCTCGCGCGGTCTACAGCATCGCAAAGAGAATCAACTTGTAGATCACACAGAGTTTATATTCCTGCTGATTCTAGCTATCTACGTACTGTGCCTTGTGCACCACCTCTACCGCGGATCCTCATCTCCCCTACTTCCGATTCTTGTAGACTGAAAGGCCGCGAAAGTAAGAGAGTGGTACGAAGCTCGCTCAACTGCTCTTCTTCGTGAACCCGGCGGGCCATAAGCTCCCTTTCAAGCTGTGCAACCCGCACAGATTGATCGTTATGTGCCGCTTGTAGTTGAGCAAACTTGGTACCTTCTGATGCTTGAACTTCAGCAGCAATAGTTTTAGTGGTGAGCTGAAGCTTTCGCACACGATCTTCCAGCTTGGCGTTGCTCTCATCAAGCTCTGCCTTTAAGCTTGCAATTTGTTTGCGGAGAGGTCCAACTTCTTGACTGACCTGTGCTCTCACCGACTCTAGTTCCATCACAGTCTCGTGGTATTTGGCCTCATACTCGCTGACCTCGTAACTATTTGCCATTGGCTCATCGGCCTCCACAACAGTGGCCTCTTCTGTCTGTCTCTGGTTCAGCATAAGTTCATTTTCTTGAGCATTAGTTTCAATCTGGCTGGCAAGCTGGTGGAACTCTTGGGTGATTTGAGAGTAGTCCTCTTTAAGTTTATCGATTTCAGCCTTCTTTTGATCAACCTCTGTAGTCACGTTAATCAATTGTTGTCTCAACTCCCGATTTTTTTCCAATAGACTGGACTCATATGCTGTCCTATCTCGAAGACGAGTGCGAGCAACCCTTTGAGCTTGTGAATGCTCGTCTTCAATTTTGGCGAGTCGGGCGTTTAGTTTTTTGTTTTCCCCTGATAAATACTCGATCCGAACTTTGGCCATTGCAAGTTCGCGTAACTGTTTTTGAAGACGCACTGCCTTACGCTCTACAATGTGCCGGGAGAAATTTGCGAAATCCAACTCGTTTTTATTTAGCAGTAATTCTCGCACATAGTAGTCTACCGAGAAGGCATAATGCTTTCGTTCGTCAATTGGGTTGAGAGTTGGAGTATTTTGTAGGTTTTGTGTCTGGATCTGGCCTACTGGGCTTCCATGTGCGCCAACTGTTTGGGGTGCGGGGCTCATACTTTTTCGAAGTCTGGCAGATGTATTACTTGAGCTGCGGTCACGATTGGCATTACGGCCGCGGCCGTTAGCATCAGATGAGGACGAACCTTCTGCTAGCGCGATTGTGGTTTGCACAACGGGGCTATCAACCTGGGGATTGATGGGCGAAGCCGGGTTCGATGGCATGAGCATCGTCAGCTTGGGGCCTTGGTTGGATCCCGGGTTTGGCGGGACAGTAGGACTCTGAGCAGGCGATGTCGCGCTTAATCTGGGCGTATTTGGGCGAGTACCAGACTCGCTATTCGTTCCTCTCCTGGTTATTCTGCTTCCATTGAAAAGTCCCGTAGAATTTTGTTCAAGGCTTGACATGAACAGTTGCTGGTGCTGATTCAATAGTGACTGGGATGAAGACTCAAAATTACTGTTAGCACACTCACCCGGTGCCATTGGTAGCTCATCCTCCGCGTTGCCAACAGCTTGCATCTCCATGCACAGAAAGGTGATTCCTGCTGCACTGGCGAGCTTTTGGAATCGTGCAGAAGCACTAGAGATTTCTTGTTCAGCAGTAGATGTTAGGAGTAGTGGGTGCAAGGTGAACTGTGGGAATATCTCTTGGGCTCTCTCTGAAATGAGGAATCGGTCCCAAGGTGAGCTGAAGTTCAGAGTATAGTTGGCCTTAGCAAGGTAATCATCTGCATGGCGACAAAAGTTTAATGTGTTGTTTGGAAACAAGGCATAAAGGATATTAAACAAGGGTGCTGCATTGGGCTCGTGAGCTCTGAAAACGGGATTCAGAGTTTCCCAATCAGACTTTTCGGACCCATCGTTTTCGAGATCATTGTCGCCTGCTGGAGATGTGAGCATCGAATCTGTCACTGACGGGAGCCAAGAAGACATTCTACCGTAACATGCTAGCAGACGGGGTAGCAACTCCACGAGCTTGTCAGAAACATGAGGTAGAACCATAGCAAGAGTTCTTGATGCAATTTCAACAGAAATGTTGCAATTGTCACGCTCGATGCATTTCATCAAAAAGTCTAGAACAGGCGTTCTCGCAATACGGAATAACTTTCCATTAGGCTGTGATGAGACAAGTTCAGACAACAGTTGCAACATAAGCAGTCTGTGCTTTGACTTCACAAGCTCCTCGTACATGACATTAAGTAGTGCGTCAAGATGGCGAAGGCCGTGACCAAGAAGTAAATCTCGAATGTTGGCCCGAATGTATCTGGCCCTTTCCTCAGACTCTGGTCCCATTGCATCCAGAGACAACAGTTTATTGGGGTTGCCCACATATATATCAATGAGGAGCCGCATATAGAGGGCACTGTTCTCGTGGTACACCACTTTAAGGTCCTCGTCGTGATTGCCTTCAAGAATGGCACCAATAAATTGACGACTCAGCGACACAATGACATTACTCTTTCCGCCAGAATCAATAGCAATTGGAGCTAGGATATTGAACCAGAATCGTAAATTGTCGTTGTTGATAAGACATGGGGCTAAACGAGCCAGCGCCTGGAGGAAGACTACATTGAGCTCTTTTGACGACCCCATAACCGTCACAAGGGTATCATGAAGCTTTGCCGACTTAGAGGCATCTGTAGGCATCGTCCGTTGCCAGTACGCATCGATATCCTCTTCGTGAAGCACGCCATCGGCTATACTAGCCTCCAGCTCTTTTTGAAGTTGGGGTGCCATGACTAAGTGGATGGGCAAGACGAGTATGAAATGGTGATGGGGGGGGAAGTTGGATCCTATTTGAAGTAAATTATCTGTTGAAATGCAAAGCAACAGCACCGATCTGGCGGGCTCTGACTTGCTCGGGGGTTAGTGGCCATCCGTAGGTCAGTGGGGCCACCCAGAAGAAGGTTAGGAGCATGCCAATTGAAGTTAGGGCTGTAAATACCTTCATGTATTTGTTCACCGTGCGAGGAGACTCTGAAGTTTCCTGTTGGAGGAAAATGATATCTGCCATTCCGCCGACAACAAAGCTGGCAATGACATGAGCCGGCAAGTAGTGATGGAGGAACAATTGGCGGTGCATCGTGAAGAAGGGGAGGTAGTGGAAGGCCCAGGCACCGAAGAACCAAGACACTGTTTTGTAAAGCTTGCGGCGCGCACGGACACTGAAAAGTTCAATGCCGCGCAATTGCAAAAGCTGATCTGCTACCACTGACACGATGAATGTCATAAGGGCAACTAGCTCGAGGTACCAACCGAAATAGTTACCCATCAAGTAGATCTGGGATTTTGTTTGGTCCTTGGTCCAATAAGAGACTCCACGACGCAGTAGGGGCCAGCTCTTGGGCCATGAATTGTAAGGGTGGTCCTGAACAAGGTTATTGTTGGACCTGAACATGTGGTCCTGCAGCTCGGCGTACTTAAACAGGAAAGGCATGCTGCCAAAGCCTGCCGACTCCTCGTCCCGCTCGGGAATCCGCGATTCACGGTCTTCTAGATCAATGATATCATCAAACGTCCAGATCTGCGAGCTACCAAAGTCGGTGTTGCGCGGAGCGTGAATATCGACCTGGTTGAATCCCCAATCAGGTAAGGTCTTGTCACTTTGGCGCAAGTAGGCGTTAGTGTTGGGGTGACGGATGCGGAACGTCGTTACTTTTGTGTAGGCCTGACCAGTTGGGTTCTCAACGAATTCAAGGTCCCACAAAGTCTCGTTGTATCGCTGCACAGCCTCGTCTCCGGTGACGGTCGTAACTTCTTGATAAGCGGAATAGTTTGGTGAGGCCACATCGTGGGTCAGAAGATAGCTGTCAGTTGATGGATGGTATAAACGAACGGCCTGGCGACCAACAAAGGGCATGCGGCCGCGGTGAGCTTCAGGGATATCGTTCTCCGGAAGGAGCTGCCAGATGTTGTTGATATCATCGTGGGTATATCCTGTCACTTGCTGTCCAGCAGACGAAATGCGGTTGTCAGGGTACTGACGGGGATAGTGATCAGGGTGCGAGTGCAAAAACACACTAGGGTTAGCGGTCGACTTGATGGTGATTCTATCGTAAAAGTGGACTTCCAATGCCTGCTGGGTCAGAGGATTCTCGGCCAGAGTTGACTGGAACCGTCGGCTCATAAAGCTGTCGCCAGGTCCCGAGAAAGTCAAAACCTTGAAATGGATGTAGAACCAGATCAAAAAGTAGAAGAATGGAAGCAAGATCAAATAAAACGCACGGGTCCGGAAATGACGGAAAACTGTCCTCATTGAATTGCCGTTTCGAATATCAGCAATGCGCCATAAATCACACACAACGGATGATCCTACCGACAAGAAAGCAAACAGACCAACATACTTTGTTGACATGACCAAAGACAAGCTGAGGCCGGTCAACGCGAGCCAGATCGTCCAGCCCCATGTGAAGGGCTTACGCCAGGACTTGAGGAAGCGGATATAAAAGTAGAGCGACAGAATAAACGTAAACACAAGCGTACTGTCAAGAAGAATCAGTCTGCTGTGCAGAATTTGCGCATTGTCAAGGGCAACCACGAGAGAAGATAGCGTGCACGCGGCGACGGAGAACCCGGTCTGCTCCATGATGCTAAACACCAGCGGAACGACCAATGCACCCTGCCATGCGGAGACCAAACGGTACGCAACGTATGGCACATCCTCAGGGTACACCATGCCAATATTCTCGAACTTGAACGCGCCATTGTAGTTATTCATCCACCCCACAAATGCAAGCAGCAATTTAGCGAACGGAGGGTGCAAATCAAAAAAGTATTTGCGTTCAAGATAGTGACTCGCGAATTTTCCAAAGTGAACTTCGTCGAAAACAACTTCGTTGGGGAACTCCAATTTGTGAAAGCGAGTGACAAAGGAAATCGCGGTGACGATGAGCTTGGCGATCAGAAACACGTAGTTCGAACTCGAAGCCACTTGTTTGGCGCTCTGGTGGACGACCGGTGCAGGTGTTTTTCCCACAGCAACCACCTCGTCGGTCTTTTTACGTGTTCTTCGCTCTTTCACTACCATGACGTGATTACTTCCCGGAAAGACAAGTAGTCAAGTAGCTTAGTGCTAGAGCACGTATTACATAGGCCAGGATGTAGGTGACAACTCTACTAAAAAAATATCGGAGCGATCCAACGTCCCGAGTTATTCTACAAAGCTAAACAAAAAAAGCCAAAAAAATACCGACCAATTCGCGCTAGTTAATCTAGGCTGCGTGAATGCTCACTGGTCTTTTTCAGTACACCTCCTATTTTAGTCAGTTCGGGTTAGGGCCCAAACTTTCGCTTTTGCAATATGCGTTTCTTTTCGACCGCAGCGCCAATTAGAATGGCTATGCGTGCCACGGTACGGAAGGCTACTACACCTGTTAAAAAGGCTGGTATCGCCGGAACGTCCCGTGCGGCGGCCGCCTCGCCCAGTCGCGGGGCTGCTCGTCCCGCTGCCGCTGCTGCGGCAAAACCTGCTGTTTCTGGTGCTGAGATGGCCACGCCGCCTGTCGAAGCGGCTGATCTAGCGGCTGAAATCGCTCGCAGTGTACCTGAGCTGCCGAGAAGAAGCGAAACTGCAAGCGATGCTCCTGACCTTTCTCTGGACGAAAGCATGGTGGCGAGCCTCGAAGCTCTGGAAAACGGCAATGTGCGCCCTGACGAGCCAGAAGTGTTCAATGGCGACTGGAGCTCCAGTTTCCAGGGATTGGGATCGGCACCGTTCCCGCGGGAGGTCTCTGATGTGCTCCTCGCCCCTGTAGTGGCTGGCGACGTGGAGATCACGCCTGACGGCTTAATTTATCTGCCCGAAATCAAGTACAGGAGAATTCTTAATCGTGCCTTTGGTCCGGGTGGGTGGGGCATTGTCCCCCGAACCAAAACGTTGGTCACAAAGCGCAAGGTCACCAGGGAGTATGGCCTGATCTGTCTGGGTCGGCTGGTGTCTGTGTCCCGGGGTGAGATGGACTATTTCAGTGCTGAGGGTGTCACGACTGCCATGGAGGGCTGTAAATCAAATGCGTTGATGCGGTGTTGTAAGGATTTGGGAATCGCATCCGAGCTGTGGGACCCGTCGTTTATTCGTGAGTTCAAAGCTAAACATTGCGATACCAAGTACTTTGAGAAGAAAAAACGCTTTGCCTGGAAACGTAAAGATAGACAATGGGAGTATCCGTATGTATAAACTATTTAGTTGAGCCGGCCGGAGGGTTGTGCATGCTAATTAGCTTGTGCAGCCATGGGTCCTGTCACATCTCTTACAGCGGACGATAAATAGTAATAAGAAAAGAATATATAGAATACGAACAGCAGCTAAATCACCACCAGCCTCTACGCTTTGCCTCTGTGTTTGGACTAGCAGGTAGTCCAGTAGAGACAGCCGACGAGTCAATCACATCGTAGCCGTCACTGTCCAGCCCATCATCCCTCAATTTCTCCAGAGATGCAGCCAACTCAAGTAGCTTGCTGTACTTTTCCTGGTACGCCTTGGGGGCCTTTGGCGGAGACTTCCAATTGGCAAGAAAAGCCCCCAGCTTGTAGTCTGAAGGTACTGGAAGGCTGAAGCGGGAGTATAGCGATTGCGATATCGACAACACTTGCTGGTCGGGAGCAGTTTGGTCAGAGCCTGACAGCTCAGTCATAGCAATTGAGAAGCCCAAGTAGGAATTGAGATAGTGCGCAACGATATTGCGTACTCTAATGTATGCGTTGACGGCAAACGCGTCCAGAGCTCCATTGTGCTGATCCAGCCATGGCTCAAAGTAGCTCGTATACAGGAAAATAGCACCTTTAGTCTGCGGCAGTACCAGCCAGAGCAGGGTGAAGAATCGCAGGTAGCCATATAGGGGGACCAAGCGGAGTAATGGTTCGAACATTGCCTCAAAGGAGAGACCTACTCCCAAAACGATCCAGTACATGAGCCAAGGTCGAAGTAGCGAGAGGTCGTTAGCAGCGAGTGCTTTGTACGATGCAATCACTGGAAACACAAGTGATACAGTACAGGCACTGAGAGAAGAGAATAGACCGAACATATCAAAGTGGCGATTAGGCAGCTACATGGTTTATGGAAGGCAACAGGGAATACGCCCCAGGGCCAGGGCATATCACGGGGACAACTCCCAAACCGGGCGCTGCCCACACCGACCTTAATTGACAGGTCTTTATTTCCCTTCATTTCTTGCTAATTCCCCCGCCGCTTTTCGTTTGGGCCCAAATTCTCTTCCTGCAAGGTCCCTGCAGCTGTCACTTTAATTAGGAAGCCAGCGTATCTAATCCTGCATGGATCCGTTGGACTTGAGCGCGTACGACGTTCCGTCTACGCCGGAAAATGTGCCAGAAATACCCGTGGAGAACAACGAGCAGAACGAGTTTGAGGCGCTAGGAGTCGACGATGACAATTTGGGTGTCGAGGAGTCTGCAACGGCCGGTGCGACGCGCAGGCCCCGGGCTAAAATGGACAGTGAGCGGATACTGAGCAAACGAGGGCTGCCGACACTGCAAAAGACCATGCTCCGTTTCAAGTTCAAAGGTAAAGGTCACGAAAAACGCGACTTAACAAAGCTGCTGGGCACTTACCAGCTCTGGGGGCACAAACTGTATCCCAAGGCCAACTTCGAGGACTTTCTGATTCTCTGTAGACGCGGTGGCCGGGATACTGCAATCAAAACATACAGAAAGAAAATGCTTGACGAAGAAAAGTACGGATCTCGAATTCCAGCGCCGGACGCGGAGGAGCTTCCTGCTCAACAGGCAAAACCAGTGCAAGCACACGAGCCCGTGACGACAATCCCCTCTCCTGAATACCCCGATATGTCTGAGTTCCAAGACGTCGAGCAAGATGAAGACTCTCTCGCAGCAGCTATGGAAGCATACGAAGAGATGGGATTCTAATTTATATGTAGAGCTATACTCGTTCGTGTTCTCTTTCACTCGGAGTTGGACTCGTCTAAATAGTCAACGAGCTCGTCGATGATCTCAACTGTTTCCTGGGGATCCGCAATCCAAACCGTAGCGGCAACAAGCCGTGCCTTGAAATCGTTGGACCCAATAGATGCAAACTGATCGCCAACGTGCAGAGTGCGTTCCATAGCTATACCACCCAAGTACCGCTGAAGGCACAATACGCCAAAGCGCTTATCACCGACATCAACCCAGACATCGTGTCCACCGTTGAATGCACAAAAGTACAGTTCTTTGGCGGCAGGTGAAGCAGACAGCGAGTGCTGAACGTTCAAGACGACTTCCTCGAGGTTCTCTCGCGGGATCCGCTTGCCCTTCAGGGGGATCATACCAATTGAGCGCTCCTTACGATACAAAGTTGCCGTATGGGTCATACTGAGCACCTCGATCTGACGCTTGAGAACCTGCTCGGCTTTATCAAGCAGCTCGGAGACTGCATCTTCTCTCCAGGCAAGCATCTCGTCAAGTGCCCACTCTTCCCGGTCAATATAGCGCAGTCCGCCGATATCAGGGTCCAATCGGAACAGGTAGTTGCATTCACCGCCCATGACCAGCAAATTGGCCTTGTACTCGTGGTCTAGGTTGGAATTGAGAACCGCATCAATGAGAGCCCCGAAGCGGACCAAGTACATCTTGCCAGAAGGATCGGGGTAGCCTGCAGCAGTCACAATGCCAATAGCTACTCCACGCTCCAGCAATGCCAGAATTCGAGTGATCTGAGGCGACCCCTCCTCGAGATTCGCACCGTCTTCATAGAGGGTCACGTCACCATCGAACGTTGCTAGCTCCAGCCGAGTAATTGGCTTAGCAAGAGCCATTGCTTGTGCCGTATTAAGAATCAGTCGCACGTCGTTGAATGACGGGGCCACCATCCTGCGCTTGCTCAGCGCGCGTTTTTCATCTTGGACGTAAAAGGCCCGTTCCAGGGGAAGCCGGGTGAAAAAGTGGCCAACGGATGGCACCATCTGACGCAGCCGTCCAAGATCCGCGTCATTGAGCGACTGGTAGTAGATCTGGTCGGCAATCAGCTGCTCCAAATCACGGAAAATCTCGGCGTAGCGCCGACGGGCTTCAGCAGATTGCCTCGAGTCATCTCCGATCCGGAAGTGGTTGCTGGAGCCAGCATGCAGAACAAACGGGACCGTCAAGAGACTCTTCGTCCACTCTATAAACTCGTCTTTACGATGAGCCTTAAGTGCATAGTCCACTCTGTATCTACTAGTCATAGTTAAAACGTTGAATAGCGTTGACTACTCCCTGTCTACATAAGCGGGGCTGCAGGAGGCTGCACAGGACCCGGCCGAAACGAGCTCAAAGTGATGTTAAGGTAGAACTTTCAATGATATAGCGGCTATATGTTTACCAAAAGAATAATAGACGGCAAGTCAAATGATATATAATGAGCAGTCAATGCTGTGGAGAGGAAATTATGGGTTTCAACGTTTTTTTTGGGAGCAAGCGATCCACAGTGGACGCAAATCAATCGCGAACGAACTGCTTGGCAAGATCGCCGAGCTCTTCAATAGTTTGTGAAAGCGGACGGCGCTGAACGAGCTCCCAGAAGCCCTGGCGAGGGTGCTCCTCGGTGATGGGCACGTTGACGGTATCAGAGCCCAAAATAGACTGCTCGTGGCCGCGGTTGAAGCCCCACTCGAAGGCGGAAGCAACAGTTCCCAGAATGAGCGCACCACCCAGCGATTTGGCCACAGAACCCCGCAGGGAAGCCCCGGCGATGGCGCCGGCAGCAGCACCACCAGCAAATGCGTTAGCCGCGGTCTCCTCACCACGCAGGTTTGCGCTTACGGCCTCAGCAAACGTGTATGAAGCGCCAATAAGAGCGTAGGTCGCAACAGGCGCCATGGAGCCGCGCAGACCGCCCAGTAGAGTGCGGGATGGGCCCAGAGAATTTTTGACCAGCACGACGTTCAGACCGAAAAACGCACCAACAGCACCGGCCTTTGCCGACGCCAACAGCGTGTCGCGCTTGGCAAAGTGCGGCAGTTCACGCTCGCCTGCCAGCGACGGATACTTGGTTCCTCCGATGCTACTCATGGCCAATGAAAAGTAATAGTAAGCAACGATTTTACAAATCTATTGGCTGAGCGGAGGGTGCAGGTGGGAGGTGAGAGGAGAAATACGGGGTTGAGGTTTGTGGGCTAGTTTGAGCGGCAGAGTCGTTCCGATCTGTCTGGAACGGCGGCTGGCCCAAAAAACCGCCGGGATTTCGCTCTGGATAACGTTTATGCAGCTGCGGGGGCGGGCTGCCTACAACCGTCTCGATTAGGCAGCACTGTTTTCGATATGCTCAAACACTTGCTTCTGGCTTCGCTTGCCACAGCGGCAGTCATACCAATTGGAGGCGAGCACGCGTTCAGACAGCCGAATTCCAAGGAGCCCGTGACACAACCTACCCGGCCGCTGGTTTGGGGCGATTTCAATGTTTTGCACACCACAGACACCCACGGATGGCTGGCAGGCCACCTTCTGGAGGCCAATTTTGGAGCTGATTGGGGAGATTTTGTGACGTTTGGTCAATTCCTTCGCCAGAAGGCAAGGAAAGAGCACAGAGACCTGATTGTTGTCGACACGGGGGACCGCCATGACGGAAACGGTCTTGCAGATGCCAGTGATCCGACGGGGGTTTATGCCGAGCGCATTTTCAATTACGGCGATTATGATCTCGTGACGATCGGCAACCACGAATTGTATCGTGGCCACATTGGGCTTCAGGACCGCAAGATTGTTGGCAAACATTTCGGTGAGCGGTACGTTGTTTCGAACGTCGAGGTGCTTGATCCGACAAACGAGTGGGTCAGTATGGGCCACAAGTATCGGAACTTCACGACAGAGGGTGGAAGGCGTGTTTTGGGGTTGGGATTCCTGTTTGATTTCGACGGAAACGACAAGATCGTTTTCAAAGTTACCCCCGTAGCCAGTGAGATTCAAAAGCAATGGTTTCAAGATGTGCTGCAAACTATCGAGTATTATGATGCGGTGGTGATCATTGGCCATATTCCAGTTCGCGATTCCCCCGAGTTCCCTATTCTGTTTGATGCTATCCGGAAAGCTCACCCTACCATCCCCATCCTAATGTTTGGGGGCCATTCCCATATTCGTGATTTCAGAGTATACGATAAGAACGCTGCTGCTTTAGAGGCCGGTCGCTATTGCGAGACAATTGGATGGGCGAGCGCTGATCTCGAAGATGTTGGGGATGATGGATTATCCTTTTCCCGCAGCTACATTGATTTCAACACCAACTCATTGGCGTTCCATGCAGGAGTTCCCCACGACAAGTTCACCAGCCATTTAGGGCGTCAGGCCTCGAGTGACATTACTGGAGCTCGTGCGTCACTCAATCTCGACCAACGCTTAGCCTGCATCCCTCAAACGTACTATACAGACCGTGCTCCCTTTCCGTCGTCAAAGTCCATTTATACATTGTTTGAAGACCACATTTTGAACTTGCTTGAGCCCAGCCTCGTCGACCGATCGAACGTCCCTCGTTACACTCTTCTCAACACTGGCGCTGTTCGTTTCGATATGTTCAAGGGCCACTACACCAAAGATTCGGGATACATTGTTTCGCCATTCGCAAACAAGTGGGTTTACATCAAAAGAGTGCCCAAGCACGTTGCCGACGGTATTTTGCCGGTCATCAACCAGGAGGACAAGGTAGTGGCATCACATACACGCATGCTGTCACAAGTTGCATCTGAAGAAGCCCACGCCGAAAGCGTACATTCCAAGGGCTATCATACGTTTGATGATTTGGGAGATGAAGGAGACGACACAAAGCACATCCCCTGGAAGTTCTATCCTTTGCCCAATGCGATTCAGGCCAAGCGCAATGTGACGGATACAACCACACATGTTGACCTGGTGTTCCACGACTTTATGGCGCCTTTTGTTGCCAAAGCGTTGAAGAAGCTGGGCCACCAGCAGGCGTTTAAAGTCAAGCCGTACGGCGGCAAGCACATTATCGAACTCATCCCAATGCACTTTGGCAGCCCCAGCAGTGAACAGTGCCCGTAGTAGTAGAACACAATGGATACTAGTATACTTTGTTTAGCATCACTATTTGATTTATTTTGCCTGCTGTCATTATCTAGGCCTGAGCACGGCGCTTATCACGCTCCTCAGCGATGGTCAGCTTGATGCCCTTGCCCTTAGGCAGGGAGATGAGAGGAGTAGCACCCTCACCAATAACAAAGACGTTAGAAAGACGGGTGACGAAGGTGTTGTCAAGAGCGTCCTTAATGTGGACAATGTCAAAGCCACCGTGGTGGTGCTCGACGTGGGTGATGACACCGACGCGGCCAAGAGAGTGACCACCGGTGACCATAACCAAGTTGCCGGCACCGAACTTGACGAAGGACTGGATCTTGCCGGTGGCAAGGTCGATCTTGACGGTGTCGTTAACCTTGATCTCGGGGTCGGGGTAGCGGATGGTGCGGCCATCGTGTGTGACGAGGTAAGGAATACCCTTCTTGCCGTACTCAACACGGCGAACCCTGCCGAGCTTGTACTGGGCCTCATCTTCAGTGATGCGGTGGATAGCAAAGCGGCCCTTGGTGTCGTAGACGAGACGGAAGTTCTCGCCAGTCTTGGGGAGAGAGATAACATCCATGAAACCAGCAGGGAAGGTAGCGTCAGTGCGGATCTTACCGTCAACCTGGACCAGACGCTGCATCAGGATAGCAGTGACCTCACGACCGTTGAGGGCATACTTCAAACGGTTGCGCAGGAAAACGATCAGAGGCAGAGACTCACGCAACTTGTGAGGACCGGCGGAAGAACGGGGGGCGTAAGTGCCGGAAAGCTTGTCCAACATCCAGTGCTTAGGCGCAGCGACGCGCTTCATATGCTTCTTAGGTCCACGGCCCATTTTGTGTGGTGTATGGTTTCGGAGTTGGTTCAATCTTTCATTATAGAGTGGGCTGCTCGAGTTCGCCAGTGACTGCGACTAGGGCTGCCTAGGGCTTAAACACACTATATATCATTATATATGCTTCGGACCCAACACCCCCTCCTCTTGGGTGGGTGTAGGTTTTTGTCAGATTCTCGCCGCTGACAAATATAACAGTCAGAAAATTGCACATTCGTCTATTGGTTGGGTCGGCAAAATAGCTGTCCGTTATTTGCTAACCCACTTTGTTAGTCAGCCCCCCCTCTATCGACTAACGGAATAACCTAACCCTTACAGATACCTCTACATGCCCAGTTAATTCGCTCTACATGTTGTTACAGACATGAGCGCGTCGTTGTAGGCTCGCACGCCGAACTGAAGGGGTCGCGGCTGTGTATGAATCGGACAACGGTGAGGGACCCAATGTTTGTAAACAATGAATCTAAAAGGCTAGATTCTATCTTGAGATCTTGTCCGGACCCACCTCAGAAGCAGCGAATGAATTCGTGCTGAAATTTGGATGCGCCCATTACCGTGCCAAGGTTTGGTTTTTGCACCACCTGAGTGGTCTTTGTCTGAAGTTGCACAGCCCGCTGATCGTTACCTTAAACATACATAGGAATCTGCCCGCCTTCAAGTCTCCTAAGAGATATGCCATGCGTAGCACGGTGCAGGTGACAGCGCAGCTCTGAATGCATACAGAGGTGCATGCAGGTGGTTGGTGGACACGCATTGACATGAACTCAATCGCCGATGTACAAACGCCCAAAACACATTTTGATTAACCAACCTCTGACACTTGCCAGTAACCAGGTGAAAACACATGTCACACCTGCAGCTTTCATTGTGAGTCCAACTGGTTTACTGCCTGCTCGAAAGGTGCGGAGCCTTGCGCTAATATAAATAGCCCAAGCTATGCATCGAGAACTGCCTTGCTATCGCGACTGTTTTAAGATGCCAGGTGCAATGACAAAGCTATACGAAAGCTGGAGAATACTGAACTTTCATTGGTGGGCGTTGAGGTATGTTGAATTAATGTGCCAAGGTGTAGCTGTGTGGTATTGAAGATGCGATCTTTTTCTCGCTCGAAGATGCCGTGCATAAACGTATGTCTTGTGCCTGGAGATTGCGATTATTTGTACAAATGCATGTATTCAGCAAAGGGATAGGGGTTTCGAACTGCCAGGTTGAGAAGTCGTCATTTGGGGAGCATCTAGAAGCACGTCCACGATGAATGAGGGCATGTGAACATAGGGCGTTGGGGAGGTTTCAAGATGGCAGATTTGAAACCCTTTGACCGCAGGGGTTCTGCAGGATGACTACTGGGCCACACACAGCGCTTCGTGAAGATCGTTTCCCAGCCAATTTACGTCAATGAATGCCTTGTACCTGAATCTTGCGATTTTTGATCGGCTGCAGTCGTACTGCAAGGGCTAGGGTTGGAGTCATAACTAGCAACCGCAAGAATGTACAGACTGTACAGGGGTCATGTGGAAACCATGATGAACAAGAGGGATGATCCTCGAGCGTGTTGTCTGTTCAGGAAACCAAAAAAATTCAATTATCTGCAGCGATTGCTCAACTGCCTGTTTGAAAGCCACCTTGTAAACCGAAACGCCAAACGCCTCAACGTGATGCAGGCATGCACGTCTAGGCAACCAACATCGACCCTAGGGTCCTGACACAATGACCACAAAACTATCGCAGCAGCGTAATTTGTGCGAGACACGGCGCAGCTCGTGGGCAAAAGAAAAAGGGAAATGGGCAGCTACTGCTGCAGAGCATACCCTGAATACCAGCTCACTGTTTTCTGCAAGCAGTCTAGTTTGCACGTCAGTGTCATGTCTGCAGGTTTACTGAGTCAGCGATAGCATAAACTCATCATGTATCGGTAAAAGGTTGGCGCTGGTGCATGCATGAGCACCTCCCGCTCTGGGCTCGGGGGCCAATGCATGATGGCCCTACCCTGGTGCCAGAGTTAAATACTCTCCTTTGAGCACACGATGGCTAGAGCCCACCAGTTTCTCACTTGCCTGATAAGGAAGCTTTCACTCCAGGCGGCCTTGCAGTCATTTTCTTAGCATAGTCAGGCATTCGACTTGCGTCAAACATTTCAAAACCCACTACCCACCCCATTGGGAGCCATAGTTCATAGTGCTGTCCTTGAGTGTGAATCCATCAGACATTCCTTTTTCACCGAGGTTCGAGCCTTTGGCAATGATGTCTCAGAGGCAGCATACAGTCCAGCTTCCGTCCATCACGGAGATGATGCGGGAAATTCAGCCAACCTCAGATACTCTGGGAAAGCTCCGATTCAGGGACGATGACGAGCGTATATGTCTAAAGCCGTTCGTTTTCAGAGACCCGAATTCTCCAGTAGAGAGCCCCTTACAAGTAGTCTCGAAGTTCGAGTCTACGGCGCCACCTATTTTACCTCTGGAGCCACCTATTCCTGATTTGCTATGTCGATCACACAAGTACGTTGAGCAACAATGTGAACCGTCCAACCAGGGGCCACTCATGCCCCAAGAACCGCACTCCCTGCCCCCAGTGCCAATACTGGCGTCACCAATATCTCACCAACCGCCTCGAGTTGTTACCCCACCCATGACCTACGCTACTAGCGTGGGGTCTGCTGCGTATAGCAACGGCGCAGTTGCTGGCTACACTATTCAGCAGCCGTTTCCTGCTTATCCCTTACAGTCCCAGTGGCCAGCAAAGGTCAGCAAATCAACCCAACCGCACGCACTAGGCACTCCTCCGCCGATTGCTGCTTTCTCGCCAAAGTTCATCAGCACGTCGCCACCGACCTCTGGGCGACGGCGAGGCAACCTGCCCAAAGACGTCACCAACATTCTAAGACAATGGCTGAACTCACACCTCGACAATCCGTATCCCAGCGAAGAAGACAAGCGACAGATCATGAGGGAGACCGGGTTGTCCATCGTCCAGGTATCTAACTGGTTTATCAACGCGCGGCGAAGATCATTGCCCCCCGAGCACCGTCGTCGTGTTCGTCGCTGAAGTCCTTCCCAGGCTCTTCTTATGGTGCTGGCAATGCCCGCTGCTGTGGCTTTTCCCCAGCTCTAGCGTCGAAAATCACAAAAACATTGATGGGGCTTTATTTATCTTGAGACACTCGGCCTTTAACCGCCGCACAAAATGTCACGACCATGTCATGAACTTTTCTTCCAAACCATAGAGTAATAATATAATGGTTTCACTATTTGCAGGGCAATGCAAGTCTAAACGGGAGCTTTTGCGAGCTCAGCGCTGGCGGTTCTTGCCGTAGCCACCGCGGCCGGGGTCGTAGTCCTCGCGGAACTCGTCACGCACCTGGCCGCCCGAGACGCCGCGGCCAAACTCGCGTCCGTCCACGAACCCTGGGTCTCGATCTATTTTGATAATTCGGTCGTCTAGTTTAGTTTGGTCAAGATAGCGGACCGCGTAGAGGCTGTCGAGATGAGACTCGAACTCAACAAAGCAGAACCCACACGGGGTGCGCTCGAACCTGTCGAGGCCCATGATGACCTTCTTGACGGGGCCTGCTTTGGAAAACAGCTCGTACACCTGCTCCTCAGTGGTGAAAAAGGACAGGTTGCCGACGTACAGGGTGGAGGAGACCTTGGCCTTTTCGAGGTCGACTTCGCCCTGTTTGGATCTGCGGGCCTGGCGGAGAAGGTACTCGCCTATCTGATCAGTTCTCTCGGTTGAGTGCACGCCGAAGCGATCCACTGCCTCAAAGTTCATCCCCGGGAAACGCTGGACAAAGGAGATGCTGAGCAGAAACGAGCTGCAAACGCGGATTAGTCATTCGCCTTTGATGTGTGACGATCATTTCGCCCGCTGCATGACAACCATGATCAGCCTGGCAGGCACACTGACACGTATTACATGCGTGTAACCCAAAAAAAATAGACAGCAGGAGGCGGTGGTTCGGCTAGCCGAGCCTGGTGGCGGAACCAATCTATCTGCACTTCATTTCTGCTCACGCAATTGAGCGGTCCCCATACTGGCCCTGGCTTGTGTTTGTCTTCGCTCCAATTGACTCCTGTGGTATATCCTGTCTGCCAAGTATTTATTCCGGTACTCCCAATTTACGCGGCTTGGCACCAGGCGTTGTGGGCTGAACGGTTGCTCAGTTAACCGTCCCCTACATCTCGCAACTCAAAACGTGGGGAGAGCCATGGAGGTCTAGGGTAAGGGCTTTCCAGTGGGAAGGGGCTCAGCCGCTACACCTGGGGGATGGTGGTGGTGGTCGCACGGGGGAAGTGTTTGGTTTGTAAGCGACGACTTACCCGGCTGCAAATTATGCGATTAGTGATCCCTATAAAACTTTAGTGGCCCCCAAAAGCGTAGGCCGTGCCCAGGTAGCATAATCGATCCGACTGCTCTTCATTTATGGGACAAACCCAATCAAGAAATGGAGAGGCACGAACCGAGCTGTCAATAATAGCAAACGATGATGATGAGCCGGGTGGTATACGTGGTTTAAACCTCCACTCAAATCATCATCATCGCCCCAAAAAGCTGCCCGTTAAACAGCCGGCACGCCCCCTCAGAATAGATTCTCATTCTCACGATAGCCTTTCTATTTCACCTCTCCGCGTCGATTCTCGTGACCCTCTGCAGGACGTCGCTGAGTTGGGCACGCCTTCATCGTTTTCTCCTGGACGGGAATTTAGCGGACGGTCGTTTTTAGCCCCCTCCCAGTCCGACAACGAACCTGGCAGCATTGCATCCACGTTGGACAGTTATTTGGGACGCAAGGCGTCTCCGTCAATCTCAAAAAGCCAGGCCATGGGTACCGTTTCAAACCAGCATGGGGTATCCGCCGCCGAAGCTTTAAAGGACGTTACTCCTCGTGCCACACCACAGTTAATCCCAAAACTTAGCATTAAGGACCCGCGAATTGTCCCGCCAAACTCTATTGGATCTTCTGCGACGGCCGGTTCTTTGACGTCTGGGTCAGTGTCGTCTGGCGACTCGCCAATGACTTCACCAGAGAGCTCAGACGAGGATCAAAGTATGGCCGAGCGGATTGCTGCTCGCCACGTCATGGCCGCCCGAAATGTGCCGTCGGCTCCATCTGCATCAGGCATCCCCGTGAACCGTCTTATCAAGAGAATTTGTGTTTCCGGGCTGCAAAACCAGCGGGCCTTCTGCATGAACCTCGATGAAATCAATAGCGTTTGTCGAGCTGCCTCCGAGCTATTTCTGTCGCAGCCAGTCCTTCTGGAGCTAGCGACTCCCGTCAAGGTAGTAGGCGACACTCACGGCCAATTCAAGGATCTTATGCGTATTTTCCGTTTGAGCGGCATGCCCCCCAACACAAACTATTTGTTTCTGGGAGACTATGTCGATCGCGGCAAACAGTCGCTTGAAACAATCATGCTCTTGTTCTGTTTGAAGCTCAGGTTCCCCAACAACGTGTTTTTGCTCCGGGGAAACCACGAGTGCGCAAACGTTACCAAGGTCTATGGGTTTTACGATGAATGCAAGCGCCGCAGCTCATTGAAGGCGTGGCGAAGCATTGTCGACGTGTTCAATACTCTTCCTATTGCAGCCACTATTGGCTCTAAAATCTTTTGTGTCCACGGTGGCCTGTCGCCTAACTTGACGACCCTGCAGGACATCGAGCAGATCTCGCGCCCCACGGACGTGCCAGACTCTGGCTTGATGAGCGACCTCATGTGGAGTGACCCGGACCCTCAGGTGAAGGAATGGGCCGACAACGACCGCGGCGTCTCGTACTGCTTTGGCAAACGTGTCTTGGACCAGTTCTGCAACCGGTTCAAGTTCGACCTCGTGGCTAGAGGACACATGGTAGTGGAAGACGGTTACGAGTTCTTCGGCAACCGCAAGCTGGTGACCATTTTCTCTGCGCCCAACTACTGCGGCGACTTTGATAATTGGGGAGCAGTCATGTCTGTGGATGAGAATCTTTTGTGCTCGTTCGAGCTTTTGGAACCTAATAAAAAACCCTCCAAGCGGTCTTGACCTAGGAACCTCGCAAATCTTTTTTTATCTAAATTATACACTTAAATCACTCTTATACGAATTAAACTTTCTCATTATTAATCTTTCAGCGCAAATTAGCCGCACGATACGAAACTAGGTCCTCGACGCTCGTTTCTGCAGGCATCATACGCATTGCGGCTGGTTTCTTCTCAATTGGGCAAGCCCATTTCGTAATAGGTATTTTGCTGAACCATCGTCATGTGGAGTCCTTACGCTGACAAAGATCTGCATCTTTTTCTCCCCATGACCGAGCCACGCGAATACCTAGTAGGGATTCACGAGTTCATAGGCCGTAATGTGGATGAGCTCGATATACGAAAGGGCGAATACGTTGAAGTGATCGAGGATGACCGCGAGTTTGGAGACTCCTGGTACATTGGCCGCAATTTGAACACAGGCAAATCTGGGCTGTTCCCCAAAGTGTTTACTGCTTCGGTTGCTGCACCTCCGCGAGATCTGCTGGAGTATGCCACGAATCTCCCTGATCCAGAGTTTGAATTTGGCGACACACAAGACCCCCAAATTGAGCGGGCGCAGCCCTCACATCTGGCCGCCGCCGCCCCCGCAACCCAGAGCGTCCCGGTTCCTCCTGCGCACTATAGGCTGAATGGAAGTAAGGAAAGCGTTACTGGGTCTGAGTCTACGGGGTCTGAGTATGGGCGTTCCAGCAACAGCGTGTCAAAAGCCGGTCTATCTGTCGATACTTCGGGCCATGTCCCCATTCAACAGCAACAGAACCATTCGTCCGCGAGTGTAGGTGCACTTTCAGCAAGTGTTACGGCAACTATGAGCGATATAGACGCCGCCATTTCAGAAATCGCCGCACAGGGCCCGTCTCTCGACGCGATCGGGTTTTGGACGCCCCACGATGTGCAGCAATACCTTCTTTCCAGAGGCTACGACGCGGCTACCGCCCATGCATTTGTGAAACATCGAATCACGGGATTGATTCTACTCGAGCTGGACCTGGCACATTTGAAAGAGATCGATATTACCAGTTTCGGGACCCGATTCGAAATCTCAAAAGAGATCAAGTATCTCAATCGTGTTGTCGAGCAAACCGGCCAAGTGTTACCGGCGGCAAGTACACCTACCTTACCGCAGGTATCGCAGGTATCGCCTATCCAACCCAGTGAGGCGGGCGAAGATCAGCCCTCGACTCCGTTGTCCGCGCCCACCAACGTTGCTTGGAATGGTGATGGACCCCATCAACTTAGATCGCCCTTCTCAGATTTCCCAGAAACCCCTACTGGCGACTTGTCAAAACCCCAATCTGACTTGCCAGCTTTGCAGTCGCCTCTGAATGCTACGACACCAGCAACTTCAGGCACCGTCGTGGGGCGCCACAAATCCATGAGATCTTCTGAGTTTGAGGGCCTGGAGCGTTGTGAAACGCCCCTCTCTGAGTCCTCTGAGCATAATGTCAAAGAAAATGAGAAAACCCAAATCCAAGCACCACCACTTTCAACCCCTACAAGCACTACGAACCCGCAGGCGGGTCATCTGTCTCCGGCTGCAGCGGCAGCGGTGGCCGCTTGGTCTCCAAACACCCCTACATTGCAAAGCCAGGCAAGCCAGTTTAGCCACCCGAATCAATCGGGCGCGGGCAGCCGTAGACCAAGCCACAAAAGCAGCCACATTCGAAGTGCCTCGCACAATTCATTGGAAAAACCAGAGAGCCCATCATCACAAACCACGCCTCCCGTGCGGCCCGACCGACCGAAGCGTAACAACACGCTTAAAAATTTCCGTTCTGCGTCTTCACAGTATCTCCGGCCGAATTTGGTCAAGCAGAAAACTTCAGCATTCACTGAAGGTATTCAGCAGACCACAGCAGAAGAAAGCGCACGAACAGCCCAATGCTCGGGTTGGATGCAAAAGCGGGGCGGCATGGGAGTCGGCACCTGGAAGCAGCGGTTTTTCACTCTACATGGCACTCGGTTATCTTATTTTACTGCATTCACTGATGATAAGGAACGTGGGTTGATTGATATCACAGGTCACAGGGTAATGGCTGCTAAAGAAAATGAAGACAAGCTTATTTCTCTCTATGCGGCTGGAGTTGGCGCAGGACGCTATTGTTTCAAGCTTGTGCCCCCTGCTCCGGGCTATCGCAAGGGCGTCAGTTTCACTGCCCCCAAAACGCACTATTTCGCGTGTGAGACAAAGGACGAAATGAGAAATTGGATCTCTGCTCTTATGAAGGCCACTATTGAACGCGACGAGTCTGTCCCTGTTATCTCGTCGTGCACAACTCCCTCTGTGAGTCTTCCTCGCGCCCAAGAGATTGTTGCCGAGCGCTTGGCTGCCGAGCTGTCCGAAGAGTCTGGGGAAGATACACAATCTATTCCTTCGTCTCAACCGAATACTGATACCCCTCCTCAAACGCCTGCTTTTAGTATGCAAAGCAGCCATTCAGGCTCCGCAGGCACCGGCAAGTGACACCCAACCTGACCCCCCCACAATTTTTTTCTAATTTTATTTGCTAATATAACTCTCCAAATAAGGAACAATCTACGATTTCTCAAGAAGGTCGATCTGCTGTTTCACGCTCTCTTTTACCTTGGGGTCCAACACAGCAGCCTGGGTCAAGTGCTTGATAGCAAGCTCTCGATTGCTGAGTTCCATGTAAACTTCACCGAGAAGCAAATGCACGTTCGCCTCCTCGGGCACCAGAGAATGGAGGTATTTGAGTTCGACCAGGGCGGCCGGGTATAGACGTGCGGCCATAAAGCTCTGGGCTTTCTTGTAGCGGGCTACTGCACTGGAGGGTTGCAGTTTACAGGCTCGCTTGTAGTATGTCAAGGCCTGGGGGTACATTTCCTGTGCTTCGAGACAGGTGCCCATAAAGCAAACGAGAACAGCATTATTAGGATTAAGGCGCAAAGCTTGGCCAAAATGATGTTCTGCCCATTTGGGCGAGTCCATCTTTATAAATACAGTACCCAAACCATACCAAGCATTGTAATGGGTAGGATCTGCCCTCAGTGCCAACCTGAAAGCGTCTTGAGCACTCTGGAGTTTTTCTTCTGCAACATACTCGTGACCTTGCAAGGTATAGGCGTAGGCACTTTTTGGGTTGATATGTATGGCCCTATCGAAGCAGGCGATTGCTCGTGAGGGGTCCTGTTGAAGAGAAAACGAATTACCCATTACCACCCACGGCTGCCAAGCGAGACGGTCAATTTGTATCAGCTCATGAGCAAGGAATCCCAGCTCTGCTTCGCGTTTCAGATGCCAGAGTACGGTCGAGTAATATTCCATATCTTTGAGTCGATATGGGTCGACTTTTCGTAGACGTTCATAAATAGCCGCCGCCTCCTTGTAATCTACCAGCTCAAAGTGGCAGCGGGCAGCAACTGCCAACATGTCTGGGCTTGCTTGATGGGGATGCGGCAGTTGTGAAATAGCTTCAAGGGCCCGCTTGCATTCGTAGTTGGCCAGATACTGGTAGATTGATGCTATTGTTTCGGCAACATTGGACAGCGAGGTGGGCTTGGTCACATGCGGAGGGGGCATTGGTTCGCCTAGGCCCAATGGCGATCGGCTAGACACACCAGGCATAGTTAGGTTCAGTGGCGTGGAAGGAGTCTTTGGGGACCTGTCGTCAGCTAAAGATAGAGGCGGACGTTTCAAAATTCGACGACGGAACGGAACCAAGCTCTCTTTGACCGACGGTGTTTCCACTAGGGCTGGGGCCCGCGAGCGCGCTGGGGTCAACTGAGGAGAACTGTCTGCGTCTTTGAACAATTGAAGGCTAGCTTCCACTTTCGACTTGGAATTCGAAAAGATAGCCGGTGTCAAAGCAGAGCCTGTTGGCTTTGGAGGAAACAGCAACCCAGTCGATGCTGCTAACTGTGGGGGTTGATCCGGGGGCGGTTTGAAGACATTGGCCGTATTCAAATTGATGGTGCGGTCTTGGCACAACGCAAGAACGTTTTCCCATAGCCATGGATCCGACTTTGCCGAGTGCGCGTACATTAAAGAGGCATTATCATCACCGCTTGCCGCGTACAGTTTCCCCAAGAGTAATTCAACTGCTGCGCGGTCTGGAATGCCCCGCTCGCCTGACGGCTCAATGCCATTGCTTCGCACAGTTTCCAAAGCACTTATCCCGTCGCTGTAGGCCTCTAATTTGAGGCAGCTCTGAGCGTAAACATACGCGCAGCCCAAGTGCGTACTTCCTTTCGCAGTGTGCGCTGCTGCAGCGTAGCGTCCCTGGCGGTACAGCACGAGTGCGTAGAGGTGTCGTGCTGCCGGGCTTGGCTCAGCCGCCAGCTTTTGCGAGGCAAGAAACTCTGCTCCGCCTATCAGGTCCAAATCAAGACACCGCCAGACATCCATGAGTAAGAGCTTTGGGAAAACGGCTTCTTGTGATGTCGAATTGTATTTGTTGTGACGGAACATAAATATTTTACGCATTTTTTCTATCTAAAATCACAGTAAGTATCAACGGCCGCTTGCCAGAACCACTGGAGAGGTCCGGGGCAGGTGACCTGGCATCCCCCCCCCAAAAAGAACATCCCGGGCATTTTACTGGCCAGCTTTGCGGCGGCGCTCTTCACGCTTCACGGCCCGCTCATCAACAATCTGATCAAGCAGATTCTCCGGCACCCGGACATATCTGATACCAGTGCCTCTCACAAACATCTCGTCCATCTTTTTAAACTCTTTGCCGTCCGCAGAAGTGCACACGACGTCCCGCAGAGTGAGGTTCATAAACGTGTCACATGCCAGCATGTATCCATTAATGGTCTCGCGGGATTTTAGCTCCAGCATGAGCGGCAGACCTTGGGCCGCGTTCAGCAACGACAAAGGAAGCATTAGTCAAAGTCAACCTGAGGGTGATTTTGTGATATACTTGACATTTTGGGTTAGATCGCATATATCTGCGCGCGGATCCAGCCACCACTGAAAAATTACCGTCCTGCCGCATCATATCTCCACCGGTTTCTATCTTCTACATCGACTACATCTCGCCCTCGCCAACGCTTCTTGTTACTCATCCATGCAGGTGTGCAGGGCTACATATTCGAACGTACCCGTATGGGTGCTAAACGTCAATGGCGTTGGAGTGATGCGCCGTCAGAAGGACGGGTGGGTGAATGCAACACACCTGTTGAAAGTTGCCAATTTTGACAAGCCTCGGCGTACCCGGATCTTGGAGCGCGACGTGCAAACTGGCGAGCACGAAAAGGTCCAGGGTGGTTATGGCAAATACCAAGGCACATGGGTACCTTTAGAGCGATCCCGTAAGCTTGCTGAAGAGTTCGGCATACTCGATTCAGTTAGTCTGTTGCTAGACTACGAGAATGACGGCGTTGAGCTTCCTCCTGCCCCCCCTCTGACTGCGGCTCGTCGAACCGCTTCAGAAGCACCGCCCGCGAAACGGGCCCGTAAAACTGCGTCGACAGTGGCACGTACGGCGGCAAAATCTAAAAGCATGGTCGAAGCCAGGGTGCCTGTTCCTGTTCCCATCAAGCAGTCTCCTGAAAGCTCTCCGATGTCGTCCAACTCCGACTTCTTATCCGACACGGGATCTGGCCAAGGACAATTTAGCTGGAACAGCCCGAATCCTGCGTCAATTCGCAACCATGCGGTCCAGACGAACAATTATATGTCCCAATACGCATCGACGTTGCTAGATTATATTATTGCTCCTGCCGTGACGGAAATACCAGATCTCTTGCTTCACCCAGAGCCTGGCCCTCATATTAACCAGCCGGTGGATGATGAGGGCCATACAGCTTTCCACTGGGCCAGCTCAATGGGCCAGGAGACTATCATGAAAGCCTTACTGGACGCTGGGGCGGATTTGCAAGCAGTGAACTACGAGGGCCATACGCCGCTGGTTCGATCTGTGATGTTTACAAATAACTACGATCTTCGCACGTTTCCTCAGGTCGTTGATTTACTAAAATCAACTCTCTTCCACACGGACGCGCAAGGTCAGACTGTGCTCCACCACATAGCCATGGCTGGGGCATCCAAAAGCAGAGCGTCATGCACTCGTTATTACATGGAAATCACATTGGCCAAAATGACAGAGATCAGAGGCATCTCAGTGGTTCAACAGGTGGTGAACCAAGCCGACAGCTCTGGAGACACTGCCCTACACATTGCAGCTCGCAATGGGTCACGAAAACTTGTCAAAGTTCTTTTAAGCTACCAGGCAGCAACAAATACGCCCAACAAGAGCGGAAGAACAGCCCAAGAGTATATTTATGAGTACGAGGCACAGCGCCAACAGCATTACGGTCTTGGCGGCTCCAATTTACATTCGTCTTCCCCTCCACAAATACCTCAGCTTTTCAGAGCTGATGGGTCAAGTACGGCTACCACTGTACCTACGTCGTTTTCGCCGAATTTCAGTTCGGAGACCGCTAGGTGCACGGTTGAAGTCGCACCCGGACAACTTGCAAAGATTTTACAGGATTTGGCTTCTACTTATGAAAACGATTTACAAGGAAAAGATCGCGATATCGAGCAAGTGAGACAGCTCCTCGAGGAGGTGAAACGAGAAACTTTATCTCTTATGAATAAGATACCAGCCCTGAAAGACGAATTAGGGCCGGAAAGTCAAGTTCAGCAATCTCTCCATCAGTCTACCGCAGTCGTTCAGCAGCTTGCTCACCGGCTGCAGAGAGTTTTGGAACGAACACAAGCTCGGGACCTAGCGATTCAGGTGCAAACCCAAGAAGCCGCTATCCACGACCAACTACAACGGGATCTTAATTACGGCGTTTTCAACCCTGAGGAAATCCAGGCGCTTGCTGCTCAACTCACTGACTGCCAACACCGCCGCCGCGCGTTAATGATTGAGATTGTAGAACTCTATGCCTCAGCTGGATCAGAAGAAAAAATGAATAATTTCCGCAAACTTTTGTCTTTGGCCTGTGCTGTATCTCCCGATGACATTGATGAGGAACTCGTCGACGGCATTGCTCAAGCTCTCCAGGACAAATAGTGATATATATTATAATAGTTCGGTGTGTCTATAAACTTGACCTGCTGTTCGTTGATGCGCCCCTAACCTGAGATTAAAATATCTCCCAATCTGAAATTTTTTTTTTCTGCAATGGCTGACTTCGCTAATCAAGTAAGGGAATTAGGCGGAGACGACGAAGATATTGCGTTCCTGAAGGACGTAGATATTGATGCGTCGGATTATGAGCAAGGCCCGCAAGGTGTGGATGTGGATCTGACCTCTGATGTTGCAAAGATGTGGTCGTCGCTGAGTGGGAAGGGCCAAAAAGTGAAGTTTGATGATGAAGCTGGAAAATCTAAAGCTGCAGAGCCAGAGGACAAGAAACTGGATAGCATCCTGGAAAAGAGAGAAAAGAAGCGAGAGAAGAAGGCTGAAAAGAAGGCTGAAAAGAAGGCCGCTAAACCTGAGAAAGTCAAGGCAGAAGCAAAACCTGAAAAGAAAAAGAAAACCATTGAGAAGAAAGCCGAGCCTCAAAAACCTCAGCTGAAGCCTGCTGCACCCAAACAAAAGCCCAGTCGCTCCATTGAACAAATTCAGCACCCCGGTTCTCTACTTATTGACGAAGATTGGGAGACTTATTTACGCACGGATTACACTGAACACCGAATCCCTATTGACTTGATTCCCGCTCTTGGTGATAAAGCGAAAGAGTTGTTACGTATTGAGAACGATATCTACCAGAAGCAACAAGAGTCGAGCCGTGATTTCTCCACTTCGGCTGAATTCTTACGGTCGGGTACCTTTTCAGATCAACTGGGCACTTTGTCGATTCTTGTCACAAACTCGCCCTTGCATTCGCTCAAATACATGGAAACACTTTTGCAAAAGTGCGAAATCAAGAATCGCGAGAGTGCATGTAGAGCTTTAGAGGTTACCAAGGATCTGTTGGTGAACCATGTCTTGCCGGACCGTCGCTTGAATTGGTTCCGAAATCAACCGGCTTTGGGGCTAGACTCGGTCGAGCGTCTCATTGCTCTTTCCTACGAAGACTGGCTAAAGAACTACTTTTTCAGAATTCTGCAGGTCATGGAAAAACTGCTCAGTGACACCGTCGAAAACATTCGTTTGCGTACTCTCCACTGCCTGTTTGACTTTTTCCGCCTGAAGCCTGAGCAGGAAACTAATCTGCTACGACTTGGAGTTAATAAATTCGGCGATACTAGTGGAAAAGTCGCTTCTCGTGTCAAGAAGTTGTTGAACGACACTCTTCAGGTTCATCCTAGTATGAAGGGTGTTGTCGCTATTGCTATTGCAGAGCTTCTAAGCAGATCTAATGAGTACCGTACGAGGTACTACGCGGTTGATTCGTTGAGTGAGTTCATTTTGAGCCAGAAGGACCCCCAGGTTCCTAACCAGCTCGTGCAGATCTACCTCAATCTTTTCGAGCGACTGCTCAGTGAATGGGATCACGACAATAAGAAAGACACTGAAGAGAAGAAGCCGAAGATCAATGCCAATAAAAAAGGAAGACGGCCCCTACGTGGTAAAAAGGGTGGTATTCGTCAAGAGAAGAAAACCGCTTCCCAGGCAGAGGATGAGCAAAATTCCCGCTTGGTTGCAAAGATTTTTACGGGCTTAAATCGTGCATTCCCATTTTCGCAGCTGGATCCCAGTGTGTTTACTGGCTACATGGATACGCTATATCGTATGAGCCACTCTTCGAATGTCAGTACTTTCATTGAGGCTCTCAATTTCATCCATCAGCTCGTCAAGGTTGGTCAAGGATCCGATGGTGACAGATATTATCGCACACTCTACGACAGCTTGCTTGATAACCGTCTGTACTCGTCATCAAAGCTAGCCAAGTATCTGGTTCTTGTTCTCAAGTCTCTTGTTAGCGATTCAGATAAAACCAGATCACAAGCCTTTGCTAAGCGGCTCATTCAGACTGCTTGTCAGTGGCCTGAGATTGGTGCTGTTGCTGCCCTTTGTTATGTTGCATCGCGCACAAACGGTGTCGAGGATCTTGTTAAGGATGGAGCACATGAGAACGTGTATGATACTAGACAGCGTGACCCTAAATTTGCTAAAGCTGATACCACCAGACTTTGGGAGCTTTCACTCGTCGCAAACCATTTCCATCCTACGGTTGCCGTGTATGCCAACAATATTCTGAGTACTGACCCTCAGCCTTTGGACATGCCAGCTATCGATCAGTATACAGTGGCGAACTTCTTGTCCAAATGGTCGTACAAAAAGCCCAAGGAGAAAGAAAACTCCAGAGGTGGATCCATTTTCCAACCTCTTCCAGGTTTCACTGATCTCACACTCGGTGTTCGTACAGAGGGCGGGCAGCAAGCTGCACCCATTCCTGTTCAAGATTGGACTAACAAATCTATGAATGAAGTGGCACCAGATGAGCTATTCTACTTGGAATTCTTTAGCAACAAGTCTAAACCGAAGCCCAAGAAAGAGAAAAAGCAAGCTGCTGAAAATAGTGATGATGAGTGGGCTGATGAAGATGAGGTCTTTGATGCTATCATGAAGACCAACCCTGACGAGATGCCCAGTGACGATGGTGACATGGGATTCAGTGATATGGAGGATGACGACGAGGATCTTGAGGAGATGAAAGCTGCTATGGGTAGTGACTCTGATCTCGATGCATCTGACATCGAAGGCATGGAAGAGGCATTCGCCGAGGATTCCGACGAGGATGAACTTGTTGCCGACTTTGCGAACGACGTTTCTGACATCGATTCAGACGAAGAGATTGAAGCTGATACAAAGTCTAAAAAGAAGAGTAAACGGAAGCGGGAGTGGGCTGAATTCCCTACGTTCATGGATGCGGATGCATTCGAGGAGACTTACAGCAAAAAGTCCAAAAAATAATGTATTATTAGCTATTTACTATACTTAGAACATATTCTAGGAAGGAGTTTGATTTCAACCAGTCTAATCTATTTCAGCAGGCGACTAGAGGCACATTGCCGCCTTTAGTGACCAGTCATCTAGATGCGGTCTGCTGTAGTGAGCAGCCATATAGACAAGGCGCTCATTTCTCATAGTTGGTGGCTGCGTGGCGCAATGGCAGCGCATTGCTTTCCGGTGGCAAAGGTTGCGGGTTCGAGCCCCGCCGTGGTCTAATTTTTTTTGTTCTTTGGGAGTGCCCCTACATCCAGTGATAAACTCGTCCTTATATCTCTAGTTACCAGCAGCTGAAACTTTAGTCGCAAAGTTACTACATTTCTTTGTTCGTATCAACTGTATGTGCGACTCTTGACATTTCACTCAAGTAATCATCGCGCTGAGAAATTTGTCATCCCAGATGCTTTTTCGTCAGGTTCAGCAGCGCCTGCTAAAAGTCCAGGTTATACCTGTACGAACGGCTACAAAGCGTGCTTCAGGTGGTAACAAGGCTACCAACAACACAGCGGGTCGCCGGCTTGGTCCTAAAAAGGGTGAGGGTCAGTTCGTTCAGGCCGGACAAATTATTTGGCGTCAGCGAGGTACCAAGTGGTATCCTGGTGAAAACGCGGGTGTTGGCCGTGATCATACTATTTATGCCCGTGAGCCAGGATTTGTGCGCTACTATCGTGATCCTTTCCATGCGAAACGCCGGTTTATTGGTGTAGCTTTGGCTCCCCAAGAAACTTTACCGACTCCTCATTTTGCACCCCGTCGTCGCCGATTTGGCTATAAGCCCATCGATAATGAAGACGTTGCGGACTTTGAGAAGTCGTATTTGACTAAAAAGGAGACTGAGCGCTTGTTGGAACGCGAAGCTCAACTTGAAGATCGTCTCAATAAACGAGCCACTCTCCAGGAAGAGTACCAGAAGGCTCTGGCTGAGCTAGTCCCTGAGCTTTCTGAGGAGGAACTTGATCTTCAAGCTGTTCGTTTCATTGAGATCCGTAAATACATGAACGGTGGCATGGCTTTTGAGGTTTCTCGCGAGATTGTCGATTCCCACAACCGGGCTGATCTCGCTGTCGAGGTGAAGACTGGACGTCTTTCGGCCGAGGAGGCCGATAAAGGGCAAAAGGAGATTGATGTCTTGAATAAAAAGGTGGACGATAAGGCCATGGTTGCTATGGTCGATGCCAAGTTTGTAGTCGTCAAGTTCGCGACTCCAGAGCAAAGGGCTGAGATGAGATCTGAGCTCATTAAACAGATCGCGGAGCTTACGAAGGGCCATGAAGTTACCCCCGGTGAGGTTATCGAGAAGGTTGAGTTGCTACTGAAGAAGTCAGTTTTCAGTACTGGTGATCGTGTGACACTCCGCCGCAAGCATCTCCGCCGGCCCTTGCCTATCCCCATCAGCCCAGAAAATCGCAAAGAGTTTGAGAAACTGGCCAAGAAGGGAGAAGGTGAGATCCGTAAGGTCTGGCTCTCCCAGCAGCAGACCATGCATGAGTTTTATATCCCGACTGGCGCTTCCATGATCTTCAACTAAAGTGTACATAACCAACTACAAAACCCTCTATCAAATGTGGCTAATCAAGGACGGATCGGTGTTTCGCCTCTATAATAAATCTCGACCCAACGGAGAGGCACATATGTGAGAAACGTGAAGCCCGAGCTCAAAAACAGGCCCATATCCGCGCCGTCACGGCCTACCAGCTTAGCAATGGGGCCGACCCAATACGTTTGGTCCATTCCAATAACTGCACCAGCAATGCCGCAACAGAAAGAAATGATGGCGGACCACATGATGGGGAAGTGTGATTTCGTGTTCCATTCCTCCCACTGATACTCATTGTAAGGTTTGCGACGGAAGATGGACGTTTCCGCAAACAGAATCACGAAATACATCATAGACCAATACGCAATCATAGGCAAAAAGTTGGACAAGATGTCAGCCAGCCTGAGTCGTCCAACAAGGGCCAGAATTAGATAAATAACTGCAGTGACAATGCATAGAATGTATCGCGGAGTTTTAGTCCAGATGCGTCCAAACACTTGGGCACTGAGGGGAATTGAGTAATTGTTTGAGATGTTATTCGTGACCAGCGAAATGTAAAGAACCACCACCAAAAACTTTCCGCCGCCATGCCATTTAGACATGGCCTCCGTTAGCATACCGCCATTGCCTAGATCGTTGTAGGCTTGCAGCCAAGTATCTTTACCGTATTTGGCGGCACAGCCAATACCAATGGCGGGGATACCACAGAAGACAGTGACCGGGAACATAACAGCGGTGGTGAAGAAAAACACTTTCCAGGAAGATACAGACTCGGGCATGTCCAAGAAGTAGTCACAAGTAACCGCAATCCAAGTAGATGTAATACCAATTGCCGAGCAGAAAAACGTTACCCAATTGCCACGAATAGTCTCTGGGTCGCCAATAGAAGGCGAGCTAGCTGGGTAGTTAGCACCAGTGCACACATAAATCAGCAGGAAAGTGACCAGAGTGGGGAGCACGAAGATTCGGTCAAAGTATACCAGGTAATTGATGCCAAAAATTGAAATGAACAAAGAAACTACCATCATAATAACAATACCAACTTCCAAAGGCACGTTATGGTTGATAGCCTTGAGCATTTGACCACCGGTTACCAGAGAAACCACCGACCATCCCAGCAAGGTCAGAACATTGAGTAGGGAGATGAACTTGGCAGGCCACCATCCGAACTGAAATCTTGTCGAGACCATTTGCCTGAGACCAGAGCGAGGACCCATAGCAGCGCCATAGGCAGCTACCAGTGTGCCAACAAAGCATCCGCAGATACCTGCGGTCATTGAGTCTTTGAAGCCCAGGTCGTAAACCATTGGGCCGACGAAAAAACCATTCATCGAAGACATAGAGCCTACTGCACCCAACCAAATCAAAAGCAGACGGCCAAACTGCTTGTAGTCTCCTTTGCCGCGCAAATCAGGCGGTTGGCGGTCGATGCCGCGGGCCTCGCCGAACGAGTCAATCCAGTAGCTGACCCTCCAGAACAGGCCATATCGACCCTCGAAATCTTCTTCATTGTAACGGGTCTCGACATGGATTTTGTCCTCCATGATCGTTGGCTGGTAAGTCGAGAGCTCTGTGAAATCGGCCTTTCAAATAGGCGGGGCCCCGGGTCAAATTTCACTCAGTCATGCAAAAATATGCAGGCTTTTTCCTAACTCGGGACACTTGAGTGCATGACCGGGTTGCTTGAGGCATCGCCTGGACAGGTTTGATCATGTATGAAACAGCAAAAAAGGGAAGAGTATTTGACATGTTGGATTGGTCGACAAATATGTTGAGGTAAATATATGACTCCAAAGCTTTTGCTCCCCGGGAACGTGCGCCTTCAAGCACTTATCGAGTCTTGTGATTCTGCGAACAGGCCATCTGGGGGTGGAACGCTGCGGGTGATCACTTGGCCAGTTGCGACGGCACAGTTGGGAGGGGAAGCAAGACACGCGAAACAACTCGTTGATAGAGTAGTCCAAGTTCAAAAAGCATGAAATATATAATGTGACAATTCTGTTTCTAAAATAAATATTTCCCCACTTGCTAGCTCTGTTTCACCTATGTTGATGCAAGAGCAGACCCGGGCTACGAATCGGCATTGAAAAGGCCCGCGGACATGCTACGACAAGTCACGGATCCTTTTCGATTACTTTACCGCAGCCTTTGTTTGTTTGGTATGCTGTGCCGCACTGCCAAATGTATTTGTAGGGCAGTCCAACGGTAGTGCGGAGAATCATAGGCTTATCACAGCGACACTTAGGAATCTTTTCATAGGTATAATCTGGATGATAATAGCGGTAAGTGATGCTTATGCGGGATGTACCCGAAACTGGATTCGTGTCAACTGCGCGGACGGGTACAATGCTGTGCTTGAACAGCTCCTGGTTACCGGCGTGCATGATCACGAGGCTGTTGTGAGGGAGGCGAATGGAGTAGACGGGCGAGTTTTTAGTATGTCGATGCTTGAAGCGGAACTCTCGACAAGACCCCAATGATAGCCCTGCGATTGTAGGCTTTGGGCCAAGATGGGTCAGTTGATCCGAGTGGTACCCCACACTTTCGTCTTTACTCTTGTAGTGGTTGCAAATTGCAAAATGACTGACCCAATTAGTTTTACCTGCCTTGGCAGCTCGTTTTTCCATCTCTGTATTAACGATAGCTTGAATTGTGTCTCGTGCTTCGGCCATCGCTTTATTGAAAGGGAGAATCTTCTCTACCATCCGCCCTTGATACGTTGATGCCTGAGTTTTTAACAACATTTCATCATCCGCATATGTAGCGGAAGTATGGGGGGATTGGACCTCTCGATCAAACAGATAAAACTTGGAGCTTTTCCAGTCTTGGCTGTCCTCCAAAAGCTCGCACAACAAAGCGTTCGCACGGGAACTTTCTAAAACACTCAAGTGCAGTGAGCAGCAAATGTTGGCCGCTTTTACTTGCTCCGGTGTGTGCAGATGTACGACACCGCTTTTGGGTCGGGTGGCCTGTGGCGGAGGCGCCTTTGACACCTTGAATGTTGACTGGATTTTGCTGCTTGCATTATTTACGCCCAGCAGTTTGAAGACCTTGGATATGTCGCCACCACACTCTGCTATCAATTCCAATAAATACACGGGATCGCCATCAGGAACCCGCCGTAAAACAGCTCCTAGCAGCTGATCTGTTGACATGCTGACATGAAGAATTGCCAAAAGGAAATACTAGGTTCAGGAGAGGGCTAATTTGAAATAAGTACAATTAGAAAATCTACAAAAAGCAGCCTTTCCTCAGACTTGAGTGACGTTTTGTTACTCGTCCGACGGCTTCTCGCCGTGGCCATAAGGATGGGACTTGGTCCACCGCCACAGGTCAGTACAGGCCTCATCGACAGTCTTCTTGGCTTTCCAATTCAACTCTTTGTTTGCCCGGGTGGGCTTGGCAGTGAGATCAAGCACATCACCGTCGCGGCGGCCAACAACCTCGTAGGGCAGGTCAGAACCGACGGCCTTGGAGAAAGCCTTGATGATTTCGAAAACAGTAGATCCATGACCGGTTCCCAAATTCCATTCGCGGCAGAATCCCTCGGGTGTTTCACTGGACTTGCGTTCCTCGCGGACCTGCTCCAGCTTCTTCAGAGCAGCAATATGGCCCTCTGCCAGGTCCATAACGTGAATGTAATCGCGAATTGGAGTACCGTCGCGAGAAGGATAATCGTCACCGAAAACATAGAGTTTCTCGCGTCTGCCAGTGGCTACCTGAGCCAGGTACGGAAGCAAGTTGTTGGGAATGCCCCGAGGATCCTCACCGATCTCTCCGGAGGGATGAGCACCCATGGGGTTGAAATAACGCAGCAAAGCAGTGCACCACTCAGCATTGGCATGGGTGTGATCTCGCAAGATGTGCTCGATGAAGAGCTTGGTCCGGCCATATGGACTGTAAGACTCCGTAGGGCATTCCTCAGGAATAGGAATCATATCAGGGAAACGCGTAGCATCACCATAGACAGTAGCACTAGAAGAGAACACAAAAGTAGAGATCTTGTGTTTGACAAGCACCTTGACCAGGTTAATGGTACCAGCAACGTTCTGCTCGTAGTAGTCAAGAGGGATCTTTACACTTTCACCGACCGCCTTCAAGCCAGCAAAGTGGATCACTGAGTTGATGTCAGGGTGGGCAGTGAGGACCTTGTCCAGGCCATCAAAGTCACGAACGTCGACTTGGTAGAACGGGATCGAGCGTCCGACGAGTTTCTCGACGCTCTTCATAGCCTTCTCCGAAGAATTCGAGAGGTTGTCAACAACAACAACCTCGCGGCCAGCATCAATCAGGGCAACTACGGTGTGCGACCCAATGTAACCGGCTCCTCCTGTAACTAGAACTTTGGACATGGTGTTTAGATAAGTTTATTCCGTGACGCCTCTTTATTTAGCCACATGTTTAACTAGAACCCTTAACCAATCAGGTACAAACCAGTTGAGGGAATAGCCCTGTGCGCGCAGTTTATGCGTGAGAATGACGTCTTGGTGTGTTTGACAGCGCCGAGGAGGGGTTGCACGCGCCCGCAGGCCCATAGCGGCCAGTGGTGTGCTACGTATGCCTGAAACGTGGGCGGAGCTTTGATCTCGCCCTTGTGACACTACGAATTCCACCAATTACCCCAAAACACCGTGGAACTACTCTAGATATTTGCACTTACAGACCCAGCGTTGTTTACACCTACCGCAGCCAACGCGCCGGCCGGGGCACAAACCGCAGTTAGTAATTTAGCTCTCTAGGCTTACAAGGGGCATATGCAGCGGGCTGCGCACTAATTAGTGGGTGAAAAACCATGGCAATAGTTGGTAAAACCAGAAAGTGAAGGGCTAATTACTGCAGTAAATACCAGCAGCACCCTCCTCACAAGAGAGCCTAGCCAAACAGCCCGCTGATCTTATTACCGCGTCCGATCTATTGCTCATCTCCCATTTGCTGAGTTCAACGGTAAGGTGGTTCGGCTTTGTCAGCCAGAGCCCAAAAAATTATTTTTTTCCGCAGGCCCAGCTGACATTTTTTTACAGACGTTTGAAAATAGCAGCCGCCCCGGTTTTTCAACAAACATTGCTAACTTCGACCGACCGCAGCTTGATCACCGACTGCACCGCCACGACTATACTGAAATTGCAACCCCCTTTAACCGTTAAATGCGTCTCTTTGCTCACGAATGTCAACTTTACAATCAACACAGCGACCGATACAATTGAACAAGCACCAGCAGCACAGCTATCCAGCGGGCAGCTGGTCTAATGCAGAAGACGATAGTGGCTCCGAAACCGCTGGCGAATTTGACGCTGAGGATGATGAGGATGCCAGCGACTATCCAGATCTCGATCAAGATAACGAGGACATTGGGCTCACTGTCTCAGATACGGACTCTGAGCCCAATTACCGAATTGATGATGAGAACCCTACTCTCATGAGTTTTTTGAAATCCGACGATGATTCCAGCGACGGCCACGGCTATTCTGATCTCGCTGAGCACTCCGATGATAGCTCAATTGAGCGTGAGGAAGAACAACATATTCAAGATGACCTTGACGAGGACACAAGCGACGAGCTGTCTAGAATCAGGGGTCCTTTACGTTTGGGCACCAGTGACGACACGGAATCAAATCAAGCAGGCGATGAAACAGGCGCCAATGAGTTTGACGGTGCCATGGACCACGAGGATGAAGACACAGACGAAAACGACTTTTTTGACGACTTTTTTGATCCAGTCACCACTCCTCGTGCACAAAGAATGTATAGTGCGACTGAATCTGTCACCAAAGCGTCAGAGGATGATTCGTATTTATGGCAGTATTTTTTCTCGTCAGGGGATGAAGACGATGACCAGGAGGAAAATGACTACGACGAGGATAATGAACAGACAAGCGATTCACCACTAGAACAAAACTTTCAAGAGGGCTCTAGCCAAGCAAACAAACAAGAGCACAGTGGAGATTCGACTGACGAGGAAGCTGCGCTTCCCAAATCGACTAGAAGAGCCCAGAGCAATCGGGCCACAGAGGTGCTGGGCGTCAATACCTATTCCACGCGGCCGCCAGTGCTGGGGGAGTGGGATATTGACAACAGTCAAGGCATTGTCGGTATCATCGACGGCTTAACTACTCGCACTCTTAGTCCACCAGGTCCTGGCCCTACCAGTGTCAGCAGCGATCGTCGTATATTCGACCAAAACTTGCATTCTGATAGTGACATGAGTGATCTTGCCTTGGATGAGTTTATCAAGACCGATGAACTGAGCGACGACGACGGGTGCGCAGATACTAGCGCAACCATATCCACGCCCAACATGTATCGCAGTCGTTTCAATAAAAACGTGCCTCTGTCTGCGTTCCGAAATCGCACTTCTCCGTATCCCATGCCCGGGTTTGATGGCCGTCGCAACCGCAGACGCTCATTTGGCCGCGAAGTGGTGATCTCGCCGGTGCGACCACCCCCTCGCCGAATGAAAAAGCTCAAGAATAGTTTGCGGCATCGTAACGACCTGGACAATCTGGCAACCAAGGATCTTATCGAGGAGCTGGTGGATATCGGCGCCATCAGCCCTTTGTTTGAAATCTAAGGATATTTAAGTTTGTAGCTGCTGTTTAGTCTACTATAAACCCATATCACATTAATTTAATATCTAAACCAAAGGCGTCAGTTCGCTAGTGAGCTCGAGCTGGGTCTTTACTGCCTGAGTGAGATGAACGACCGCCAAAACATTCTCCAAGTACGATTCGTATAGCTCTTCAATAGTCAAGTTCGACAGCATCGGCAGCAGGGTCAATGTGCGGTATAAGTATTTGCCAACGGCGACAGACGCCTCGGATTTGCCGTTGAGCACTTTGCGGACATAGGTCTGGACCTTGTCGATGCTCTCAATGAGTTCGGCAATCGTCTGATCAAGGTTGGCGATGTCGCTGAATACTTCAGCATTGCGCATGCGCGACGACGCAGCCTTGTTCACAACAGTCATGGCACTGTTGTCGGTGTCGGTGTAAACGACCTCGTTCTGGATAGGCAAGAAAATGCAGTTGCCCAAACCAACATCACCAGGAAGACGGATGGGAGAAGAAATGAAGGAACGAACCTCGATATCAGAGACTTCAGTTGTGGGAACAGTAACGTAAACTGCAGGGTGAGGATAGGTGCCATGCTCCTGAGAGTAAAAGTCATGGATCAGGGCAGAAAGGTTGTCGAGCTTGGTCGAGGTAGCGTACCAGCCCAAAATGACCGACTCAGGGTTCACACGGCGAACCAGCTGGAACATCTCCTTGTGGTACTCAATATTAATATCGACTTGGTCTTCGGATTCGTCAATAGGCACAATGTAGGCGCTTTTCACCTCAACCTCGTTTCCATCGTCGCTACGAGTGCCAACCAGGGTCCCGATAACGCGGGGCTGATCCGGCTTGCGTCGCAGCGCATGCGACATGATCTGGAACAGTGCCCGTGCATCTATAGTCACCTTTGTAGGATACTGCACAGCTTGACGGCCTGTTTGAACTGGAGGACGGGCCGTTTGCAGGGTTGTCATTTTTGAAATTTTTCGCTGACCAACCGTCCGTGGTGTATCTTGACCAGATGCACTATACCTAGGGGTGTTAGTAGGAGAAACAGGACCCCACGACGGAGACGAAATCTGAAGACGATTCTCAAGAATGCTCAGCTAGTGCTGCTGTACAAAGGTATTACGCGTTGAAAATGCCTGAATCGGTGATTGCCACCCTCGCGACGATCACATGATCGCTTATAGACCAACAGTCAGCCAGCAAGTGATCTTTGTAAATAATATTGGCCACAATGCCTATTTTGCGAAAAGCCTTAGGTATTACAGCAGGTGCTGGCACTGCTATCTTCCTGTGGGATCAATATTTCAATTCCCAGGCGCTGAGCCGCACAGGAAGAACCATATTCGTTGCCTCCCTGGTGGGGTTGGACTATAAGATCAACTGGGGGCCAGATAAGGATATCGAGGCTCTACACGACCGTTCCGCACGCCGCGTTTACGATCTCATCATCAAAAACAGGGGCCTGTATGTCAAAATGGGTCAAATGGTCGCCATGCAAAGCCACATGCTGCCTAACGGTTTTCGTGAACGGCTCCCCCTGTTATTTGATCGCGCCCCAGCAGACGAATGGCCCGAATGCGAGGCTCTGTTCCGTCAGGAAACGGGAAAAGAAGTCTCGGATGTGTTTGAGTACGTCGATCCTGTAGCCTGCGCCTCTGCGTCTATGGCTCAGGTTCACGAGGGACGCCTGCCCAATGGGGATCGGGTGGCAATCAAAATACAACATCCTGATATCGAGAAACTTACCTGGTGGGACCTCAACTCGCTCAAGGCCATGATCTGGATTTATGATAAAATTCTGTTCGACATGCCAATGTTTACAATCGCAAAGTACTTTGCCGATGCCATCGAAACGGAAACAGACTTTAACATTGAGCGATCCAATGCCAAGTTAATGAAAAAGCTCGTCGAAGGTGATGCTAAGCTAAAGCATAAAGTGTATGTGCCTGGTGTCTACGATGAGTTGTCTACGAAGCGCGTAATGGTTATGGAATGGGCTGACGGCACTGCGCTGAGCAAAATCGACAAGATCAAACGCGAGTTTGATGCCAAGGCTGCTCTCTCCACAGTTTTTGAGCTGACGTGTAAACAAGTGTACGAGTGGGGTGTTGTCCATTGTGATCCTCATCCTGGCAACTGGTTTGTGACTCGTGAGAATGGACGGCAAATGTTAATCATGCTGGACCATGGGCTTTACGTCCATATGTCGCAAAAACTCACTCAGCAGTACGCTGCCCTGTGGAATGGGTTTTTCCAGGGTGATATCAAGAAGATTAGTGAGATTGTTCAAGACTGGGGATTCGGCAGCCCTGAACAGTTCACCTCAGCCACCATGCTCACCCAAGAATATGAAGATATCCCGACGTTTGAAAACGAACAACATGCCAAAGAACAGATGCGTAATTTCCTCAAAGATACTAGTCGAATTCCTCTCCAATTGCTCTTTGTTGCCCGCACCCATCGCATTCTACAGGGTCTGAACCGTCTCTATGATTCGCCGGTAAACCGTATAAAGACCCTTTTAGACGGTGCTTCCGAGGTCATGTTACGCAACCACAGCGGCACGAGACTGAACTACTATTTAGCGCTGCTATGGCGCCGGTTGGTCCTGCTGGTCAACGACATCGTATTCATTGGTATTCGGATTCAACAGGTATTCACGCACCGTGGATTGGAGGACTTTTTCGATAGCACCATTGAGGAGACTGCCAAGGAACTCGTAAAAGATGCTTAATTCCATAATATTCTGTCAATACACTTTAAAAGCCGTCTAAGCGCAGATCCTATGCACGAGAACGCATCTTGCATGCGGGGTGCAGACAACGACAAAGTGCTGGGCCCTGTGCGATGAATACTGGTTGCTCGTCCACAAACGCCTTGCTGTTTTCCAGCTATCGAACGCGAATACAATGACCGCAGATTAATCACCGATTCATGGGCAGTGCATAAGTTCAACCGTTTTACAGACATGATTAGTCACATTGTTTATGCTTTTCAAAGTCGCGTCGCTCGCGAGTTTGTTCGCGCTGACGACGGCCGCTCAGGTTGTGTACAACAGTAATTTCACAAAGGGATTTGTTCAAGATAGCAACGGGAACTACTTCACACTTTCAGTACCTATCAAACAGATCTCCGCCTCAGACGTCCAGTCGCTGCTTACCCCCATTTCTGCCCCGCCCGACAATTCTCAGCTAGTTGTGACCGACGATGGGACACTGATGGCCGTTTGGGGCAACGAAGGATGTAAAAACTCTCCTATTTATATATCCGAGTACTCTGAGTCCGCCGATTCATGGACTCAGATCGCTCAGAGCTCGGGAAATTGGTACCTGGAGGGCGCGGTCGTTTGGTGTGACTGGAGCGCAGATGTCATTTATTACTATGGCGGAGACTGCAATGGTAAGATCACTCGCGACTTTTATGGCTATAATGTCTCTAGTGGCACTTTTGGTAAAGCGTCTGCCTCACCCATGCCGCGTGAAATGGCGTATGCTCAAGCTATCACTCTCGACAGAACATCTACTGTCATGGTTGGAGGCAAGGCAAATAATGGCTGGCTATCCATGCAACAGGTTGCGTTTTGGGAGTACAAGTCGTGGACTTACAGATCTGTGAGCGACTTCTCTGGCATAGACAGCAGGGACTCTCCACTTGTTTTGCCTTTATGGTTAGCTACGGGTAATGAGGCTCCGGTTGTTACTCAATTGCTGGTAATTGGCGGGACTGTAAATAATCGGGCGGCCAAACCTGATTGTGTTATGCTTGAATTTAATAACACCGACGGCTGGGCTTGGTCCAAGACCAGCATTGACGCGGATGGATCATTTCTTACACTCTATGATTCACTAGTGAACTTCCAAAACGGAGTCGTCAGTATGTTTGATGGGTCGTCTAATTGGCAAAAAGCTCAGGTGATTCCCATTCCCTCCGCTACTGCCACTATATCCCCTGGCAGTTATGGCAAAAGCGCTTCAAAATTCAACACGGCCAGCATCGCTACCCTGTCAACGGTTATTCCGGTAATTATTATTGTTATTGCTCTCGGAGGTGGATTTTGGTGGTGGCGGAAGCGCAAGCAACGACTCACGTTCCAACCGAGAACTGCCCAGCTGTCTTCCCCTGACATGGCCTCTATTGGCTTTGATATGCCGCCACAATTCTCGTCACAGTTTACATCGCCTTATCGCAGTACGCATAACGAAACTCTCGACGAAAACAACTCTGTCAGTGACGTTCAATTTTTGGTGTCTAACCGTCGCCAAGCATTGCGGGTAGTTAATCCTGATGCAGAGTCCATTAACGACGTGGCGAGCCACAGACGTAACCGAAGTGGCCAGAGCCATGTTTCGGGCCATACGCGTTCCAAGTCCTCCTGCTCAAACATTATACGATCTGAGACGCTCGAAAACCCTTTCGATGATAAATTTGATTTTGAACTCAAGTCATGACACATCTGGACTTTTTTTGGTTATACAAATAATAAGCTAGTACTTTTTTTACTCTACTCTGCCAAGCCAGCCAGACTGGATCTGGCGTTTTGGGCCAACAAAAGATCGAGCACGACGATCGAAGCCATGGCCTCGACGATCGGAACAGCTCGAGGAACCACGTTAGGATCGTGGCGGCCCCGAGCAGCCAAAGTGCCGTCAACACCTTGATAGGATGCAGTGTCTTGAGGTTTTGAAATGGTGGCAGGTGGCTTGAAGGCTACGCTGAAATAGATGTTTTCACCGTTGGAAATACCGCCCTGGATGCCACCAGAGTAGTTTGTTTTGGTACGCAGACGGCCATCATTACCAGCGATGAAAGCATCATTGTGTTTGGAACCAAGCATGGCAGTTCCAGCAAAGCCACTGCCAATTTCAAAGCCCTTAGTGGCAGGAATAGACATCATGGCATGAGCGAGTTCAGCCTCGAACTTGTCGAAAACAGGTTCGCCGAGCCCAATAGGAACATTACGGATAACGCAAGTGACAACACCGCCCACCGAATCATGGTTATCTCTGCAAGTTTCCACAAGCTTGACCATTTTATCAGCGATCGATTCATCGGGGCAACGAATGGGTCCTGCGGCATCAACTTCTTGGCGAGATATAGTGCTCAAAAGGTCGATAAATTCGGGATTGGAGGGATCGCGGTCCATGAGAATGTTTCCAACTCCAGAAACAAAGGCAACGATCTCGATACCATGGGCCAACTTCAAAACCTTATCAGCAATGGCTCCAGCGGCCACGCGGCCAATAGTCTCACGAGCGGAAGACCGACCACCACCAGAACTGGCTTTCACACCGTATTTTTCAACGTATGTGTAGTCGGCATGTGACGGACGGGGATAGATGTCGGTTTCAGAATAGTCCTTGGGGCGGTGATCTTTGTTCAACACAACCATGCCAATAGGGGTTCCAAGAGTTACGCCATCCTCGATACCACTTTGAATAGCAACCGCATCAGCTTCGTTGCGAGGAGTGGTCAGGGCGCTTTGGCCCGGTCGTCGACGGGTCAACTGAGGCTGGATATCCTTCTCGGAGAGAGCCAAACCTGGCGGAACACCGTCAACAATGCAGCCCACAGATCTACAGTGAGATTCTCCGTAGGTGGTGACCCTGAAATGCTTGCCGAAAGTAGACATGATACAACTTTTCAGAAGGGTGACTCTTTAGGAAAAGGTGCCTTTGGGAGGTTTAGGCATTAATATTTCATCACTCATCTGCGACAGGTAGGCTGACCTAATGATGCTCATAGTGTCCACGGCGTTGCTTGGGTTGGTTATCGCCTTGGCACTGTTTTTTGTGTTCCAAACAAAATCTAAAACGTCTGGCACGCCCACAATACTGCTTGTTGGCCCGTCTGGATCAGGAAAGACTAGCTTATTCAATCTATGGACTGACGTCGAAGCAGATACCGTGACCTCCGTGGTTCCAAATCGATGTGAGAACGTACCCTTGCAAATTTCAGAGGATGGGGAAGACACAGACCGCTTTACCTTGGTAGATCTTCCGGGCCACGAGAAGCTCGAGCACTTGACGTGGGCGGAATTCGATCCGTCCTCGAACGTCCGCGCAGTGCTCTTTGTGGTCGATGCGGCATCTGGCCAGCAGAAAATTGCTGCCGCAGCTTCTCAATTGTTCAAGTTGCTTCTGAGAACCGAAAACCATGGTATTAACGTCCTTATTCTCGCCAACAAGTGCGATCTGTTCAACACCATGTCCAGCTCCCGCGTAAAGACAATTCTGGAAACCGAAATCGGTGCTATCAGATCCTCAAAACAACAGTCTGTTGGGGAAGCTGGTAGTGACGAGGCCGAGGAACGCGCCTGGATCGGTTTAGATGGAAAGTTCCAGTTTGAGGACCTTGAAAGCGTTGTCCAGGTTCTCGACGGTAGTGTCAAACTGAAAAAGACAACAAAATGGGACAAATGGCTTAGTGGGATCTAACGTGAGTTACAGGCCGGTCGAAATTTATGCTGATGGAGGGTTTGTGTCCATTGGAGTATGATTAGGAACAGACGGGAATGCCTGCACGGCCAAAACTTGACGGGTTTTTTTTTCTTGAGTCAGGCGTTTCCTTGCATCAATTCGTAATTTAAATATATGAGCATTGAGCTCGTAATAAACGGGACCCGTGGGCGTGGCCAGCGGTGGGGGCGAGGGCTCTTTTGGCACAAGTGCTTTCTCTTCTTCTTTGACACCTTTCACACGGTCCCATTCCGTCTTGAGAGCAGCAATTTCCTTTGCCATGGTTTCTTTTTCCGTCTCGCTTGGTTTGAGCGGGAGTTTAGGAGGAAGTGGTTCAGCAGGCTGCGCCAGTTCTATAGCAAACCCTTTATCGGTCAGATGTGACGCACAAACATAGAAAAAATCACTTGAGGGAACTTCGTTCACCAAAACCGTATTGCTGGATTTATAACATACAAAGCATCCCTTCTTGTCGGATACAGAGACTAGTCTCTTTCGGTACTTGTTTGCAAACATTGCGATCACTAAGCTGCACACCTAAAGCCTGCCTCCATTGTAGTTTTGTTAGTAGTCATGGCGGTATGTGCCTCTATCATTACAAATGGGAAAGCACCGCGGTTTGTGTTGTTTGCTGCGCATCTTTTGCAATTACAAAAACCAGCGGCAATCGCCGTAGAAAGAGACAATATTTCTGGGCTATGCGAGATCGCACACCGGGTATAACCCTCCAAGTCATATATTAAATACAAAAAGTTTCCCTTTGCCCGGATTTTCCTGCACTCAAAACCCCCCTTGGCGGGTACATCGGCTGACCTACCGTGAACCTCACCTTTCACTTGCTTACGCAACAGGTTTATGGCGGAATGAACTTGCCCTCCAGTAAACTAGGCGAGGCAGCACCAAACTTGTCAGAAATGGTTTGCATGCAACCGGAAAGTCCTCCGCAAGTTTCGCGAGTACATGGATCCATGCGGCTGAGCCGATCTTCATGGACTAAAGAGCACGACTTGAAAGAACCTACTCCGGTGGTGAAGGAAACCCACCATATCAACATCGACTACAACCCAGTCTCAGGGCGCAAGAAACTCAACAAGTACGAGATATATCGAGAGCTGGGAAGAGGGCAGCACGGCAAGGTGAAGCTTGGTCGCGACGAGGAAACTGGACAATTTGTCGCCATCAAAACCGTTGATCGTAAGGAACGGCCCCGTCTTGGACGGCCACAAGGCACTTCAACGGAAAAGAAGATAAGAAGAGAAATTGCAATTCTAATAAAGTGTCGTCATCCTAATATTGTGTCGTTGCTGGAGGTTCTCGATGACGAGTCGTCGAGAAAGATCTATTTGGTCCTAGAGTATCTTGAAAAGGGAGAAATCAAATGGCAGAATCCTGATGGATCACCGGCAATGACTCCGGATCAAGCTAGGCAAGTTGCACGAGATACCTTACTTGGCTTAGAATACCTTCATGCCAACGGCGTGATCCATCGAGACATCAAACCAGCAAATTTACTTGTGTCCAAGGACGACGTCGTAAAGATATCTGATTTTGGCGTCTCATATGCTGCAAATGGCGAATTCGCGGATACAGACCTCGAATTGGCCAAGACAGTCGGCACCCCGGCATTCTTCGCACCCGAAATGTGTGTAGTCGATGAAACTGGAGGTCGTCGCCATATTAGCGCAAAGATTGATATCTGGGCCTATGGCGTGACCCTATTTTGTATTCTCTATGGGTTTTTGCCCTTCGAGGCAGATAATGAGTATGAACTATTGCGAGTCGTTGCAACCCAGCCTTTGGTCCTTCCGGACCCAAAAGGTGACCACGACCTCACTCTGGCTAATGATTTGCTCGCACGACTCCTCGATAAGAACCCAGAAACTCGTATTAGCATCCCTGAAATCAAAGAGCATCCTTGGCTGGCCAATGGAATGTCTCAGCAACAAATGAAAAAGTTTCTAAACAGCGCGGAAGAGGCGCCTATTCAAGTATCCGACACTGAAGTCAACCAAGCAGTCCGAGGGATTCGTGGACGTATTAAAAATGGGTTCACCAAATGGGCTAATAACTTCAAGCACAATGGACGCCTTTCTGAGCCCTCTCCTAGCCACGCTAAGGACGCTTTATCATCTGTTCGCGTCAACAGTGTACCCACTCAACGAGAAATTATCGGCGAGTCGCCTGCTGGATCAGTTGTTTCTATCTGTGATAAAGATATCCAGCCTGCGTCTCCGGCAAGAGTTGAGAATGGTAGTATGTCTGGTGATGCTGCTGTCTCTACTGAAACTTCTGCGTCTGAAAGTTGTCTCAGACCTCTGGAATTACAAAAAGATACATTTGCACCGCTTGAAATGTGGGAGTCCTCCTCTTCCAGTGACGAAGATACAGGCGAGCTCACTCTGGTTCTTGGGCGTAAACGAACCGTGTCTGGATCTGGAGAACAATCAAAGTCCCCGCAAGGCTAAGCCTGTTTTATATATTTTTCTCTCTAAATATTCTGTATTATTTCAAACCCTCATTAACCTGCCTTAATTAGTGCTGACAGATAACGCGTTGAATCTCCATCCCAAACGCGTCATTATAAACATCCATGTTTCGACAGAAAAAAAGAGCTATCGAGGCTGTAGATGGCGAGGTCGGTCGCCATATTGACTATCCGTACAGGATGAATCTTTATACTGCACCTCCGCTTGATGAGATCACTCAAGACGAGTTTGAACAGTGGGGTCTGGACCGGCTTCGAGTGCTCCAAGAAATTGACAACGCTCTGACCACGAAAGTTGGTGATTTGGAAAAAACTGTGCGGCCCACGATACAGAAATTTCTGCCGCTGAGTCTCGGGTCGAAGCGGAACTCTGATAAAGAGCGCAAAAAGGACCATTACTCCCACTTCATCTTACGGCTCGCCTTCTGCCGCAGCGAAGAGCTCAGGAAGAAATTCGTCAGACTAGAAACTGAGCTCTTCAAGCTACGCTTTGCAACAGACGATTTCAAGGACCGGAACGAGTTTTTGGAAAGCCTGGAGTTCAATTGGGAAATCGCTAGCCCCGATGAGGTCGACCGTCTGCGCAGCCAGTTGCTAGCTGCTTCGGGCAGAAACACAGATGTCGCAGACACCTACTACAAAGTGGACTTTACACAGGTGCCGTACCTTGTGGAGAGTCGAAGAGTTTTCTTGAAAGGTGGCAAGGCATATGTGCCTGAGACTTTGCAATTAACTCTACTGACGACGGAATACTCAAAACTGCTCGACGAATCGTTGATTAAAACTGCACGGGCAATACCACGACTAGATGAAGAGCAGCGACTCATTCCAATTCTTGAAAATCTTGCTGAAAAGATGATTTGGCAAGAGACGTCTGCCGAGGAAATTGGACATACCGACACCATTCGAGCAAACATGATTGATGGCCTAGCTGCGCAAAAACACTTTCCCTTGTGTATGCTTACCATGCAGCGTAAGCTCAAGACGGATCATGTCGCAAAGTATACTGCCAGACGACAATACGGGTTGTTTTTGAAAGGAATCGGCATGGGAGTGGAAGACGCGTTGGTATATTGGCGATCGAACTTTGCGCCGCGAATCGCGGACGACAAATTCGACAAAGAGTATCGATACAATATCAGGTATCTGTATGGTCTCGAAGGAAGCCGCCGAAACCAAAGGCCATTCAATTGCATTCAAATCATCAACGGCGATCAGCCTAGAGACAGAGAAGAATCCCACGGCTGTCCTTACAAGTATTTAGCTCCTCAAGCCCTGGAAGAAAAGCTGCAAAGTATGGGAATCACCGATAAACAGTCACTTTCCGAAATTCGAAGCTACAATGAAAGCAGTCTCTATCATTTATCATGCACTAAGGTTTACGAACTTACACATCCTAATGATAAGACCGTCTACAGCGAGCGAATCATGACTCCTCAAGCCTATTTCCAACGCTCATGGAACCATGCCAAAGAAACCCCGTCTAAATAACTTTCATCACTTAATATAATCTCTCATGCAGGCTCGGGCGCCTTGTGCTGACATGTCCAATTTTGAGCCCGACGACTTTGAGATTGAAGAGGACTTTATCGAGCCCGATAGCGGGTTTGCACAGCCCAGTCATGCTGCGAGTACGTCAATGCCTGAACCAGCACAAGTCAGGCAAGTTGCGAACGAGCGGACAGAGCCAAATCGATACAAAGGAAGCGACACCCTGGATGAGACGGTGACCGCCACCATTATGCGTGACGTCTATGGATTTGGCAGAACACTTAGAGAAATCATGCACCCATCTGGCCATGCTTCCAATACCGACTGGGATTTATGGGGGCCCCTGGTGTTTGGCCTTGGGATCTCCCTCGTCCTAGGATTCGACGCTGGTAGCCGTCGATCTGAGATTTTCACTCTTGTATTCTCTGGTATCTGGCTCGGACAGGCTGTTGTTGCTCTCAATGGCCGTTTATTAGGAGGCTCCACAGCCTTTTTACGCGGCCTCTGTGTGACCGGCTACTGCTTGTTCCCCTTTCTGATCCTAACAATAATCGATCTGTTCCTGCTGAAGAATCATGCGTGGAGAATCATTCCAGCTGGTGCATGTAGTGGACTGGCATTCATTAGTGCTACTCGAGCTCTTGAATGCGCAAATGTCAAACCAACCCGAAAAGCACTGGTTGTGTATCCCGTTGTTCTGTTCTATACGTATGTCGGCTGGATGTGTGTAGTTTTCTAAGTATAAATATAGTCCCCAACGTTTTTTGCGTCTCTAAACAACTTCGTACCGAGCTCTTTCAGTCGCCCAAGGTCTCCCTTAGCCCTAACCACAGGGGCCATAATTGCAAGTGGAGCTGGTTCACGCGTTTGTCATCATGTCAGTGATCATTGATTCTGTCGCGTTTAAGAGGCGACTTCATCTACTGCAACGTACCCTCAAGGATAGCAAATCGTTTGGAGGTGTGTCGTGCATCGTCACTGCCTTGGGGAAAGGTGATTCCGAGACCCAGGGCCAGTGGACTTCGATGCTGCACATCTGGCTTTTGGGGTATCCGTTTGCCAACACCGCCATCACCATCAGTCCGCAAAAGTGTGTGATCATCACGTCGGCAAAGCAAGCCAAACACCTTGACGGCATCAAATCGGCTAGCGTGGAGCTACGTATTCGCTCGAAGGATCCCGAGGAATCTCGCATTTTATATAAGGAGATGCTTGACCAGTTTGTTCCCAACGAGTCTTCCTTTGGTGTATTTGCTGATGATACTGCCGTTAGTCTTATTGCGGCTGCGTGGAAAGAAGAACGCGAAGCCGCAGTTGCCCGCGGTGCAAAGTCTGTGAACGTCTCCAAGGCCTTCGATGAGTTGCTGGCAAACAAAGACGAGGATGAGCTTCGAGCAATTCGTACGGCAGCAAAGGCCAGCATGGGTGCTATGACGCAGTACTTTGCCGATGAAATGACCACAATTATCGATGAGGAAGCAAAGATCACTCATGCCGATTTCAGTGAAAAAGTTGCTGCGGTCATCGATAATGCCAAGCTGTTCCGTAAAATGAAACTAGGTGCAGAGTTTGATGCAGCTTTGATCGATTGGTCGTATCAACCTATCATTCAGTCTGGTAACAACTTTGATCTAAGCTCTGATGCGAAATCCGACAAAAACCTTTTACAGGCCGGCATCATTTATTGTTCTTTGGGCCTTCGCTACAAGTTCTACAGCTCAAGTATTGCTCGAACCTACTTGATTGATCCGTCAAAGGAGCAAGAGCAGAGCTATTCCATGCTGCTTGCCACTGAAAAACGCGTTCTCACTGCTATTCGCGAGGGTGCAAAATGCTCCGATGCGTTCAAGGCTGCGAAGGCTTATTTGAGCGAGAAAGAACCTAGTTTAGTGTCTCATCTTGCCCCTAGCGTTGGCTATGGCGTTGGTGTCAATCATCATGATAGGTTGTTTGAACTTTCAGAGGATAATGATCGTGCTTTGCAAGACGGTATGACACTGGTTATTCAGATTGCGTTTACCGATCTCAAAGACAGCGGTGAGGATAGTAAGCCATACATGCTTTGTGTTGCCGATACTATTCGTGTTACTAGCGACATCCCAATTGTGTTCACTGATGCTCCCAAATCTCGCGATGTTGTTTCGTTCTATTTCAAACAGGAGGAAGAGGAGCCCACAAAGCGCGAACGCAAGCCTGTTCAGTCAAGTTCAAATGGTCGGTCTATGCGTTCTGAGCGCCAGCGTGAACAGGAAGAGAGTGCTGAAGCTCGTATACTTGCTCATCAGGCTGAACTGAAACAGCGTCTTCAAGAGCGTGGTGTCGAAAAGTATAGTGACATCTCTCAACAACAGGGGGCCGACGAGAACAAGCGGGAGTTCAAAAAATACGAGTCGTACAAGCGAGAGACCCAGCTGCCCCCTGCAGTTAAAGATCTGCGTATCATGGTTGACAACCGTTCCCAGACAATCATTGTTCCTATTTCTGGCCGGCCTGTTCCTTTCCATATTAATGCCTACAAAAACGGATCCAAGAACGAAGAAGGTGAGTACGTCTATCTCCGACTGAACTTTAGTACGCCCGATACTATTGTCAAACGTGACGAAGCGTTTGAGAACCCGTATGCGCAGTTCCTTAAGAGTATCACTCTACGAAGCCGTGACGCCGAGCGTATGAATGATACGTTTAAGCGTATTCAGGAGATGAAACGTGAAGCCACTCGTCGTGAGCAGGAACGTAAAGAGCTGGCAGATGTCGTGCAACAGGACAAGCTTTCCGAAGTGCGTGATCGCCGTCCGCAACGCTTGGAGCCTGTCTTTGTGCGTCCTACTCCCGAGGGCAAACGTGTTGCTGGCTCCCTTGAAATTCATAAGAATGGTGTCCGTTACCAGTCTCCATTGGGTAAAGAGCAGCAAGTTGATGTTCTGTTCAGCAATGTGGACAGTCTTTTCTTCCAACCGTCTGATCATGAATTAATTGTTCTTATTCATATTCATCTGAAGAACCCTATTATTGTTGGTAAGAAAAAGACTAAAGACATTCAGTTCTACCGGGATGCTACCGACATGTCTTACGATGACACAGGCAACAAAAAGCGTCGGTATCGCTATGGTGATGAGGACGAACTGGAACAGGAACAGGAAGAACGACGTCTCCGAGCTACTCTGAACAAGGAGTTTAACAATTTTGCTGAGCAAATTGCCAAGGCTTCGAACGGTAAGCTAGCAGTTGACATTCCTTTCCGTGAACTGGGGTTCACTGGTGTGCCCTTCAGATCGAACGTTTTGTGTCAGCCCACTACGGACTGTCTCGTTCAACTTGTGGATACGCCGTTTTTGGTTGTTCGTCTCGACGAGGTTGAGCTCGTGAGCTTGGAACGTATACAGTTCGGTCTTCGTCAATTCGATATGGTGTTTATCTACAAAGACTACAGCAAACCGGTTACACACATCAACAGTATCCCGGTCAGCCAGCTCGACTCGATCAAAGATTGGTTGAACGAGATGGACATTCCTTTCTATGAGGGACCAGTCAATTTGACATGGCCACAAGTTATGAAGACAGTCACCAGTGATCCTCATGAGTTCTTTGAGTCTGGTGGTTGGTCGTTCTTGGCCAATGATGAAGAGGATGCTGCAGAGGAGGAAGTTCCTGAGGAAGAGTCCGAGTTCGAGGTCACTGACGATGAGCCCGAAGACGAAAGTGACTCCTACGCTGAGGAGGAGTCTGAAGACCTTTCGGAGAACTCCTTCTCTGGCGAAGACGACTCCGGCGAGGATTGGGATGATATGGAAGAGGAGGCTGCACGCGAAGATCAACGTAAAGAAGATCGACGGGGCCGCCGTTAGGTAGATTTAAGTCGCGATTAAATAATCAAACCTGTTGCGCGTTTCCGCAACCATGGAAGTAAATGAGCTATTGGAGTCATTGAAAGTATGTGAGGGAAACAAAGAGCGGTTTTATGGTACGACGCTGGCGGTATCTAAAAGTCAGACGCGCATTCTTGTGCTGCTTTCATTTCTGTTCCCCGGCACATTTATGGAAGCGGTTAATGCTATTGAGCTAGGGCGGTGTCAGATGCTCACAGATAATATTCGAACAGTATACAGTGTAGCTGGATACTGCCCGTCCACAACCTACTTGACTTGCGGATGTGACGAGTTCGCCAGAACGATCAAAACTGCGGAGGCGCGGGATAACAAATGGAAATCTCTATGTTTTCACCTTTTTGCTTGCATTATATTGCAAAAAGCCTACGATTTTTTGCCAGGCCCTCAAACCATAACGCTGACGTCTTCTGAGCTCGCATTACGTACCCGCAGTTACTGTCTTACATATGGCGGTTGACATGCCAGCCCCCATTCGCTTTGGTGAAATAGAGGCGGTGCCTAGCAAAGCTAAGCCAGACTTACCGTGGAGATCTTTTTCCGAGAAACGGTTTGAATCAAGGAAAATAGTGCAAAAAGTCTTCCCTGTTATACCCGTGGAGAAAAATGGGCAAGCTGAACTTGCGGTTCTTCGTCCCGGAGAAATAGTGAAAAGTGACCCAGTTGATGAGCCAACCGAGTCAGGCACCCCCGAATCTCCTACCCCGGAAGCTGTTCAATGGGTAGGATATGAACAGGGCAATCGCCAAAGTCTGTATTCTGTGCTGGCCACGCATGACTTTAGGATGCGAGAGAAGGTTAGTCCTCGAGGACTGCAAAACTCGTCCAACATGTGCTTTTTCAATGCAGTTCTGCAGTCGTTAATTCACTGTGAAGCCATGTATGCACTTTTGCGTAGCATTCAGAACAAAGCTGCCTTTAAAATCAAAAGCTCAACACCTGTCCTGGATGGGCTCGTCTCGTTCGTTGGGTTCTATGGGCTACAAAAGTCCAGTACGCTGAGTGCATCTGCGTTTTACAATACCGTCAGCACGCACCCGAATTTCAAGCACCTTGAACCAGGTCGTCAAGAGGATGCACAAGAGTTTTTGGGTTACCTCCTAGACACATTAGAAGAGAATTTTGATGCAGCCGAGCCGGCCCCGGGTGACGAGGAACTTATCGCAAAAGAAACACCCCTAAAAGAGACGATCGAGGAGGATGCGGATGACTCTTGGACTCAGATTGGCAAACATAACAAAAAGATCGAGTCTCGGGAAGCGGGACGTACTGACCACAGTAATCCCATTTTGGTTATTTTCGGCGGCAGGCTCCGCAGTGTTTTGAAAAAGCCCGGTGAGAGTGATTCAATCACACTCGAGAGTTTTCAGCAAGTTTGCGTGGATATTTCAGCCGACAAAGTGGAAAGCGTGCAGGACGCGATTGACCACATGCTTGAGAAAGAAGAGCTACAGATTGAGAGCCGCAACAAGACGGTGGTTGCCACGAAACAATTAGAGTTTGATCGTTTGCCTCCAATTCTTGTTGTGACCGTCAAACGCTTCACTTTTACATATAATGATGGCTCGCTAGTGTTTGGGAAAACATCCAAGTCCCTGGCAATCACAAATATCACTGTCGAGTGTAGTGGAGTCAAGGTGACCTACCGTCCTGTCGCACTGGTGTACCATCATGGCCCATCTGCAACTGTCGGTCATTACACTGCTGATGTTCTTGTTGGAGACACTTGGTATAATACAGACGACGAATACGTCCGAGAGCTCAGCGAGCCGACAACTGACAGCAAGTCTGTCTACATTATTTTTTATGAACGCATATAACGTTCACTTTTGCATTAATACAAACTATATAAATTAATAGAAGAACAGCACAGCGAGCCCTAAGCTCAACAAGGAAGGACCAACAGCAGATGCTCCATTGGCAAGCAGAACGCTAGTTGAAGGCCCAGCGGGTGGCTCCATGGTAGGCGCCGCGCTTCCACAGACGGTGACGAACTGGGTTGTAAAGGTATGGGTACGAGTACAAGGGCAGTCTGTCACTGTAATGGTGGTTGGTTCAGTAGCTGTGTAAGTTTTGTTGCCCTCTGTAAAGGTTGTTGGCTCGGGGCAGTAGGTAGTGTACTCGGTGACGACCTCAGTAGAGGTTGTTACATTAGTAGAGGTGACAGCGGTAGTATTGCTAGCGGCACTAGCACAGGCTAAAATAGCAGAAATAAGCAGAGTGAATTTCATTGTTGACTACAAGTTTGAAACAGAGTGCTGTAGTTTAAATAAGAATATGCAGAAATATGCAGGGTCATGCCGACCAGCCACTGGTGGCTGGGGCGATAATGTACGATTTGGTAAATTACGAACAGGAAATCTGCCTTATTCGGGTTGAGTATCGAAAACGGTTCCGGTGGCTGCGTCGAAATTACCATCCGGTGGGTCAGAATTCAAGTTCAAGTCGGGTCTTGGTCGCGGGGCCTTGGGAGGAGTAGGTTCAAGCATTGAAGAGTGGAGACCTTGCGAATCGTTGAAAGAAGACGTCAAATACTCGAGGTGAATTCGGTTGTTGGTTTTGGGGGTTGAACATAGGGCCCCAGAACTAGGGTCCAGTAAATAGCCGTTCCCAGTAGCGATTTCACCTCGATGGTCGCGATAAACGACGAGCAAATTTGCCTTTTTTAGTTGCAACGGCGGCTGCAAAATACGTAGCTGCCTGTTTGTAGGGTCATTGATAGTTACCATATTACTCGTAAGAATCAGACAGGCCTTTTCGGAGAGCTGGCAAAACACACCGTGAAGTAGTGTTCGGGCAGCTTTTCGTGATTGCAAATAAACCTTGCTACCAGTATCATCAATTGCACGTTTTCTGAGTGCACCCGGGCTAAGAGGCGGAAAGATATCATAATATGAAGGCATAAGAATCACCTCGTACTGATCACCAACGACAGTCGGTAACAATGAGACCTCCGCCAGATCGGACACAGAGATGAACTCGAGATACTTTTCGAATCTTTCCTCGTACCCCAACGTATTTCTCAACCTTTGAATCGGGATCGTTCTGTAGCCGGCGTTGATCCACAGGCACCTTCTACCCGCCTTCAACGCGTCGATAAGAAGATGTAAAAGTATCGTGGTTTTCCCACAAGCCGGGGGTCCAGAGATCTCGTTCAACGACGGTATTGGTAGGCCATCTCGTGATCCTGATATAGCAACGTTCAGAACTGGGTTGCCCGTCGATAACCCCTTTTGTTTCCTTCTGTACAACAGCTCACTCAGGATGGCCATTGAGCATTACTCAGATTCTGTTGACTAAAAGAAATAGTGCGGAGTGCATGCGGCGTTGGCAAGAATTGAACGGTGTTGAATACCAAATTTCGACTAGATTCATTTTTTTTCAAGTCTTTCCATAATTTTCAATTCCAGTGCATCGCCGTTATAACCATGTCTGACGCATAATACCCTCTTAATAAGCTGTCAATCTCAATATGCAAATTAAGGAGATCTATGTGTATCCTGTAAAGTCGCTTCGAGGAATTAAAGTCACAGAAGTCAAGGTTGAGAAGCATGGGTTCCAGTACGATCGTATTTATATGTTGGCCCTGCCCACTGCCGACCCCAAGGTGGTCAAGTTTGTTACTCAACGTGAAGAACCCAAACTCGTCAAAGTGACTCAACGCCTTGAGGGCGATTCTATTGTTCTTTATAACGAAGAGGCCGGCAAAGAATTGAGGCTGCCAGCAGATCCTACTGCGCATGTTGAGGGCCTAAACGTTGTGAACGTTGATGTGTGGGGAGGCCTTGTTGAGTCTTACGACATCGGCCCTACCATTGCTAACTTTTCTGAATTTTGGCATGAACTGCTTGGTCCTAAATATGCCAAGTTGACAATTCTCGCTAGAAAGACTTCGAGGCCTTTGGACCCCAATCGTTTCAAGTCTGAGGACTTGACCAAGATGGATTACACCCCTGAAACTACGTTCCAAGACGGTGTTCCGGCCAATTTGATCTGTTCAGCCTCTTTGGAAACATTACAGCTGCGTGTGAATGTGCAGACTGAAGGCATTGAGTTGAGCGCGGAAAACTTCCGCCCTAATCTGGTGGTCGAAACAGAAGATCCCTTTGAAGAAGATGATTGGGACAAGATCAAGATTAGCGGTGATCTGTGGATCATCACCGACCTTTGCAGGCGTTGCCAAATGCCCACTGTCAACGTTGAGCGCGGCGAGTTCGAGAAATCCAAGCAGCCGACCCGTGCTCTCAATCAATTCCGGAAGGTTGATTACAAGCACCCCTCCGATCCTTGTTTTGGCTTAGAGCTCTATCCATCAAAGTATGGACAGACAGTTCGTGTGGGAGACAGCGTCAAAGTCGCCTCTAAGATCGACCGACCTATGCCTAGCGATTTTTGAATTGAATATCTTAAGTTTACATAGCCCTTTGTGCAGCGTTAAACACTCAACAAAACAGACAAAAAAAGCGGAGAGGGTGGGACGCGAAGGGAAAAAAAAAGCATTAAAAAGTTCTTTGCCTGAAAGTTCAGCTGGGGTTCATGAGGTCACTAACAGCTACTCGACTGGTGGAGCCACTGGTAGACTGGGTCGTTTGTTGCAATCCTGAAGCAAGTGGAGAGGGTCCATTTGACGGTGCCGTACGGTGTGGAGACGACGGCATTGACAGTGGAGGAATACTAGGCTCCAGAGATGTGCGAATACTGGAGTAAACTGCAGGTGCGGGCTCCAGCGGCTCAAGGAGTTGTACAGACTGACCATTTCTGACAACTGGCAAGCTTCGAATCGCTGGCAAATGGACATCATTAAGCTCTCTAGCAGCTAACCTTGGAGATGGTCCTGGCGTGGTGAGCGGTGTGTCGACGGGAGACCCTGTTCGGGATATCCCTGGACTGGCTGGCAACGACGAGTGCGGAGAGCCAGGTCTGGAGGGTCGCAAAGGTCCACTTAAAGGGTTCATGTGGCTAGGTCGTGATGGTCGGTCATAAGGGGTATGATGTGCGGAGAAATAGCTGGTCAGGGCCGGGCTTGATCGTTGACGAGTGAATCCGGCTCTTGAACTGGAGCTCCTAGATTGTATAGGAAGGATTTGAGCAAAAGCGGCCGCACCAGCCTCTGCGGCACGCTCTCGCTCGAGTTCCTTCGTTGCTGCTGCTGCTAAAGCATGAATATCCAGGTGCGACCTTGACATCTGCTGTGGTTGGCCCCAGTGACTGCTTTGGAACTGAGGCGACGACGGAAGAGACATATTTACCATGGATGCAGACTGCTGAGATGGATAGACATATGGCACCTGCTGTGGTAGAGATTGCTGCGAGGAAGATGCTGTCAAAATGGGCTGCACGGTGGGGGCGGTGGAGTACCCCACATTGTTCGAAGGGGAGGCGGCAAGTTGTGACGTCGCAACAACGGGTGTGACAGCGTTCGGGGGGCTGTGCTTGTTTGTATTATTCGAGGCACTCGGTGCACTGGACGAGATCATTTTACCTGGGGAAGAACGCGCTGACTGGCCACTGCTCGCCACAGACGGAGAGTACTCTGAGGACTCCTCTTTGAGAGAAGGCTCCTGGGTGTTTGCCCTTTGACTTCTGCGCGAGTTTGGATTTGTGTGGATTCGAGAATGACGTGTCAGCTCGTCGCTGCGACTGAACCGCTTGGAACAGCCAGGGAATGTACAGACATGAGGCTTTTCGCCGGTGTGCGTGCGTATGTGTCGAGTTTGGTGTTCAAGGCGGTAGAACGCCTTGTCACAAATAGGACATTTGTAGGGCCTTGGCAGCTCCGAATCCGCTTTACGACCGGATGTGGCTGCGTACGGCATGTTTTTCTTGCAAAGGCGGGGAGGGGGGAAGCGTGTACGTGGGAGGAGAGTGCAAGCTTTGGGAAAGCTGTGCCTAGGGTGCGGGGATTGGGTAATGTCAAAACGCCTGGACAGGAAACAAGGACCCAAAGATCGATATGTGGTTGTCTTGAATGGTCCCGGAAAACTAGTCAGGCCGAGAAAAGAAAAGCTTTTGCGTTTAGGGCAACAAAGCCGGGGTTGGGAGGTAGGTTTGAGGGAAAGCGGCCTAAATCTGGGCGCAAGGGACGGGGGAGTATGGGGTAAGCCGACCCTAAACAGTGCATGTCATCACGTGACGTAGAGCCTCTGAGGAAAAAGCCACCCCACCACTCCTCTTGAGGGCTTAATTTTGAGTCGCTCCTTGGATCAGTCCAGATCTGGCAAAAACCCCCCGCCAGTGTTGCATCGTGTACTTGGCAACCAGCCCCCATCTACGCATACTGGCTCTTCGATGTCTCTGGGCCCAGCCTCTTTTCTCAGCGTGCAGACGCTGCGCCATGCAGGATCTGGGGTCGAATCGAGCGCTTAAACTTCCGTCAGCGGGAGATATTCCGGCCTGCTTTAATTTGTATTGGCATAAGCAACGCGAGAAAATCCAAGAGGCAAAAAAAATCAAATCAATAAATTAGTAAAACAATATAAATAAAGAAGGAGGGGTATCTAACTTGGTTGGACCACATGATGAGCGACTAGAACGCTGCAACAGTGGCAACCGGTACGTGCCACGAATTTTCGTTTAATCCGACCGCTGGCTCGCGGTTCACCGCTTGGGGCGAGATGGACGGGGTAGGCAGCTGCTGCTGGTCGCGCAGAAGCGCCTGTGGGTGCTGCTGATGCTGATTTTGGCTGCTGAACACTGTCCAGCACTCGTGCCATTTGTTCCAGCCTTCGCATTCCATGCTGGCCAGTTCTAGGCTCCAGGAGATTTTGGCGAGCCAGCTGATTTCTGCTTTTGTGATTTCAACGGATGAAATGCCTGTGGCCTGACACCATGATGCGTTGGTGAAGGTGTTGTCATCGTGGCACTTGTTGGCAAGAACCAGCGAAACGACAAACAGTATGTACAGTCCATGAATGTCGTGCTGCAAAGGCAAGTCGCCCAAAGACCATCTTTTCGACAAGTAGACCAGTGCCAGTATGACGGTGTGTTTCGACAGTCTCGTTGAGCTCAGCGTCATGTAAACAAACTTTTGGAAAGTTTCCTGCTCCAGGTCGGTCCAGAGAGGCTTTCTATTCAGCATAATTCCGCTAGCCATGGTCGACAAAAATGCGGACATCACATTGAGGTCGTAATCTAAAACAGGTGTCACTGGCTTAACAGTGTTTTGCATTGTGATGGCGGCTGCCTGGGGCGGGCAGGGCAGTTGGCCGGCATTGCCAAATTGCCGGGAGTCGTTGTAGGTATAATAGTGCGACGGGTGCGGTGCCGGTGGAGGCGCCAAGTACACCGGACCATAGTTGATTGGCGCCATTCCGGCGATCATATATGGCTGGACAGAATATACAGGCGCAACCGGCACGTTGGCGGTGGGGGTGGTGTCGTACACGGGCAAATGGGCTGGCTGGGACGGGTAGGGCCAATACGGCATATAATTATTGTTGTTCCAAGCCTGCTGCTCATTCACAGACCACATTGAACCATACTGCGGCTGGCCTAGTGTGTTGGCGTTGTTGCGGCTTGCCGAGTAGTAGCACGAGTTGTCGCTCCAAGTTGCCGACTTGTCACTGGATGCTGGCGGGAGGTAATTTGGAACAAAAGGACGGACTGCACTCATGGGTAAACTCGGCTATTTTTGTTTTCCAAAAATACACCTTTTTATTTTATGGGTTGCAGTTGGCTCCGACACCTCGTTTTATGAGATATAGAAAAGAAAACTCATTATATGATGTGATGATACATTACAAACCGGCAGCCTAGTTGCCTTAGAAACCGGATGCAGATTTGGACCGGGAGAGGGCTAAATTAGACGAGACTCACTCGTCTGAGGCCAAAAAGTACCTACGCGAACATGGACTGGTCTGGTGCGGCATCCCACTCCTTTGGGTGGTGTGTTGTACGCTCTACTGGTTGGTCTTTTGAAGAAACATTTCCATCGTCTCGCACAAATTAGTAATCCATGCAAGGTTTTGACGCATATTTAGACGCTTAGTACTACCAAGGTTTAGGGGCGACTACGCCAAGCTCCCTTGCTAGATTTAATGCCTGTGTAGGGACGCTTGGAAAAAGGTTTTTAGGGAAATTGATTAGCTGTGTACATTTTTACTGAGCACCCGTGCGCCAGAACCATTTTTCCTGTCAATTCTAGAAATGGGAGCAATTTAATCATTGGGTCGCTGAGGGCAAGGCGAAAAAAAGCACCCTCGTGCCCAAAAAAGTCCTACCAAAGAAAAATTTAAGATGCAGTTAGTCAGCAAATCGAAGAAGCTCAACCATCCCTATTCGGCACCTTAGTCACGGGACCGAAGGCGGGCAAAAATGCTACCCGCCCTGTTGGGGCTGAATTCTTGGCCAAGGAAGGGCAGGGAGGAAATTTTGAGCGCGTTTTGTCCGCCTAAAAAGTGGTCCTCACTTGCGACACGTCTGGGAAATTTCGCCCCACTTTTTTATAGCCTCTGTAGCTTCGTCAGATTCGTGATAGCTCAGAGAAACCCTAAAGTGATGGTCTCCCCAGCCGTGCGGCTGGCCAGTCACCTCAAAGTGTTGGCCAGGGGCCAGCATAATGCCGGCATCTTTGCATTTTTGAGTGATAGCGTGAATATCGTAGCCATTTGGGAACCTTAGCCAGAAAAAATAGCCCCCATTGCCCCCGTCGATTTTGGTTCCCGCCGGTAAGTATTTTTCCATAGCCGCCCGGTAGGCATGGGCCCGCTCGCCATACACGGTATTGAGGTTTAGAATTACTTTATCGATAGCACCACTCTCCATCATATCACCCACAAAATACGTATTAAGATGTGCTGGTGTGCCTCCTGACTTGACGGATCCTAATTGCGACAGGTGGTAGGCAAGCTCGGGAGTGGCTGTTTCGTGCCAGCCAACCCGCAGCCCCGGGCCCAGAACTTTCGAAATGGTATAGTTGCCAATAACATTGCCAATTGACCCTTCTGGAAGTGTCTCGCGATCCAATGTCGTCAAAGAAGTCGGATTAGGCTTGTCGGTGTAGTTCAACCATTCGTAGACCTCGTCTGCCAGAATAAGAAGATCATAGCGACGGGCAATTTCAAGCAAGCGCTTGCGGTCTTCAAGTGGCACGGTGTGGCCGCTTGGATTGTTATGAGTAGGCACCAAATAGAGAACATATCGAAAAGTGAACCGGCTGGGCTTCTGGGGACTGCTCTCCTTTTCGTGTGCTAGCTCAGCCTCCAGTGCATCCAGATCATAACGCCCGTCGTCCTTTTCACACAAAGATCTCAGCTGTTTACGCAACCCCACGTCTTCAAAAATCCCATTAATGAGAAAATACGTGGGGCTCACAACGTAGGCCCCCTTGGTATACTGAGGGGACGTTGTCCGCAATAAGGCAATTAGTGCGCCATAACTAGCACCATTTGTTAAATTAATACATTCTGGAGTAGCCGTTCCGTTCAAAACGCCATTGTACCATTTGCATATTTGCTGCCGCACAAAGTACGACCCTTCGTCGGGGCCATAGGTCAACGGGTTCCGGCTCTTTTCATCGTTACTGTAGGGCTTTGGACTACCCAGCACTCTATTGGCAGCCTCCAAAATCAATGACGCTGGAAGCAGGCGATCCGTAGGATGGCCTCGAAAAAACGTTACCACCATATCGATGTCGGTTGACTAAGTCACGTGCCCCGGGGTCGTCAGACAGACTAAGTAGTGTATGAATTCTTATGGGTTTGATAAATAATTTGGAGGGTTGCCAGTCGGGGACAGCAAATCCTGCATGCTAATATCTCGCTCTAGTGGACTTTGCGGAGGTATATCACCGTGCCTTAATCTTTTGCCGGACGAGCGGAGGCGGCCAAGGGAGGCAAGAGTTGTGCGCGAGCGTTTGTTGGGCGTCTCGATGGGGGAGCTTGTAACTGGATGGCGGAAAATTCCGAACTCGGCTAGCAAATCAAGAAAAAAGTCTTGCACGGCTGGGTCGTGGACCGCTTCGCCTGCGCTTTTCGCAATTGCTGCTTCATTGGCGGCTAGCAAAGATCGACAAGACGTGTCAAACAAAGCTGTGCCGACACCCCGCAATTGTAGTCTTTCTTGATCAGCAACTTTCAAAAGCGGATCCTGGTATTTTTTGGTATCTAACGAGGAATTTTCCTCTCGAATCTCCTCAGCTTTGGCCTCAAACCGTGGGGTAGCCCATTGTATAAAATCCTCGTTTGCGTACAAACTACATTTGCGCCATAATTCATGCAAAAGCTCATATCTTGTGTGTAGCATCTTTTGGTATTGCAACTCAGACGCATAGTCTGATCGGGCGGTTTCAAACCGTTGGTTGGCCTGCTCCAGGCGCTGAACAGCTTGTAAGACTTCAGGGGTAGTGCCCTCACCAGTTTTAAGCCGAGCAAGCTCATTACGCAGCGCAGCGATATCCTCCTGCTGTTGAGAAATCTTTCGACAATACGACTGGACATGCCGGTCGACTGTCAACAGGTTTCTGCTCACTTTTGTCTTGATGCTCTTTGCCCGGTCTGCGTACTTGAGTGTATTCAATGTCTCATCGTAATGAGACGAGCTCGGAGCCACACATGCAATCATCACTGTTTTGCAATTGCCGCCCAATGAGAACTTTAAAAGTCGGGTAAGTTTTGAGTCCCGGTAAGGAATGTGACTACGGCGGCGAGTGTCACACAGCCCGTTGATGCAATTACCGAGGGCAAGTAACGATCGATTGATATTGGCACCTTCAACAAGTCGTTTACCGGAATTTTTCGTGGAGGCTGCCCTTTCACTGCCGGCAAGATCAATAATGGTGAGACTAGAGTACGTTTTTTGTTCCTGAAGTCCCTGCAATTTATCGCTCAGCTCAACTACAATCTCCAGAACAGCATGGGATCGTGAAGATACCGCATTGGCTTCTGTTGGCGATATAGTGCGCTTTTCGTTGCCGCGGAATATTAATTCCATGACTTGGGCTACACTCGTAGGCCGATAACTGGTGAGATTTGAAACATGCATACGCTTATCGCTACCTTCGCGCAATGCAAGAGTAGCTTGATTATCAGAAAGAAGATCGCGCAAAGTCTCGTTGTAAATTTCCAAGTAAGACAACGATATCGCGACATCTTTTGTATCTCGTAAACTTTCAATTCGCGCAAACAAATCCTCCATTGCCAACACAATTAGACCCTTTTGATCAGTTGTGCCACTAATTGTATGTGTTTTACCGCATCCGGTAGCGCCATATGCGAAAACGCTCGCATTGTACCCATCCAGCACCGTCTCAAGGAGGGGCCTAACGGTGGCCGAATATACCTCCTCTTGAGAAGCGTCCTGGTCAAAGACTTTGTCGAAAACAAATCGCTGCTCGCGAATTCGACTATTATACGCTTTCTGCTGATTCGGCAAAGGGTTCTGGTTTTGAGGATCAAAGATCAGCATCCGCTCGTCCACAACATCAACAATTTTGCGATTGGCCGTCCCCACCCAATGCGGCTGTCGCAAAGACCACCGCGTGACCCCGTCTGGTGAAACTTCTTGGCTAGACAATCCCCCTCTGGTTTTTTCTTTTTCATTAAACGGCCGTACTCTCACCACCACCGAAATTGACGACTCCGTCGCCATGGCTGAGGTAAACAAAAGAGTACTCAGGGCAGCGCGCAGTTATGTTTCAGTACCTCCCAATCCACGCGCGCCCTTTTATGCACGATTACTGCAAGGTGTGAAAAAGAGCCCGAACGGCTGCAATTAATTATGTGCATTTTCCATTATATACAAAATGAATAAAATAGATAGGGGGAAGGGACAGAAGATAGGATTTGTCAAACCGACTGGTCCACTGATTCAAGAGCTGTGCTGACGGCTTGATCGACCTTTGGGTCTCCGCATTTCATCGACTCGATGAGGCTCTTGTCCCACAGAGCGGTGCCCAGGTGAACAATGAGTAGTCGCGAAGTATTATTGAAGACTACCGCAGCATCACGTGCGTGCTGGTATAGCGTCAGGCCCTGCTGGTACTGAGTTGCTTGGATTCGCGACTCTAGCAGAAGGTTGAACAGTAACGTTTTGACCGCCTCGTTAGCGAGCGGATCTGTGCTCATTTCATGATAGATCCCAATGTAATACTCGAATACGGTATCTTCAGAACGTAGTAATGCTAGCAGCTGATGAAAATCGGACGACCGGAGGGACGATGTGCTGTCTCGGAGTCTCACAATGTACCTGCAGGCCGCCTTGTATTCACCCTTGCCTGCCGAGGCTTCGACTAGGTATACAAACACCTTCAGAAGATCTTTGGGGGGACTGGAAACACCCAGTGCTCTTTGACGACGTCGCATCCTCAAAGCAGCCCAGCGACACATGTGAGGGTCGCCGTTTTCCGCAGCGATCGAGGCCATGGACAGGTACGAGCTGTCGTCCAACACAATGAACCCGGGTATGGCCGCTGTTTTGTAGAACCATTGTAAAGACTCATGGTGCCGAGCCTCTAGAATTGTAGACAAGAAAATGCCCCAAGTTCGAGCATAAACCATATTGCTCGAGTTGGCGACAATCATCTGCATGGCCTGCCAGGCAATTTCCGCATCGTTTTGGTACTTGGCAGCTATTATCATACGCTCCAAGACCTCGTATTGGAATTCGAATGCCCCCGAATTAACTATTTGGACTTCCCGAATAAAATCCAAGGCTGTCTCAAGATCCCCAAGGGAGATGTACAGGTCTACTGCACCGTTAACGAACTTGTGCCGGTGCCTGACTGCTGTGAGCGGTAATAAATCAACAAATAATCGTACAAGTAGTGGCTCTGGTGATTTTCGGAGTTTCTCCTGAAGGGCAAACATATACTTGGTCGGCAAATTGTTGCCTGATCTCGAGTACTCTGCGAGAACATCAAACGCCGCACACGGAGGGGTCTCAGCCAGAGCCCGATTTATTCTTACAGTGATAGACTCTGTCGAGTTGAACCTTCTGCCAATCCGCGGTATTGGCCCGACACTTAGCCTCTTTATCAAACGAGCCGCCCGCCAGATCTCCTGGCCAAGTCCGGCCATTACGGGATATGGGTTTTTATCAGGATGATGATGTAAGATGAAAAATCCCAGAGACATTTCACCCCAGACTCGTTGAGTATTTTTTTGTTCTCTGTATAGGCGGCTGGAAAAATGTTACTATCACGAGTGGGTTTAGCAACCAGTCTGCGTATGAGCAGCCGCTTTGCTGTGCGGGCCACCGCTGCGCGAGCCACTGCTGCGCCCGTGGCTTTGCACAACGGATACCGTTTCAAGAGCACGATTTCCCAGGAAATTGGCGCCATCTCAACCCCCCCTGCCGGTGAAGTTTCTGATGCCGTGGCCAACGCTACGTCTTCGGTGAGCGACACCATTGCTTCGGCAACTACTTACTTGCCCAACCAGATTGGTTACTTCCAGCAGGTTGGCTTGGCCGAATCTTGGGTTTGGCCCAAGGGGTTTTTCCAGCACGTGTTTGAGATTGCCCATGCCTATTCTGGTCTGTCCTGGTGGGCTACTATTTTGGTGGTTACTATTGGCCTTCGTTTCTTGATGTTGCCCCTATACATTTCCGCATCTGATTCAACGGCCAAGATGGCCCGAATCAAGCCTGAGCTAACCAAGATTATGGAGAAGACAAAGAACGCCACTGAGCAGATCGACATTCAAAAGGCCATGCTTGAACGCAAACAGTTGATGAAGAAAGCCGATGTCAAGGTCACCAACATGATGAAACCAATTGCTTCGGTGCCTATTTTCTTGGGTGTGTTTGGTGCTCTCACCGGCATGTGCAAGGTGCCCGTTCCTGGTCTTGAAACCGAAGGGTTGTTCTGGTTCACTAACCTCGTGGCTGCTGACCCTTACTGTGGTCTACAGATTATCACCGCCTGCCTTTACTCTCTCACTTTCATGTTGTTTGGTGGTGAGACCGGTGCGCAGGGGCTTAGTCCTGTGATGAAAAAGGTATTCACATGGATGCCCTTCATTGCTGTGCCTTTGACAATGTCCCTTCCTGCATCTGTGTGCTTCTACTTTGCCATCAACGCCGTCTTCTCCATTATTCAAAGTAATATGCTCAAAATGCCTGCCGTTCGCAATGCCCTGAACCTAGCTCCCATGCTTACTCCGGCTGAGCAAAAGAAGATCGATGCGGAGGTCGCACGCACTCAGAGTAGCTCGATTGTTGGTGCTTTGAGGCAAAAGTACGACGACGCCAAGCTGCAGGCAGAGAAGCGGGTGGCCCAAGAGACCAAAGCCAAGCAGGACGCTATGAACAGAGCCGCTGCCGATGCTAAGCGGTATGTTCAGTACCGCAAGTAATTGTACATACTTTATAATCCGAATGCAAAAAAAGAGAAGTTGTTATTACTGCTGTTTATATCCTATAGTTTCGCAAATGACGTGCGTACACCGTCGTTGACCATACGCTTCAGCTCCTTTTCAACTTGCTGAATAGTATAAGCGCCAACTTGGGTACCTACTTCGTACGCCTTGCGTCTCTGTAAGGCTGATTCGACTTGACGATCCACAAAATCAATCATGGCGGCGAAGCACTCGTCAGGCTTTTCGAAATAGACAAGGTGGCCACCGCCGTCGATAACCTTGAGCTCAGAGTTTGGCAATCTATCGGCCAGCTTCTTCATGTCGCCAGGAGGATTCCAGTCTTCCACCTCTCCCCGTAAAACGAGAGCTGGAACAGGCGTCCAACGGACAATAGTTGTAGCGGCACGGATAACCGAGCTGGCAGAGATGTAGGCGCCAACTTGTAGGGCTTTGGTCATTTTCACACGAATTTTACCGTGGAAGTCTGTATACGCATTGTGTGCGATCATATCAGCTTGGATGCGAGGGTGGAATTGACGAGAGATGAACTTTGTTTTCATAAACTGTTCATACTCTTCGCGTGAGTCGAACTCGTCACGGGAGTACTTGTATACCTTCCCAAACATCTGGCCAATGGCCATAGTTGCCGGGCTTTTCGACTCCTCCTCGGGCCAACTTCCACCCCACACCGGATCCATCAAAATAATGCCGTCGATCTTGGCGGTGTGAAAAGCGGCCAGAAATATTGTACCGGCACCACCCATGGAGTGGCCAGCAGCAATCGTAGGACCATCGAGCTCACCCATATGAGCGAGATCATCAAGAACAAGTCCAGCATCGCGACCAATGTCAGGCCAGCTCGAGAAAGCAGTGACCTTAGACTCGTTCAAGCGGGCCGAATCACCGTGAGTGACAACATCCAATGCAATCACCTTGTCAAGTTTCGATCCCCAATGTTTGAAAGCCAATTCGGCGTAATATGTCCAGACTTCTTTCATCATCTGCGACCCGTGCAAAAACAGTAAGTTGAACCGCTCATGACTAGCTGGCGCATCACCAACGTTCGGCTGGTCCCAAACAACATAAGAAACAACCAGACGGTCATTGAATCTCATAGTGGGGTGCGGTCCCTCGCGGGGGAAGTAGGCTGGTGTGGTGAAATTTCGTGTACGCATGCAACTACATCTGCGACCTAAGTGGCTTTAAATGATCTCTGGCTGCAAACTTGCAGTTCGGCATGGGTTAGGGTTTCCCCGCGCTCGTGGGTGAGCGCAGCATATGCCTACGATAGTGAGCCATGTGTTTATCGGCTAAAAGGTTGGTCAATTGAAACTAAAATCTAACTTATTTAATTTCCTGCCTTGACACGAGCAGCGGTTTCGCTTTGGGCATCAACCTCCACACGGGTGCGACCCTGAGATTTGCTCACGGTCTCCTCTCCAACGAGATAGGTGATATCATCCCAAGGGTGGCGGTAAAGGCCAGTACGCAGGCGTTTCTGATCGAGATGATGGGCGATCAAACCAATGGAGCGGCCAAGAACGAACAGACCATTGAGGACACCGTTCTTGAGGTAGTCCTCCACCTCGTCAGCACTGAAGGCACCACAGCTGCGCATGAGATCGACAAACGACACTGCAATGGCACCATCGACGTTCAGAATAAGGTTGTCTTTCTTCGATGTGGTCACCTCCTCGACGGCCAAGGCGTAGTCAAGCAAGGCGGTAGTGGGGAAATTCTTGTGCACAAAGTCCTTGACTAGCTCCACGCGGAAGTCAGGGTTATTCCTAGACTTGACCTTGTGGCCGATACCTGGAATCAGTTTGTTTTGCTTACGCATAGTATCAACGAATTGACGAGGGGACCAACCTTTATCGAAGGCGCTGGTGAACTCGGTGGCAGCACCATCAAGAGCACCACCGAAACGGGTACCAATGGTGAGCAAACCAGCAACCAAAGAAGAGATCAAGTCTTTACCAGCACGAGTGGTGATAATGGTATTCATGGCACCGGACACAGCGGGGCCGTGATCAGCAGTAAGCATTAGAACCATCTCCAAGAATTTCGTGGCATAAGAAGGCAAACGCCGACGGAACCACAAAAGAGACATGACACCACCCACACCGATGTCCTCCTTGAATACTTCGGAAATAGGGATACCAGCATAGACGAGCTCCTGGCCACGATCATCAGAGATAGTTGAGATGAACGAGGCGGGCTTACGAATAAGACCAAGCTCCTGAGCCCAAGAGTAGTCAATGGGAATCTTGGGCACATCAGGCTCAGCAGCAGGGGTAATGGTGCCCTGGTTGACGAGATCCTTATACACCTTGTTCAAAAGCTCAGGCAAGTCCTCGAAGGTTTCAGGAACGAAAATGCCGGCAGCCTTCATGGCAGCATTCTTGGCAATAGCAGTCTCCATGTCGCTGTTGGCCATAGAGCCGGCGTGCCCAAACTGAACCTCAGTCTTGAACATCGAAGCACAGGTACCAATGGCCCAGGCAACGATGGGCTTGGTAATGATACCCTTCTTGATGGCATCGATGACACGGTACTCCTCGACACCACCAACCTCACCGAGCAAAACGATGATCTTGCACTTGGGGTCGGCCTGGTAACGAAGAATGTGGTCAATGAAAGTAGTACCGGGGTAACGGTCGCCACCAATTGCAACACCTTCGTAAACACCATCAGTAGTTTGAGCAATAATGTTGTTCAGCTCGTTAGACATACCACCGGACTTGGAAACGTAGGCAACAGAGCCTGGACGGTAAAGTTTGGAGGAAACGATGTTGTCCATCATACCACCGGTGTTACCGATCTTGAAGCAACCAGGCTTGATACCACCAACAGTTGCCGGACCAATAATGGTGACACCCTTCTTCTGAGCCTTGTGCAAGATCTCACGAGCGCGGCGCTCTGGGACACCCTCGGCGATGATGGCGATGGTCTTGAACTGGGGATACTCCAACAGCTCCATTGTAGAGGAGTAGACAGAGCGCGAGGAAGCGAAATTGACAACAACGTCAACATCAGGATGTTTAGCAGCAGCCTTGGCAACCTCCTGGTAAACAGGGAGCAAAGTCTCCTTGGTGCCCCAATACATCTTGGTAACAAACTGGCCACCAAAAGGATAGATAACTCCGGCGACAGAGGGAACTTCGCGCTTGCAAATGAAATCAAAGTCGAGCATGCCCTGGCAGGCACGAGGCTGCATGCCATAGACAAATGCCCGTGTTTTGTTGTTGAACAATTCGTATGACATTTTGTGGTTGAACAAAATCTCGAGATTTGGGGATTACTCAATATGTGGCCGCTGGTTACCCTATGGTATCACGTGATATAAATTTCAACCAACAAAAAAAAAACCCAAAATTCGAGTTGGGGGGATTGGAAAGGAGGTTGGGCAAGGGTGACTAGGTGACTGGCCCGAGCTAGCTGAATATTGTCCTAAGCGTGAACAGGGGTCACATTGGTGCACGGGGAAGAGCCGCATTTCCACTTGGAATTTAATCGTCAACACTCGTTGGCTAACAGCTCCAGGAGCGTACCTACAGTAGATACCCAACAATCATAAAAGTTCGGGGTTTTTTCCTAGCCTAATTGCTGCATTTTTCAAGTGTCTAACGCCCACCTGCAGAGTGTTTCATGGTAGCAGTTTATTTCATCATGTGGACACTGCAGCTTACTCGGGATTAAGCCCGTCCCGCAATCTGTACCATATATAACGATTCCACCACGTAAAACCAACACTAATGGATTCAGTAAAAGACAAGAAGACTCAGTTCGTGGTTTCGGAGAGCAGCTCCGAGACTGAAGTGGGCTCAACGTTAGGGCCAACACTGACAAAAGCAATTGACCGTAGGTTATTGGTGAAAGCGGATATTTATGTTTGTTCGTTTTTAGCGGTGTTTTATGCTATACAGTTCATGGACAAGGTTTGCGTGAGTCTGGGTGCTGTTATGGGAATCCAAGAAGATCTCAAAATGGAAGGGTCGATGTTTTCGTGGGTCGGCTCGTCCGTGTATTTGGGATACCTTGTATTCGAGCTACCCTTGGACTACATAATGCAACGGTTCCCTATTGCAAAAGTCACAGCTGTGTGCATGACTTTGTGGGGCGTAGTTCTGGCTACCAGCGGAGCATCTCAAAACTACGCCGGTTACATTACAACACGAGTCCTGCTTGGTGCTTTGGAAGGTGTTGTTACACCGTCATCTCTAGTAATTGTGTCGCAGTGGTATAAGCGTACCGAACAGTTTTCTCGTATATGTCTTATTTTTGGCTTTTGTGGTTTTGGTGCCATCGTAGTAGACTTGATGGGATATGGTCTGGTCGTTCGCGAAGAGAGTCACAGTTTGCCCATTGCAGGTTGGCGACTGCTTTTCATTATTTTGGGTGCCATAACTATTGTTTTTGGTATTCTTTTTTGGCTACATATCCCCGATAGCCCACCCCAAGCATGGTTTCTGACTGAAAAAGAGAGGCAAGTCCACATCGAGCGCACAAGGCAGAATCTGCAAGGATATGGAACTAGAGAGTTCAAATGGTATCAAGTTCGCGAAACACTTTTGGATTATAACACTTGGTTACATTTCATTTACGCCCTTTTCAGTAGTCTTCCTAATGGTGGACTTACTAGCTTCTCTGTTCTTCTCATCAAGGGCCTTGGATTCACTTCTACGAGATCGTCTATTCTCATGGATATTCCATCTGGTGGTGTCATGCTGGTGGGATGCACACTAAGTGCCCTAGCGTTTCACTTTTATTTCACTAAAAGCCGCTGGATTCCGGCGATCTTTGGCTCAGCTACAACAGTAATGTGTATGTGTCTATTAGCTTGGGGGCCAAATAATGCGTCTAAACTAGCCGGTTTCTTCTTGTGGAACTGGCTATCTTTTGTTCCTTACATTGCAGTCATATCCTGGGTTAGTTCCAACTCGGCTGGCCACACCAAAAAACTGTGGACAAGCGGAATTGTTTTGATCGGCTTTTGTGTTGGCAACCTAATTGGCCCCCAAACTTTCAAGGCATCAGAAAAGCCTGTCTATCAAACCGCAAAAGTTGTGATGGCAGTTTCGTCTATTATCTGTCTAGTCTGTCAGGCTCTTTACATCTACTTCAACATGGCTGAAAACCGGAGACGTGAGAGTGTCAACGCGAAGCTTCCTGATCATATCAAAGACCCAATCGCTGCAGATCTAACAGATAAAGAAAATCCTGAGTTCCGTTATGCTCTTTAATTTCGAGTCTTGACTATAGTTTTATATGAACGCCTTGTCCTCGCTACGTCAACTGTTTAGCGTGCACATGTCAAGTATGGGCGGTCCTGCACAAGGCGCTAATGTGACGCAGTAATTAGTTGGCGAAATTTAGTTGCATTGTTGTTAGCTTGTTGTACACTGATCTTTCCAACATGAACGGCGGGTGGTATTTCCACAATGCAGTGGTTGCGATTGATACTGATTGCGCGCTTCCAAATAAGGCCGAAAGCTCTGCCCAGACTCAGTTTGCTACTACAACCTTTTATCGGTTGATAAACCCTGTATCTGGTTGGAGGGCCTTCAACCCGAATGACAACCAGCGCCTGGCTGAGGCAGCCAGTACCGGCGCAAAAGGGTCTGTACCTGTGGGATTTATGCAAATGTTATATCACGTTAAAGACTTGAAAGTATTAGAGCCAATATATTGGTCGCGCGTGGTTCACCCGGCCCATGTGCATTATGGCCGATGGGTTTTTGCAAGTACACAAACACCAGTGGCTCCAGACTGGGATACGGAAATATGCGCCCTTTACGATAAACTAAAGCCATGGACCAGTGAATATCTAGAAACTGTGGAATCAGCAAGACTTACTCCGGAAATTCTCAATATTATCGCGGTCAGAGTAACATTTCTCCAGGGCAGCCAGCCTTTGGACGTAACCATTCTTTTTGAGCCTGGCTCCGATGGAGTAGCTCACCTGTTTTCGACAAACCGATTCAACGTATGCAAAAGGTTAGCCAACGACCTCATACTACACAAAGCACCAAAAGATGTTTGCCAAACTTTAGTTCCGTTTGATTGGATACAGTATCAAAAACTTCATGGAATGACCGAGCAGCCCTTCCAGCTCATTGGCTACAAACCGCCTGAGGTTACCTCTCTTATCCTGGTGTTTCACGGAATAGGTCAAAAACTGAGTGAGAAGATTGAATCTGTGAATTTTACCTATGCAATAGAATCGTTACGGGTACTTATCCATTCACAGCTCCAAAAGAAGCCAGTATCGGAGCATGTTTCACCCAGTACGCATCTATTAGTCCTACCGGTAAATTGGAGAGCCGCACTATCCTTTCAAGACGATAAAGATAGCTTTCCCCTAGAGGATATATCTCCTCCTACTATTCCTTTAATCCGGCGTGCTATAACCGATATTTTCATGGACCTGCCGTATTACATGTCACATCATCGGTCTAGCATATTGGAAGCCGCTTCAGCTGAGGCAAACAGACTCTACGACTTGGTTTGTCAATACAATCCATCATTTTCTGAGAAAGGAAAAGTGAATTTGATTGGCCATTCTTTGGGCAGCTTGATTGTGGCAGATTTGTTGAGCGAACAGCCGAACGATTGGCGGAGTGAGGGTGGACGTTTGAGGTTCAATACAAAATGCTTTTTCACAACTGGCAGTCCGTTGGCATTATTTTTGCATTTTCAACATGCAAACATAATTCCGAGATCCTTGGCGACCACTACCGAGCCAACCTTGGGCTGTTTTGCAGCTGAGAGCTTTTATAATTTGATCAACCATTCTGATGTTTTTGCATTTTTACTGAGTCCTACAGTCAAAGGGAATCCAGTCAAAAGGCCGCGTGTGTTAAATTACGCAGCCGCTAAGGATGAGAAACGAACTTTTTCGATTTTCAATCGAGCTCGGGCTACTAACAAGACAGTTGAATCTACCCCTGAGCTGAAAATGCTCAACGACTATGGGCAACTTGACTGGATACTTCCTGTAGGACCTCGCACATTCGAGAACCAATACTTTAAAATTTTCACTGCGCATTTTGACTATTGGAGTAATGTGGAATTTGCAACATTCGTTGCCATTGAATGTGGTCGTAAGGAGGGCGCTGAAAACGCTGTGGAAGAATACAAGGTGCAGGCATCACAGCTTTAAGGTGCGCTACTATCACTCTGTACTACCAGCACCAAGCCCAAGCAGCTCAAGTGCTGGTTGCGGGATGAACCAACCAGAGTAATTGCATACACGTGCAGCAACATGCCGACCTTGGGTGGGTGATCGTTCGGCTGCTTAGGGGTGCTATTCTTGTCGTGCATATTCAGCTTGTACTACGACGGAGAGCTTTTCCGCGGCTTGTCATAATTTGGTCCTGTAGTAGGTTGATGTCACTAGCTAAGCTGTAGTCTGAGTAGCATGTTACAGGGAGTTTAACTGAAAGCTTTATTTGGGCGAAAAAAACTCCTCCTCAATGACTGTATGTAAAAACAGGCAGCTATGTCTGTGTAAAAATACATGTAAATTGTAAAGGGAATGAACAAATCTTGAAAGTACTTCAATACTATTATCTATTTTAGTAGGGATTAGGTGTTCCAGGTACTCTTGAGATTTTGATAATTATGTAATTAATAGTTTCCTTAAAAATATTTATTACCAAATAGAGCACAACATATTAGTAACCAATGAAAATTAAATTATAACAATTATATAAATCATAGACAAAGGCTACTAGTCACATTGAATTTTTCTCGCCAAATAATGGTCAAGATTGGTACACACAGCGGCACGTTCCATGCCGATGAAGCTTTAGCAGTTTATATGCTTAAGCTTTTACCCAAGTTCAAGGATGCCGAAGTAGTGCGCAGCCGAAACAATGCCATTCTTGATGAGTGTGATATTGTTGTTGATGTTGGCGGAAAATACGAGCCACCAAAGTACTTTGACCACCACCAGCGGGAATTCACTACCACTTTCTCCGAGGAGCATAAGACGACCAAACTGAGTTCTGCTGGTTTGGTTTACAAGCACTTTGGCCGCGATGTCGTTGCCAAGGTCCTCGAGACTACTGCAGATAGTAACGTTGTGAATGCCATCTACAATCGTGTTTACGATAGTTTTATCGAGCCTGTTGATGCTTATGATAACGGTGTTAATCCGCACGATGAGCAAGCGCGTTTCAATACCTACTCGACGACTCTTCGTGCCGTCGTTGGCAACATGCAGCCTCTATGGACTGAAGACGAAAGCGATGCGGTGTATGACGCTCAATTCAAGAAGGCTTCAGATTTGATGGGCATGGCATTCGAGCTGGAAGTTCGGAATCAGGGTCTTAGTTGGTACCCAGCTCGTGATCTGGTCAAGAAGGCCTTCGAGGAGCGAACCAAGTATGACCCGGAGGGACGCCTACTTGTTTTCGAGAACTATGTTCCTTGGAATAGCCATGTCCACACACTTGAGCAAGAGCTTGGCGGTAAGATCATTTACGTGGTCTACAAGACTGGCGACTCTGTTCGTGTCCAGGCCGTGCCAGTTTTCAAGGGCTCGTTCGAGTCTCGCAAACCTCTTCCGTCTCCTTGGCGAGGACTCCGTGATGATACTCTCTCTGAGGCTTCAGGTATCCCAGGTGGTGTTTTCGTTCATGCTTCTGGCTTCATCGGTGGCAACAAGACTATGGAAGGTGCACTTGACCTTGCTCGCAAGGGTCTGGAGTTTGAAGAGTAAATCGAAATAAATATTGTATAAAATATATATAAAAGAACACAGTTACCTTCGTCTTAGGCCACATAGGCCGGAGGAAGATCTTCTGGTCCTTCTTCAACGGGATAAATAACAGGAGATTTCTGGTCAGGTTTCGCAAGTTTTCTTTCATGTCTTTTGAGAGAATAGATCAAAGCCTTGGTTTCCTTGACCAATTGCTCACGTGTCTGTTTGGTTGGTGAGCTTTGTGTAGCTGCCGGGAGTACAGCCTTCTTGGGTGTAGCAGGTTTCGTGGGGGTCAGTTCAGACTTGATGTCGATGGGATCTCCTAGCGTTGCGACCTCATCAGAAACAACGGGAGGAGCTGATGTAGGCCTCTGAGGAGGGGTCGTGACAACAGGGAAGTATGAAACTGGAGAGGGCTTTTCAGCAGCAGGTTTTTGGATCTTGATAACCCGGCGCTTCGGCTTGTGATTAGAGTGGGAGGCAATGCGAGTGGCCTGATCATGAACATGGTCGTACATTGCATCTCCCAACAAGCCCACGGGGCGCTCATTATCACGGCATTGGCGGCGATACAGTTCAGCTCTGTAAATTGCAGTAGGAATTTTCAAGGGAGATATGGCCAGGGTGTGGCGAGACTGCGACATGGCCTCCAATCTTAATATATTCACCAAACTGAAGTGTTTTTCTTCATCGATATCAACAAATTTAACCGGCTCACTGCGGTTCTCAGGAAGAAGATGGTGCTCAAACTGGTTGGGTGTCCATTGCAAGCTCAAAGCATAGAGCAGGGCCGGCAGGACTTCGCGGAACAGTGTCCTCATGTGGGTTTCAATCTGGGACTGTAAAAAGGAAGCAATCGCTGGTACATGGTCAAAGGTAGAGCTTACACGAATGCTTTGGAGCGGATCGTTGCGGAAAACGAGCGTCAAGCCTTTAGCTTTGGAAAATACAAGGATAACGATTCCGCTCAAAACAAAATCGCTCAATGTCAGATTCAACGGAATCGAGAACGACGATTGAGCACTGACAAAATCTGGCATTGTAAACTTTGGTGCTGCGGCCGCGTACACATTCAGCAGATTTGCCTGAACTTTTGTGGCCAATGTTATTCGCGCGCTGCCAGAGTAATTCAGCTTGAAGATTCCCCTGAATCTATCGGAAGCGAGGTCACCGACCTCCAAAATTTCCAAAGATGGCGACTCAGACCCCCATTCAAGCTCTTGAACGGTAATAGTGTCCACGATAATCGGAGGTTTCTTTTTGTTCAGCGCATTGGTTAACAGCCCCTTAACTCTGGAGAGGAACTGCTCTTCGTTGGCAAAATTTTGCCAGTCAAACTTGAACGACATGCTTAGCAGTAGCCGACGTACTTTTCCAATTTAGGAAGTTTTAAATGGTAACGGTCGAAAAAAGAATTTCGGCAAACCACAACTCCCAAAATTTAAAAGAACCGGTTTTCCTGATGTTATGGGGTGTACCCTAACCCAAATCACGCGAGCCAAAACAGCCGGACTTTCCTATTTGCTAATGGGACGTGCAGGAGCCAGCCATAGTTGCGCGGGCAGCATCGACAACCGCATACCCTAACATCAAACGGCTCGGAAGAGGACGGAGCTGTGGGGAAGAAGAAGAACCTCGCGGACATGCGCGAAAAGCAAAATAAACTGTCAGTTATGGAATGCTATGCCAGTAAATTTTATATTAAATAACTCATCAAGAATCAAAGAGTTCCCGCTCATTCTGGATCATCGTCTTTACGATACTCTGCATCGCCTTCATGCCATCTACCTCTGTAGGCGGCAGGAAGTTCATGCTGAAAACAATAGCAAGATTAGGAACAGACATCCGGTTGAGCTCCTCGTGCTCGACGACCTTAGCAAGGTGTCTCATCAGCCGGCGCAGGACAGCATAGTTCGGCGCAGGCAGCTGCTGAATCACCTTCCTGAGGGTGTCGACTCTCGAAGACTCCGGCGAGACTGACCCACACCAGATGAATTGGCCAAATAGAGCCTGAGTCAAGAGCGATTCAGGCAACTCACGCAGATAGAGCTTGACGCATCCGGCCACTGCATTGACGTCGGCCATCCGCTCATCGTCTTCCGAAACGTCGTCACCTCTGTCAAAGGCCTGCTTGAGGCTGTTTATGGCACCAACAGAACCAGAAATACGGTATAGCCCAACATCTTCAAGCCCATATTTTTCAATATGCGACAGCAACTTTTCGACAACCAGAGGAACATTACGCTTTTCGCGGGCAGCTAAGATATCCAGTGGAACACCAAATACTTGCGAAGATCCCGGTTGCGACATGCGATGTGCCAAAGACGCCCTGTGACTCTTTTCAAGTTCGACAACCCAGTGCTGGGCATCCCGTTCGTTGAGGGCTTGGAATATGTGCTCAGCCGATGATCCGTTCGCCGCAACCAACCTGATGGTATGCTCGCGTCCTGGCCCTTTTGGAACCCAGTCGGCCATATCCAACGTAAGAACCTGCTTCAACTGAGACCCTTCAATGGTGGAGATATCCGGCAGAGTATTTGCTGGCACGAAATTCAGAGAACCGCTAGTGGCACTTTGAGACAAAGTCGGAGTCCCACTATTTGACGGAGATATTGTTCCAGTAGATGACGAAAATGCCATAGATAACGGTCGCACCGCGCGCAAAAAGCCCCCTAGTCGTGAAGAGCGAGAAGCTCTTGAGGATGATCCGGATGAGTGCGTGGACCCAGCTGAATTCGTAGGGGGGTTTCCGGGCGTTCCCGAGTTAATCGTAGATAGGGGGCGTGCAATGCGAGAGTGTCTCCGCTCACGAAGGGCATAAGCAGAAGTAGAGCGGGGCATTGCAGCTTGAGTTTCCACAAACACGTCGTATTGCCGCTGTTCAGCCTTAATTTTCGCCTGCTCAGAACTGATGTACGTAGTGAAAACACGCTGCTTTAGCATTGTCTTGCTCACACCTACTGTCTCACGATTTGCAGCTTCCTTGATTGCCTTGCGGTCCCATTGGTAGAGACGTGTATCAGGGTTCACAATAAAGTCGTACTGTGTGTATAACTTGGCGAGTAGCTCGTCATTGAAATCGCTACCAAAAAGGATCTCACTTCGCAGGTTCTTCACCAAATTGAATGCATATCGACGCTTGTCGAAGTTGATGAGCTCAGGAGTGTCTACAGCCATATTGGGAATATAGCAAACGATTTCCAATAGACGTTCAATGATCCAACCCACACACGGCGTAATGGGCTCAATATGATCAGTTTTGCTAGAAAGCCTCTCAATTGGAATGACAGGAATAAACAAAGTACACGCATTGGGAAGATCGTCAATCTGGGGATCAAACCCGTCGCAGTCGGTAGCCACCCTAGCTCCTGCATTAAGCCAAGCAATATTGTACATTCGCGACTCCGGACGAAGAATGCCATCGATGATGGCGGTTTCTAAAAATGAAGGAACTCTTGAAATACCATCGTTTTTGGCTTCAGGGAACATATCCAAAAATCGCATACGAGTCCGGAGAATCCCAAGCATCTTCAAGATGGCAGTCATACGCTGGACACGATCTTGGCCTGTCAGATGAAGCAACGGGTCACTCACCTGGTGGCAGAAATAATCAGCCATACTATGATGCAACTTGATAAGCTCTTGAACGGCAGGGGGAAGCGTTTTGACAAATGAGTGGTCAGGAGACGTCCGGTACAAAGTTGACAGATAGGTGTAAATATTACCGACGGGAAGAGTTTCTTCATTCGTATTCGAAGACCACGAATAATTGAAGAGCGCGGTAGTATCCGAAACCTGCAGCTCTAAGGCCTCGAAAAGTTGCATCCAGTCTTGCATGGTAACTCTGCTCACTACATCAGCAACCAGTACATCCAAATCCTCTAGGTACTTTTCGAGAGGGACAAGACTATCATTAGAAAGCTGCAATTGCTGCCCACCCATGAGGGGTACCAAGTGACGGCCTACGGGCTTTGGAATTGCTCTAAGTTGAGGCAGTGGGGAAGTGATCTGGAAGCATTGCTTCGTGAAATAAGCGTACACCCGTCTGGCGAGATCCTGCAAGCCATCTGAGAACACAGGTTCGCTGGTGCGATTCAATATATCACTTAAAAGAACAGTCGTGTTGTTCCTAAGCATACTATCGGCAGCGAAATCAACAAAGTGTTTTGACTCCCAGAATTGAATTGCTTCAAGAATGTTCGTGTAAATTTGAGACATTATACCAACAACCTGAGGGTTTTGTAAAACATCGTCAGGATATACCTTCCATTGCGGGAAAGACTCATTGGGATCATTGGACCTATTCAGGATCGACATTGCCGCACCTGAGGCAGCTTGGAAGCGCGTTCGGATCATTGACAATAGCTCAAGGGGAGAACAGAAACTTCTGAAAGTAGCAAAGAAAGTTTCCGTATGCAATGGCAGATCCATTTTGAAAGAAAAGCTGCTACCAGGAGGTGTAAACTCTGTAGTTCCTAGTACGAGTACATCCACAAGACGAGGCAAGGAAGCAGCTTTCACCACAATATTTAATGGCCGAGTGCTTTGTTCCTGTGACAAGCGAGCAAGCTCCAAACTTTGAATTGAGAGTCTATTACTGTCAAACATCATACTGCGGCGGCCGAGATTCTCAATAATTGATGAGGTTCGAGAGCCTTGTAGGTCCTCCTCAAAAGACTTGAAGACCAGATTACTGTCGACTGCGTGCGTTTTTATTCCCATATTCAATAGATCACGAATGCTCTTGACCAGGACGTGCCCAGATTGGTTCTCCATCATATATTCTCGAGTACCCAACTCAAGCTCTCTGTTTCCGGTTGTGGGAGGGGGGAAAGAGTTAGAACGAGTAGGTAGAGGCCGTCTCATCGAGTTCGGGCTAGAGATGTTACTGCGCACACCAGTCCGGAGCTCAGTGGTAGTACCGGGATTTGGGGAGCGTAAGAACGACGAGTTCTGACTCAAAGATCTGCAGTAGGTAGAAGCTGCAGTCATGAGTGATGTTCGTGAAAAAAGCTTGAAACTAGGGCACACCTCAGTGAACATGACCGGTAAAAAGCTACCATTAAAAAGTGGCAATGTCTGATTGTAGTGATAGTTGAGATAATGACCGAGAGGTTTTGGTTCAAGAGAGAGGGAAGCGGCCTCTAAAGATAACAAAAGGTCCGGAGAAGTAGAGGATAGATTTGCCCAACGACTCAGAAGTTGTTGAAATATTGGCTCAACTGGTACATCAGGAGGAGGGTTCTCCATATCTGGGGCGTTGTCAAAGTAGAAATGCCAGCCATCCACTACGCCACTAGCTCGCTCGATAATCTGTCGTACCTGCTGGAAATCCGTTTTCCCAACAATAGATACAATAATATCACCAAAGTACGGTACACACCGCGAATTTGGATATGATTCGCCCATATCATCTGTTGAAGCTCTGAAGGTTGTTTTTGACAACAAGTCCATTTTGGAGCGTTTGTCGAGCTCAAACGCTTCAAACGCCCAATCATTGCTAACTTTTGCTCTTAATACAGGGTCAACATAGGCCCATGTATCTTTGAGGCGTAATATCGGTGTGCGACACATAGTGGTAACGATAGCTACCCAGCCAACAATATCCCCGAGTTCATGAAGTTTTTCACCAAGTAGAATCCATTGCTGTATAAGTGAACCTCTCTGGGAAGCTTGAAGTTTTGAATTGATGATGTGATTGAGTAAAATCCGCCCCAAAAAGTGCGGAGTTGTCAAGTCGAACATCAGCGCATTGTACTGCCATGCAGCGTTTGGATCATGTGAGCGATGGAAAATAAGAGAGACATCAACTAATGGTGACCACTGCTGCCATAGGAATCTGTGATAATGGGCTGTTTGATAGGCCAAAGCATCGATAAATTCCGGGTCAAGGAATAGCTCTGGGGGGATGACAAGGTCAGGCAAGGATTGCAGCTGCTGGACTCGTTCGAGAATATGGGTGTTGAGACTACCACCAAACGCCGTTTGCTGAGGCCCTTTGAGCAAATTTGTGAGAGATTCGTGGCATTTGTAAATTTCCAATTTGAGCGCGGTAGACGTGTGCTCATCGACGGTCCCAAGAGAAGTTGCAAGCTGCTGCAGACCGAGGTGGCTGGATTGGTTTAAAACAACACCTGGTGTAGCATCGATTAGGGTGTGGATGATGAGCTGGACGCGTGACGGCAGTGCGGAGTTGGGGTCACCGAGCTGTCGCGAAGCCACCAGGTCGCAGTACTCCTTGAGAATAGCTAAGTTGGACGAAAGCGTGCCATAAAAAGGCAAAGTTATAATAATAGCAGCCAGTGTTTCGTGATCGGCAGTCGAAAACAGCACATAGTGGCAAAGAGCCTCACAGGACCCGTCCACGACCTCATGGGTGTCCGGATCGAGGACAAGCTCTGGGTGAGGTTCAGCGCTCTTGTGCGACAAACTCACGTCCTGTATTTCATGCAATGGGTTCGAGGGATGGTCAATATGTAAACTGGCCACCCCAGAAACGAGCGGCGAGCACGCAGGTGTGCTTTGCGGCTCCAGAGACGGGTCGAACGCGCGAATGCCTAAAGACTGCGCAGAGGACACAGAAAGCTGTCCGTTCATCAAACATGATTTAACCAATTTCCAATGGTACCCTTGCTGTTTGCTCGAAAAAAACCCGTTCGTAGGTGTGTGTCGGTTGAGCCATCCGACCTTGACACCTGGTTCAACAGGACTAGCCATTGGTAAGCTGATACGCAGCGCTCGCAAGGGTTATTGTGGGTATTAAACAGTACACATGGTTTGTGCATGTGGGCGGAAAATACGTGAAACGGCTGGCAAAGTGAATAAAAAATTCGCCATCACGGAAATAATAATCAAATTTCATGTTACTTGCTGTTTTGGCTAGTATAGCACTATAATGGCGTATATAGTATTTGCGTGACGTACTTGGAGGAATAACGGGAAACGGAGGCCACTGCCAGAACATTATGGCGGATTGAGGTTGTAGCAAGATGGTTCAGAATGACATGGTTGGGGATAGGTAAGACGGAATTATTATCTTTTTCGTTCCAATTTGCATTCAAAATTACACCATCGAGATGGGGTGGCAGTTGCGGCGGCGTGGTGAAATCTTGGCTGGAGAGTCTGTCCAGAGCTTCAATATTGGCAAAAATTTCGGGGATTACCTGCACATACTCCAGTTCCTCCTCCGGCACCTCCTCCTCTTCTTCGACTGCCCAATATTCAAGCCCGTTACGGGGCTGAACCTCCATATAATTTAGTAGGTTGCCCATAGAGTCCGTAGCTGTGTACATATAGTCTGACGTTCTGAGCTCGCCATCAACAACGAACCGCAAGCGGTGGGTGCCCGGGGCGAGTTTCAGAACAACCGTGAACTTGCCAGGCTCGTTTTGGTGGAGAGGAATCATTTGTCTCCAGCCCGTGAACGAGCCTGTGACGTAGACATCATTTCCGCCTTGCTTCCACTCAATGACAGTCTCAACCAGTCCCTCGGAACCAGTGTTCTGTGCAGGCATGCGCTCCAGTTCCAGCTGGTCGCCTGACGCCGCTCTAGACATGGGACCATCCGGATCTGCAGCGGCGTCACGCATATTAATGTCCTCGTCTTCGCCCTCAAGCATCAGCGTGGATCGGCGACGGGCGCGTGGTCGCGGTGAGCTGCCCTCTTCGCTTGTGAGAGGCTTCAGAACTGGCAAACCCGAACTATTGGCGTCTGCAGGCATGCCCCTGTGGTCTGGGTCCTCCCCCTCAAGGAACGGCTGTACCCGCGGCGACACAGGCGGGGATATCCCTGGCGGGTTCGAACCCTCTATGTTTATTGGCGCAGGTGATTCGGGAGCATTGTATTCTCCTCCTTCGCCCTCGTGTAGCATCGTGTCTTGTGACGACGAGTTGCCCATATCGTGTGTCATCCCCACAACCTGACAATGGCCGTCGGCTGGGAGATGACTCAAAGGTAGCCTAACATCCCCTCGCGGTTTTTTTCTTACTCCAAAATGAACGCCGAAGAACGCTTGAACTTTATCACCAGAAATCTGCAGGAGGTGCTCAATAAACCGATTATTGAAAAGATCCTGGCTGATGGCGAGCATCCCCGTATTTACTGGGGCACTGCACCCACCGGTAAGCCTCACTGTGGCTACCTGGTAGCCATGACCAAACTGGCTGATTTCCTCAAAGCCGACTGCTCTGTTATCGTTTTGTTGGCTGACCTGCATGCCTTTTTGGATTCAAAACCAGATGAGGTGGTTTTGCAGTACCGCGTCAAATACTATTCAATGGTAGTCAAGGCCATGCTCACTGCCCTTGGTGTGCCTACTGAAAAACTCGAGTTCAGACTGGGCCGGGACTACCAACTTACTGGAGAGTACGTTATGGATCTTTTCCGCATGAGCAACATCACTAGCGTGAACGATGCCAAGCGTGCTGGTGCCGAAGTGGTCAAGCAGACGGACAACCCTGCTCTGTCGGGCCTTATTTACCCATTGATGCAGGCATTAGATGAGGAGTATCTTAAGGTGGACATTCAGTTCGGCGGTGTTGATCAACGTAAGATCTTTGTGCTGGCTGAAGAATATCTGCCTCCGCTGGGATACAAAAAGAGAGCCCATTTGATGAATCCTATGGTGCCCGGTCTTGGTCAGGGCGGTAAAATGTCTGCCTCCGACCCCAACTCTAAAATCGATCTCGTCGAGGATCCTGCGGTGGTTAAGAAGAAGATCTCCAAGTCCTTTGCTGCTCCTGGCGTTGTCGAGGGCAACGGTTTGATTGGCTTTGTACAGTACGTCATCTTGCCCGTTGGCGATATCCGCGATGGTAAGCCTGAGTTTTTCATTAACCGTGATGAGAAATGGGGCGGCCCAATCACATACACCAATATTGAAGATCTCAAGCGTGATTATGCCGAGGAGAAACTGTCTCCTGCTGACCTCAAGATTGGTGTCACCGATTCAATCAACAGTCTGCTCAAACCAATGCGTGAAATGCTGCTTGACAACCCCGAGTTCATCGAAATCGAGCAAAAGGCCTACCCTCCTCCCGAGGAAAAGACCAAAAAGGTCAAGAAGGTCAAGAAAGATAAGGGCTCCCGCTACCCTGGTGGCCAGGCTCCTGTCGCGCCAGAGGCGGTGGTTGCATCCGCAGAGCAGGCCGCCCAAGAGTTCGAAAAGCTTGAGCTAAAACAATAAGTTATAGACACACTTCAGCTAATTGAAATAAGAATTTATTTTAGCTGTTATCTACAAAGTTTCCCAGCCGCCTTGATTGGTGGTGGCATCAAGTTTTCGGGCAATGAACGATGCAATACCATTTTCGAGCCAAATCGTCCTCGTGATATTATCGTATCTTGACACTTGCAGATAGTGCGGCCTGCCACGGCGCATATGTTCGTCCACTTCTCCGTGAAGGTCAAGATACGGCGCCTCGGTAAAGCTTCCGCGTTGGTCAGGTAGAAGATAGAGAAGCATGTTTCGCTTAGGCTGCAGGAACATACCGTAAACCTCCATGCACTGGGCAATATGGCGATTACAGGGGCCTCGGTCGCGCTCAAAGGTCTGTACACCCATAATTGCTCCACAGAACAGGCAGACAGTAGGATCGCTTGGTAACTCAGTATGCTCCGGATCGTTGAAAAACATATCCAGTCTTTCAGGTAATTGAATCAACTGGTGTAGGCCACCAAAGGGTGGTGGAACAAGCTTAATATCTTCCCACAGTGGTCCGTATTCCGGACGCATTTGTTCAATAATTGCGCTCTGCAATTCCGGTAGAAGCAGGAACTTGGATAAACGCTCGCTCTCAGGAAAGTGCATTATGCCATTATACTCATTAGGATCGTAAACTCCACACAAGCCATGGATTACCAACGCTGCCCGACGTAAACCGACTGTAACGTGCCTATCCAACATTGCGTAAACCACTCGGGGGTTATGAGGAGTCATGCTCGCGAGTAATCCTTCAATTTGACAGTTTGTTGCCGGAGCTGATACCACATCAAGGCTGGGTACATTTCTGACCCAACGAATGAATTGCCAGATAAGACTTGACTCATAAATTCTGAGCAAAGCCGAGGGCTCCAGATCAAACATTGGACCAGCAATAAACAAGGATTCAACAAAAGTATCAAAAGGAGCTACCTCAAAATCATTGTGTTTATACCCCACAAAAAGCGGGTAGCTCTTTTGGAATTCCGAATTAGCAGGCTCGTTGTCAAGCTGCCGTTTGATTGACACGCCAAGCATGTTGCGAAGAAACTGCGTCAATACACGCAAAAATTGAAGAGACTGTTGCGACAATTGATCGATGACAAGACCTCCCTCCGAGCTCTCGTATGAAACACCGCGCAGAGCAATCTCCATACTGGCAACTGTTGCGCTGTACGCCCGCGTCAAAATCCTGTTGGTTCCCATAGAGGTGGTGGGTTTTGGTTGGTTAGACGTTAGTCTCATAATGGAAACAAGCACAGCTGCATGGACTTCATGGCTGAAGCTATAATCAAATCCTTGGGATTCTGCAAACGCCTCAACAAATCTTGGTTGCAACTCCTTGAAGGAATGCTTTATCACATCAATCAAGCTTCCTGGTGGTAACTGCCCCTCTTCCATACGAAGAACTTTACTAAAAGCGTCATGCACTGAATGAGAAAGCTGAAGATACTGGTGGGCACTCAATCGATTCGGTTTCCACATTACAGGCATAAACGCGTTATTCAGGCCTCGGCAAAGAGCACACAAATATTCGACTTTTGACACATTCTCTGGTGTCGCTCTAGTCAAACCAGGGCGTTGTCTTTGTTGCTGAATATGCTCTTGGTAACATTTGAAATGAACACCATGGCCACACCCCGTCACTATCTGTGAGATATCCGAATGCTCGTTAGGAAAAGCAGGACCAATTATTTTTTCCACATACTGGCCCTGGATCTCCTTCCAACGTCGTGTTTGAATAGCAGGTGAGGGAGTATTCTGTTTGGTATCTAAGCTTGACGTATCCGCCGAATAAGCTTGGCCAAGCCAGTACTCGTCTTCAAGCGGCTGAGTGCGAGCGGTCCTTGAATCCGTGATGTAAGTCATTATACCGAAAATTGAGTCTTCATTATCCGGAAGTTGACAAAGTACACACTGACTGGTCGGATATTCCCACGCAACACCATCTTGAGAGCCATCCTCTGCCATTGCCATTTCACTGTCGTCACCCAAGTCGTCATCATCACCGTCATCCATATTTTCAAGGGTCTGCATTGAAAACAAGGCTTGTTGGCGACGGAGCTCCTCCATAGCTTTAGCACGCATCTCTTTGCCTTTTCGTTTTTTCCGCTCCGCCTCACTCTCGCCTGAATCGTTAACACTGGCCGAGATGCTCGGTATGTTGAGAGGGCTCTTCTGGTGTAAAAGCTGGAACAAGCGCTGGATACGAGGGTGAAGTGTATGATACTGAGATTTCTGAAGCAACCTCTGGAGAAGATCGATGAAAGAAGCACCTCCCCGCTCATTTGGAACGCTGGCCCACGCTGAAATACTAGGGAACATTTCATCATTGTTTTCGATTTCACCAGAAGTATCCAGATCATCTTGGGCAGCCACAAGTAAAAGGTATAATGCTTTTCCAACAACGGTTTCTGAGTGGTCTCTTGCAGCAGCACTTTTTGATTTCTTCGAGCTGTCTCCAGACGCAGATCGCTCCGGATCTTCAGAAACCTTCTCTTCGGTGAAAGGCTCAAACAGGTCGTACATGAACCTCGCAAACACCACAGTTTTTGTAAATCCACCTAGGTGACACCAGGGTTCGGATAGCTTTTCTAGTGGCGGTAAATGAACGATTTGCGCTTTGGGAACACCCGTCAGAAGAGAGAGCTTCTCGACGATGCGCTGCTCTGCATCATCCATCTTTGCCTGTGAGAAATGCGTGTAATGCGTGTCGAACTTTTGGAGGTACTCTGGTTTCAAAGTGTATACACCGACATCCCGAACTCCCTTGGGTGGAACGAAATCTGCACAGCGTTTCAAAACGAGTTCAAAAAGGTCTTCGCAGACCAACATGCTTTCAGGAATGGTCTTTGTCATTTCGCTGAAACTCATCGCATGGAAGGTGAGACACTGGATAATTTCCCTCTCGAACAAGCGCTCTTTAAGAGTGATTTCATCTAATCCAAGCAGATGAAGACGGTCAGTTAGAAGGAACGTCAAAAGGTGTAGGAACTCTTCGAGCATATAATACCGCTGATCTTCGTCAAATAAGGAATCGTTTCTCCAATCGATCATATTGTATCGTTGCAGTAGCTGGACAAATGCAGCGTTAGGCTCCAAGCTTACAAGCGCAACCTGGGTCATGAAAATGTCCCGTGAATAGGCTAGATCTCTTAGAGTTGTTTCACGATAATGCGTAAGCTGACTTCGTACAGCGTATCCATTCCGAACCCATAGCCCCACATGAATTTGTGACAAAAGGCCCATGGTCCGAATGCTGCTGTCGAAAACAAGAGCTTCTAAAAGACCTGCTGGCACATCAGTGCGAATTTCTTTTTTGATGTTGTCCACTTGAGAGAACAAAACATCCCTCAAATCAGCTAAAGTGGGCACTCTCGAATATTCAATAAACCAAGACAGGAAAACATGGACTGGGTGGTGCAAACTCACCGGATGACGATCCACAGTAATAGCGTTGTAGTTGCATAGAATATCTTTACCGCCATACTGCGCCATCAACGAATTGTATTCAAACACTTTGCTTTCAATGAGGACCTTGACGATGGTTCTGTAAGACCATCTAATCATTAAAGCAGATATACAAGAGATGCTCTCACGTACTTGGTCGAAAGTGCACTCCAATGCACCACTGGCAATTGCATTTGCCAGCTGATGTACAAAAGGCATAGTGGTAAAGAAATAGACCCATGTCTCATTTTCGTACTCGACATGGGTGTCCAGCTGTCTTATCATGGGTGTCAAGCTCTGGAAAAGAGACAAGAAATCTGCCGCCTGACGCATCCGATATGGGCTACCAACCACAGCCACCTTGTTCGTGTTTCGGTTGAGTAAAAATTCGATTTCATGGAAGAGCTGTCCGAGTCGCCGGTTTCTGAAAATGGGCGATTGGATCTGGAGTCTAGCGTCAGTGGTGATAGTCGACGCAGATGCGACCTGGTTCTTGTCAAATAAAGTAAACAGTGCAGCAAAGTAGCGTGAAAAATGAGAGCCAACAGAAAGCTCTGTGGCGATAGAAGGTGTGGTGAATAGCTGCGTACTCAAAGATGTGATTATCGAGACTTCTGGCTCGCGATCAGTCATAACATAAAGCTCAGCAATAACAGGATAAATGCCTGCATAAATAGCACCCAGCTTGGCCTTGAGTTCGGCATTAGAAACCATGCTCGTCAGGTAGAGATCACATAGAACTGATCGAAGTGTTTTCCAAAGTCTTACATCGAAAAATAGAAGATACTTCACTCTCGCATCAGGGCCAGGCTCGGAAATACACTTAGGGGTATCATGCCATATTGGTGAATATGGTATCATATTATCACTCATTTCAAGTGTATCAATAGACTGAAGAGACTGGAGAGCACCGTAAGACATTGTTCTTAAAGTCATCTCAGATGATTCATCCTGAACAGGAATATTGATATTCACATGCGGTAAAGTATCAACGGTCGGTACATTTTGGCCATTCAGTAGAGCATGTCGCCAAATCGGGAGCGCGTAGTCAGGTTTCAAAACTGAAACGGGGAAGTCAACGATACCTGATGGTAGTGGACCCTCAGAGCCGGCTTCTGAGCGTATATACTTGTTTCCTACCCTCCAGGGATTGGCGAGAGCCTCACCGACTAATCTCGTTAAAAGGGTCGGATCGCAGTTGCGTAATTGAGCTTGACTGATATCGTTCAACCAGCGAATAATCTCATCTGACATTTCTTCCCGAATGAAATCACGAACACTTCGAATTGTTGAAGTGAAGAGTTTTATAGTTGATTTCTGTAAAATCAATCGATTGCAATCAGACGAAACGGCTAGCCTTGCCCGACCATGGCCATCGACTTCGTTTGCGACCATGCAGCCAAAATCATGAGGGCGGCCAGTGGCCACACGAATTGCCAGCACAGCATCCTGGACAGATCTTCGATCGTCGTTCCATAGCGAAAGTACGTATTTGTTTGTCTGAGTATCCTTCATACCATAAACCTCCTCGTCCAATTCGGCATCGCGCTCGTTTGCATAAACTTGTTCCGCGGTATTGTAAAACTGGAGAGACGGGTGCGCAGAGCTGAACACATCAATAACAAAATCCAGTGCAATACTGAAACACTCAAGCAGAGAGTGTGCCAACTCGTCAGGTACCTGCTGAAAGGAATCTAGCTCCTGTTCTGCCTTGCAATGGAGTTTGGCCTTCCAGGCTTCTTGGTCACCACAGTCACAGATGCCGCCGTCGTCTCGATGCCCAATTTTAACGAAAACATTGTGGTCAACATGGTCTGCCTCGTTGAAGCAGAATTTGCATAAAACACATGTTTCGTCAAGGCCACAGGTCAGACATCTGAACGTAGGTTCACCCCTTCTTAACTTTCGCACGCAGGGCCTTCCATAGTGGCTGTGTGTTTTCTCATGCGCTATCCAGTCCTCAGGCTTGATATCCTTTGCTGGAATACCATTATCACTGATCCAATCCATGTATTTCCCGTTTACGGTGGCGACTTTGAACAAAAAGTCTCGTAAACATGTTCTAATCTGCTTGATTCGTCGATGGTCATACTCAAACTCTTGCGGAATCAGCAGCAAAAGTCGCCGAAAGTTCTCAACTGTAGCTTCCATCGACCAATCTTTCGCTTTTGTTCCTTTTTTTGATTCAGACCACCGCAAACTCTGTGAATCAAAGGACTTGAGGTGGATCACTTACTCAGCAAAAAGCTGGGGCTCGAAAAGTATATCTACTGAGAATGTAGAGTGCTCTAAAGAAACTTTAGGAATATATTTTAGAAAGCCTTGCCCGGCGTGAGCACAAAATGTGTAATGGCAGTCATCATGACAGCTCTACCAGGAAGAGCAGTTAGCTGGATTGGAGACATTTTACTCCTCCTCGTCATCGGCGGTAATATAGCGACCACGGATATCTTTCCATTGCTTGCCCTTGTTCAAGCTATCGAAGATTTTGTCAACGGTGTTGTGGAAAGCAATGTCGTAGACAAAGGCAGTAGCGAAGATGGATCCAACGAAAACCGCGTTGCGGCGGAAAACGACGTTGTAAAGGCTCGAAGCGAACGACTGGGTTAGTTTTTCCTGCTCAAAATTAAAGTATGACGGGTCCAGGACATTCAGGCAATTTTCTTTCGTATGTTCCGGTGGCTTTCTAGGTCTTGGTTCGGGCCGTCAAATACTCTTTCAACTTACCATTTGGTGATGTGTGAGAGTTCTAACCATCGCTATTGGCTAATACATAAGCTTACCCTGAAGTTGCACCAAGCGCGACCGCTTACCCAAGGCTAGCTCTGATAGAACTATCTGCTAGTAAAGAGCGCCGTTACTGCGATAATAGTTATCGCCGTGAAAGGTATATAGTTTATAGGCTGAACGCAGTACATAATGAGTACTACACAACAAACACAACATCTCTTGCACCGCCCATCAAAGACGTGAAACAAGCCGTCGCGCGGAAAGGTATCCACTTGAGCATTCAAAAGTATCTATTCTTCTAAACAGAGCGCATGGTAGAGATCATAACTATCATCTCAGAGAATGTGGCTAATAGGAGACCATACGGAATGAACGTTCGTAGTCTCTTAATCTCGCTGCTTGTCTCGCTCGTGCTTTTCTCTATTCAAATCATTGTTTTTTCTTTACTGCGGAAGCGTTTCAGGGAAATATACGAGCCTAAAGCTTTTAGTGTACCCCAACAAATGAGAGTTACGCCTCCACCCTCTAAAATTTTCGCTTGGATCCCTGCCACATTGAAACAACCTCTTGAAAGTGTCAAACAAAATTCTGGGCTCGATGCCTATTTCCTATTGCGTCTCATAATCTTTTTACTCCTGTTAAACTGCGGAATTGCAGCTATCATGGCGCCTGTGCTGCTTCCCCTCCACATACTCGGTGGTGGTACGGCAGCTACCGCTTGGCTTGCAAAACTCTCAATATCAAACATTTCCGAGGAAAATAACCGATTTCTAACAGCCCACTTAGTGCTTTGTATTTTTACAGTCACATCCTGTCTTGCTGCCATTTACTTTGAGCTCCAAACGTATTATTACATTCGAGCGAAATACACCGTGGAGGATCACGCTCCGTTGTCTTCTGCCACACTACTTGTCAAGGGATTATATCCCGAATTTCGCACGCATGCAGCGGTCCAATCTTTTTTCGACGGGGTTCCTGGGAAAATAGTTCGAATCTGGTTCAACCGAGATTATAGCGAACTGTCAAACTTGGTCTCTCAGCAAGATGCAGTGCTAAGACGGCTTGAGTACCTGGAAACCTGGCTCATAAAAAAATGTCAGAAAAACTCTTCACAACCTTCTGAGCCGCCTGGGGAGGAAGTTATAGAGACTGGTCCTCGCTGGCGTTCTTTTATCACTGAGTCTAAAGCTAGCTTCTGGACCAAGTATCAACTAAATACATTGGCATGGTTCAAAAGTGAGCTCAGTCGTTTAAACTCACAGGTTTATCTGTTGCAAAGTCAAGAGGGAATGTTCGAGCCAGTCAATTCCTGCTTTGTGCAGTTTGAAAGTCGTGTAGCATGCTTCATGGCTTATCGTTCAATTCATACATCCCATGGCCGAGATAAAATGACATTAGGTGTGTCCTATACTGATCAGGTTTATCCAAGTGATGTGGTGTGGTCGAACTTGAGCAAACCAACATGTCTGGAACGTGTTTTGCATGTGACCTCTGCTCTGCTAGACTATACACTCATTTTTGGGTGGGCAATCCCGATAGCCCTTGTAAGCATGGTAACTCAATTGGAAACCTTGTCACAGCTGGTTCCTGAGCTCCAATGGTTATTGCAGTTTCCGAGGGTGTCGCGCATGATGTCGAGTATCGTCTCACCACTTGCACTGTCGTGGCTAACAAGTCAAGTTCCGCACATTTTCCGTGCTTTGGCGAGATTGAAAGGATATCCTACACAAGCATTGATTGAAAAGGATGTACAAAAATACTACTTTCTTTTCTTGTTTGTCCAATTGTTTTTGATTGTAACTTTGGCCACTGGTCTTCCCACATTGATTGTTCGCATGCTGGTAAATACTAGTGAAGGTGCAATATCTCTTGCCAGTAGTCTACCAAGAGCAACAAACTTTTTCATGTCGTACCTGATCGCGAGCTGCTTTATGACATCAGGTAACGCGCTTTTAAGAATCGAGACCTTGTCGCGCAGAGCTTGGCAAGGGCTGTGGCACGTGAGTCCAAGAGCCCGTCTAAAAGTATTTTTACATTTTAGTTCTATTCCATGGGGAAGTGTGTTCCCTCTCCTCACGAATGTGTGTGCTATTTCACTCACTTATGCGCTTATAAGCCCTGTCATTCTGTTTTGTGCCGTTATAGGCTACTGCTTGCTGTTTATCTCCTACAAGTATTGCATACTATATTGCCATGTTCCCAAAAGCAACTCAGATGGTGAATACTATCCTAGAGCTCTTTTTCAGCTTCTATCTGGAGTCTATTGTCAGGAGCTCAGCCTGCTGGGAACCTTACTGCTACGAAACTTGCTCGTGCACGCCATGATAATGGCAGGTTTGATAGCTTTGACCATCTTTGCAAACTACTACTTAACATGCATGTCACTAGACCTCGATGTCAGAATGCCCCTTGCTAGCCAAGTACAGTCGCCGAGCTCCAGCATGACGTCCTCAACCTTCGTAGAGTCCGGTGATTTTCTCACTTCACCAAGTACAGCTGACGTGGGCGATCAACTGCACATTCTATTTCACAACCTTGAGTACAATTTCTCCAAGCTATCAGAGCATCAACGGAGCTTCATATCAGACAAGCTGTACGAGCATCCTGTTCTGAGGCGCCAAAGACCTTGTGTCTGGCTCCCGCGCGACTCGAATGGGGTTGCCAAAGATGAAGTGCAACAACTACAGACCGATTTCTCAGATATGCGAGCCTCCTGTGTTGGCGCAGATTTGACTGATAAGGGGCAGATAGTTCTTCGCCGGTGTCCGCCCGATTTTGACTTGCGGGATTTGATGAGAACATGAGAAATGTGTGTAACTATATATCGACTCTCTGATAAATGTAACTATTAGCTAAAAATCATAGCTGTAAATTAGGCGGAAGGCAACTTGTCATGTTTCTCAGAGAATTTTTGGAAATTAATCTTGTTGCGCTCACCAACCAGCTTGACCTGTAGATATAAGTGGTCAGGGTAGTCGAGACGCTCCAAGAAGAGCTCGACAAGCTGCGGCTTTTTGCTTTGCTGGAAAGAGGGGTTCCTGACCAGATCCAAGAATTCTTCAGCAGTGCGAATCTGGTAGTTCTCGACCTCGCCCTCCTTGGCACCGAAGGCCTCCATGACCTTGGTCCAGTTCCAATGGGCGATATCGTTATAGTCGAGATCCTCATTCCAAATCGAGCGCTCAATGGCGTAACCGTCATTGTTGACTAGGAAAATGGTCACAGGAAGCTTCTTGCGAACAATGGTGCTGATTTCCTGAGCGGTGACCTGGGCAGATCCATCACCCTCCAGAAGAGTGACACGACGGCCAGGGCAGCCCATAGCAACGCCAGCAGCCGCAGGCAAAGCATATCCAATAGACTCGTAGAATACTTGAGTGAAGAACTTGGCACCCTTCTTGAGCTTAACGTCCATAGCGAAGAACTGAGAAGTACCTGTTTCAGCAATCAGGAATCCGTCCTCCTGTACGGCTTCGGAAAGAAGCTTGGGCATCATAATCTGGTGAAGCGGACCCTTCAATTCGACGTCGCTGAACTCAGCAACAGGTTTCTCAGCGGACTTGGGGGTGAAACCAGATTCGAGCTTGGCAATAAGTCTTTCCAGAACGTGAACAAAGTTCACATCCTCGTAAAGCTTACCGAAGACTTTAGCATTTTGTTTGTTGATCATAATCAACTTTTCGTCCTTAATTTCGCGGCTGTAGCCTCCTGAGTTGGAGTCAGTGATGTTGGGGCCAACATTGAACACGAAATCAGCACCCTCGACGTTCTTCCAAACGGCCTCAAGGCACAGATGACCATTATAGCAACCAACAAACTGGGGGTGAGACTCATCGATACTCGATTTGCCCAGCAATGTTGTGAAGCCCCAGGCCTTGGTCAGGTCAAGAACCTTGTGCAGGTAGCTCTGCAAGTTGAAACGCTCCGCATACATATCGGAGAGAAGTGCAACTGTCTTGGCTTTGTCCAGAGCATTGTAAATGGCATCGACAACCTCATCGGTCAATGGGCTAACGTCGATAGCAGTGTTGAGGGGACGCTTCAGATCCTCCTCATCGACTGGCAGTCCAACCATATCGAATGGCACCCACAGAATGGCGGGTTTGTTCCATTTAATGGATTCCGCAATCACATGGTCAATCTGCTTGGTAGCAGTGCTCAGATCCCAAAGGGCCTCAGCAGCAACGCAGTAAGGGCGGCTCGATTGCTCGTACATAGCGTGGTCATTGGGCAGGTATCCCTTGATCTGGGGAGGGGCATGGTGACAGACATAGTGGTTTTCCTGGTAAACACGGGAGGTAGTACCCACGAGGTGGATAATTGGGACATCTTCCGAGTTTGCGCCAGCAAGACCGTTAATGGCACACAGCTCACCAACACCATAGGTACTGCTGAAGACAGCAGGGATGCGCTTGGAGCGGGCGAGACCATCGGCGGCATAGATGCCGTTCAATTCGTTGCATGTGCCAACGTACTGGAGTCCATCGACCTCGTAGATATAGTCGAGCATTGGCATGCTGTAGTCGCCGGGCACGCCCAGTACTTGTTCGACACCAAGGGAACGAAGACGCAGGAAGATGTATTTCGCAAGAGGAACAGTCATTGAGTTCTTAAAACTTTTCGGTCAGAACGAACAGTTGGGAGTTCAAACCGACCAACCTGGCCCTTAAATAGCTCCTCCTGATCTATCAATCATGCATATTATTCCGCAACCTAGCCCTGGTGTTTAGTTCCGCCATTCAGTAAAACCCTTGAGGAATTGCCGAGAGCTTGAAGTTCAGCTCATAGCATACTATCGAGACATGTTCTTTTCGTTGGCAAAGCCTCACGTAGTATAGATCGTACGGCTTTCCGGGTCAACGAAATTCGGGAATCTGCAGGGTCTGCAGCAAGCATGGGCTGAGCCGTTTTCATCACACCGCAACCAAAAAACCGCCCAGCGGATATGCGATATGTCAGTCAGATTACAATAATCAGAGGGTTTATTCCGAAAATATGCACTGATGAATGAATTTTTCAATAGAATAACTGAGCCAGGAAGGCCGTCCCGCGTGAGTTGCCGTACTGCGATTTACCAGTTGCTGCCAATCAGATAACTTTTAAATATCTATATAACACTTGTCGGCAGATATGCCAATACAGAACATTTCAAACTATGAACATGCTCAACACAATGCCACCACCATGTCCTTGTTCTGTTGCTCTCAAAGGAAAGGGTTCGGTGAAAATCATGTAAGAGGTGGCTCGCGTTTTTCAGAAAATGTCTATTTCTTTGATGTTTGACTGATTCCAAGTGTATGGAATCATCAATAGCCTGGATTATACTTGTATGATCCAAATCTGCTCTTGGTGCTCAACAGAATCACGAGAAGTGCTAATTGTGGGCAGGGGTATTGCAAAATTGCTGCATGACAACGCGATTTCAGTAACCTGACATCGGCTAGAGATGCGTCACGCCTAAACACGCACGCAGGTCCAAAAAAAGCGTAAGCGTGGTTTCGAGCGTGATTCAACTCACCTGTCAATTCCAGTCGATCCTTGATATTACTAAAAATTCGTTTAGCGGCAGTCGGATACGACACTTGGGCTTTGAGCGAAATTTCAAGATGAACGGCCGGCGGCTAAGATCATCCCTCTACATCAGGCTCAGGACCAAGTAGTTGTTACTTGTCAACATCTCGCCTATATTTGGCCGCTCGTTCAACAATGCATCCGATATTGAAAGCCGATTGTCTGCTATCAGCCCTGTTTCAGCTGGATCGCAATCCCGTAGAAGATGAGTGTCTTAATAGATCGCTCTACCGTGCTTGATCCCACGCTGAGCTCTGCGAATCGAGAATCGGCAGGCCAGCGCAGCTTAGTGCTTGTGTCATTCTGACAAGCTCGTTGAGGTGAAAGGAACAATACTGTCCCGTCTCAATGGATATGATGTAGTGCGAACAGGCTTCCTGCTGCCTCGACCTACGTTAATCACGTGCAGACCAAGGCAAATTTCGATAAAAGGGTTCTAGTAGCAACCTTCGATGCCAAAATTTATTTTGGAGCTCCCGATAAGATTTTAACGCTGCTGTCAGATTCCTGAACGAAATAAAGTACTGCTTTACGAACCAATTAAACTACGTGGCAGCTCCCATTCTGAGCGACGTTGTTTGTCTGGGTTAGGTCCGCAACGCTTCTATGCATAATGATGCAGCAGGGAAGGACCACATAAAAAACCGTAGACCCGCGTGGGCAATAACCCAGTGTAGCATATGGTGATTATCATTGGACCCCAGTTACGGTTTATCGACCTGGCGCTTTAATATAAAGACGCTAAACCCATGAATGGGGCCATACGTCGTAGGGTAAAGATGAATTCAAGCTTTAGCTTTAGGAGCATGACGACGCTAAATAGCCATTGATCCGATTTTTTACCCATTGAGTTTAGCTTTCCAAAGTGTAGTCCAACTTTTGCTTCAGGCATCCACGCCTGTACCCGGCTGCTTACCGATGGAGTTGAGTTCGAGCATGGGGTAAGCTGGTTTGTGCCTCTGTCATCATCAGTCGCTTTCAAGCATTTGAAAAATAGCGATTTTTTGAATATGACTGGAGCAAGAGAAGCAGATGCGCCAGCGAATGCTGGATCACCATCATCCACACCAACAGGAGAGAGTTCTAAGCGAAAGCGCCGCGTTTCAACTGGGGAATCCCGACGGAAGCGAAACCGCACTAAGGGATTGCTGAAATCCCTCATTTCACTGGAGCCCTACGATACAGATATTGCAGATAACGCGCAGATGGAGGAGTTCTGGGGTGAAAAGCTGCCGAGTAATGATAGTGAGGTGAAAGAAACTGAGGAAGAGATTGCCGCACGCAAAGAGGCCGAGCGAAAGGCCGCACTTCGGGAAGCAGAACTAGATGCCGAGCTGCCAGAAGAGTACCGCAGGTTCAGGCCCCGTGGCTATCGTTTCAATTTACCACCCACTGACCGTCCTGTTCGTATTTATGCCGACGGAGTCTTCGACCTGTTCCATTTGGGCCATATGAAACAGCTGGAGCAAGCCAAAAAGTCTCTGCCCAACGTCACCATGATTGTTGGTGTTCCTTCGGATAAACTCACACACAAGTACAAGGGATTGACGGTATTGGACGACAAGACTCGCTGTGAATCCCTTACTCACTGCCGCTGGGTCGACGAGGTCGTGCCAAACGCCCCATGGTCTGTAGACCAAGCATTCCTCGACAAGCACAAGATTGACTATGTTGCCCACGACGATCTTCCTTACCAATGCGACGGCGAAGCTGACGTCTATGCATTTGTCAAGGAAAAGGGGAAGTTCCTTGCCACGCAGCGGACAGAGGGTATTTCCACATCGGATATCATTACCAAAATTATCCGTGACTATGATTTATATTTGATGCGTAACTTTGCTCGTGGTGTTTCCAGAAAGGACCTTAATGTTTCGTGGCTCAAAAAGAATGAGCTTGATGTGAAGCGTCACGTCAATGCATTCAGAAAGTCATGGCAAGCCAATTTGAACAATACCACTAGGGACCTCTACGGCGATGCACTCGGCTTGATGCAGAGTGTGTTGAAATCAAAGGCATCCTCTGACGAATTCGAATCTTCGTACCAGGGGGGCTCGGGGTCGGACCTCAAACCGTCACGGACCTCTGGTGCTAACTCCAACCGGTTCCTTGACAAGGTCCGTGACTGGATTGACCAGCGGATTGAGTCTAACTCGGCAGCTCCCAGCGAAACAAACAGTGTGGCGGAGAGTGAAACGGCCAGTGCTCTTAATACTGACGATTCAAGTGACGAGGCCTCCGATGCCGAATCACAGGAGGAGAGTTGATCGTGAACATAGGACGGGGGGAAAAAAAGACAGTTTGCAGTCAATTATTGAGTGCAAATATTAGTGGTTTATAGATATATCAAGAGTACAAATAACTGATCAATGCCTCTGTGTGTTGGTCTTTGGCGTAATGCCGAACCCAGTTGTTGAACCCTCCTTCTAGAACATAGATCTCCTGGCCTTCGGGTGACTGACTAGCGTACAACGCTGCACACTTTGGGCCTCTTTGTTGAGACAACTGACAATGGAAAACTACTCTATCCCTGTCTTTAAGTTCCTGGTTGAGATAATGTAGATTCTGTGCAAAACTGGTTGAGGGTGAATTAATGGAGTTCCGGATGTGCCCACCGAATCTGTCACTGTCTCTAACATCTACGATGGCCGGGGGGTTACTTGACGATAGCCACTTATGCACTGTTTGTGCTGACACTTTCGCGGGCTTTGTGCGTGGCGCCATTGAACCGATTAAAGAGGTTTCCAAAGGAGATCAAATCTGAAACAAAAGGGTGTCCAGGAGGTTATACGTCAAGGTTCCTGCATATACTGTCGAGGGTTTACGTAATTACACTGCGGGATAGGCCATGCTGCGCGACCTGTAGAATAAATAAGAAATATATAAAAGAAACCTACCTTTTTCGTTTGAGCAGATCGGTCGCTCTGTGAGCACGTTTGCTTCTCGTGTGCTCCTTCTCTACAATCCACTTGTCCAGGCTGCTTTGATCTTTCCGACCCTTGTTTACCAATTGTCTTCGCTTGGTTTCTTCCACGACCGGCACTAGCAGATCATTAGTGTACTCTGGGCTCCAGCCAGCATGTCGCTCGAAAAATGCTTTTAGAGCTGCAATGTCTAAGGGTGCCCACTCGAATTTGGTATCATCTGGATCCACTACCGGGTGCTCGTAGGCCTCTGTGACTGCGGCTTCCGGGAAATTCTCGGGTAAAAACAACTTGGACTTGAATCTTTTGTAGAATTTGCGTTTAAATGGAGACGACAGGTTTTCATCGGTCGGACTCCTCTGAGCCACACTCCACCAGTCTCTAAAGTGCTCCAAGCTGCCGAACTCTGCAAGTAACTCGACACCTATTACGGGCCCAATGCCAAGTATGCCGTCTGTATAGTCAGAACCAAGAAGAAATGCCAATCCTATTAACCGAGATCGATCAAGACCGAGCTGCTCATTGATCTGGTCACTGCTGTAGCTCTCAACATATTTGGCCATGCTGAACATGTTGCGATAAACAAGAACTTCTCCAAACAAAAACGAATCGCCATCATCAGTAACAATGCCATCAACAAGGCCAAGAGTTTGAAGTTCTGCACATTGTGCTTCCGCCTCCATGGGCGCAGTAATGTAAGGAATTCCGAAAAGCTGCAAAAGCTCTTGACACTCTGAAACCATTTCGTCGGTGACTGTATCCGCATCACGTTGCTGATTAGCGAACTGCTGTTTCAGAGTTGTGATTTCTGTCTGATAAGCTGCACGGTCGGCGACGATGTTTAGAGCTTTGTTGAACCGTTCGGTTTCTTCAACTTCGCCTATCATCATGTCGGCCAGATCCTGATCCTCGTCTTCCTCAGCCAGGGCATCGGCCTCTGCAAGCATTATATCTTCTTCTGTTAAAACCTTGTTGCCATACTCTTCGGTGTGCTCTTCATCGGCTGTGGTAGGCGTCATCGCAGACTCGAACTCGGGCTCGACACGTTGGGGCTCGATAGTCTCAGCTTGCTCCACTGGCTCGGAATGGTTTGGAGAATCTTCTGTCAGGTCTAAAACTTCGACTGGTCCTGGTGGTGTTAGATCTTTCGGAGCAACAGATTCGTTTTCGAGTTCGGACTGTTGAGGCTCAGTATCAATGGCACCTGCTATGTTAACCGGCTCCCATTCTTTGTAACTGCCATTGTCCCGTTCGCGAGCATCGGACGTACTGAAATGTTGCTGGGTCGTATCTTGAGCAGGTATGGTATTCGTCTCCGGTTCTTGTTTGCGCTCAGGCTCCCGTTCTTTGCAGCTGTCATTGTGCCGTTCGCGAGCATCGAACGTATTGAGATACTGCTGGGTCGTATCTTCAGCAGGTATGGTATTCGTCTCCGTCTCTTGGTTGCGCTCAGGCTCCACTTTGGGGCGCTTGGATGAGCGATATTCATCGTATTCTCTTCGTATGCTGTCTGCAAGCTCAATCGGGACCAAACTGCCTTCGGTTCTATCGGTCAGGGCCATGGACTCAAATTTGCTGTCACTTGAAGCAAACCAAGGAGGGGGTTCCTCTACGTCCTTTTTTTTGGCGGGGTCAGAATCTTGTTTGGTCTGAGGTGCTTGATTAGAGAACAAAAACGAAACAGGGCCACTTTTGGTCGAGCCAGTATGTCCAAAAGCATGTTGGGCAGAACTAGGGTGCTTTGGCTCGCTGAACTCGACTGGGAATAGCTTTTCTCGTTGAACAGCAGCTTCGAATCCGAACAGCTTTTCAAAATCAGGAGACCTTTCTTCAGACGAAGTAGCTAGTGATTCACGCTGTGGCTCATTGGGTTCAGGTTCCAGATCGACATCCTCAAACTCGTCGCTGTCCGAATGTTCTTCTCTTTTAACATTTTGTCCTCTGTGTTCTAGTGACTCTGACTGCGCAGTTGAGTCTGCATTTTCCAGCGATAAGGTCCACCCTTTTTCGTTTCTCTTCAGCATATAGTGCTTGTTCTTTTCACTGGATACACGGCGTGTGAGATCCTCTTCCAAGCCACCCAATCCCATTAACTTTTGAGTCAATGCATTTCGTTGAGCAACTCTCTTGATTTGAAATCGAGAGAAATCCATGCTATCAGGGAACATAGCATCAAGCTGCTCGGCAGAATACCCCATTCGCAAACGGGACTTCAAACGGGCAGTGTTGACTAGCTGGTATTGAGTAGCCAAAGGAAGGGATGCAAATTCAGGAGATTTAAAATCAATAGTGGCTGTATCGATGAACCCGGCCCTGGCTTCTTCGGTAAACTTTGATGCATACTCATTCAACTCTTCCTCGGTCAAAAGCCGGCTATCGTTTACCTGTATAGGCATGATCGATTCAATTTCGGGGAGGTGATAGGTATCAAGACTCTGAAATCCCTTTGGTGTGATCCCTTTACTGCTCTCACCGTCCAAATAGTGTGCATTTTGAGGAATTGAGCCTTTTACGGGAACCTGGCTCTCTTTAGAGTTTTCCGCCATCCTTTGCAGCTGTAAGGTCAATAATCGATTAGCAGTTGCGCGGGCAGTCTCTTCGCAGTCCTGCCTTCTTTGCTGGCGTCGCTTTGTAGTGCTTTTTTTCAAAATAGGCGCAGCACCATCGAATACAAATACAGGCTTTATTTCGTAAAACAAAAGTTTGCAGATCCGACGGAAAAAGCCCACCAGATGGGCTGCCCGCAGAAGTTGTCCTTTGCCATCACGCATAGCTTTGATGAAATGGTATATCCAAATTGAGGCGTCAATAGCCAGAATCTGGCCCCTCATGCTCTCCAATAGCACCGGCCGAGCAGTAGGCTCGATCACCTTCCAGAGCCCTCGGACACCCATGCTGACAACTCGACAAGCCGAAACGCCCGCCTATGCCCACGGAGGAGTCCACTATAAGTGACAACAAAAACGGTCGGGCGATTTTGGAGTGTTGTTCGAGCTCTGAAATTTATTTTAATAGCGTATGCACACTATAAACCCCGGGGATCTCATGTAGCATGCAGGATCAGGAAAAACAGAACTTGATTGCTTGATTTGAACCTTTGGTCGAAAGACCGCGAGTAGGCCTTCAATTGCTCTCAAGTGCCACAGCCGGTTTTCAAACAATTATAGCGAGCTAAGCCGAGTCAAGGCCTTACTCAAGCGAGACCTCGGAAGTTAGTTAGCCGAGCGGAATAAACCATTGGTCACGTGATGCTTATGACTGCATTAGAGGGGCAAAAAGTGCGGGGGACCAACCTACCATCTTTACACTCTCCACAATGTCGTTCATGGGTGGAAGCGCTTGCGCCGCTGGGGCTAATCCATTATCCCAGATGGCCAAACAGCAAAGTATCGATAGAACTCACCAATTTGAGCAAATGCAGGGGAAGCAAGGTCCGGCATCGCTTCGCGGAGACAACCGACAGATGTCCGCGGCCGACCGCCAGCTTCTCCAAGGTATGGAGCAACACCAAGCCAGCCCTGTTAGCTTCCAGTATGCTGATATGCGAAACGAGCTGGGTAAAATGGGTCCCCAACCCGGTCCTTCTGCTGATTGGTCGAAGGACTTCAACAGCCAGTTTGCCACACCCCGTGCGAATTCTCAATGGGCTGCGGAGTTTTCGCCCGGTCAACAAAATGCACAGTTCTCTGCCAGTCCTGCTCATGCCACAACTTCTACCGGACCCATGGGTTACATGCCTACTATGATGGGTGGAACCATGGGAGGAATGGGTATGATGAGGCCGATGGGCATGCAGCCGCAAATGCAGGCCACACATTCTCGAGTAGTTGAGCTGGACGATAACAAATGGGAAGAGCAGTTTAAAAATATCGAGTCTCAGAGTGCCAAAGCGACCCCTCAGCCCGAGGTAGTCGCTGAGAACCTTCAAACTGGGCAGGAGCAGGAACAAGCTGAAGGCGATGAAGTTGAGGTAGCGGATCTTTTGGATGAGAAGGAAATTGGAATCGAGGATGGCTATGATGATGCTTGGTTCCGAAACACTGATCAAATGTACCCGCCTGGTTGGGACGATGTTTGGGACCGTATTAAGGATCAGGTTGGCGACACAATGGCCGAGGGTGCACGTACTCGAGCAGGGGACTTTACCAGCGATTTCGATATCTATGCTGGGTCCAACCCCCATTTTGCCGATTACGAGTTTGCCGAAGAAAACCAGTACAGACAGGAGGACGATCCTTTCGTCATGGGAGTTGCCTTGATGGATCAGGGAGCCAAGCTTAGTCTGGCTATTCTTTGCTTCGAGGCTGCTCTCGAACGTGATCCCAACCACGTCGAAGCATGGTCGCGACTTGGGTCTGCTCTTGCTCAGAATGAGAGTGAGGAGGGGGCTATTCGTGCTCTGGAACAGTGCGTGAAGCTTGATCCCACAAACGAGCAGGCCCTCATGAACTTGGCGGTGTCCTATACTAATGAAGGCTACGAAAATGCTGCCTATGCAACCATGGAACGCTGGTTGGCCACCAAGTACCCTGACCTGGTGGCTCAGTTCGACAGGACCGCCAACTGGGACCAGGTTCTACACAGCAAGGTCACTGATATGTTCATTAAAGCTGCACAGCTGTCTCCAGACATTGCTAATATGGATGTCGACGTCCAAGCTGGTCTGGGCGTGCTGTTCTATGGTAACGAAGAGTATGATAAGGCTATTGACTGCTTCCGGGCTGCTATCTCAGCACGGCCTGATGACCCCCTTCTTTGGAATCGCTTGGGTGCCACTCTGGCCAACTCCAACCACTCTGAAGAAGCCATCGAAGCGTATTATAAGGCGCTCGAGCTGCGCCCGTCGTTCGTACGCGCCCGCTACAACGTCGCCGTTTCGTGTATTAATATCGGCTGCTATCGCGAAGCAGTCGAGCACCTTCTTTCCGCTCTCTCCCTCCACGAAACTGGTACCGACAAGACCGCTGTGAACTCCAAAAACTTGCATGAAACCCTCCGCCGTGTATTCTTGGCAATGGACCGTAGAGATTTGCTCTCAAAGGTGGGCCCCGGAATGGACCTGGAAGCCTTCAGAAGTGAATTCAACTTTTAAAATTATCTAGATCCCCCCTCTTTCTATAGAGACTTATATATTGAGAACATGCATGATTGCACGTCGTTCACTACGCTCGTTATCTAATTTGCACATCCCTTGGGAGTTGACGCGACGCTTGTGTTTTGGTATTTATTTGAAGGCCTGATTGTATTAACGATACCCTCAGAACCATCACAATATGTGGGAGCTCATAACGTCCGGGAGAGGACGGCGAACGCAAATAGATGGGATAAGAGGGCTCATAGGGGAGCTGCGGCCCGGTGATATAATTGAGGTTGGCCATGGCTTTGGCATTATTGCATCGTTTCAACAGACGGAAACCCAAGAACTCCGAGTCAGAGTTCTATTTCTGACCCAAGGTACCGAGGAACGAGAGCTCATTTTGACAACGGCCATGATCTATGCACCAGTTGAAACAGTCAAACAAAAGATCACTGTGGTGACCAAAGCACGTTTTGACTCGGTAGACGACGCAGAAAAGGATCAATTTTATTTCTGTTATCGCGGTCAAGATCGGAAAGGACGATTTTCTGATGAATTCAACTTTGACACTTTGATAGGGAATGCTCAGGGTATCTCTGAGCAACTTGCAGATCTGTTTCGCGAGAAGTTTGAAACACCGAAAAAGAAGCGTAAAGTTGCTCGTGGATTAATGGGTACCCCTAAAAAACTATTTCCGCAAGAGATTCCTGAGCCAATTGCGGAGGTAACTTTCGACTGGAGTTCGGGGTCTGATTCTGAGGAGTTCAAAGATGAAGAGACGGACAAAATGGAAATTGACACTGCCAGCAGTGTTGTGGACACAGCATCTCCAAAAAGGGCCCCGCAGACCCCTCGAAAGAAGCGAGCGGTCGAGATTCCCAAAACCCCACGAAGCGCCAGATCGAAGGTTCTTCCATCAACCCCTCACAAACACGCCCCTTCTACGCCTCATCAAGAAGCCCGAGATCGGTTGCATATTTCTTCTCTTCCTGACTCTCTTCCTTGTCGCGAGAGTGAGTTTTCACAGGTTTTCATTGCCCTAGAGAGCGCTATTCAGGCAGGAACGGGAACTTGCGTCTATGTGAGCGGGACACCTGGAGTGGGTAAGACAGCTACTGTCCGCGAAGTTATTTCTCAGCTAGAACTCCGCAAAGAAGATGGCGAGCTACCCCCCTTTGTTTTTTTAGAGGTGAACGGTATGAAGCTCACCCATCCCAACGTTGTGTACGATCTTCTGTGGAAAGAAGTCTCGGACAAACCTAATATGAGTGCCTCGAATGGAATGAGCGCATTGGAGTCTGTTTTTACAAAAAAAGACCCCTCGCGGCCGGTCTTGGTCGTGCTGGTTGATGAACTCGATCAGTTGGTCACGAAAAATCAAAGCGTCATGTACAATTTATTTAACTGGCCAGCACTTCCGAACTCAAAGCTAATTGTTGTTGCAATTGCCAACACTATGGATCTTCCCGAGCGGCTGCTCACCAATAAAATTTCGTCGCGGCTTGGTTTAACGAGAATCCAGTTCCGCGGCTACACCTACCAGGAGCTCAGACAGATAATTTTCAGTCGGCTTGAGGGTCTGGATGTTGTTGATGTGGATGCTATTGAGTATGTTGCTCGAAAAGTAGCTGGTGTGTCTGGAGACGCTAGACGAGCCTTGGACCTGTGTCGCCGAGCAGTCGAGCTGGGTGACGGCAAGACAATCAAGATTGATCACGTACGCGAAGCAATTATGGAGTCACATGTTACGCATATGGAAGAATTCTTAGCCAGTCTATCTGTGGTGTCTAAGGTACTTCTCTGTGCGATCATTGTCCGAGCACGGCGATCTAAAGCCAACGAGGTGCTATTAAGAGAAGTACTGCAGCAAGCCGAGCAGTTGGTCCATATGGGCAAGTCGTCTGCTATCAATGCCAAGTGGCTGTATGGAAGTGATGTCCGATTACGCGGGTTCCGGTACGCGGTTCAGGAGCTTGTCGAGGGAGGACTGATCTCTCAACAAGTGATGAAAGGCGAAGCGACACCCAACATTCGGTTGAATGTGGCACCGGAGGCCATGAAGAAGATTCTCGACTATGATCCAGATGTTGGCGAAATGCTTTAGAGAGATAAATACTTTTACCATTGTTGATAAATCAGAATAGGCTCGCCTGTGGCAGCGAGCTCTGGGATCGTAAGTTTTAGGTCGAACGTCTTGGCGAGCACAATTTTAAATAACTTCTGCACGTTAATCCCCATAGCCGTTGAGCAGAACACCAGCGGTGCCTTCATGGCTTGGGCGTATTTTTTGGCCTGCTCGGTGATCTCCAGCTGCTCTTGGTCGCTCATCTCATAAAACATGTCAAATTTCGTACCCACAAGTAACGGCACTGCTGTGCGGTTGAACCCGCGAGCTTGTCGGTACCAGTTGCGAACTGAGTTGAGGGTTGATTTGCGGGTCAGATCAAACATAAACACCAATGCCGCGGCATCGTTACAGACCAGAGGAAGCATATTGATAAATTCTCGTTGGCCGCCCAGATCCCAAATACTGAATGTGATTTGCGTGTTGCGGATGTTTACGCTTTTTTCCAGAAAATTGACACCTAACGTTTGGATGTAGTCGTCGTCGAATGTGTTGTTGACGTATTTAACCATTAGAGATGTCTTGCCAATTTGAGCATCGCCAATGAGTCCGACCTTGACCGTTACCTGCTGCTGTTGGTCATTTAAATCAACCGGCACCCTGTCGCGACTCATGTAAACAAACTGCTTAGGTGAGTTTCGAATTTGAACTTTAGGGGTGTAAAGATCGAGAGCAGCAGACCGGAAAGGGTTTTGGGGGATGCGGGGGGGGAGGTGGAAATTTCAGGGCGCTTATCGGGTTCTACCCCAAAATTTGGGCTGATTCAAATTAAACTGGGGGACATGGTCGTGACTGAGGTTCGATCATGGCTTGTGAAATGGAGCGTTTTCGGCACAGGGGCGCCGAAGAACAGCGAAGTCGCTACCGATAATGCATAAGGCATGGGCCCTCGGTGTGCGCGAAATTCAGTCATCAGTGCTGCATGGAGGTCTGCGTGGGAGGATTGCGGGACCAATGGGACGAACCGGGCTGGAAATTTCAGCACCCAGCACCAGAGCGGCAATGACAAAATTTACCGAGGACTCAGGTTTATTTTGCTGGGATTGGGCAGGTAAAACCCCCCTACATCACCGTATTGCCCGCCGAGTAAATGAGTCGCCATGCATGTGATTACTGTCCGATATCGGAGCCACAGATTGGCATATAAGAACCCCATTTGTCACGTCACCCATATCTTTCCCAAAAGCAAGCATGTCTGCTCGTATGATTATCTCGCGCTCCAACAAGGCCTTCATGGCCCGCGCTCTTATGCGTGCTGAGGTCCGTTCGTTCTCTGCTCTGGCCCGTGTAGCCACTCGCCCCGCCGCTCCTAAAGCTGCCATGCCCTCTCTCGTCCGTGGTGTCAAGAACATCAAGTTTGCTGATGACACCGAGACTGTGCACGAGCGTGCCGACTGGCCCCGTGAGAAGCTGCACGACTACTTCAAGAATGACACTTTTGCTCTTATCGGTTACGGCTCCCAGGGCCACGGCCAGGGTCTCAACTTGCGCGACAATGGTCTCAACGTCATTGTCGGTGTCCGCAAAGATGGCGCCTCCTGGAAGGCCGCCATTGAGGACGGCTGGGTCCCCGGTAAGAATCTCTTCTCTGTCGACGAGGCTATCTCTAAGGGTACCATTGTCATGAACTTGCTCTCAGACGCTGCTCAGTCTGAGACGTGGCCTCACATCAAGCCCCAGATCACCAAGGGCAAGACTCTCTACTTCTCTCACGGTTTCTCTCCCGTTTTCAAGGATTTGACCAAGGTTGAGGTCCCCAAGGATGTCGACGTTATCCTTGTTGCTCCCAAGGGCTCTGGCCGCACTGTGCGCTCTTTGTTCAAGGAGGGCCGTGGTATTAACTCTTCCTACGCCGTCTGGCAGGATGTTACCGGCAAGGCCGAGGAGAAGGCTATTGCCATGGCTATTGCCGTCGGCTCTGGCTATATTTACCAGACCACTTTCGAGAAGGAGGTCCACTCAGATCTTTACGGTGAGCGTGGTGCCCTTATGGGTGGTATCCACGGTATGTTCCTTGCGCAGTACGAGGTTCTTCGTGAGCGTGGCCACTCTCCCTCTGAGGCCTTCAACGAGACTGTCGAGGAGGCTACCCAGTCTCTTTACCCCCTCATTGGCAAGTACGGCATGGACTACATGTACGACGCTTGCTCTACCACTGCCCGTCGTGGTGCTCTCGACTGGTCTCCTCGTTTCAAGGATGCTTTGAAGCCGGTCTTCAACCAGCTCTACGATGCCGTCATTGATGGTAGCGAGACCAAGCGCTCTTTGGAGTTCAACTCTCAGCCCGACTACCGTGACAAGTTCGAGAAGGAGCTCCAGGAGATCCGCGACCTCGAGATCTGGCGTGTCGGCAAGGAAGTGCGTAAGCTCCGTCCTGAGAACAATTAAGCATCTTTCTCTTGCACAGAGTTCTTGCCCTTGAAGGGTAGAACGCTTAACCTTCCCCTCCCAAAAAAAAAAAGAAGAGATCTGAGCAAGATGTTTTGCCTAGACGAATAAAACAGATTATGCTCTGATTTTCAGTGGCCCTGAAGGGTTAACTTTATTAATATTTACTTATTTTCAAGTAGGAAATTCCCATCCACCCCATCAAACAACCTTGTCGAAGACCTCTCCGCCGACTACCTGACCCCGCATTGACCTCTGAACTTCTTGGGCGAAAACTGCCGGATGCTGTTGCAGGCTCCGAGCCGCAGCCTTATTCAGAGGATCGTTTTGATTAGGCTCAAGAAACAAAAACTGGATGCCGACCGTGACCTGATCGAGACTCAAGACAGGCTTCCAGTCTTCACGGAGGATGTTGAGACACACATTTCCCACCAGATCCACATTGGGATGATAAATTTTTTGCTCACATCTAACTTTGGGCGGCTCAATGGGGTAGTTTTGATTGATTGAGAAGCTGAAACTGAACTTGCCGCCCTTATAGAGGCCTTCATCTGCGTACAGCTTCAATCGAAAGTGCATCAGGTCGTTCGGGTCAGGGAACTCCAGCTCCATGTTCTCTGGAAGCGTGATCTCACTGATATCCTTTTGTACTCGTAGCTGAGCGCCCGTCACCTTCTTGCCGTGCCTTCCCTCTGCCTTCTCCTTGTCGGCTTTAGACTTGAGCTCCCAGATGTTCAACATTACAAATGTGGAAACGGCTAGACGGCAAGGAACTAGAATCCAATCAGATATCAGACAAGGATAGAATTGAAAATAAGACCGACACTAACTCAGAATCAAAGCCGCCAGTAGCAGTGCAACCGGTTGTCAAGAAATTAGACGTTCCCAATCTCTTACGGCGGGGTCCCAAACGGCAAGATAAGAAAACCAAAGCACCGTATCCGAATCGGAAGAAGGGTGCTGATAGCTTTCAGCTTTTTGTGGGCAATCTGTCTGCCGACGTGACGGACGACAAGTTGAAAGAGGTGTTCAGCCAGTACAAATCGCTGGTGCAGGCATTTGTTGCCAGAGATCAAAAAGAAAAACCTCGCGGGTTTGGCTTTGTTGGATTCACAAGCCCAGAGGACTACTTTAATGCCTTCAGGGAGATGAACAACAAGTACATTGGCAGCAAACCGGTTCAACTAAAGAAGGCTAGGCGCTAGCTAGCTAACTACGCATTTTGTTTCCTTGACTGGGCTCTCCTTGTATAGATGCTCTTGCGGCCCAGGCATGTCTATAAACACATCTGAATTGCTCAGTAGTAAAGAGTCTGGATGAAGTACGACATAGTCTACAATTTGTTTGCAAGAGACTGCAGGATTGTTTTGCCGGGCTTCCAGCTCCTGCTCAATCAGCTCTCGTACCTCCAGGCATCGTTGCAACCTCAGATTGGTTAAGAGAGCAACTTGCCGTTCTTGCGACGCTAGTGTGCTCAATAGAGGGTCAGTGTCCATGGTAAATGTGCCACTGCTGTGCTGCATATAATACGCATGGGCCCGGTTACCGTTTCGGGATCATCTCGCGGTGCGGGAAAACAAGTAGTATACATGGTTAATAGCATGAATTTTCAATTATTTAGTAGAATTTTACCCCGCAGTGAGCGCAGATCCAAGCAGAGAGCGGACCACAGAGGAGCACTGTCTGCCCAAAACCACTATGAAGTGCAGACGCCCATAGGGTTGATACTTCGTTTTGAAGGAAGAGAATAATAGAGAAAACAAAGAATAGATAAGTGATGGGCCCAGGGGACCAGTACGAATAGACACAAACGGTGTTCTAGTGCCTTCTATTCCTGGGGGCGGCGAGAGTTGCAAGCAACGATCTTGATTTTGTCGGCATTGACCATATCGCCGTCATCCATTTTGAAAACAACATCTGTGACAATAAACGTCCACACATCGTCGCAGCATCGGTAGGTCCGCAAATGTCCTTTGAGTTGCATTCGGGCCTTGACGGTCTCTCTCAACTGGTCCGTCATGACTCGGTCAAAATGCGACATGATCCGTACGGCGGACTGCGGTTCAATATAAGACTCGCTGATAAACTGGTCCAGCGCCTCTGTCAGTGCTGTTCCAATAGAGCTACGCCGGTAAAGCTCATAGTACAACTGGTTATTAGCCGGAGCACTCATGATGACAAGTTCCCAATCCTGAGTCACTGGGGGTTTTTGTTCCTGGAGATGCAAATATTAAATAGTGGGTTAGAATGTAGTCTACATCCAAGTAGCAGAAAAAATTAAAGCGGCTGCTTTCGCGCTGCCCAAGCTTTTGTTGTGTTGATCCGACATTCTGATTTGTCGTTTGTCATGAGTGTGTTTCGGGTGATTGGAAGCCCAGCTGCGGCAGTAAAGGCATCGTTATCTGCCGGTCAAACCATCAAGGTCGCATATGCAGCTGTCGCAGTATCCAAATCTCTCCTAACTATCGATAGAGGTCACTATGCTTCTCTGGCCGGTCCAGCTGAGCTTGTTCTTTCTCCGCAGTTCTCTCCTAGCGTGTTCGAGCTGAGCCAGAAGTGGACTGTAAACCCCAGGAACCTGGTTGCCTGGAATGCCACATTCAACAACAACGTTATGGAGGGTCCGGGCGAAATGGTGCTCAGCGGGCGGGGCGGAATCTGCCAGATTGACGTTGGCGTCGGAGAAACACTGGTGGTCGAAGCAGATAAACTGGTCGCCCACACTGCTTCTGCTGGCAGAACAATTTTCAGAGAGTCACGATTCGATGTGGCATCAGCCTGGACCTCGTGGATGTGGGCCGGAGTGAAGGACGCTGTTCAGTGGATTGGCAAAAAAAGTGGAGAAACCGTAAAAGGCGTCTCTTGGCTAGTGTCGAAACTTGGTGCACCAAAGTTCGACGCACCACAGCTCAAAGCAGCACAAGAGGCAAGCGAGGCAAGCGAGCCAAAGGAGCCAAAGGAGCCCAAAAGGTCCTTTGAAATGCCACAAAACGTTCTGACCGTTCTCGCCAAAGCCCGTCACTACAATGCCGTCATTAGCGACAAGGCATTCCACTGGACCCACTCTCCCAAGTACGTGTTTAATGGACCCTGCAGTGTGCTTATTGCTGCATCAAAGCATTGACTTCAAAATGACATTTATTTACGCTCTATCTAACCTGTAGACTAACGCCTTTACGCACGTGTCTGTGCCCAAACCTGCTTTCCCTCAGTTTGCATCCAATCGACCAGCGTATTGACTTCTCTATCCCAATCACCAAGCTTTGACCGCATAACCGCAATCTGGTCATTACTGAGAACCCTGGGCTGGAGCCAAGTGACGGTTACTGTTTTGTCGACCTGGTCGATGGTACCTTCGATGAGTCCCAGAGACAGCGCCTTGAGGACAAGGATCTCGACCTTGGAGCCAGTTTGGAGCTTGGTTTCTGTGGCAATAGCATCAAATGGAAGCACGCGATCAGTGGTGGGGCGCTTGAACACGCACTCACACAACGCCATAAGACAAATCTTTTGGTCAAGGAAGGCAATAGACGACTGCACAATTGGCGCTTTCTCAAGGCTGGGCTTGATGTTTTGGAAGGCAACAATATCTCCGGAATTCACAGCAAACACCAGGTCGTGCAACCACTTGTACTCGCCATCGAGGGTCTGAGCAATCGGGTGCAGAATAAGCTCGCCAAAGTTGTAGATCTTGTCACCCAAAAGAGCCGCCACAGCGAGATCATAAGCCTTCTGCTGCTGCTGCTCACGAGACAACGTATTAATATCAATACACGCAAGGTATAACAGGGCGTTCCGGTAGTAGGCAGTATACTCCCGCTTGTGCTTGTAGTATTCGCAGCTGACACCGTAGTACATTGCCATAATTGTAGAATCTGTAGTTTGCAGCTCGTCAACAAGCTTCGAGGCGCTGTCAATGATTTTGCGCGCCCGGGGCACCTCGCCTGTCTGCAAGCAGTAGCTGGCGATTCGCAACTCGGCAAACTTGCGCACGTTTTCGTCCTCGACCTTATCGCAAATCTTCTGCAAAAACACAATCGATTCCTGTGGCGTCGCACATAGCTCGGAAGCACTGATTCCTAGTGATACGTATGCCAAAGGATTGATCTTATCCTCAACGGTGGCGAGAAATTGCGTAAACAGCTGGTGTCGATACAGTCTCGACCGCTCGTCAGCGAACAGTTCGACAACCTTTTGCGTGAGCTGATGCCAAAGCTTGCGCTCGTGCAAATCTTCTAGCTCATAGATTTGTTCAACAAGCTCCGGTTGCTCATCTGTAACCTGCATCCGCAGATTGGTTATGGCCGTTAAAGCGTCTGGCATGGCTGATGACAGATCGAACCTTCGCCCTCGAGATACATGACAGAGGGCGAGCCAGACCTAAATCCAGTATTTTTCACTCAGGGTAAAGCAAACAAGTTATATAAAGTTCGTGGGGGGCTATTGAGAGTATCAATGCGCAACGTGGACCCGCAAGAGGTCATAGACTTTGGGAAAGCTAGCGAGCTAAGTCAGTACCTGCCGCGGATGCAGGTGGTCGACTCAAAATTCGGGAGGGCTATATTCATGGACCATATTGGATCCGATTTCTTGCTGTGTGAGTTCAAACCCAAATGGCTTTTGCAGTCACCCGATGCACCTAAGAATGCAAAGCAGTGTAGGACATGTGCCATTCGGAAAATGCGGGGCCAGCCCCGACAGTTTTGTCCTTTACAATTAGCGTCCAAGTCCGAATTGGAGAATTTGTTCAGCGAAATGGGCGCATTGGATCATATCCAGGTCGCCCGAGCATTTTTACAAAGTCCTGTGCTGGATTTATTGATCTCTGCCCAAACCACGGGCAGTGTATATGATCCACCCACTGCGAGCTTCTTGAACGCAATGTCGGCACGAGATGTTACGATAATAGTAGAAGGTCCAAAGCCTCGCATCAGGATCGTTGATCTCGACCCCAAGTGTGCCAACAAAATAACCAAGTGGAGGGAGACCGAAACAAACCTCCAACCGTACTACCTTCAAGAATCAAAAGATTGTTACATATATAAGCTCAAGGAAGATTAAGGTGACTACCAAATTGACGATCTTCGGAGACACTCGTAGTGCGAATAGGCTGTGTTGGAACCTCCGGCTCTTGTTCTTGATACTCGCCATCTTCAGAGGGCTCGCGCAGTAATGGTGCACGCATTTCCTCATCAAAGTCCTTTTCACCAGTGAAAATATAGACCATAGAGAGCATAAATAGCGATGTGAGGACCAGCCCCACGATAATGCCGAGAAGAAGAAGCGTGTGCGTCTTCATGCGGAATGGGGGTTTTAAAAACGGCGAGTGAACCCATTCAGGTGAGATAAACGAATCAATGAAAAACACACTACTTCCAAGGGATGTGAGACCTCGTGTTTCCGCCCATTCAGTAACATATACAGATTGGCCAAACCCAGAAACCAGTCTGATGGCCAAAACATTCGAAGATAGCCAGTGCATGGCTAACTCTTCTTTAGCAGCTGTGAGTAAGGGCTTACCGTCAAACATGTCTTGGCTGTGATTTCCAGGGATCAAGTGAAGCTTCAAGAGTAATTCGAGCTGAGGGTTATCTCGTGTGAAGTTGGCCGCTGCCAGCGCTTTCGTGTCCGGAACAATAATGGTGTAGTTCTCATGAGGATTTAAGGCATAGCCAAACCCAAATTCTTCTAGTAAGTCAACAAACTCCGATCGCCCGCCTGCTTCGATCAAATCAATAGAAGTGATCTCCAGATTCGAGGGTAGAACAATGTCTTCGATAATGTGGGCAACCCCGTTGTCGAAAAGAATGTCGGCACTGCTGGCAGTCACAGTGGTACCCGAAACATTCACATAGTACGAGGAAGAAGATGAAGATTTTTCAACCATTTCTATGCTCACTTTTTGCCCAGAAAGATCCCTAGTTGTAACGGCTCCAGAGTCAGTGTAGACCGGGTTTGCGTAGATCATGGCATAGAAGAACTCACGGAGAACATCAGTATTGTTTCCCATATATGCCATTAAAAGCTTTTGAGACTCCCAAGCCTCGCGCGATGGCAATAGCAAAGTCCAGCTGTTGCTCAGGGGTAGATTGACCAGTCCCAGGGAGTCCAAGAAATTCAACGAATGAGACGACATAAATAGTGGACCAATCGCCATCGAAAAACTAGGAGGGGCTGGAATTTCGCCTGGCACAACATAAATCGTAGCACCTCCAGTTTCGTATTTTTCAGAAACGACTGGTTGCCAGTTCACAAACATCGTACCCGACGAATGTGTTGAGACATGCATTCGTTGAGGTAGATTGGATCCTTTCAGCGTCATAGCACTATCCACAAGTGTGTCAGTTTCTTCGTTAGTAGGAACAAGCGACCCCTTGGCAAATTGATAAAGCACCGAATCAGCTCTGAACTTGTAATTGCCTCGAGCACTGAGCTTGCTGTCGTTATCTAACGGAGCCTTTGGAACAAAAATAGTGATCGGATCCGTGTATGTTCCGTCAAGTAACCATTCATAACCGTACAAAGAAACCTCACGTGCAAAAGTATATCCTCCCAGTGCCAAGACGTATTTTTCGGGCGTGAACTCAATAAGAGTGCCTTCATCCAACAATTGCGAATAAACATTCAAAACACCGGTCTTTGAAGGCACCCAGCGCTCGATTGCACCTGAAAAGTTGCCGAAATCAGACTCCATACTCAAATCTGTGTTGATAAAAAACTTGGTGCCATCAAGCATTGTAACTTCACAGGGTAAATCTTGAGGCTTTAAAATACCTTGAGCCATATGTCTCCGAAGAATGCGATCCCTATCTGACTGGCCATGGTTAGATGTGAGGTATTTGAGCTCGATATCGTTAAAGAACTCAAGAGCGTCGTTAGAGGGAGCAAATAGTGTAACATTTCTCTCCAAATGTGCACATCCACCCTCAATGCTCGCAATTTGCGAAAATGTGCTTAATTGCCGATGATAGAATAGCGATTTGCACAGCTTCTCGGGCACCTCGACAACCTCGGAAATAGCATGAACCACGCCCCTCTGAGCAGACGCAAACAGATTCTGTTCGACCAAACGAGCTGGACTGCGGTTTATAACTCCATTTTCTAGGTGCACTTGCACATTTTCGCCATCCTTTTTGAGATAGGAGGGCACGAGCAAGTCGGCCTCTCTTCCGGGGGCGTCGAAGACAATTGTGTCGTTGAGGAAGTGATATAGCAGCTGATCTTTGGTCATGGATTCAGAGTCGTATGCCGCAAAAGCGGAGTTTATCGGCGCTAAAAATGTCGAGTTATAGCTCTGATTGATAAGGGGAACCAACCCATGGCGCTGTAAAAGCCCTACGAGGACTGAGAACTCGGACCTGCTTGATAGCACATCAATGATTGTTTTGACAGGGACCTCACTCGTAGCTACACTGCTTGAGAAAAGCCATATATAAACAAACAAGTATAGCATACAGAAAAAGGTACGCGAAGATTATTAAAAGGATGGGCTTATTAACAGTGTTTCCGATATGAACGGGGTCGAGGCGGGGGGAAGGAAACTGATAAGAGAGGTTTTATAAGACACACAAGATAAGCAGGTGCATTTGAGTTATTTAGAGTCTCTCATGGGTCTCCCGAGCCAACAGTAGTAAGGCTGGCAACTTAGTCGAAACTCTAGTTTTTTTGTGCCTGCGCCACGTGCAGCGTGCATGAAACGCCTCACTAATACCAATATAGATCCTTACAAGCATATAATTTAGTATTTACAGCAATATTCTAGACATTGGTGCTAATTTCGCTCTTGATATCAATACCTGTCCAAAGCAAATCAGTAGCAGTTTCAGAACCACCTTGTACAAGCTGCTTTTTGGGCTCGACGGGCACGGGCTCGAATAGACCGTTTGTCAACATCTCAATAACTCGCACAATGCCCAAAAAGAGATTCTCGCTCAACATACCAAAGGCGAGAATAATCACCGGAGATGTAGCGACGTAGCTCTGTGTCGCAGAGTACGACGCAGGGGAGCGGAACATAAGCGAGACGGTGGGTGCAACGACTGAGGCAACACCGGCTGTGAAAAGCAGGTTAGAGTTCCAGTAACCGATGGATTCTAGTCTGCGAGGCACAGGAGTCTGCGATTCCATGGTGAGCTTGATGGTGGTGCACTTCATGCGGATGAACAAGAACACCAAGCCACACAAAGCAGCCAGCGGCCAAATCGGAGTCAACAACATCACATAGCCAAACGTGGAGGTAGCAACCAGAAGTTCCTTGTTGATATCAAACGGAGCAAGTTGCTGTTGGAAACGAAGCCATTGACCATCTTTGGACTTGGTATCGGGCTTCATGTATGCTTTGGCAACTTGCAGCCCGTAGGGTAGCATCGTGTCGGTAAGAATACCAACCAACTGGTTCGTAACCGAAAAATAGATTGCCTGTGTCCGCAAGCGCAAGGTGTTCAGGTTGAACTCCGAAACAATGCCCACCTTCTGGCCGAATGTTGACTCACGGAGCGGCATAACGTAGTTGATCATCCGGTTACCGAAAGGCAAGTATAGGTACGCAGTCAAAAAGATGGGAGTGTAGTTGAGCAAAAATGTTGCGAAAAACATTGCTTGGTTGAATTGACGGCTGTAAACCTCCTCGCTGCTGGGATCTGACCACGCCAGCCAAGCAGTCAAAATCTTGGAATAAACAATGGAGAATAGAGCACCGCCGACAACACTCGCGCCAGTAGGAACCAAAGACATGATCGATTTGAGAGGGCCATCGTAGAGCTGGGTGAAAAATACCTCAGTGAACAAGATAGCGACCATTCCTAGAACATAAATCATACCAAGGAGAATACCGACAGGAATAAACATGGCGAACCTGATCTGACTAGTGGCAAGCGCTGTCTTCTTGTATCCAAGACGCGGAGTCACAATACGAGAACAGTGAAGAGTATTCCATTCAGCACTAACACGACGCTCAATATAACGCCAGTAGATAAGGAAAGCAGCGGCCCAAATGAGCATCAGCAGCGAAAGCAATGTCGAAAAAGGTTGGCCAAGGAACATCCAACATGCACCCAAAGTGGCTGGAATGAGCAATTGCTTCAACATGTACCTAAAGAATCCATAAAGCAATCCAATATTGTCACCATATTGCAAACGAAGCCGGTTGTAGCTGACGGTAATGCAGCGCGAAGAATCAAGCAGCAATTTGCTGTTTAGAGAAGGAGAACCAGCCGGAAAAGCGCCCTCCACACAAGGCATGGCCAGTACATTCGAGCCGATAATCGTCTCGTATACTAGTCGGCGGCGTACAGCAGGGTTGATCGCGTTCTTACCTTCGTTGACAAAATCCACCGGCTGGGTTGAGACACCAACTGCCCAGTCACGGACCTGACCTTCTGCAGCCACTTCAACAAGTTTCAAAGGTTTGATTCGAACTACGACCAGCGCGGTCTTGTCTACACCCGGGCGAATTGTGGTGTAAAATCCGAAAGAGGACAAATGCTGGGTGACCGATTCCAGAGCTCGTTGGCGCTTCTCACTAGACTCGTCCAGCTTCACAATAACGGCATAGTCTGGTTGCAGTGCGTGCAAATCCACATCAATTGCTGCATGCTTTTCCGAAGGCACAGGCTTCCGCTTGAGTGCACCCTTAGGCTTGTCACTTCCTGTAGCTTCTGGCATTGCTGACCGATCGTTGCTGCGGGTAGCCCACGTAGACGAGGCATTTAGGAGATCTGGCAACGTCAATGCCTAAACAATTGCAACACAATAAAGTGATGCCATACACTACACGGTTGAATAATACATCGCTTCAATCTAGTATATAGTCGAGAATCCGCCCCGGAAACTTTAGCAGATTACAAATGAGCCGAGCAAGTCAGTTGGAGGCTGCGTACAAGGCGGTTGTTGAAGAGATTGCATCCTTTTGCAAAACCCACCAGCTCAACACGCCGAATCTTGTTGCTGTGTCAAAGTACAAGCCCAAGGAGGATATCTTGACTTTATACAACCTTGGCCATCGTCACTTTGGCGAGAATTATGTGCAGGAGTTGACCGAGAAAGCCAAGGAGCTTCCCGACGACATCCAATGGCACTTTATTGGCAACTTGCAGAGCAACAAGGCCAAGATTGCTGGTCAAATCCCCAACCTAGCCTATGTTGAGACCCTTGACAGCGAGTCCAAGGCTACGAAACTCAACAATCAGCGAGGCACTCTGCCCCCGCTAAAAGTATACATCCAAGTCAATACATCCGACGAGGAACAAAAGTCAGGCCTTTTTGATTTCGCTTCTATCGAGAGTTTAGCAAAGCATGTGGTTTCAAATTGCCCTTCGCTGACCTTGGTCGGTCTTATGACCATTGGTTCGCTTTCACAGTCGAAAAGCGAGAGCGAGAACCAGGACTTTAAAAAACTTTTAGCAATCCGTGAAAAGTTGGCTGACTCCCTCAAAGTCTCTGCCGGGTCTTTAGGCTTGAGTATGGGCATGAGCTCCGATTACCTCGAGGCCATTCGTCAGGGATCAACCAATGTTCGAGTTGGAAGTCAGATTTTTGGTGGCCGTCAAACTAAAGAGGAAATTCAAGCCAACAGTTCTTCTTGATTGGTCTTATATATAAGTGCTACATATTTTACAGCTGATATGCATTACTGACGTTTTTCACTAAGATTACCGAAACAAGCTTTTTCGTTGTCCGAACAGTTGCTCGGTAATTTACACGGTTAGCATCGAATTCAAGACGACAAAGACACCCGAAGTTGCCACTGCTAGTAGTTTGAATCATTCCCGCACCAAAAAGCACATTTTGTTGGCCTGCGACGACAGATAGCCCCCAGTTTAAACCACCAAGCGCATCCGCATCATCTTTCACAATGGGCTGCTGCCAAGACAGGGAGAAATTCTTGAAATCTTTCTTGAATTCTCCAGCTACACCAATCTGGTCCCATCTCATGGCGAAATCCTGGGCATTGAGTGTTACTGGGCGCATAAACCGCTCAATCGTGATAGGCAGCCTAAATGACATTTCGTTGAGGGATCCAGCCAGATACGTAACTCGTGCAATAGGTGACAATGCAAATGGTTGCTTAGCCTCACACATAATGACTTGCTCTGTTACAGCAGAAGGGCGCAAAGAACTCGCCGGTAGGCTTTTGGAGGAAACACTCAAAACAGAGCTTTCCATAGGATTTGTGAGCTGGACCGAGACCGAAGATAGAGCAACATTGGAGACGTTCTTCAAATACAGAATGACGCAACCGATGTTTTTTGAGTACTCATATTTGCATCCAACTTGCAAAAGCGCGTCTTGGTACAGCACGGCTTCAGAGTGGGTCAACATCTGTCGGAATCCATGCTCCCAATTGGACGATAGCAATTCAGATTTTCCAGTAGTTTGGGGTGTTTGAGCAGGGGCTTCTTCCTGAATTGTTTGCGGAAACCCGGTGGGGGTCTGCGGTTTGGACCCCCCAGACCCCAAACTAGGAGAAAAGGAGCCGCCGCGGCCGGTGATAATGGGAGTTAGCTTCTTGCCTGTAGCCTGAGCTCTGAGGGACTGGTTTCTGTTGACAATGTTGGATTTTGCCAATGTGTTTTGTCTTGCCAGCGCGGATCGAGATTTTAGTGAAAGCCGTTCGCCAAGAGGCGATTCTTTGAGAACAAACGGCGGCATCTCATCACAAACTGTGGGCAATAAATAGACATTTTCTGGCTGAAGGAGGTTGTGGTACTCACACGAGCGCTGTTGAAGTTCCAAATCGCCTGAATCAAGATACAATTTGAACACATCAAGAATCTGGGGTCTGATCTCTTCAAAAAGGTTGGCAAATTTGAGGTAGGTAGTTAGCAAGTGGTAGCGAACTGGCGGTGAGCATATTGACCACAGATCCTGTAGAACAAGAAACTGCTCTCCTGGACGACATCCAGGTTCATGAGCAATTTGGTTACCAAATTCGCCGAGAAAGTAGGCACAAACACGACCGGTGTTATCTGAGCATCGTGGGCCCTTTGCGTACTCGAGTGCTGTCCGCGTAGCATATGATTGAATTGTATCGTTATTGACAACGATCTGAACCATTCTTTGCCACACTTCATCAGGAACCTGGCTTCCCCCGACCATCAGTAAAGAAAGTGTCGTATCCACGTACCACTTGAGGGAAGTTGCGAACCTCTCGATGACATCACTCAGGCGAACAACCGTCTCTTCTCGGAGATCCAGTTCATGAGATGAGAGCTGGTCAAGTAAGCTGGCCGCAATATGTTCGATATTTTCGTCGTTGCAGAGATGATATAGTCCGTCCAAGGCCCGTCTGCGAACTGAAATATCTTTATCATTGAGCAGTGCCAAAACTGGGTCCAGCAGATGATCAATACCTTGGAAGGGTGTCAGAGCGACCATCGAGTTCAATGCAAGATAGCGCAGATTTGTGTCTTTACCTTCCAAGCACCGTTTCAATGAGTTAATCGTGTGTTCTAACAGTACACCATCATCCATATCGAGGTGCACAAAGACGTTGACGGCCTCTAGGAACACAGCATTCCGCATGTTAGCAGACTGAGAAGAGCTTGATGTGGATCCACCTGGCGCAACTGTGATGGCCCATTCAAGAATCATCGAGATAGACTCGTGCAGAGCATAGGAAACAGCTTCATCTTTGGTTGGTGGGGGGATTTGAATCAGTTCAAGTAGCTTGATGATAAACCAAGGAGCCGGAACATCGTAGTAAATATACTCGGAGGATACTTTCTGCTCAAAAAGGAGGTGGTGTAGTTTACGAGCAGCGACAGCAGCTGCCCGCTCAGCAGATGCTGCATCGTTCTCGGCAATAGCTTTGATCAATGATGCAACTGAAGTAGCTACTCCAATATCTTGAACATCCAGAAGCGCAATGATGCGCTCTGTCCATTCGGGCTGAAGTACTGTTCGGTCTCGGCGATAAAAACTCAGAAAAGTTAAGGCTGCCTTTTTCCGGACCGAATGAGAAGATGTAGGAGACATCAGAAGCTTGACAATCTCAGTAGCCAATTCTAACGGAGGATCCGCGATTGCACTCACAAAGTTCAAAGCCATAGAGGTGTTCAGATCACTTGATGAAGCAAGATCATCTTCCACAGCCGGAATGGCCCGTTCGATTGCTGACTTGTTATCGCTGCACATCAATCCCATCGCCAGGTATCCAATTTGTTTGCCATGGGACTTTGGCATGGTCAATAACGGCAAGATATCAGACGCGTCAAAATCAACTGGGTAGCCGAGAGTGTAGATGTATGCAAGTTTGGCGACATACTTCTTGCGCTTGTAAGCGTTCAAGTTATTGTCCCGAAAATTCTGTTTGATGTTCGCAATTTCAGCATTGATCCGAGCCTTCTCCGCCTCGTATGTCCGCAGTTCTCGCAAATCTGCGATGAACTGGGTCAGCCCTCTCATCGCCATCGCTGACCAATGCTACGATCCCTAGGAGCTCGCCAAACAATATATAGAGTCAAAAACGGCCTCGAGGCTGCCATAACCTGGAGAGAAGAGAACTTGAGATACAGATTTCTCAAATTGACATACTGGAACTAAACCTAAGGTATCCAGAGATATGTGCTAGGTAGTCTTGAAATTGGAGCGGTTTGCCTTCAAAGCTTGTAGTTATAAAAAAATTTGTGCACTTTTACTATGTTCAATAGACCTACACCGCTGCGAAACAAACGATCTCGGGACAGCATATGCCCGTTTTGAGACCAGTAACGGTTTTAATCATCCCACATTCTATGTCAAGTCTTTCTGCAGTGATGGCTCGAAATCAGATCACGTGAACCCTGATAAGCATAAGCCTTCAGTTAGGACATCAGTGTGAAATATGTTTATTAACACAAAAAGGCAATTCCATTCATACTAGTATACCAGAACAAGGATAATCGTTAGGGGTATACTTGGGGTGATTTGAATGCGTAAATATCGATATAATGCCGAGGTCACACGCTAAATCGAAGTATGAACGGGCCTCCGATCGGCACTGTAGGCTTCTGCATGAAACTTGTAGTGTGGGAACATATTTTATTTGGCGATTACACACCTGCAGACTTGGAGTGAGCTGGTTTGTATGAAAGAGGAGATCTAGTAGCATAAGGACTCGGCGTTACAGTTATTTCAATAAACCTACTCAACCGTAGCACCAGGAGCAAAAATCCCTGCTCTGCATTCGACTACTAAGCAACTGGCTCAATGGTGCTTCAACCCACATTTTGCAGAATGCATAGGTGGCGCTCATCAGGTTAGTCTAGCGAGTTACCCTGTTAATTAGACTAGTTAGAACGATATCGTTGCATCCTTACCTTGATTGAGCCTCTAGCCTTCAGGCCAGTTCAGTTTGCTTTTCTTGGGTACCTATTTACAGCTGGTTTACCCGCCCTGATTCGGCTTCGTATTCAATGCAGATGGCGTTGGGAGAGACGACTTTGGCATTTTACGACCAATTCGGTGATCTCAGGCCCTAATTTAACAGCTAGCACTCCATGCTGTTTGAATTCCATCTTATTCACGTTTGCATATAAACTGCTAGTCCTTGGTTGAACTTACTTTCGCTCCTCATGCACTATGCGTTTCGCATACTAACGCAAGATCATCATCAAGTCAGCCTGTGCTACAAACAAACATTTGCCTTTGTTGAATTAGTAATGCCGCATGCATGGCTTAATATTTATTCTGCAGCCGCCCATTTCAGAGGAATGATGAACCTTGGCGAAACGAAGGAGGCGCCTTCGGGAGAGGAGGTGATCTCCAAAGACATAGATACATACTCTGTCTCCGGAACCACTAATAGTGAACAAATTCATCCTTTGAATCAGTCAGACACCCGTCGCAGCGGCACTGCTCCAGCCAGTGATGCGGAGAGCAGGCAAGATGATGTTTTGAGTCGATACTACACCAACCGGTCAAACTCTGGCAAGGAGATACCACCGATGGGTGGCGACAAGCCATTCCCACCTATGTTTGAGGACGCCGAAGCGTACAAGGTTGAATTCCAGGGACCGGACGACCCATTGAACCCCATGAATTGGAAAAATAGCCGTAAGTTGCTGCTTGGTATGATCATGGCATACATGACAGTTGTTCTTGCTTGGGGTTCTTCTGTTATGGCTGCTGGCATCCCTGTAATCAAGGAGGTTTTCCATGTTGGTCAAGCAACTGCTGCTCTGGGCATTTCGCTATATGTTCTGGGGTTTGCTACGGGTCCCATCATTTGGGGCCCTCTGTCAGAGGTGTATGGTCGTTATATCCCGATGCTCGTTTCTTATATCTTCTTTACCGCATTTACTTTCTGGACCGCCACAGCTGATCACTTTTACCATCTGATTTTGTACCGTTTCTTTGCAGGTGCTATCGGTTCCGCACCTTTGGTAATTGTTGTTGCATCCTTTGCTGATATGTTCACCGTCGAAGTGCGTGGAAGGGCATTGGCCCTGTTCTCTCTTTGCATGGTAACAGGTCCCATTTTAGCTCCTGTTGTTGGCGGATACATTGTTGCCTCTTACTTGGGCTGGCGCTGGCTTTTCTACATTACGGGTATTATGGCATCTCTTGGTTTGGTCTTGATGATTTTCTTCCTCCGAGAGACTTTCCACCCTATTATTCTTTCTAAAAAGGCCGTGGACCTCCGTCTTCGAACAGGTAATATTATGATTTATGCCCAACATGAGAAGAATGTCCCCGATATCAAGGAAATCGCTGGTCGTGTTCTTATTCTTCCCATTAAAATGTTGTTCCAGGAGCCTATTCTCTTCTTGATGTCTCTTTACCATGGCTTCGTTTATGGTATCTTGTACCTCACTCTTGAGGTTGTGCCTATCATTTTCTCGGAGAAATACCATTGGAAGGGTGGAAATATTATGCTTCCTTATCTGGGTTTCGTTGTCGGTGGTATCATTATGAGCTTCGCAAACGTATTCTTCTTCGATCCCAAATTCCGTCGTGACCTTCGGGCAAGTGGTAAGCCCATTCTTCCTGAAGCTCGACTCCCTCTCTGCATGGCTGGTGCAATTGAGTTTCCTATTGCCATTTTCCTTCTTTGCTGGACGGGAAATTACAGAGTCCACTGGATCGCACCTTCGATTGGTATGGCTTTCTTAGGTGGCGGCTTAGTATCTCTTTTCGTTGGCATCATTAATTACACAGTGGACACTTACACTTTCCTTGCAGCATCCGCTATGGCTGCAAACACATTTACCCGTTCTGGAATGGCTGCAGCATTCCCGATTTTCGCATCAGCCATGTTCCACAATCTTGGTGTTGAGTGGGCAGGCACATTGTTAGGCTGCTTGGCGGTGCTACTCTTACCGTGCCCCTTCATCTTCTACTACTATGGAGAACGTATTCGCGGCTGGTCTAAATATGCACCAAAGATACCCGCCCCTCCTAAAAAAGAAGAGCCTGCAGATGACGCTTAAGTTTTAAGACATACATTGCGCACAATGAATGTCTAATACCTTCAATGAACATTCAATGTCAAATTTCATACGAAGTTTTTAATTGATTTATATCTTAGCTATTAATGAAATGAAAAAGTTTTTTACCCGGCGATGTAGATCTTGCTGTACCTCAGCTGCAGATTCGGGTGACTCAAATACGGTTGGGATTGAAGCCGAGAAGTAGCTTTTAAACTCGGTAAATGAAGCATGAGATACTCTGTGGCACTGCTTAGGCGCTAGAATACTTTTAAGGTATCGAGAATAGGTATTCTTATCGTTGGCTGCCTGCCCTCTCTTGTGTGCCGTCACATGCCTTGCTCAACCGCTTTTCCCCGACAGTTAAACCACCATGCACGTTGCGGGTGACAAAGACACACTACGCATTGAACTGAAGAGCCGATGACTATTACGCTAAGATTTGGTGCAGCCTGGCGTAATAAGACCAAAAGTTGTGTTATTTCCTGGCATTTGAGTATACTAGAAATCTGATGCACTATAATTTTCAGGTACTCTCGCTCAGTCTGAGTGTGAGCCTGTGATAAAGTATTTCCCGACAAAGCTTATCTTACGCAGCCCCCCTCGCCCAAGACAAAAAAAATTGTATCTGGTAGTGAAATAGATCTTCCCTCAAAGACTAACTCACTTCTTAGTGCCACATTTAGAGTACAGTCAACTTTCAAGATACGCTTCGTAGCATTTTGCCCACGGACTTCATTAAGCCGACAATGGACCTAGCGGGGCCACCTGCGGCCTCAACCCTTGACCCATCTATATAACTATTACATATTGGCCCAATATTTTATTCGACCGAACGGGAGGTGGTGATAAGCTATCCCTACTACAACCCGATATGGAGAGCTCAGCGGACAAGCCGAGAGAAAAGAATTTGTCTCCACATGACTCCCTCACGAGCTCACCACTGTCTTCTGCTGACATAGAAGCTAATGGAGTCGACATAGAAGACATCGACGACTACGTTGCAGACCCTATTGATAGGTATGCAACGAGAGCCAGTCTCGCCCAACGAGCTAGATCTCTGACTAGATATGGCGGTGTGCCGCCAATGGGTGGTAACAGGGCATGGCCGGCAAAAATTCTAAACGAAGACGAATATAAAGTGGAATTTGATGGCCCGGATGACCCTCTCTGCCCTTTTAATTGGTCCAACACCAAGAAGTTCACGAACGGTTTCATTATGACATACCCCTCCTTAGCCCTGGTATGGGGCTCTGCTATTTATGGCTCTGCTCTCGAGTTTATTGAGGTGGAGTTCCACGTTGGGCAAGCAGTGTCTGCGCTTGGCATTTCGCTCTACATTTTAGGATTCGCTTGTGGTCCTGTTTTTTGGGGACCATTGTCAGAGGTATACGGTCGTAGATTACCTCTTGTGTGCTCATTAGTTGGCTTGACGTGTTTTAGTTGGTGGGCTGCGACAGCGGATAAGTTTTACCAGCTGATGGTTTATCGCTTCTGCTGCGGCTCGATCGGAGGTGCGTCAATGTCGATTATTCCAGCGGCTATGGGAGATATTCTACCTGTACGCTCGCGAGGAGTGGGAATTTCAATGTACTCGCTGTGTGTCGTTGCCGGCCCAGCGATCAGTCCGATGGTGGGAGGCTTCTTAGCGCATTCCTCTATGGGATGGCGCAGCACACTCTACTCCTCTGCTATTATGGCGAGTGTTGCTTTAGTGCTAGTTGTTTGTTTCTTGTCTGAAACCTACCATCCGGTGATTCTCAAACAGAAGGCCCGTACAATTCGTTCGGCGACAGGGAATCAATTTGTATTTTCAGCTCACGAGAGAGTGGAATTAGATCTGAAAGTTGTTTTGGATAAGGTTATAACTGTGCCGTTTCAAATGCTTTTAACAGAACCAATTCTTATGCTAACAGCTACTTACCAAGGATTCTTATATGGCGTGCTTTATTTGTGTCTAGACGCCATTCCAATTATTTTTACTAGCTACGGCTGGAAAGGCGGCGTGGTAACGCTTCCCTATATTTCATTGTTTTTGGGTGCAGTTGTTGCTAATGTTACGAACCTTACTATCTTCGATCCAAAATTCAAAAGAGACCTCGCCAAAAGCGGAAAGCAGGTTTACCCCGAAGCTCGTCTTCCGATGATGATGGTGGGGTCATGTGTTTTTCCCACTTCAATTTTCCTACTGTGCTGGTCTGGTGCTTATAAGGTCCATTGGTTTGTACCCACTCTTGGCCTGTTTTTCCTTGGATACGGCCTCATTACTTTGTTTCAACCTATCATTAATTACACTGTCGACACGTTTAGGCTAAGGGCTGCATCTGCAATGGCCGCTAATGTGTTTGTTCGCTCGGGACTGGGCGCTGCATTCCCCATTTTCGGTAAAGCCATGTTCAACAACCTAGGGACTCAATGGGCTGGTACTCTTCTTGGCTGCTTAGCATTACTGTTGAGCCCTTTTTCTTTCATATTCTACCGTTGGGGCCCTAAGCTTCGGGCAATGTCAAAAAGCACGCAGCAATAAATTATTAAAAAGTTGCGCCCCAACTTTTACCCATCGAGCTCGCAGTTCTTACGTTCCGCATACGTGTTTATACTGTGATTCTTTCGAGGGGTTGGCGGCCAACGGAAATTGTAAACCATTTATTTCTTGGAAGATTTTTGGTCCTGAAAATTGGTCTTCCCATCATTAATTACTTAAACTTGTCTGCATATTCGCATAATGCCTATCCCTGTTTCAAACTGCATGAACTTATGGCTGTAAAAGCAACAACATCCAAAACAGTGTTTCCCCTTCCCGATCAGTGCCGGCTACATCAGATGTGAAGCTTTTAGACGTGTGCATATTCACCATATACGACATACATACGGACTGGGCGTCGGTAGAAGAACAGTGTGAAAATGTCGTGTTTATCATTCAGGGTGTTCAGCATACGGCTCAGGAATCTCCTGTATTTTTGCGATCATGCCAGCAGGAGATTTTTCAGTATGCTTTTCTCTAGCTTCTAGGATCAGTGCTAGGAGCAATTTACTATATGCTGATATCTGTAGAGTAAAAATATTAAGAACTGCTAATTTACCGGGGTTCCAGAGTTTGGGCTTCACACAGGAGGTCTTTCAAGGACATGCATGGTCATGATGCGGGACAGCCTATTTTTGAATCAGCATAGACACACGATTGGGGTTTTGGATGCTCCTCCCACTGATGTTGGGGTATCCCGCTGTAAGGGTTTCCTTGAAGGCTCGAAATAAATTCTTAAAATCTCGAAAAAATTGGTGCTACTAGGGACTTCTTTGTTATTGCTTTTAAGAATGAAATCACCAAATATACTTCTGGTTATAAGGCACGGGAGCTTGGGACCCATAAGGATGTTGATTTGTTTATACTCGTAATGACCACACTCTGTTAGGTTTCAACATCGTTATGCACGTATTTTAGATGTGCTGAAAAATTCTAACAGCTCATTCGACTTTATCCGCAGTTTGATCTACCAAGAGCTTCTCCTCAGACTCGTTTATTCAACTCAATAGGCCTTATCATTCTCTCGGGCGTTACAGCTGGAATAGAGATTTGAATGCTATGTCTACGAATGCTTTGCATGGTAATTGGTCGAGCAATATGAGTATATTACAAGCTTAGTGCATTCAAGAGATTTGGTCAAATGCGTACGGAATACAGTCTAACCTTGGGATTATAGGCTATATCATGTGGCACCATTTTAATCTTCATTATGCGTGGGTTTAGACAAGATGGTACGCTGTATTTTCGATCTCGCCCATTTAAGCCATCAGTTTCGCAGGAACGGTTTTAGTTACACATTTTTCCTGGCTCCAAAATTTGTTTACGAGATATACTTGGCATTCCGAAGTAACTCTGACTGCAGATTCAGTTGTCGAGCTATAATGACGGGAATTTGATCTTTGTGTTCTAGCCATATACGCTATTGAGTGGGCCGTAAACTTACTAGGTTGCTCAGCAGAAACATACAATGCTTCTCATTTACTATTTGACTGATTTCACTGTTTGGGATCGAGGATCGTCAACACCGGACATGCGAATAGTATAGAATAGAAAATGGAACCGAAGAGTGCGAAATTAAACTACCACACATCCACTTGCTCAGTCCATTCCAGGTATTGTTAGAGTGTACGTTTGGCAGCCCGTGTGAACAGCGAAAACATCAATGACGAGTATGCTTAGCATACAGGTTGCAATAAAAGTAGTATTGATCCCGTGTACTGACAGAATTCCAATGAATCAGGCGATATACAGAAATCTGACGTGCAGTGCTGCATAATCACCGCAGGCTCGCACTAGCGACACAGACGCATAAAGAATACAGTAGTACCACCTCGACCGGAAAAATGCTTGAGATGACTGTTTAATAGATCATTGTGAGCGGTCAATATACGTTTGGGCCTTCTCAGAGAGTGCGCGAGTTACGCTTTGAAAGGATTATTTGCTCAAGCAACGGGATCCCGAAATTCTCTCACTGAAACTAGGGCTAGGTCCTGCATGACCTTGTCTTGGTTGAGCAAGGTGAACCAGGATGAAGGCAACCAAAGTGCAAGTTCATGAGCAATCGATTGCAATCAGAGGATTTGACGTCCTTGAGTGACCAACCATCTTCAATAGCCCAATTTACTTCTATAGTCTTCGAGAGTATATAACATAAATAGCCTGCGAGGGCCTCGCACGTGACGAGCAAACGCTTAGTTTAAATCTGATGGCACAGAAAAAGAAAGCTTGACGTACACATGGATCGATTATCAGACTCGGTTGAATTCGAAGACAAGCCCTGTGACTACTGTTCCAAAAACGTGTGCAAGCCACTGCAGCCCGGCGAGCTGGGATTTATTCCGTTCGCAGAGCTGGTGGTTGCACATACCAAAGGTGTACCAGATCTTCCAGCTATAATGGGACCTAATAATAAAGCCATCCCCACAGTACCAAATGACCATTTGAAATACCGGGTGGACTATAATGGTCCGGATGACCCGCTGAATCCGCTCAATTGGTCGAGGTTTCAGCGAATTTTCCATATTGCTATGGTCTGCTATGCTGGGATGGTGGTCATGTGGGGAATGACTGTTTGGGCATCAGTGGAAAAATTCCTTAAGCCCATTTACCATCTGTCTTGGTCTGTCTGTGGCTTGGGTTTGGCTTTATATATCATGGGATTGATGGCCGGGCCTGGTGTGTGGATCCCGTTATCTCAACTTCATGGTCGACGTCCAATGTTAGTTTATTCGATGCTGGGTGCGACGGTGTTTACATGGTGGACCTCAACTGCTCAGTACTATTATCAGTTCATGATTTATCGGTTTTTTACCGGTGCCTTTGGTGCCGGTGCACTCAGCATTTCAGTGGACGTTTTCAAAGACCTATCTACCCGACGTAGTGTTGTGGATACTTCCATCAGTGTCTATACCATTATGAGCTTTGGCGCGCCCGTTCTTGCACCATGGGTCTCTGACTGCGTTGGATTCTCATTCTTGGGTTGGAGATGGATGTTCACCCTGCAAGGCATCATGATGTCGAGCAGCTTCGTGCTACTCCTCCTTTTCTTTAGAGAAACTTCTAGCCCAGTCGTGCTCCAAAGTAAAGCCAGGTACTTGCGAATTCGCACTGGTAATCGGTTTATATATTCAGCCCATGATCACACTTTCCTAGACTTGAGTCTGGTCATTCACAACTTTTTTGCTGGCCCGATTAAGTTTTTAACTGCCGATCCAATTCTAGCTGTCGTGTCCATTTACCAAGGATTCCTGTTTGCGTTGCTGTATTTGACCATGGAAGGTATTCCTTTGACCTTCTTGAGATATGGATGGAATGGACCTTTGACGGCTATTTGCTCTCTTTCGATGTTTATTGGAATGGTTATAGCATCTGCTGTTCAAATCTTTATCACGAATCCACAGTATCGGCGCTATGCCAAGGAGATTGATGTTCCTGAAAGCCCCCCTTTGAGGCTCTGGACTATGCTTCCTGGTGCCATTGTGTTGCCAATCTCTCTTTTCTGGTGGTTCTGGACTGGATTTTATCTAGTCCACTGGATATGCCCTACCATTGCCATGGCATTCACTGGATTTGGTTTGGTCACAGCCTATGCACCAGCTCTGAACTTCGTTTACGTGAGTTATAACATTAGTCCTGAAGTCGCATTGTCAGCCAACTCAATTACACGAGCTCTCATGATGGGCATGTGCCCGTTCTTCGTTAAAGCAATGTACTTCACTCTGGGTATGGAATGGGCAGGAACTCTGCTGGGCTGCTTGGCCACAGTGTTAGGTGCACTACCATACATTGTATTCTGGGTGATTCCTCTCTGGGGCCACCCTGCCAAGGACGAAACTCACAAGGAATACAGAAAAGGCCGTTGGGAAAAGATTCTCCACAACCAAATCATCAAGCAAGCTCTTACGAAAATCGATTCGCATGACGACTAAATCAGGTCGCAGTTGAGCCAGTACAATGCTATCAGATCGCATGGTGCACGCTCCTACTAATTCATTCAATATCTTTTAAAATGAATAGACTCTTATTCAATAAACGTTTAATCAAATTTCAATCCAGCATGAACTCATGTCATGTAGTTTGTTTTCCCGATGGTCACGGGGACGACGACGCAGCTTAGCCCAGTCCGTTGTCGGTCAAATATGCCAAGAAAAAACATGTTCCATCACCGCAGAAACGACTTAAAAAAATATTCTGTGCATGAAATTATGTACGAGACAAGTCAAATTCACATTGGACAAAAAAACTTGCAACATATAGACTACGCTATTTATGAATACAGCCGAATCGGCTACGCTGATTACCGATCATCCTAAGTGTCTGCAAAAGCCGAAGGCAGCTGCACACCTAAATGTCTCAAACCGAACCGGACAGCTTAGGAAGAACATTTTTTGGAAAGGGAAAAAAAATTCAGAATAAGATGCCATATTAACTAGGATCAGTCGAGTTTAATACGCTGCGCTCGAGGTATACATTGGGGTTTCCCCATGTTGTCCTTCCCAATTTCGCCGAGATCGTGTGCTTAAATCTTTATAAGCTTGTGAAATAACCCTGTGTCTCCGACAAAGTGGATCAGTGGTGACCGAATCCAGCATAGTGCACAAGATACTCTTTTAAGCCAGTTGCCCCACATGCGGCGGGCTGCATTCCTCCGCATGAGCGTACGGGAGCTTCGTCACGAACCGAGCCGAGCCGAGGACGCAACAGATCAAAATTCTTTCGTCATACCGACACACCTATATCAACTAGTAGCAGGACCATTCGAAAACATATGTCCGCTACTAATCCAGAGAGTGAGCGCGAACTACATTCCAGTAATGAACCGGATTTGAAACCTTACAGTTCTTCAAAATCTTCGGAGAGCTCCCACACCGAGGAGGAAGTCGAAGGCTTCACGACTGGAGCTACCCGTACGCAAACAAATGCCAGTGACTCGTCGGCCTTGAGTCGCACCATTTCTCGAGTATACACGCAAAGTACAAATTTCGAAACACCGCTACCATCAATGGGCGGAGGTAGAAGCACGTACCCTGCAAAAATACCCAACGAGGAGGAATATGAGGTCCAATTCGATAGTGATGATGACCCACTTAATCCACTGAATTGGTCATTTCGACGGAAGCTCGTTGTCGGTGCTGCATGCGTCTGGCCTACAACTGTTTTATCGTGGGGATCTTCGATCTACGGTAATGCGACGACCGAAATTAAGCATATCTATCATGTTGGCACCCCAGTCGCTATTCTGGGCGTTTCCCTGTATGTAATTGGGTTTGCTACCGGCCCAATTATTTTCGGCCCCATGTCCGAGATCTACGGCCGGAAAATACCTATGCTGATCTCTAGCATTCTGTTTACTGCATTCACTTTTTGGTGTGCTACGGCTGACCATTTTTACCACATTATGTTGTATCGCTTTTTTGCAGCAGCTTTGGGTGCAGCGCCCCTCGTGGTAGCGGCTGCAGCCCTGGCTGATATGCTTCGAACAGATGTTCGAGGTATTGGTATAACACTATTTTCATTGTGTGTCATTGCTGGTCCCATGATTGCACCTGTCGTGGGTGGATATATTGCGAACTCATATCTCGGTTATCGGTGGGTGTTTTACATCACAGGTATCATGGGTGCTTCGGGAATCCTATGTGTCATTTTCTTTCTTGAAGAAACTTACCACCCGTTAATTCTTTGTAATAAGGCTCGAGAACTTCGGGAGCGCACAGGAAACAATTTCATTTATGCTGCCCACGAGCGGGTCAGACCCGATTTCAACACAATCGCCAAGAAGGTCCTGGTTCTCCCCGTCAAAATGCTTTTCGTAGAACCCACCCTCATGTCTCTGTCACTTTATCATGGATTCATCTATGGTATTCTGTATCTTTGTCTGGAAGCAATTCCTCTCATTTTTACAGAAAAATATCATTGGCATGGAGGTAACATTATGCTGCCTTACTTAGGTATGTTTATTGGTGCAGTCTTGGGAAATATGACCAGTATTTTTGTCTTTGAGCCTCTCTTCAAAAAGACCCTTGCAAAGTCAGGGAAAGCTGTTTTACCGGAGGCTAGGCTGCCCCTCATGATTCTTGGATCCATTATTTTCCCAATTGGTATTTTCATGCTTTGCTGGACAGGTAACTATCATGTTCATTGGATCGCTCCAGTTATTGGATGTGCTTTAATCGGCTTTGGAATGAATAGCCTTTTCTTACCCATTTTCAACTACATCATTGATACCTATCTATTTCTCGCCGCGTCTGCCCTTGCCGGCAATACCTTTTTGCGTTCATCTATGGGCGCTTCCTTCCCTATCTTTGCCACGGCTATGTTCCAAAACTTGGGCATTGAATGGGCAGGCACCTTGTTGGGCTGTTTAGCAGTTCTGCTTCTTCCTATACCTTTCTTGTTCTACAAGTTCGGCGCGAAAATTAGAAGAGCCTCCAAGTATGCGGTCGACCTCGACAACAAAGAGTGATCTTGGCCAAGCATACATTTTTTATGGACAAAATTTATCAGATTTATTTTTTCGTTTATCAAAATATCTTGATATAACATAGGGTCGATAATCTAAATGAGAACAATATCAACCCGGCTATTTCTCCAGAATGGGCCCGCAGATCCAGATATAACAGCATAGGTCCCGCCATTCGACTTTTTAGATAAAAACCCAGGATTGATACACACAACATTGTTGACTATCTCTGCTGAAGGCCGAGTGAGAGATGGAACAATCAAAACGTTGGGCGCTAGGACCATATCTGCAAGGTTCAAATGAGAAACATCCAAAGGGACACCCGGGCGTTGTTCACGGCGCAAAGATACCTCAAAGACAGATTCCTCTGTTGGTGTGTCACCAGATTGGAACCCAGGGAACAGAGGATAGACGCGACGTTGCTCAAGAATACTCCGACAAGCCTGGCTAAACCCGCTGCCCTGTTGGTTTTGTTCTACCGTGCGACTGCTGAGAATATCTTGTACAGAATCTGATGATGTTGCTGTAATTACAACTTCATCAAGGGAAAAAATAGCCGGGTTGGGGACCATCTTGAAGTTTTTAGGCAAGCCAAGTTCTTTTCGTGAGAATTGCGGTTGAGGGTATTGCAGATTCTCTGTGATAACATCTTTAGTGCTTGGTAGAAGAATGACTGGGATATTTTGGTCAAGATCGTTCAAAATAGGTACCACTTTTTGTGCAAAAATTTCATGCAAAGAATCGAAGCTGTCGGTCTTTTGAGAGGACCAAAGCATAGGATGATCACCCTCTACGAATGGCCCTACAAGAATGACACTTGAGGGCTTTGTTTCTTGAATAGTCTTTACAAGGTCTTGCAAAGGGTGGAAATCGAGGTTGTCTTGAGTTGTGAAGGGACCAGCAGCTGCAACCAACCTCAAAGGGTTTTCACCACGCTTGGCTTCAAGTTCCTTCTGGTTCTCGGAAGAGACCATTGCAAAAGGCATTTGAGGGGGTGCGATAACCTCTTTAACAACAAACGAGGAGCCACTTGGGTTGGTTCCTTTCAATGCGACGATTTGGCCTGGGAAAAACGAAAACGCAGAAAGTTGGTCCAGATCGAGACGAGTCTGAGTGCCTGCACCCAGTCTCCTACAGGTTTGAATCGTAATTCCTTTGGGGTGGAGACGTTGTTTATAGCCAGGCTCATCTGATCCTAACCGACCAATAACAATGGCCTCATCTTGAATGGTTCGTGCAGGATTAACGATATCGTGCTCATTTATGCCACCCTCATCGGTGAAAATCTTGATCATCCGCTCAATCTGTTGATCTAAAACCTTGCTAGCATCAGAAAGCTGCTGGTACATGGGCCTATAATTGTGCTCTGTGGCTGAGACATTAGGTGCAAAGTGAGCTGGAGCACTGGGGATCGAAGGGTTTACTGCAACATTTTCGTTCAGAGTCAAGATAACTTTCCCTGAATTTTGTCGAGATGAATAGTGTGCTACAGGACTCGATGGGAAGTCACTTGAGGATGGTAAGATTCCCGAGCGGTCAATGTGTGCAGGGAGTGGTGTGGAAGGCTTTGTAGCAGACGACTGGATCTGGCGCAAAGGGGTGGCAACCTGACGCGTTCGTGAAGTGTGTGGAGTGCCGATTTTGGCCTTCTTTTTCGGCCGATCGGCTTCATGAGCAAGATAGATCTGGAAATCACTGAGACTGGACGCAATTTGAGGTTCCGTGGGTTGTGACAGCGCATACGCTTCCCATTTATAGTGGAGATCCTCCATTGTTAGATTATATTTCGTTGAAAGAGACTTAAGAGTGGCCATAGTGGCCTCGTCCACCTTTTCAAAAAACGCGTCCATATAACTTGCCTGCGACGCGACAGATTAGTAAAAAAAATTAAAATGCGTAAATTGAAAACATCCAACCCAAATATAATAAAAAATGAAATAAAAACGGGTTCGAAAAGAGCAACAGAATATACATTTCATCATTTACAATAAGCTAAAGATCAGTACTAAGAAATCGTATATCAAAGAGCTTACTCCGAAGCAGGGGTCTCGGTTGTGGGCTCCACGGGCTCGGCAGCCTGCTTCTCGCTAGGCTCAGAAGAGCCTTCAGACTCAGTCTTCCCACGCTTGGCCTCATTCTCTTCATTACGGTCATTGCGGCGCTTAGTACCGTGGGGTCCCCGAGCGTTCTTGTTCTTGAAAGCATTGAACTTGCGACGTTTACCGTTAGCATTGGCGGTGAAACCATGCTCAGCAGCCTTCATCTCAACATAGGCCACCTTTGACATGGTGAGAAGTTCCTGGCCGTTGTACTGGGGCTTAGGATCGAGCTCCAAGAACTTCTTGACATCCTCGGCGTTGGCAAACTCAACGAAAACAGACGATTTGAACGAACCATCATCAGTGCGGCGCAGTCTGACCTGCTTGGTAGGTCCAAACTGTTCGAAGAAAGTTTCAAGATCAAACTGAGTAGTCTCGGTTTCATCGCCAAACCCTTTGGCATAAATGGTACGGTTGAAAGCGTCCTTTTTGATTTCAGGCTTGGGCTCTTGCAGCGGAATGCGGCGACGAACATTCTTATCGTCCTCAGAAACCTCCAAGAGCTTTTCACTTTGCTTCAGCGCCGCAACAACAGCTTCCAAGGGCTGGAATCGGCGCATGCGAGAAAATTTGTGGATGGTATCGATAGGGACCCAGCCATCGTTTTTCTCGGCGGTTTGGAACAAAAATTTATCTTTCGGAAGATTTTCGTCACTGAAATAAAACTCCACCTGCTTCAAAATCTCTTTAGGGTCGCTAGATTCAGGCAATTTGGATGCATCAGAAACCACTTTTCGAACTCTGCCGGATTTTTCACTCATAATGACAAAGCAGTGAGTGCCTCTGGGACATGGCGATATCAAGGCTTGAAGTAGACCAAGAATAATTGAGATCCCCTCTATAGGCTACTGGGTTGTGTTTATTCATAAATTACTTTTTGGACGTTTGAGCACGCGTACCACGCCATCCTGCGCGAAGCTGGCAATCAGTCTTTTCTTACTGTCAAACATACGTCCATTGTAGAGACCGCGGCCGTCGCCAGCTGCATCAGACCAAGTTTCCATCATAATATAATCATCATCAACCATGGCGTCGAGTCTGTGCAAAACAAATTGGTGATCAATAGATGCAATCTTCTCAATATGGAGGTAAGGGTCGTCCTGAATATTGATCAACGTGAACAGAGAGTTTCGATCAGAGATGTACAACAGGAGGGCGACATGGATGTTGATCTGATTAGGTAGCCTGAATGGCGATCGGAAATAGTGTATGATACGCCTATCAGAAAGAATTGGAATCTCTTTATTGGACTCAGTAGTATCCATCTTTCTACAGTCGATGGTATGCCATTGGCTTTCAATACCAAATTCTCGGGCAAAGTCCAGAATCACCGGGGCGTCGAAATCGTTGGCGGGCTCCATGGTGATAATCTCGTGGTCGGGACGAGCGTACTTCTCAGGATAGGGTGCATTGTAGCAGAGGCTATCTTTCTCAGCAGACTTGAACGATAGCAAGGAGAAGAAAATCATGTCCTTCTTATCGTAGGAGAAGTCCGCAAGTTTGTCTTCGTCGCATTGGTAAACGCGGATTTCGCGGTTCGCAAACCTACCTCCATCCCGCAGCTTCTCAACAGTAAAGATAAATGGGATTAGTGGGTTGCCCCGTTCCAGAAAGTAGCCGTGAAGCGAGTGGCAGACCTGCTTGATATCGGTCGTCATTGAACCTGCTACAACTACCTGGGCCAGTACGTGGCCTCCAAAAACACCGGAGAAGCCCTTCATCGGCTGGAATGGCTGCACCGTTGATTGGTACACCGAAACATTTTTAGGAGTTCTAGGGAGCTCGAGCGGCCTGAGCTCCATGATTTCCGCAAACGTCTTGTTTATGGCGCTGGCAAGATGGTAGTCGATCATTAAGGGTCGGTGTGTGGGGTAATTGAAGACTTATATGGGTCAAGGTCGTTTGTAATTCGGTTTGGGGTAAAGCTGCTTTCGGCATTAAGGGTTGAGCTCGACAAACGCTGGGGTTGAGGCTCGAGGTGAACTCTTTGAATAGCTGGCCCTAGTCTACTAGTAGCATTTCGTGTTTATATACTGTATACCGCAACTCTCCTGGCGTTTAGCGACGAAACTCCCTCGGCTGTCCTCATGCATCTCGGGCCTAAGTTCAAAAGCGCCCTTGTGATAACCCCTACCCCGCAAAGTCAGCGGGGGGAAAGAGTTAGCATCTGATGACTAATAAGAGAGGGCCTGATCAGACCCTTCCCACTCGTCCTGGCTCGTCTGCGAGCAGTCCTGCCTTGCTTATTGCGGATCCTGCCATCTTGCACATCTAGTTTCAGTTTCGGCTAGCGGGTTAACATTTGCCCCACCTCGAGGATTCGTTTGTCTAGGCGATCTAGATGGCAATAAGAGCGGAATTTTCTGCCAAATTGAGCACAATCAAAGCTTTTATAATCCTGGCGTTATATAGAAGTTCAGCTCAGCTCGCTCACATCGAGCAGTAAATTCTCGACATCGAGATGCCTCTTACCCCTACCCCTTTGCATCTTGCATACGCTCACTTGAGCTATGCGAAACGCTGCTACTCTTATAAGATTTTGGCAGCGAAATAGCTCGCAGAATAGAAACACTAAGCTGTTTACATATGATCTGGGTTATGATAATTGGTTATGGCCGACAAATCGCGCAAATCTGCCCATTTGCCAGCATTGTATCTGCAGTTTATCGAGCGCAATAATGTAAAAAGAATGCTTTGCTAAGCAGGACTAAGAATCTAAACTTCGTATTGCGATATGGATCAAGACTCTGCACCCCGGAGAACTGAAGAGCCATCCGTGCAAAACGGCGGAGTTCAAGCGCAGCCCGAGCTTCTGCGTGGCGAACATGAACACGGTCGCAGGCCCTCTGACGGGGCGGCTTCCCGCGCTAATGGCAAGTCTCGTTTGGCGCATTTTGTGCATGGAAAAAACCTTCGCTCGTTTTGGCGTACAGAACGCGATCCCAAAGAGCCTGGACGCTTTGCAAAGCTGGCACAGCTTGTGCGCCGTGGGCATGGGCAGAAATACAACTGGGCGGATGGACGACGCATGGACGAAAGCGAACTCCTTCGTGAAGTAGAGAAATCTAGCCAGCTCTATGCCGATGTTGCGTCAGTGGCACCAATTGTCAGTCTGTTGGGGTCTAAAATCATGTCTAGTGCTTCAGGTTACAATCGAGTCCCTGTTTTGCTGGACCAGATCTCGGTTCGAGTTGTCCCAGAGCAGCCTGATAAGCTCAAGCACACTGTTCGTATTTTCGTGGAATATGGCTCGGGTTTGTCAAAGATATCGTGGTCGGTCGTACGCTCTTATCGTGACTTTTTTTTCCTCAATTCAAAAATTGTAAAGGATCCAATCTGGACGTCCACAGCACGACCACCTCATTTACCTGGCCTAAAGGAATTCGACAGTGATAAACACTCACATGGTCATCACCGTTTCACTATGTACCATCATCATCATAACAACGAGGAGAACACCCTTCATAATAATGGCTCACGGCAGGCAGCCAACTCTGGGTCCAACGTTGAGCCTCGCCCTGGGCCCCCTCCTCTTCACCCTGGAGCTCGCTCTGTTTCCCCGGCTCCTCGCAATGCTTCGCCGGGCGTGCAACCTACCACAAGTGCTCAGGCAGTAGTTTGCGATGTTACGTCCGACAGCACGAGTGTTAATTCAAGTGCTCTTTCAGCAGCTGTCTATGACGATTTCAGGCCCCAAACTGCACCCACAAGTTTGGAACGGGCTTTGGAATGGTACCTCACCGAGCTACTTAAGGCTTACCGCTTCAGCGGTGAGAGCAACCGCATCATGCAGTTCCTAGAACTCTCATTCACATCTGTTCTCTTGGCACCAGACTCTGCATATCACGGAAAGGAGGGTGCTGCCTTAGTTTACAGCAGAGCTAGTGGCGCAGGTTGGCGCGTGCGACATTGGCACCCCAAGGATTTGGCAGCTCTCTACCGCCGTCACTCTCCTAAATGGGTCCTGGTTTGTGAATCCTTCATTGTTCTTGTTGAAAACATTGGTAGTACAAGTGTTTCGGAGGTGTTTGATGTTGATACGTCTTTTGCTGTTCTTCCTTCTTCACGCAGAGCTACTGAAGAAGAGCTGCGTGCTCTCATTCGGCACGATATCGAGAAAGAGACGAAACAGCAGAATGCATTTGAGGTTATAGCTACTCATGGAACTACCGTTTTCAGCGCTATGGGTGCACTTCAGGAAGATCTCCTGCCAAAAGTGGGTAGTGGGCGCGGGTTCTTACTCCACCTTCGCAATAATGGCCGTGAGCTAAAGCTTGTTGTCAAGAGCCGTCATGAGCTGCGTCGCTGGCACACAAGTTTGTTGCAAATGTCCGCAGCCACTCCTTGGAGTATGGAGAACCGATTCCAATCTTTCGCCCCTGTCCGTTATAACGTCTTCTCTCAGTTCTTTGTTGACGGTCGCGACTATTTCTGGACTTTGAGTGAAGCCCTTGAGAATGCTCGCGACACTATTTACATTCTTGATTGGTGGCTCAGCCCAGAAACTTACCTTCGACGCCCAGCTGAGAGTAACCAGAGATGGCGTCTTGATCGGGTCCTGAAAAGGCGTGCCGAAGCGGGTGTCAAGATTTTTATTGTTGTGTACCGCAATGTTGGTGCAACGATTCCGATTGACTCACTCTGGACGAAGCATTCCATGCTTGACCTGCACCCTAATATACATTGTTTGCGTTCCCCCAATCAAGTTTTGCAAAACTCCGCACTGTTTTGGGCCCATCATGAAAAAGTTTGTGTCATTGATCACACAATTGGTTTCTGCGGTGGTATTGACCTATGCTTCGGTCGTTGGGACACCCCTCAGCATGTGCTGGTGGATGACGCTGTCGACGCCTTCCACAAAACTAACGAAGAAGCCAAATCTTCTGCAACACCTACACAAGTTTGGCCTGGTAAAGACTACTCTAATCCTCGTGTCAAGGACTTTTTCCGTCTTGATCAGCCATACGAAGAGATGTACGACCGGCAAGTGACCCCTCGTATGCCTTGGCACGATGTACACCAGATGGTTATAGGTCAACCAGCACGTGATTTGGCTCGCCATTTCACCCAACGCTGGAACTATGTTATTCGGCAAAAGACCCCATCCCGCCGCACGCCTCTACTGATTCCTCCCCCTGACTTTACACAGGAAGAGCTAGAGAGATTAGGTCTCACAGGCACATGTGAGTTCCAGGTTCTTCGCTCTTCCGGAGACTGGTCGCTTGGTCTTAAAAAGCATGAGCAGAGTATTCAGAATGCGTACATCAAACTCATTGACGAATCTAAGCATTTCGTCTATATCGAGAATCAGTTCTTTATCTCGAGCACTGTTGTAGACGACGTGAAGATTGAAAACCGTATTGGCGATGCACTGGTGCAAAGAATCATTAGAGCTTTCGAGAAAGGCGAAAAGTGGCGAGCTATCATTGTCATTCCTCTGATGCCTGGTTTCGAAGCGAATGTTGATACCCCCGAGGCATCTTCTGTTCGTGTTATCTGTCAATGTCAGTTCAACACAATTTCACGTGGTCCTCATTCAATTTTCTATCGTCTTGAAAAGGCTGGTATCCGCCCTGATCAATATATTTCATTTTTCAGTTTGCGTAAATGGGGAAAGATTGGACCTGAAAAGCGTCTCACTACCGAGCAGCTCTATATCCACGCTAAGACCATGGTCGTAGATGATCGTGTTGCTATAATTGGAAGTGCAAACATCAATGAACGGTCGCAACGTGGTTTGCGGGACTCAGAGATTGCTGTGTGTGTTCGTGATACTGAAGTTATCAACTCAACTATGGCTGGTAAACCTTTCAAAGCTGCAAAATACGCATATAACTTACGCTTGCGCCTCATGCGTGAGCACCTTGGTGTCGATACTGATCAATTGGAGATGGTAGAGCAGCTTGTGGATTCTCTCGAGGACATTGTGACAGACAAATCTCGTGGAAGAATTGGATCTTCGCGTGCAGAGGAGGACGAGTTCCCATCATGGAAGTATCCTGATTCGCACTCGTTCAATTATTTTGCTGGAACAAAGATGAATCCTGGCATTCGTGACTATAAAAAGATTTCCACTGATCCCCGTATCCAGGGCAATGAAGAGCATCGGAGAGATGTGTGCGGTGATGGTTATGATCACATGAATGAACGTTTAAAAGAGTTTAAAAACAAAACTTATGGTCCGAGCTCCTATTTACTTCCTTCTGGTGTTCGGGCTCCTCTTACTCCGAAAGAAATCTCAACTCGCGATGCTGCTATTGATATGATGTCAAAACTGTTGAAAGAGTCTGCTATCACATCAGTTGATGCTTTCAAGCGTAAGTTGTATGAGCTTCTCACTGGTGTGGATCCTGATGGCCACCTTCCGCGTCTTGGGGACAAGCCAATGCCTTATGTTAACGATGAAGATCGTACTGTTCATCATAATGAGCCTTTCCCAGTCGACCCTTGGGGATTCAACGACCCCATCAGCGAGACTTTCTATGAGGACCTCTGGTTTCAAATTGCCGACCGCAATACTTCGATCTTCCGCAGAGTGTTCCGGTGCCAGCCAGATGACGAAGTCGAAACATGGAATGATTATAAGAAATCCATGCGTTTTGAAAATCGCTTCCATATGAAGCAGGCTGAGGAAGGTGGTCCTGAAACCCTTGAAAGTCGTGGCCCTGAACTAGTTGATACACATGAACTAGCTGGAGAGCTTGAGAGTGATATGTTGACTGTTCGCTTAATCAAGAATGCGACGCAAACTGCTACAGACAACATTGGTAATCTCTACGATCTGTCTCAGAAAATGGTTGTGCGTAAAGTTGCTATGGACAAGGCGCCTGATATCGCGGCGCTACAGGCAGAAACTGAACCTGGTAGGCTGCACTCTAGTGCTGCGAAACTCTCCAGGCGCATTCGTGAGCGGAGGTCTAGCAAGGATACCTCGAAAGATGGGTCTATTAAGAACCCCTCTATGGATAGCTTCAAGGAGAAGAGTGTAGAGGATGGCTCCATAAACAGTCCCTCAACGCTTGGACGTGGCGAATCTTCATTTAATGTTGAAACTGGCTCCAAGTCCGCCACTTACGAGGAATATCAAATCGACGACAGTAATGTGAGTCCCAAGTCTAAAGAAAGCTACCATGTGGCTTCAAGCTCTGCCGCAGGTGTTCCCGGTCTCCCCACATTGTCCCGCTTGCTATCTGAGCCTGAAGGCTTTGATCCGAAAGATAGCGAGTTCCCAGATGGCAAACGTCATTCTCAAGCGAAGCTTGCCGAAGGCCTAAGCGTTGATGCTAGAGGGACGCATCGGGCCGATGAAAGTGATCCTCATTTCGCGCACACTCGCTCTGAATATGAAGGCCGCGTTGCCAATGGCACTGTTCAGCCGTATTCTGGTGTTGATGGAGCTGAATCCGTGCGCCCCCACCGGGTCTTCACTTCAGCACGGCGCTGGACTCACTTTGAGCAAGTACTAGACGCCCAAGTTGCTGAGGAGGTTTTGGCAGGTGTCACCGGCCACCTTGTAGTATTCCCAACTGAATGGCTGAACCGCGAGTTGGATGCAGGTAACTGGCACTTCCAGATGGATCGTATGGCACCTCTGGAAATCTACGATTAATCGCATACCCTCCATAAATGTATTCTTAACCCACTTTCTTTTGTAATTTGATAGTTCAAATATGCATGGGTTTGTATGTTCACTATGTTGGTCGAGCTCTAAGCGTCGAGCAGTTTCAATATGGCTACCATATACGATGGGAGCACAAGATTGTCATTGATAACACTAGTTGCTTCCAAGAGCGCTGTTGCAAAAGCAACCAAGATAGCGGGCTTGTTAGGCACCTGCGATAATTTTAGGCCTACCGCGGCAACTAGAAAGAAGCCGATTGTGCCTTCGAGCGACTTGTGGCCAAACAACCGCAGGCGGCCATATCTTTTACCAATCTGAGATGCTAGTGTGTCCCCCAAGCCGAGGCAAATGAGTCCCGCTCTTGAACAAGCCAACGAATCGCCAGCAATAAATATTGGCCAAGCGATTCCGGTTAGGAGATAAATGTGGCTGATGACGAGAGGGCCACATGTATCCCTGTGATCGACAAACGATCGGAGTGCTTCGTGTAGGAATTTCCCGAACGGAGGCAAAGCTGCGGCCCTCATCGCTTCACAGACCAGAAATAGCACAATTGCAACAGCTAGAGCGACCGGAGCAACATTAGAGCGACTATTATTCCAGAACATAAAGACCACAGTAACATGCCACAATTTTCGGCGCGAGTCTAGCATTGTACTGGTTCCTTTGAGCATATAGGCTGCAACCAAGAGGGCGACCGAGAAGCACAAGACCCACCATCCTAACGCCGGAGCACCCTGACCAATGAGACTGAAAAACTCGACGAACCGACCAGTATGGTATAAATAATAGAAAAACAACACTGAAGCACTCGATAAATAAGCAACGTAGCAGTTGATGGCCAATCGGTTCATCAACTGTTTGTCATTATCCGGGCGTCTTTTCATTAGAATGCTGATATAGCGACGCAAGTACACTGCTGTAGCACCAAACGGTAAAAGCCCACAAATAAGTACAGCCTGGTACAGCTTGTTTCCAAAGTCCAGCAGTAAGCAGCATAGTCCACCGGCTATCAGAGTACACTCCGTGCCGGTCAAAGAAGTTTTGGCAATATACCGTAAAATGCCAGTTAAAAGTAGGTGTATCGGCAATGCTGGAATCAGTCCCCCTGAGAAATGGTGAACAATGTTGATTTGCTGCCAATAACCTCCTATAAGCGGCAGAGATGCAGCCGCTTGCGTAGTTAGTCCCATGGACGCTGGGTGGAAAACACATGAAAGTAGCAAAGGCAAAAGTACTGCCTCAAAGGTTTGGCCTATAATGAGACCAACAACAGAAACGGCGAGGACCCAGACTTTATTTTCATCAAAAGCGTCGTTCAATTTACCCTTCTTAGCTGCGAATACAAGGGGAACCCCGAGTAAACAAGCACAGATGACTGTGTTTGTTAGTGGATGATCAGCACGAAGCTTTTTAACAGGCTGTTGAGGCCGTGGTGCAGAAAAAGATCTGTCTCTTAGGCGCTTTTTACGCTCAAGCACACTTCGTGTTACCGCGCGTTCGGCATCTGTCATCAGCTTAATCCGAGCAAGCTGGGATCGAAATCTCATAAATACAGATAAGGTTTGACTGCGGCTCGTGCGGTTGTGGGGCAACGTTAAATTATTCTATTTCTTTTTAGGAAGCATGTTGGGGGCCAATGACCATTCACCTTGAGTGATTTTTTCAATTGTGTCGAGCAGATCGTAGTTGATTTTTTCGGAGATCACCGAATCATGCTTGTAGTCGGGATGCTTGTCGACGAATTCCCGGATCCAAGAAGCAGCGGACTGGAGTTCTCCACTAGCCCGTTTGGAAACGAGAGTCAAATAATCGTCGAGCTCGCAGAGAATGCCCATATCCGCATTCATAGTAGCAAGGTACTGACGAACCAGAGGCACGAAACCAATGAACTCGGGTGATCCGTTAATGATCTCGTTCAATGTAAGCTGCTTGATTCCAGGATCCGATTCTGGGGTCTGGGTCATAACATTAGTTCTAATCCAAAACTTTTCGGTACGAACGGCATCTCTCTTGTGGGCGAACTCCATGTTGGCGTCAATGAGAGACATTGGCAGGTAGTTTGTCAACTGGTAGCTCAAGATCACCCGAGTGACAAGCACAATAAATACTGAGAAAGCAGCGTTTTCAAAGTCAGTTATTTGGGCATCCATACTGCGGAATTCCACGCGCCAGCCAATGTCATCGTTAGGCGGAGGTTTGAAACGGAGAGTTTGCCAATTTGTAGACTGAATATTTTCAAAGTGATCGGTTGACACACTGTCATCTTGATCGAGCAATTCTTCAAAAATAACAAGGGGATCCCGAATGTACAAGTGACTAAAATGCTTCACTAGCATAGGGGGCAGGCCGGCTTCAGCAATTCGCTTTTCCACCTTTTTGTTGATAACCAGAGGTAGGTCGTTGTAGAACTCTTGGTTCTTCAAAAGAATCTCATTGTTGTCTAAGTAAGAGTCTGTTGAATGGTAGCGAGACTTTGGAATCACAGGAGAGGAATTGTCGTTGGTGGTGGGGTTCTTATAGTCTGGCTCCGCGAGGCCTCGCTCGGCAGGGGTTCTATCGTCAACAGCAGCAGAAATCACATTCCATCGGACATCCTGGTCGCTCAAATAACCGCGGTATATCGGGGCAGCTGCAGACAGAGCCAGCATGATAGGAGCCAAGGGATTGAGCTGATCGTAAAGGTAAGTAGCTTCCTGGATATCTGTGGCTTGGAAAGTGAGTTGGACACAGCAGCAGCCCATGCCAAATCCCATAGCGTCCATGTAGATATGGTTGTCCTTCGCAGCATACTCACGAGCATTAGCATCCTCAGGATAAACGTCGCGATCCCATGGGATGGTAGGATCATGAAACGGCCAAGGTGTATCTTTATCCTTGTAAAGTGGCACATTGATGGCAACCTTACTACCGCGACGAGACCTGATATTAGCTGTTAATGTAGGGAAACGTGCATGAGTGTTGATGATGTTGTCAGGTAGGAAAAATGATCTTGCTGTGTTACCAGAAGGTGGTTCATAGGGCTCAGCAAACTTTCCAACTCCCATTAAAGGATACACTGTGATCGTCAGGGGGTATTCCTGGTCCTGCATGTATTTGCGGGCTGTTTCGCGACGAACCTCCATATTTTTTTCAACTTTCACCAAGTCTGAAAACTCACCTGTGTAGGGTGCATCAGGAGTAGCCTCGAGCATGTACCGTCCGTACTCTTGGTGGAATGACACGTTCAATTTTTTTAATTCACCCCTTTTCTTCGCTTCGATCAAAGCGTCCAAAATTTCGTCCTGACGGAGAGTTAGTTTGGCCTCGTTTCTAGTTTGGTCAAGCTTTACCACCATATACTCGACCTCGTCGCCCCATTTCAAGCAGTCGCCCTTGCGGTCTTTGTATTTATTGTAAGTAGCAATAAGCTGCTCTACCCCGTGCTCCCGCACATGCTCTACATGCTTCGCAACCTCTGTCCATGGCAGCGGAGTGCCTACCGACAATAAACCCATAGAGCAGATGACAAAACGGCTAAAACTGCAGATATTACAAATTATGCAGAGAGACCGGTTTTATGAAGCGAGATCGACCCTGAAACCTGCTTTGAAAGGAAGTTTACAAGGACGGTATATATTTTGAATCGACTATCGCAGCAAGGGGAACTTGAACAGGTCTAGGGATTGGTGTCTTGGCTGGTATTTGCTAACACCCCTGCTATACGCGTTTCCAGCCCTGGGGCGCAGTGTTGGTAGACATGTGCTTACAGACATACCAGTTCCCAACTTGGACGAATCGTGTATTATGGGCCAGTCGAATGCCCTTGTAAAGGCCGGTAGCACGCCGCCGCCAGATGGGCCGCCTCCGGAATATTCTGCATCCTCGAGCAGCAGTCAACCACGTCCGCAATCGCAGGGAACAAGCGGTTACTATAATCACAGCCGACCCACGGGTACTAATTATGGAGCAAGTGGCCAATCCGGATATGGCGGTGGATACGGCTACTATCCACAACAGCAGCACCAGCAAACTTATTATCCGCAGCCACAGTATAACTCGCCTCCGCCGGGTCCGCAATACTCCTCGCAGCCTGCATACTATCAACAACCAGTGTATTACCAAGAGCGCTACGACCGCAGAGACGAAGATTGTGCCAATTTGTGCTGTGGTGTGTGTGCCGGCCTGATGTTTGCCGAGCTACTAACCCTCTGTCTTGTTTTCTGAACTCAATTTCTTAGCGATTACGATTTATATTTATTTTTATGCAGTCATTTTTCTACCAACATTAATGTATACAATCGAGCATTAAGATCAGACGCCCAAAAGTTTAAGTTGCTCGTAAAAAACGTTGCGATTGAACGGTCGGTTGAGGATCCCTGAAGCTCCACGTTTAAAGAAATTGTCACGTCGAGAGCTGTCGACATCTTCTTCGACACAAATAATAATAGCGTTCAAGAAGCCTCGACTTCGCAAAACATCTGTTACAGACATGCCATCAATTGCAGGCAGCACCAGATCAATTACAATACAACGATAGTTTTTGCGTTGGGTCATTTCAAGTACCTCTGTGCCGGAAACCGCCTGGTCTATTTGGACCTTGTTCGGAGCAAAGTCTGCGAGGAACTGAGAACAAATATTACGACCCTCCGCATCATCCAGTGCTACCAAAAAATGCAGCACTTGATCCGCGCCCATCGCCATCTGCTGCAACTGTTTTATCAGTTGATCTTGCCGGTTCACTATGCCCAGCATGTGGGTATTTTCCATCTCCAGGCTATCCACACGGTAGTATAATGCATCCAATTGCCTTTGAAAATCCTCAATTAGTGATGCAGGGATTTGTTTCCGAGCCTGGACCTCCTTCCGTTTAATCAGGTAGGTGCGGTCTCGATTCTCTGGTTTGAAGTCGGGGTGCTGGAACTGGCAGAATTTCGACGGCTTATCCTTGAAGCGCAGCTTATGAAAGTCGTACTTGTTCAGTTGCCTCACAAACGATGAGAAATTAGAGTGCTTGAACACCTCCGGGATAACAAGCTCTTGAAATGCAGTAGTATCATAAATGACAAAAGAGCCTGGCTCTTCACCCCAGGACACGATTTCATGATAGTTCGGGTTGTCCAGCATTTGATAAAGCTTGGGTACAAACTCCGTCTGTACCTCTGGCTCCATGACTTTACTCAACCAATGCAGCTGATCTCCAGCGTATATAAAAGATGCAGCCTCACCCCCGATGACTTAAGCGCACCAAATCTAGAGCGTCGCCCGCTTAGGCACGCTGCCCTGCCCTTTTGTTTTCCAAGCAGCTAGGAGCAGACTAGAATCAAATTCTGCGCAATCAATAAAAAAAATTGGCATTCAGAAAGAACAGAACTACAAATTATAGACGGCGGGCTGAAATCTAAATACCCACATAATTCATGCTTAATCTGTGCCCACTTTTCTACGACAGCTGGAACGAATCTGATCCTTCCTCCACAGCAACCCTAATTTGACGGGCCATGATCGCCCGCGATGAATAGTTGGGCAGTTTGAGATAATTTGCGCAGGTCATAACCGAAGGTAAATATTGATCCCGGTCGATCTTCTCATCCTCTGGGTGCTTGAGCACAACCGTGAACGGGGGCTGTAATGCTTTAAATCCTCCAATTGGTAAATTGGGAGATCCTGTGGTGAACTGCAGAAATGCCCTGCGCTCTTCCAAAGTCAATGCAGACATGACCAAAATCAAATTTTGTACCGCTGGACTGTCACTGCTGTATCCATGGTCAACGTGGATACTACAACTTAGAGTCTCAACTGACCAATCTTCATCACTTTGACCGCACATCCGGCAAATCTCTACTGGCAAAAGAGCCTGCAGAGAAGCGATCGGCAAATTCTCCGAAAACCCCGCAACAAATTGGTCAATTTGAAACTTCACACCATCCTCCAACATAAAACTTTCAACCCGCTGCTTATATTCATCGAGATTGTCTGCGGTCACAAGCTTCTGCTTGCCATCAGCACAAATTTCCACGTCTTCATCGCCCGGCAAAACAAATGTCAGCTCGAGACTTTCAACCGTCTCCTTGTCGAGCTTCTGTAGGTTATCATAGAGGTCCGAGTCCACATCTTTGAGAGTAAGTGTAGTCGACTGCAGGAATCCCTGGCTCTTGAGCACCGCCAGGAAAAAGGCTGGGTTGAAACGGAAATCCAGAATGCGCTGATCCATAAATGCCCTAGATATAAATCGTCCTAGGTTTCTGAACTCAAACACTTTGCGCGTAAAGTCTGCAATGGGTTTTGGAAACAATCCTTGGTTGTGGTGTAAAAAGCCATTGACATCCTCACCGAGCCATAAGTCTAGACTTACAGAAGCGAACTCCTGCGAAACCTTAGCATAGAACTCCTGAGTGGGTCCAAGTCCTGTTCCAGCCTCGTCTGTGAACTCTACCTCCAGAATAGCTGGCGAGTTGCCAATCATATGCAACACCTCAACGAAATTCGCGAACAGATCCTGCCGCGGAACATTAACCTTATACTTCACAGGCCGACCTGCGTTATTCAGAACTCCAGTGCGTGCAATAGCCTGCGCTGTGGCCTGGAATGGTGATAGAGCCCCTTGAGGTCCCAGATCGCTGATCTCACCGGTATCACCACGGGTCTGCCAACGAGACATACACCTTGAATATCCGAATGATGTAGACTGGATAAACATATACCGTGTCTCAAATGGGAAAAGGAACGGGTAAAGACGCACGGCATCGACCGTCCACTGGGGTAAAATAGAAGACACGACAACCAGCGGATCTTCCAGCTGTCGGTTGAGTTTAGCCGTCAAAATCGAGTTCACAAATCTGCGCGGGTGACAGAACGATCTCTCGCCATTTATGACCCAAAGAAGTGCCAAAAGCTTCAACGCGACTGAGAAATAGTTGTTCTCCCTCAGCGAAGCAGGGATCTCGTTCTGACCGACTGATTCAGCTTCAATGCTTCTACCACGGCCCAAATATGTTGAGCCCTCTCGTTTTGTTTCCGGAAGGCGCTTTTTGGAAACTATAATATCGAAGGTATCCGTCCAAAGGGTTTTTGGTATCACGTTGTCCCCCTCAACTGGAGGGAAAGACCGGTAAATGGCTCCAACGACAGACATATCGGAGTAAACGCGCTGCCCGTTCAAATAACAAAAGACTTTGGGTTTCTCTGTAGAATCCGATGCGCTGTCGCGCCAGTCATCAGCCTCGTCAAGAGGATTTTGTGCATGCCTCCATCGACGATCTGTTGAAGATGCACGCTGTTCATTTGTATGCTCTGTCTGAGCACCATGGTTTACTTCAACGGCGTTAGCAGCGCCAGCCCAGGAGCTTTGACTCTGAGGCGCAGGTCCAGCTTCGGTAATCTCGGACAATTCTCCTTCTTCCTCTTCTTCTTCATCATCATCATTACCTTCTTCAAAGTCAATATCGAGATCGTAACGATCAGAATCATCATCGTCGGTCTGATCAACTCCGTAATCAAAATCTGGGTCATCGCCAAAGTCCTGCCAGCTTTCACGCTCAGTGGGGGCAGTAGCTCCTGCATTATCATCCAGAAGACTAAAAAGGTTATTACGCCGTGTGCGCGAGTAGTTAGCTGGTACGCGGCTCCGATAGAAATCTTCAACAGCTTCGATTGAGGCAATACCTTGTACCCGAAGAGTCCAAGCACGATCATGATCAGGTGCACGAAGTCGAATATTAACAGGACGGGTCAGTGCTGATGCAAACGATTGCACAGTGCTCGACGATGAGGATGATAACAGTCCCAATCTATCACCATGTGAAAGGGCATCCTGAGACTTTGCCACAAGTATTGAAATCACAGGCCCAAGGCCCTCTATTGCCGTCTCTCTTGATGATGCAGTATTCAAAAGTTTGATTACGGCCTCGAATACGCCAAACTTCATAAGTTCAAGCGAGGCGTATTCTCTGATCACACGGGCAAGCTCATCATATTTGTCTTCGCCCTGCAAAAGTGCCTTGGTGAGATCTGACGCCTCTGCTCCATCGTTGTTCTGGGAATACTCGGGGAACTCGGAGTACAGATTGCGAACTCGATCGATTACAGCAGCAAGAGCTGGTGAAAACTTGTGCTCATGATACGCTTTGTTACTTTTGGCTCCATCGAGATCATTTATAATTCCACGGCGATTGAATTCAGCCAAATATTTGTGAGGCAGCTTTTTACCAACTTCGTAAACAATCTCAAGAGCTCCAACAACAAGAGGAATGGGAGCATCAACTTGAGAAAGCACACTAGCCAGGAAAGTTGGATAATCAATGGCATTCACAACGGCTTCGAAAACATCTCCTTGCAGATAAGCACATATTTGCAGCATAACCCGAAGAATTTGCTCTCTCAAAACAGAATCGGTGGATGCCGCGTAGAGTGATGCTGATAATCGGGTTACTACGCTGCCATGTAGAGCTAGTAGATCCTCGTCAATTCCGGATAGGTCTGGTGTGTTCTTGGGTTCCCTCCTGAATGGCGATACAAGGTTGTCTTCAAGTTTGCTCGGATACGGCAGCATTGTCGTAAAAAGGCCAAGTGCAGCAGCGATATTCTCTTTTGGGGTATTCAGAAACTTTGGAAGAGTCTGTTGGGGGTCAACAGGCTCAGAGAAGTCCACCTCCCCGAGGGAACCAGCGACCCTTGAGGCAATGTTGGCCTTGAACAAATGCTTTGCAGCAGAGTTTCTCAATGATGTGATCGCAGCCATGGCTTTCAAAATCCGACCAATATGTGGCGCAGTATGCGTTGTGCTTAACATAAAAGTTTCCAAGGCCGTCCCCGAATAATCTTCATTGAAAAAGGTCTGTAGTCTATCTCGGCCTTCAATATTCTTTTCCATTGAAATGAATAGTTGGGCGTAGGCTAAGATAGTCGTATCTGCTACCGGGTCACCTTTGGCAATGACCGGGTCAGGAGTCAGGGCAGTTAGCAAGTTGAGGACATCATCGAATCGGCTGTCATTAATTCCAGCAGCACATGCATAGACAATACTGGCTATACTGCGCTGTAAGTGCACATTGAAAAAATCCGAATAACTTAGCAAATTCTGCACACAACCACTTGCCATTACTTCGCCGGGGTACCTTTGAACAACCCGGTCGAGGGCTGTGACTGCCTGCTCGGCCACGTCGATATAGTTGAGATCAGCGATTCGCACTTTGATGGCATCTAATAGTTTTGATTCGACAAACATTTTGACGACAGTGGGGTCATTGGCTTCCAACATATGAGCAATGGCACGGGTCACTAAAACAAGAATCATGGGGCTGGATTCAGAGTCATCGAGAATTTTGATCAGGATGTTGACAAGCTCTATGGGAACAATAGCGCCGAATTCATCTTGTTCCGTAAGTAGAATAACCTCATTGAGTTGATGTAAAGTGTGAGTGATAATTCCATCGTTTTTGGAGTTGTTCGTGAGGGTAAGTGCGATACGTACAAGGCGTACTTTGGAAACATTACGCATTGGGCCAGATATTCTCACAATGTCATCATCACCGTCGTCCAATAAATCGTTTTCACGGCCAGCCAATGGGCCTGTCACGGGGTGGAACATTCTTCGCGTCATATTGCGGAGATGGGCAAGCAGCGGGCCTAATTCATTGTCTGCGGAACCTAAATTGTCGTCGCCTTCTTCCTCTTCCTCTGCTGGCTCGAATCCAGGCATAACGGCCTGAAAAACTTGAGCCAATTGCCTAGCATGCGGATCCGAAGACGACCTTAGGTGTTCTAGGAAGTTGGACCGCATCTGGTGGACGTCGTCGATACCCTCTCCTTCGGAATCGGTGAACTCTAGGGAGTTCTCCTCACCGTAACTTCCAGAACTTCCCATTTCCTCGTCGTAATCGTCATGGTCGGAATGATTCGACATGGTGGCAAGTCAACCTGGTGGTGCTTATGTTACGTGGTTCCCCAGTAGAGGGTGTGAAGATGGCAATAAAGTTCATAGATAACCTAACCTGGGGCCGAGTTCAGGAGAAGGTTAAGATGATTCAAGAGTTTGCAGTGGGCATTTCTAAAATGTTTCTACGTCTAAGGTTGAGCAGAGTGTACACCACCGGTCGGGATTGTACTTGTCGGTGGTGTTTTCCGGACCCAGTCGTGTAAAAGGTCAGTTTGGGGGATGCCTGCAGTCTCACTAATTTAGTACCCAAAGGAAAAAAAAATATCCAAGTTTCCAAGCACGCTCTTTTTCTGCTATAAATAATTCACAATGAAGCTCGACACATCGCATATGAGGTACTTGTCGAAAAGCGACTTTCGTGTGTTGACCTCTATTGAAATGGGATCAAAAAATCACGATATTGTGCCTACTCCGCTAATCCACTCGATTTCCGGTATCAAGAACGCTTCTTTGGTGAATAAATGCATCTCCAATCTTGCAAAAATTAAGCTTATTTCTAGGGTCCGCAACGCAAAATACGATGGGTTCCGTTTGTCCTACAAAGGTTATGATTATCTTGCTCTAAAGGCTATGGTGCAAAGAGAATCACTTTATGCTGTAGGCGTGCAAATTGGCATTGGAAAAGAATCCGACATTTTTTCGGTTGCCAATAAAAACGGTGAGACTCTTTGTTTGAAGGTTCATCGTCTGGGACGCATTTCTTTCCGTACAGTGAAAAACTCTCGGGATTATTTGGGCAAGCGCCAGAGCGCCAGTTGGATGTATTTATCAAGACTTGCTGCCGAAAAGGAATACAAATTTATGCAGGTACTATATGATGCAGGCTTTTCGGTGCCCAAACCTATTGACAACAGTCGTCATCATGTTTTAATGTCTCTGATTGACGGTATGGCCATGCTGAAGCTTCGTGAGCATGATGATCCGGAACGACTGTACAATTTGCTCATGAATTTCATTCGACGATTAGCCAGTCAAGGCTTGATTCATTGTGATTTCAATGAGTTCAACATTATGATCCGAGAGTATGATCCAGAAGAGCCCGAACGCGAAGCAGTCGTTATTGACTTCCCGCAGTGCGTTTCCATCGACCACAAGGATGCCAAAGAATATTTCGAACGCGATGTCAACTGCATAAGACTATTTTTCGAAAATAAATTTGGCTATGTCGGGGATTATCCCAAGTGGGAAGAAGTTGAGCGGGTTGGCCATCTCGATGTGGAGGCTAATGCAAGTGGAAACGATCGTAAAGCTTACCGGGAGTTAGAGAAATACATGAAGCAGCAGTTGGCCGAGAAGGAAGAGGAAGGTAAATTCGATGAGGATGGATCCGAGGAAGACGAGTTTGAAGAAGACGAAGACTCTGAAGAGGAACAGGAACTCGAGGAAGAAGACCTCGCCGACCAAGTCAATGATCTTAAACTCACATAATGCATACATCCAACTTTGTAATGATAACACTCGCAGAATGTCTCTCGTTAGCGCCTGTGACAATTTACTGTTTAGGTAGTGAAAATGAGTTCCTAAGCCTGGTCGAAGACATTGGGCCCGCAAAGGCAGACCAGATAACCGTGGAGTTTTTCCGCACTGTCGACGATCTGGGCGACGCTCTCTATACTCTCAAACCAGCAGCATTAGTGGTTTACGGGCTATCTAAATATCTCAGTAACATGGACACAAAAGCTGTTGTTGCTATTTTCACACATCTCAGTAACTCTGGTCATAAAATAACTTATGCGGACAACGAGGTCGATGAACTGCTTGCTCAACTTGTACAGAGACAAAAAGTATTATGACAAGAACTGCACGGCCGGTTCTTCTTCTCCTTCCTCCTCGTCTGTTTCATAGTCCGATTCCTCGTCGCTAGGAGGCAGATCAAGGGTGTCATAGCCAGCATTTGTTGTTTTATACTCAAGCGGCCAGTACGATTGTTTCTGCCATTGTCTCTCGTCACCACACACATTCGAGATTTCTCCTTGCAGTTTGCCTCTTTGCTCGATAGTGGCAACTGCGTATCCACCTCGTTTAATAAAATACTGGTTACGAAGACGGGGAGACAGCCCTACGAGAAGCTCTTCAGTGGCTTCAGGTAGAACCTGCCTGACCCTATCCAAGCAAGACGCTGGCACCTGCACTTCAAAAGTATTTCCGCGGTTTTTAACGACTTTTACGATGATCTCGTTCTCCTCCAGCTCGTATGGAGGCTCTCCAATTTCAAGCTTCATTAGGTAAATGGACAGAGGGAAAAAAAGAAAGCCTGAGATATCACCATATGGAGGTCAAATTTTCCTAGGCATCAGGCAGGATTCTAAATATAAAAACATACACATACTCTGTTTATTTATTCATCATTAAGCACAACTTTGGCGTCTTTCTTGGAGTAGTAGCCTCGGAGGTTGACCTTGAACTGAGAGCAGGCAACACCAAACTGCTTAAGAAGGCGGGTCTGCTTCGAATCTAATGTCTGGCCTTTCTCACAAACAGTGTATGGAGCGCTCAAGGTAACTTTTCCGTTAACAAGACGGGTGGGCATGCCCAATTGACGCATAGTTGACTCAAGGGAGTGTGCAAGAGGGACGTCTTCTTCGGGGCTCTGCTGTCCACCGGTCGAATAAACAACACCCTCAGGGATAACAAAAGTAAGAGGAGCAATGAGGCCGGAACGAGCAAAGTCGGTCTTGACAAAAGACTCGAAATAGTCTGTCACCACCTGTGGCTCCTCGTTGGTGAATAAAAGACCAACGTCGCCCTGAACAACTTTGCACAGCTCGTGTGAGTTCTCCATATACTCGTCTTCCGGGGAACGGCCAATAACCTTCTGCATCAGCTTGGTTCGGCCAAACAAAATGCGAGAGCCTTCCCAATCTTGACGGATCTGTTTAAGAAAAGTGTTACGCATGTTCTCGACGTTCAAAACCCACACAAAGTTGTACTCGTCCATACCAGCACGAATAAGATCAGCAATTCTCTCTTTATTCTCCCGAGTTTTCTTCTCAGTCTGGGTCAAAGACACCACCTTATTTCTGGCAGATTTCGGCATGATGAAAAATATTTTTTTTCTTAGTGATCCAGATATCTGCAGATGGTGGTGCACCCTTGACAGGAGCGAAAGGGGTTGACTTGCGGTATGGACTCACAAACGTGGCCACAAATTTATTATAAGAAGTAGTTTACGGACAATTGATGTTTTTAAATACAGTAGTAGCGGTCACCGAAGTCGCCCAAACCAGGACGAACAAAATTGCTCTCGTCCAGGCCCTCATCGATGCAACCGCTCACAATGCGGACTCGAGGGAACTTGTCTGTGAATTTTTGGATGCCCTCAGGAGTGGAGACGATGTTCAAAAAGATGATACGCTCTTCCGGCACACCACGAGATTTAAGCACCTCGACAGCCATCAAGGCAGAACCGCCGGTAGCAAGCATTGGGTCAAGCAAGAAGACGTAGCGATCGGCGATATCTTCAGGCAGCTTGTCGTAGAAAAGCTTGGGCATGGCCGTTTCCTCATCGCGCTGGATCAAAATCTTGCCAATGCGAACAGACCGGCAACAGTCACGCAAGCCCTGCTCCATGCTTTCACCAGCACGCATAATAGACACACCGCAGATGTGACCCTGGAAGCGAACACCTGTGAACGCTTGGCCGGTGGGGGTGGTTACAGAATGGGGCTCAACAGGAAGAAGATCAAGGCCCTTCTCGACCAAAAGACGAATAATCCGGTCGGAGTAGAAAATAAAATCCGCTCGCGAAGTGCTCTTGTCGCGGATTGTGGTGTACAGCCCCGTCAGCTGGTTTGTGGGATTAAGTAGAATAACGTTTTGGCTGAGCGACATTCCCAGGTTTTAGTAAAAAAAAAAAAATTAGGTGATGCGTAAGACAAGACAGCCCAAGATATAGCTGCCGCGCACAAAGGCACGCATGAGAGCACGATTTAGTAATTGAATTGATAAAAAAGACATATGAGCGGTTTTAAAGCATTGCATGTATAAATAAGAGCATTCGAAAACAATTTCGTACAGTGTTCTCGGAAATTAGACGTAAAGGACGGATTGCAAACTATCCATCATGCTTGTATGGTTCAGGAGTACCGGGAATGCTAGAAATAGGAGAGATGTGGCGTGAGGACGACGGCTGTAAAAGACTCAGTCGAGAGGTTCTGTTGGCTCTTCTGGACTCTGGGCCGAACAGACTTGCGTCGATATGGCGCAGCGTGGGCGAGGGAGTGGCTACCGAAGCACCTAGAGCAGGCGAGTACGCTGGCGAGAATGTTGGGCTGAACAAATGGTTGCGGATATCCTCGACACTTGTCGCGTATGTTGGTGGAGACAAAGGCACGTCGGCGTAGACTGGAGGGACCTCATCATCCCACGATATTCCCAGTCCAGGGCGATCGACTACATTGATGGAGAACTGCATTCTCAGGACACGTGCCGATCCAGTTACTGATGCGGTGCGGGAGTTTTTGGCTCCAATCTCTTCAGCTAGCAGCATCTCAACACTCAGGCGGTGGCTCACGCTCAGCCCGTGTACGGGGTCGTCTACATCCTGGACAGCTTTATCCATGGCATTCCCCACGAAGTTGGGCACAATAAGCTCACAGAGGCCCTTATGCGAAAAGTCTACTTTCCAACCCGTTTTGAGCACACCTTCACCGATTACTTGAGTGTCATCGATGGGCTTGTCGCTCCCACCGGGAACCGCCACTTTAACAGTTTGGAAAAATCGCCAGGTCAGTTTCTTTGGCTTCCATCTTTTTTGAGGGTCCGGGGCGTTGGGATCGTTGATGACACCTTCCAAGCGGATCTCAGCGGTAAAGTTTGATTTGGGAAAGACTGCCGATGGTAAAATAAGAGACAAGCTCAATTCTGTAGGAGGGAATACGCGAACTGACGTTTTATCCTGGATATTTATAACTGAGCGTTTGACGCGGAGTTCTTGTTCGCAAACTACGGGGGTTTGCTGACCGGAAATAAGCACTTCTGCCCTTAGATAGTAGCCCACACTGAACAGCGAGACAGAGCAAGTTGGGGGCAATGACCCAGGCATCAAGTGAGAGAATGGGTAACCATGTGTGGCAACAGTAAAATTCTGTGGTTTTGTCAAAACTTGCCACTCCGCAAGTGTCTCTGTGTTCATATGACTCGATTTGCCGCCCGAAGTAGCCGGGGTGTTGTACACAACCCTCTGTACGACGATCAAACGAGCCTTCTCGATCACGAGCTCAGGAACATTGACTTGCATATCCATAATGCCAGTAAGTAACGCACCAGTAGACTCTGCTCTGGCGCCATACATCACCAAGGGAGGTGACTCTACTCTCAGCTGCAATTGAACGCTAGGGGACTCGAGCAATTCAGGAGGCTGGACACTCTGAGAGCGCGAAGTTGCAGGTGACGAATATGTTGGCTCCAGGGAAGGGCGAGGAGAGGGCTGGACAATTCGAGAAGCGGGGGCACTTTGCATTGGAGCGAGAGGTAAAGGTTCGGGGGAGTCTCTGTTCTGACCAGAGCTACTTCTTGACTTATTCACACGGCGACGGCTAGAAATACCGCTGAGCAACGATGTCATTCAAATGATCAAGAAAGCACCGGCTTTTAAAATATGTTGTGGGGGGGTAAAACACCTATAAAGTCCGGGTTAAGCAGTAAGAAAAGCCTCTTGAACGGGGACTTAGTCATAATGCACGGTGATGGGACGGGTTAGGGAACACTCAGACCACGAAGGAGAATTTCTGAGGTAACAAGCCACGGGATGTCCATCCGAACGTGGGGAACCCGCGGTAGGCGACATGGCGGTTTATGCAACGATGCTCACTGCGCCTGCGGCACCTAGCTCAATTTGTATTTGTCGTGGATTTAGGCATACCACCTCGGCTATCGATGTTCCCACAGCCGGATGCAGGAATCAGGCCAATATTCTTTACACAGAATGTCGATCCGGGGTCAGCAACGCACCCCTGTTACATGTAGTGTGCGCCAAGTGAAGATGAGGCAAGATCTGCTGACCAAAGACCTGGCTAACTACTAGGGATCCGTGCGGAAGTCTATTTTCTGGTGACTAAGCCACAGCCCGAACTTTTCATCTTCCTTCAATTCAAGAATGGTTTCGGTTGGTCGCGTTTCAAGTTGGCTCCGATCATTTTCAACCAGCCGTGTTGTCGGAAGCCTGGACAAGCTTGCTCCTGCTCCTGGATCCACCCGCCAGCAGAACCGTGTCGGTCGTGGTCCGGGATCTGGTCGAGGAAAAACCTCGGGCCGTGGTCAAAAGGGTCAAAAGGCTCGTCACAGCGTGAAGCCTTGGTTCGAGGGTGGCCAAACCCCTATTACCCAGCTCTTCCCTAAAGTAGGCTTCCGGTCTAAGTTGCCTAAACCCGCAGAAATCTCTCTCGGTCGCATTCAGCAACTTATCGATCAGGGCCGCCTGGATGCCTCCAAGCCCATTACGATGCGCGAGATTTACCGCAGTCGGGCTCTTGGAAACGTCAACAATGGTATTAAAATTCTTGGGGCAGGTGCTGAGCTCCTCAAACAGCCTTTGCACATCACAGCCACCAAGGCCACTGCCCCTGCCCGGGCGGCTTTACTCGAATCTGAGGGGTCTTTCACCGCTCATTATTATTCGCCCCTTGGTCTGCGGGCCCACACTCGTCCTGAGGCCACGCTTCAAAAGTACGCCCGGTTGCCTTTGAGAGCGCGACCCACAGATCGTCGCAACATCGAGTTCTACCGTGATCCTGAGAATTTGGGATATCTTGTTGATGCACCCAACCCCCCTCAAGTCAAGAACCCCTTCAAGAGTGGCCGAGTCAAGGTATCTCCACTTGCCTCTAAACTTGCCGAGCTTGAAGCAGCCGATCCCTCCGCCCCTCGTGCTAGCGTGTTCGAGCTTAACTCGGCTAAAATCTAATGTTTTGGTATATATGTACATAGCCAGCCATGCCCTTTACCACTGAAAAAAGTCGCACTGTTCTAGAGGTTTGGTCACTACGGGTTTGAGTTTAGGCTGCTTGGATGCTTGACTTGGCGGCAGCTGAACATACTTGCCCACTGGCGGAAGGACGGGCTTCGTGGGCTGCTCAGAGTCCGTTGACTCAGGCATGGTGTTTAGGATGTGTAAGTTGTCAGGTTCAAAACAGAACAACATAGCTTTATTGAAAATAATTAAAACATAAGTACAACCACCTTTTCAGGGGACTAGCCTTGATTCTGACTGTGACTGTGCCCATGGTAGTTGTGGCTATGGCCGTGACCGTGTTCGTTCGCAAGCAGCGAGCGGTGGGCCTCAATATCATCTATATCCGCGTCCTGGGGATACTTGGCAATAATGTACCATGCATGGATAAGTCCAGGCAAGAAGCCCAAAATACATAGTGCGATGTTAATCAAAACTTGGGGTTAGTATGTCTGGCACAGCAATTCCTCGAAATACTTACAGTCTGCAGAGCAGAATCCTCTCTTGAATGCCACAGGGACTGGTGGAAGGACTATCGACAAAACGATCAAAAACAGATCCCAGCACGTGTTACGCTTCGCCATATCAAGATAGAGGTTATGAGGAGTGGGGGGCGCCACTTCCAATATTTCTCCATTGCGGGTATGAACCCTAGCCCTACATGGTAAACGCTTTCGGGGTGACTCCACGAGGGGTACGTGACGGGTTTCGTTTGGTTTTTTATATTCTTGATATCAAGTCTATATATATATTTAAAGAGCATGCCAGCACGTATAACGCTGCCATCAGCCACTCAAATCTGGGGACGGCGGACAACTAAGTAGTGCTGATGAGCCCCCTTCACCTTGATCTTGAAAATCGTCCGTGGAAGTAGGTCCCGAGCGATCCAAGGGCCATAATGAAAAGGATGCCGTAGCAGCCACCGTTTGTGTAACTACGCTGCCCGTCTGGCTACCAATGGCGATGGGTCCCTGATTAGGCGAAATTGGTGTGGTGGGTGTGCCAGAAGCGGCAGCTGGAGGTGAAGACGCTGAACGGGTCTCGAGCACAGATGCATTTTCACTGGGCGCTCCCGAACTGGGGCCACTGCTAATAGCACTGGCAGCGTTGCTGATTTTCGTCAAATCAAGCGGTGCAACTGGTTCGGTAAGCGATTTCGCTGACCTGGGCGCCGGCGGACTGTTAGACTTGGTAGGCGTGCTCGTCTTGGCGCGACGGAGTAATTCAATGGGAATCAAAGGATCTGGCGGCATACTTGCCGCGGTGGAATCTAAAGTCGACATGTGCTCATTTGGTCGCGATGGAGTGGTAAGTGAGCGGGTAGCCCGCTCGGCTGGTGTGCATTGGTCAACAATGATAACACCACCGTGCGCATAAGCAGTCTGCTCAATCTCTGCCCACTTTGAAGCTCTAGCCCGCTCAACCTCGTGGCTCCGCTCACGCTCTTTACGGTAGTTTGCGGCACATTGGTCGTATAGAACAGGATTGGTTTCAAGCAACATTTTAGAGGCGTTGAAAATCATGCCATGGATAGTACGATTCCAGTGACTGGCGTTATCTCGCAGAGAGGGGAAAATAATCGGAAGAATGACTTCGCAATTCTCAGCCACCAATGTGCAAAAGTACTCGTGGGTCCAATTATAGAGAGCCCGCTCGGCAACTTGACAGTGAGGGGAAGAAATGCACCGCGCCAGTTGTTGAAATAGTGGTACCTCAATCTTGACAAACTCCGTAGGTTCAATCGAATCAAATATATCCTCAAGCTCAAGCAAAAAGAGTATTTCTTTCGTGCTGCTGACCTTGGGCCAGTATTTGAGCAATCCCAAAACAACCTCCTCGGTCAGCTGGGGATCCTTTTCTAAAAATTGCACAACGCAGTAAGTAAGCTGAGAATGGAACAATGACAGCGAGCGAGCTTTGTGGAGGGGAATCAGTACGCGGTTCAAGAAGACTTTATGTTCCTCTTTCAATGGAATAGCAAACCCATTGATAATTGAACCAAAGATTTCCAAGAGCTCAGCGACACCATTGAATCGACCCGTCTCATAAATGAATTGCAAAAATACATTGTTGATTGATCGGCGAATAAACGCACGTAGCGTGAGGAATTTGCCATATATGCGATGAAGAGTTGTTTTCAAATAGTCGCGCTCGCGAGGATCTTCGGAGTCAAATAGCTCCAATAGTGAGAGAATGAACTGATGGTCAATGAACTGTTTTGCGGTGGAGACATTGAAATCAGGAGCATCAATAAACCGTAAGAAGAACTCGTAGACAAGGGACATGTGCGGCCACGCATCCACATTGATAGGCTCATCATCATCAGGATCGAAGATCTCACCAAATGGGTTTTTGGGCGGTGGGATCGAACGGAAAATGTTTTTCGTAAACATCTGGATCACATCACGGTACAAGGCTTCGTCAATAAACAGCTCGTGGCTGGACGAGACGTAGTCTATGAGCTGGGTCAAAGCCATACGTTTGATTTCCTTACCAACAAGATCGCTAGCAGGATCACTGAAGTTGAAAATGACCATACATTGCTGCAGTTTGCGCTTAAAAAGATTGCGATGCTCTTTGGGGGGAACGTCTTCAAACATGGGCAAATGCTCCAGCTGGCGCTCAGCACTAATGGTTAAATGACTCGAGTTATGTCGAGTCGGTTGGGTGATACCATCCATCTGGCCTAAGCGTTCAGACAAGAACCGGCCAGCGGTAGTCGGACTACCTGGCGATAAGCTCGGGCGCAAGCCCTCCATATCAAACGGCTCAGTGCCGAGGGCCGCTGGGCCCCGTGCCCCCAGAAGCGTCTCACCGCTAGTGTGATGAGAAGACAAATGACTAGCACTGGCGGTATCAGCCCCCGGACCAGCCGCGGTGACTTCTACGGTCGGCCGCGCGTCCTTACGTCGCGACGCTACGCCAGTATTGCTCGCATCCAGAGCCTCTGGACGGATCTGATCAGACACATTGCGCCCTCCTGTGTTGCTTTCACTTTGTTTACGACTCTTCTCTGAGGACGACGACTTGGACCGGCCCAGTCGTCGTGTCCATCCTTTCATCATGGTTGGGTGACGTCAGCAGAGGGGTTGGATAATCGAGCTGCCAAACAAAGCCCTGCTCATCAGAGGGTAGTAAGCCTTTGGGCGCTAGGTAGTTGGGAAGTTGCGCGTGGGCTAGAATGCAGGGTTGGGGCGTGTGTCAGGTATGCCGCTAAAAAAAAAAATGTTGGTATATATGAATCTATTAGAGCTTTTACAATAACCGAATAGTTCTAGACCTCATGCTACTTCTCCATTTGGTGCTTCTGCGACCTCTTCCGTCGAGTCCATGTCTTCTTCACCAGCCCCGGCTTCTTCCAATCTTGTTGACATCGTTGTGAGCTTTGCAAGCTCCCGCAGCTTGGGAACATCGAGATCTTGGGGCATGTAAGGCTCAATCTTCTGCAGAGTGCGGGGCGGGCACATTTCGAATTTGTCGACGCCGTTCACGTTGCTCACATCCAGAAGTAATTGAGTGGCCGTATCTTTAGAGTCTTTAACCCGCTGGGCAACATAATCGAGCACTTTGGGGGGCACTGGTTCCTCGTAGTCACCAGGATAATAATTAGTGATCAGACGCTGAATCTGTGCCGGCGTGAGAGCCCAGCAGATATCGTACAAAATGTCGACGTCCGCCTCAAAGGACTTTTTAAGCTGCAGCAACTTAGCGCCCTGCATCAAGCGCTCCAAAGATAGGGCGCCCTCAGGCAGACTGTGGCCTTTGCACCACTCCTCGATGCGGGCAACGTTGTAGTTGATCTGAACCGCCCGCTTCCAGGACAAGAAGTTCTTGCGCATAATCATGTCATTGAAGGCCTTGGCTCCCGCCATCTCAAGAAGCTCAAGGATGGGCTGCCGAACATACCCATCTTCAAGATGGAACGCAGTGAGGGCTGTATATACACGAGTGATCAGCGTGAGAAGATCATTCATCGACGATTCACTGGATGCGCTAGGTAAGAAACGAGTAAGGAATCGCGGGTTCGTGTCGGTTTGGAACCCAGGAATGCTTTGCTCCTCTACCACGGCAGACACGATCATCTTGTCGAAAATCTTCTTGATCTCCTTCATCCAGACAAAGTAGATATTGAAAATCACCGACTCCGCATCAACTTTCGCCACTGACATGAGCTCCTGGTATTGACGCATCTCAAGCTCACTCATTTCTTCCCGTAGTTGAGCATTCTGCAAAATATTGGTCTCAGCAAGACACAGGAAAGAGTAGATTTCGTGAGCATTAGAAAGCCAGAACGCGCCAACAGGGATGATCTTTTCGCCGCGAACCTTTTGCACGGCCTCTTGAATACTTTCTAAAGCGCTGCCGATAAACGACTCCGAATTAGACGTGTACCCAAAGCGCCAAAGTTCGCTGATAACAAGGTTGATCATGTTGGCCGGGAACACAATGTCACGACGCTCAAAGACCTTGTCTGTCTTGGGAGTTGGCACAACCAAGTTGCGAACAAGCTTGGCAATGAGTTCCTCGCGAATACCAGGCGAGTCGACAAGCATCTTTTCAATACGATCGTTAATCTCATTGACCTCACCATCACTGTATCGGTAATAAGACTCGTGCGGAGCTGTGTACTCTTCAAGCTCGCTGTGACTTGCGTGGCGGCCATGGAGAGTGCGCGGACGAGGCATAGCCCCGGCGCCCACCATGCTTGTAGCACTACCATTAGCATTCGCTACCAAAGCAGCACGACGTGCTTTCTCAACTGCCTGTTCAAGCTCAGTAATCTTGGCGGTGAGCTCAGTGATAGTTGACTCCTTCTCAGCAAGGGTAGCTTTGAGCTGATTGATCTCTTTATCACGAGAAGCAAGTTCCTGCTTGGAGGAAGCTTCAAGCTTGGAGTGTGTATCCTTGAGCTCTTTGAGCTCCCGGTCCGCAGCGGAAAACTTCTCTTGATGAGAAGCCAACTCTTTGGCATGAGATGTGCTTTGTTTCGCTTGCGCTGCTTGGGCTGCTGCTAAAAGAGCAACCTGGGCAGCCACAGCAGCCTTTTCAGTCTTGAGCTGCTCGTTGAGGCCTCGAATTTCGTCAGCACGACCAGAAGCAAGATTCTGCAACTCAATAACCTTGTTCTCGAGGTGGTATTGAACTTCCTCAAAGTGTTTGACAGACTGTCGCTCCTCGCGCAGATGCTGGAGCTCTGCACGAGCGCCACGACGACGAATCATACTCTGCACCAGCTTAACAGACTTGACGCTGCGCTTAAACCTGTTACGAGCCAGATAACCACGCAATGCTGCTTGCAAATGAGTGGCGACCTCGTTCTTGCGGTTGTTGACAAGTGTCTTACGGGCGATGAACCCACGCGATAAGGTTTGAAGGGAGCGCACATAGTTCCGAACACCTTCGTAGTGACGGCGAGCGCTGTTACCACGGTATTGTGCTTGTAACCGGCGAATTGCACGATCCTCACGCTCCAAGCGAGCTCTAAGCCGTACCAGGAAGCCACGGATGGCAGTTTGTGTCTTGATAATATCGGCGATTGCAGCTCTGTACTTGGCTCGCGTGGAGTGCATGCGGAACAACTTTTGAATGGTTGTGGCAGCTGCAACATGGCGATCATTTCTCTTGCGTTCAAGGAACGCGAGCATTCCAACCCTTAGGAACATCTTCGTCTTACCCAGCTGATATTTGTCTTCGTCAATATCCACAGCTTTCAAAACACCCTCAGACAACTGACGTACGTTCTCACGGCGCATTGATGAATGCACAAGGATATCGTAGCGATGAGCGAAGTCCTCATAAAGCATACGAGATGGGAAGCCAGCACTTGAAATACGAATAGTTTCCAAAACACCGCACGCACGCAACTGAGACAAAACCATCGGTCCGTCAAACTTCCAGGCCTCTTTACTCTCATTAGGTTTGATGCATCGAATGTAGTGCACATTCGTTGAGTTGATTGTATCCATAAGATCAATCAAAGAGTTCTTGAAGATATTTCCCAGTGTGGGTTTGCGAGGCTTAGCGGCAGCTCTCGGACCTGGTGCGCCAGGAGCGGCCGCGGGCTTCTTGCTAGCGGCCAACACCTTCTCCTCGGCGGCAGCAGCAGTCTGAGCAGCAGCATCCAATACTGTCCTTAAGAACTCGTTATTTGAGTTATTGAGCACATCAACAAGCTGGTCTGGAACAGTATCACGGTTCTTCTCTATGAATCCATCCACCTCGTAGGCAACATCTATAGCGTAATGCCCAACAACAAACGAAGTTTGACCGAAGCGGGGCTTTTTGAAGTACGGTTGGTGCTTTTCAGCACCGAAAGAGCTGTACAGTTTCTGAACGAATCCGTCATCAGAACCAGCGGGTAGGCGGGACTCTTCATCCAGAAGGCCAAGAATACCAAGTTTCGCCTCAATGAGAGCGATACAGGGCTGATTGTCGACAAAGTCGATATATGTCCAATCAAGGTCTTCAGCTTCATATTCGTCTTGTTCGAGTTTGAAGACATGCTGATTGAACTCCTGCTGAAGCTTCTCGTTCGCGTAGTTGATGCAGAACTGTTCAAAAGAATTAGTCTTGAAATGCTCGAAACCATAGATATCCAAAACGCCAATGAATGTCGAAGCTAGCTCCTCAGGAGCTTCAAGTTTAACATTGATTGCCGCGACGAGCCAGTCGAATAAAGCAGAATAAACATACTTGGCAACTGAATCTCGAACAACTAACGCGGTCTTGTGGTCAAGGTCGGACATAATCTTCTCGCTGCGCATCATGATCTGCTTTTTCATGAACCATCTAGCGACATCTGTTGCAGGAACACCCAAGAGCTCACAGGCCTTTGCTAGTTCAGGGTCTTCGCTACTGACACTAACTGCCGAGCGAGTGGCTTTGATAGTAGTGTTACCAAGATGTAGTAAAGCAGCAATAACCTGGAAAATATTGGACTGGGAATCCGAGTCGATGCCAACGACGTCTAGCGCTCGGCAAGTTGCTTGGAAATCCTCGGCATCGTCCACGCCTTGAATATCTGGATCGCCCTGATTCAAATAGTTGTAATCGGAAACGGAACCAAGTCCAAATTTTTCCTTTTGTTCATCTGTAGCACCCTTGACAAGCTGATAGAAAATGTGGTAATTACGCTCAGTGGGAGGGTGGAACACGATACGCGAGCGCTCAAGCAAGTACGTACGGATTCTTGCTCCAGTGATTTGCATCATATCTGAGAACTGGATTTCAAGGTATTTGCCGAAACGAGAGGAGTTGTCATTTCGAGTGGTTTTAGCGTTACCAAAGGCCTCCATAATTGGGTTTGTGGCGAGAATTTCGCGTTCAACGTCGCTGAGGTCAGTGCCGCTCGGAAGCGCCTTTCGAGGGTATTGAGGGTCTTCGGCCGATGCAAAGTAGCGCATAATATACTTTGCACTCACTGTTTTACCAGCACCACTCTCACCGGAAACCACGATTGTTTGGTTTTGCTTGAAATCTTTCATGTGCGAGTATGCATCGCCAGCAATAGAGAACAAATGAGGTAGCAACTCTGAACGCTCGCGCCTGCGAGCGTACATGTCAATAACCTCAGATGTGTATAAATTGTCAACACGATCGAACGGGTTGGTGGCAATCAGAACGATACCAGAGAAGGTGTAAATAGAGAGCTGCGCGTAACGAGCACGAATAGCCTCCAGAACTGCCGGCTCGTTCAGATAAGACAGCCCCGTCAGATCCTCACTCGTCTCTAGCGCTGGGGGGTTGCGAAGAGGCGGGAAGTTTGCCTTGTTATTCGCGATGTCCTCATCGGACCCGGTCACCGTCTTTGACGAGCCATCCTCAAGAGTGAGTTCCAATGTGGTCTTGCCGGCGTCCCTAGTCACTTTGTCGACCTGTGCACCTATCCACCCTAATTTTTCATCCGGATACCAGCAGGTCACCCCGCGCTCATACGAACTCGACATTTTTAAGTCAGGGTTGGTGGGGGTGTCAAGAGAGACGTAAGCCAGGAGAACCACGCGTATGGCCCTTTTGGAACAGCATAGCAAAAGATAGTCACGTAACAGGTGTAGAGATTTAGTTTATGGTTGGTGGATAGAGTGTGTGTTTTTAGAAACTGAAGCGGTCTTCTTGCAAACGCCGGCAGCAGAGCGGAAAGCACTGGCTAGAGGGCTGGACCGGCGGTCTGTGGCGCGAACGTGGCCACAACAAGCTCGACAGTGGGTTTTAAATGGACATGTCCTATTTAATATATATTGGTTTTCACTACATGGGCCCATAGAAGCGCGTTATGATGATTTTCTTACGCCAGATGCTGTGGGTGTCGCAGTGGTATGACTAGCTCCGTTTTTCTGATGTTGTCTACTCTTGACGAGCGAAATCAACACCACGGGCAGCTCGCTCCTGAGCAAGAACAGCAACACGACGATCCAAGAAGCTGCGCTGACGAGCCCGGACCTGATCCAGAGCCAGGCCGACAGCAACAAACAGAGTGGCAGAGTACACGTATCCAATAGGTTTATAGTTCAAAGGCTTCTGACGAATACCTTGGGCGAGGCCCTGAACAGCGGCGCCAAAAACAGCCCAAGAAGCCAAATCAAGAATTGCCATTGATTGATTGGATGACTGATGCGGCCGTCGCTGTAGACTCGAAGGCCATTTCATTGGTCACGTGATTTTGGATAACTAGAAACCGAAAATACAAAATTTCGTGATCTCAGACAGTGAAATACGTACGAATGATACGGTTGCTGCCCTGGAGCAAGTTGCTTATTCCTCGGGTTTGATCTTCTGTTCGACTTTCGAAAACCATCATGTGGGGGTTGGGATTTCTCAGTAAGCCGTTTTTTTTGGATCATCTACTTTTCATGTCTAAAGATTTGACTCCAGCGCAAGCCAAGGCTCTCAAAAAGCAGCAGAAGCAAGCCCAACGAGCAGCTCGTAAAGAGCAAGGCGGAAATGTCGGCGGAGCTCCCCAGGCGTCCCAGCAGCAGCATGGTAGTCGAAAACATACCGCGGTTGGAAACGTTGGGCAGTCCTCTGCACCCGAGACGGCTGCTCCTGATAGGCCGTTTGCTCATCTTGATCAGCACAAGCCTATTGTATCGGCAGCGGATATCCACCCTGCCATTCTAAATCTGGCGTTGCAAATGCGTCGCTGCAATGTGCTGGGATCTACCCAGAGGTGTGTTGCTATGATGGAGGCATTTTCTAAAGTTATTGAGGACTACCAATCTCCTCCTGGTACAACTCTAGGTCGCAGTTTGGCTGCCCACCTTTCGCGCCAGATTGAGGTACTCAAAGTTGGAAGAGCACTGAGCGTAAGTCAGGGTAATGCGATTCGGTGGCTGAAACAACATCTTTCAGCAGTGCTTGACTTTAAAGATGTCGCTGCCAAAGAAGAGCTTCAGCTGGCTATCAAGTCGTTTGTCCGTGAGCGGTTAGAAGTGGCGGCTAAGGTCATTGTCAAAAGTGCCGGAACCCACATTCGCAACGGAGATACAGTCTTGACATTTGGCCATTCGTCGGTAGTGTACCAGACACTTGCTGCAGCCCGCAAGGAAGGCAAAGAATTCAGCGTGATCTGTGTTGATACTCCACCTCTGTTCGAGGGTAAACGCTCGGCGGTTGAGCTGGTTGAACTTGAAATCCCCACTAGTTACATTTTGATCTCGGCTGTCCCTTATTTGCTTGACACCGTTACTACTGTCATGGTGGGTGCACACGCAATGGTGTCTAATGGCCACTTATATTCACGAGTTGGCACCTCGCTTGTTGCCATGGCTGCCTTTGATCGTAACATCCCCATGCTTGTGCTTTGTGAGACCCTCAAGTTCAGCGAGCGTATCCAGCTTGACGCCTTTTCTGTCAACGAAATGATTCCTGGCGAGGGCCCCAACAGTGTGTTTTATGACCTGACCGACTCAAAGTACATTTCAAAGGTCATTACAGAGGTCGGGGCTCTTCCTGCCTCGTCCGTCCCCGTGATTCTGCGAGAGTACAAAACGCAACAGGTCTAAACCCAAACGCAAAGATTAAAAACGTGCTGGCACGTATGAAATCAGTAAGATATAACTAGTAGAATGTCTTCTATAAATGATGTTCCCTTAATGGTCGTTCTCCTTCAGGAACGCCTCGTACTTGTCCGAGTCCATAAGCTGGTCGAGCTCGGCTGGGTTCGAGATCTGGATCTTGGCGAACCAAGCCTTGCCCATAGGGTCCTCGTTAACAAGGCCGGGAGAATTGACAAGTTCCTCATTGGCCTCAATAACGGTACCGGTGACTGGTGAGTAGAGGTCAGACGCAGACTTGACGCTCTCAACAGAGCCAATGCTCTCCTGGGCCTCAGTCTCCGTGGGAGTCTCAACGACCTCAACGAAGGTAGTATCTCCGAGAGCATCGGCAGCATACTTTGTGATGCCAACAAAGGCAACATTGTCCTTGTGGACGGCAATCCACTCGTGATTCTCTGTGTAGCGAACAGTGGGGTCGGCACCGTAAGAGGTGACAGGAGAATCAGGGGTCAGATTGTTGGAGTAGAAGCGGAATGCCATGGGGACACGGGAGCGCATAGCAAGGCTCGAGCGAGCAAAGGCGGTGCGAAGCATTGGTGGGATGAAAAGTGACTGGGAACAGAGAAGTGGGACGTTGGCTATATGATATATGGCTCCCCGGGTTGACCCGGGTTGACGGCGGAGCCCGGGGTTATACATTCTGCCCGTACCCGGGTACACCCGGCTCTAAATGAACCGGCCGTCAACCAAACTCAAACAGGGCACTAGCCGGTCAACATTGGTGCCCAAATCACCCACTTGGCCACGACCAACTCGGGGTTCACCGAACCCTCAATAATCCTGCACCTGCTCAAGGTGCAGCATAACCCCCTCCCCTCGCGTAAGCTGGATTCGCAGGTTTGCTCAAATGAAATCGAGCCTAAAACCAGTGTTGCAGGTTGTGAGCGATGCCAAGAGGTTTTGGGTCGGGAACGGATTTAAAGTAGCCGGTATGATAAATTACAACAAGGTCGGAAAACACTTGAATCCTTTCCTTGTTCTAGACTATAACGCACCTATGGCTTTCGAGCCCGAACCATCGCCTAAAGGTATAAAATTTCACCCGCACAGAGGCATTGAAACCGTGACGATTAGCTATGATGGCGGCGTGACCCATTGCGACTCAACGGGTCACAGCGGAACAATTACAAAAGGCGGTGTTCAGTGGATGACTTCAGGATCGGGGATTCTTCACGAGGAGCGGCACTCTGATGAATTCGCGAAAACGGGCGGACCTTTCGAAATGGTCCAAATGTGGATCAATTTGCCGAAAGCCCAAAAGTTCACTGATCCAAAGTATCAAGTTGTGCAGGCCCCTGCGCTGCCCAAAGTGTGCATCTCAGATAAGAGCTCCCTACGCATTATCGCCGGACAATACCAGGGGTTCTCGTCGCCCATCTCAACATTTACTCCTATGAACATCTGGGACCTCGACTTGGCGGCTAAGGAAACTTTCGAGGTGGATATGCCCGAGAAATATTCTGCAGGTATTCTTGTTCGCCGCGGCCGGATCAATGCCAATGGCACTGAGGCCGAGAAAGAAAATCTAGTTATATTTGAACGTGATGGCACAGCTCTCAAAATCGAGAGTCCCGTAGCCTCCAAGTCCCTTCTTTTCTTCGGGCAAGCAATTGAGGAGCCTTTCGTAGGCAAAGGACCCTTCGTCATGAACACAGAGGACGAGCTGGCCCAGGCTTTCAAGGACTATAAATCTGGCAAATTCGGGCCCGTTCCAGGCCCCTCGGTTCTCGATAACGTTTTTTAGCTACTCTGACGTACAACTGCTCTCAACTTCCCAACAGCCCGCCGCTGACTTCCCTCTGCTTATTTAGCCGATTCGATTCACCCAGAAAAGCTTTAAACGATGAACGACGTCGCTCCTGGACAAGTTTATAAAACGGTTTCGGGGCATCTTTACCATGCCGGCAAGATATGCCTTGTGATGGTCGGACTTCCTGGACGGGGTAAAACCAACCATGCAGTAGCATTGACAAGGTACTTGCGCTGGCTGGGTATCCGGGCACAGGCGTTCCATTTAGCGAATTATCGCCGTGCGATTCTGAGCCCAGACGAAGAAGTGTCTGTGGACTATTTCAAGCGTGCCAACCCATCGCAGGACCACTCTGCGTTGAGACAAAAGGTTCTGGATGCTTGCTTGGACGATATTTGGGCATTCTATCGTGACGGTGGCCAAGTAGTAATTTACGACGCTTCGAATCCTCGTCAAGAAGATCGTGCCAGAATCTCAGGACTTTGCAAGGAACACGGTGTTGAGGCCTTGTTCATTGAGAGCTTGGTTACCAATGAAGCGTTGTTGGCCCGCAACATCAACGAAGTACCGCTCACCTCTCCAGAATACAGCCGGATGTCTCGTAATGAGGCCATGCGACACTTTTTGCGTATATTAGATGTTCGTATCTCTGAATACGAACCTCTCACGGAAAAAGAATTACTTTATATCAAGATCATCAACGACGGTGAACGTTGCGTTGTCAATAATGGACCTTTGGGCTATCTGCTGAACAGGGTGCTGCTGTTCCTTCTAAATTCTCGCCGTCAACAAGGTTCTTTCTTCTTTGCTCGAGCGGGCACAACTGGCGTACCTAACGAACCCCTGAGATCAGATAACGATCTCTCCGAGGAAGGAAAAGAGTATGCCAGAACCCTTGCTAGAACTTTGATGAACTATACTTCGTCGAGACATTTTGACCAGTTGGCTCGTGAAGTGGGCAAAACGTCTTTCGCCCGCTACACTGATACAAGAAGCTCTTTGATGCCTAGCAGATCGGGATCAGGATTGTCGACGCCTGCGCTCTCTCAGCCCGAAACCCCAACCTATGCACCACTCATTGTTTGGACCTCAACTAGATCAAAGACAATTCAAACTTCAAAACCATTCGTTGATGCTGGAATTCCCACCAGCCACGATCCGTTACTGAATCAACTAAATGCTGGCGAGGCCGGAAAGTACTCGCGTGCAGAATTCAAAGAGAAGACACTAGAAGCACAAAAAGATCCTTATCACCATCGTTACGCTAGTGGCGAGTCTT